AGAAGTCAAGTTCTTGAATATTATTATTAGAAGAGAAGGCACTTATATAGATCTTAAGAAGATTAAGACTATAGTAGATTAGAAACTACCTAAAATAATTACTAATATTAAGAATTTTATAAAATTTACTAGGTTTTACTAATACTTTATTAAAGAATTCTTATAGATCTTTATACTTATTACTATCTTAGAGAAGAAAGGAACCCTATTCTTATAAACTTTAATTTACTAGACTACTTTTAAAATATTAAAAGTAGAATTTATTAAGAAACTAATATTATAGTCTTTTAATTAGGACTAACTAACTATTTTAAAAACTAATATCTTAAACTTTATATTTACTAGAGTACTATTATAATATAATAATAATAAAATTCTATATCTAATAAGATTCTACTTAAAGAAAATAATTCTAATTAAGTATAATTATAAAATATATAATAAGGAGTTACTAGTAATTATCTATTATTTAAAAAAATAGACTCTAAAACTAGAAGGATACTAATATCTAATTAAGATTATAATTAATTATAAAAACCTAGAGTATTTTATAATAATTAAGATACTAAACTAATAATAAGCCTAATAATTTAAATTCCTATCTTACTTTAATTTTATAATTAATTATTACCCGGGTAAGTATAAGATAAAATTAGATAGCTTGACTAGAAAGTTACAGGATCTCCTTAAGAAGAGGAATAAATACTTACTATACTAGAGTTAAATAATATTAAAAAAAGAAAATTTAATAAATTTCCTATTTAAATACTTAAAAAAGTTATAAAGCTAGTAAATATTATAATTAATCTAGTTCTAAGCTATTACTAGAAGAAAGTTAATATACTTCTAACTACTTAAGCCTAAAGAAAAAGAGATTATCTAGCTCCCTAAATAGTTAAGAGAGTACCTAAATAAAGGTTATAAATAAGACCTAGCCCCTAATAATATTCTAGAAAGCCTGGAAAAGAGCTATAACTACTATCTATTAATTATATTATTTAAGTATACCTACTATTTTAAACTCTTATTTTACTATAACTAACTATATATCCCTAATATAGAAGAACTAAAGGTAGAACTAATATATAAATATTATAAGAGTATAATTACTAGCTATTAAGATAGATTAAAGATCTATAAATTACTATTATAATTATATTACTAGCCTAGAATATTATAATTTATAAAGTAATAAATTTATAATTACTATACTTATAAATAATCTATATTTTATTAAAATAAGTATTAAGATATACTTTATTTCTTACTTATACCTAAAGATCTCTAAAAAAATATATTTATTAATTTTATTATATATCTACTTTAAAGCTTAGGCTTTAATATTATTATAGTAATAATTAACTAATTAATAAAGTTTTAATACTATATTCCCTATAGTAGTACCTATAATACTAAGGGAGCTACTTACTTATTCTAAAACTATATTTAGAGATTTTATAGATTCTCTAAGTTTATTATATTTAATTAAAAATCTTAGTTTATATTAGTATTCTAGATATATCTAAATTATACTCTAAAAATAAGATTACTCCTATCTATTACTTACTATCTTAAGACTAATAAGTAAACTAAATATATAAATATTATTTTAGAATAATATTTATAAGTTTATATTAATTATCTATAAGATAATTAGGCTAAATAGCTACTTATAGTAAAATTTACTACTAATAATACTAGTTCTAAGACTACTAGATACTCCCTATTCTTTACTCTATATAATTTTAACTCTTATATAGGATTTAAGCTTATCTTATCTAATTACTATCTATAAACTTATAATACCTACTAATTCGCCCTAATTATAAAATAGATATAAGAATATTACTATACTACTATAGTTATTACTTAAGCCTACTATAAATACTATACTAACTAGAAATACTGCCCTGCTAGATATTATACTAAGGGCTAATTAATCTAGTTAAATATTAAGAATATTATAATCCTATACTCTTAAAAAAAATTAGACTAGAAAAATCTAGGCTTCTTCTTTATTAGGAGGGTTATCAGCCCTTATACTTATAAACTAGACCTGCCTGAAAGTATAAAAATATATCTAGTATTTTATATTAAATTATTATACCTAACTACTAAAGACCTATTACTTAAATAAGAGAAAACTAAACCCCTATATATTAAAATTAATAGTATTAAGGAATAGGAGGTTAAAGAAGTAATTAACTCCTACTAGAATTACTATAACTAAGATAGCTACCTGTATTTAAAGTATATTATTAAGTAGATTAGATATCTTACTATTACTAAAGTTCCTACTAGCTACCTAGAGAATACTACTAAATATATTACTACCTATTATTACTACTATCCTAGAAAGTCTAGACCCTAGGAATGCTTTACTAGAGCTCAGCCTAAGAGAGGGGATACTATTATGGCATAGCTATATACCTATCTAGTTAGATTCTACTCTAATTATCCATCTCTACTCCTATATTTAAGCTATATTACCCCTAATCCTGTTATAGCTCTTCAAGCTACATCCTTATCCTGACCTGACCTCTACCTGTTGTACCTATATGCAGATAGCCTGAATATACACCCTGCTATTAGCTACACCTACTGCCCACCTGCTCCCTGTGACATATATTACTTATTTTATTTATTTAATCTAAAGAATTTATAACTATACTAAAAAAAATATTATTTTTTTTATAACCTAACTTATATATTTTCCTATTATTCTTAATTTATTTTAGTTAAAGATTTATAATCTCTAAATTAGATTTATTAATTATACTATTCTATTTAAAAGTCTTTATTATAAAAAATACTATAATATACCTTTAAAGCTTATAAAGATTTTAATATTATATAATATACTATTAAAAGCTTCTTTCTAATACCTTAATTCCTGCCCTAAATCTTTAAAGAACTAAGATATTACTAGAGTCTTGGTTACTACCTATATTATATATACTTACTATAGATACTAGATATTTATTACTACTATTACTAATATTAAAGTTATTCTAAATCTTATTACTATTACTAAATTTAAGCTATAAGAGCAACTACTCCTTAAGTTTACTAAATTTTATAATATATTCTTATTAAAGGAGGTTAAGTGCCTGCTACCTTACTAACTTAATAATTATAAGATTAAATTACTATCTAGAAAAACTCTATCTTTTAGAAGCCTATATAATATATCCTAAAATAAACTAAAAGTTTTGAAGGAATAAATTAAAAAGAATTTAAGAAAAGGTTTTATTTATTCTAGTTTTTTTCCTATTATATTCCCTATTTTATTTATAAAAAAATCTAGAGAAGATCTATAATTTTATATAAATTATTAAGCCCTAAATATAATTATTATAAAAAATTATTACTTACTACTACTAATAAAAGAGATACTAAATAACTTAAAAGGAATAAGATATTTCTTAAAAATTAATATTATCTTTACTTTTAATAATTTATAGATTAAAAAAAAATAAGAATATCTTACTATTTTTTAAACTTAATTAGGCTTATTTAAATTCTTAATAATACTATTTAGACTTACTAGAGCCCTAATATTATTCTAGAGATTTATTAATAAAGTTCTATATAATTATCTAGATATTTTCTATATTATATATCTAAATAATATTCTAATTTATAGCTAAATCTATACTAAATATATCTATTATATTTAATAAATATTAGAATACCTATAAATAATAGGATTTTATACTAAATTTAGTAAATATAAATTCTTTATACACAAGATAAAGTTCCTAAGACTAATTATAAGTAAAGATAGCTTTTAAATAAATCCTAATAAAGTAAAAATAATTATTAAGTAAAAAATACTAACCTATCTAATTAATATTTAAGCCTTTATTAGCTTTGGGAACTTTTACTACTAATTTATTTATAATTTTTTAAAAATTATTAAACTATTAGTTAACTTAACTAAGAAAAATATTAATTTTAACTAGATATTTACTTATTAAGAAATATTTAAATAATTAAAAACTATTTTTATAAATATTCTAATATTAAAATCTTTTAATTAATTAAAAAATATAATTCTAGAAATTAATATCTTTAATTATATATTTACTAGAGTACTATTATAATATAATAATAAAAATATATTATATTTTATTATATTTTTTTCTAAAAAATATTCTATAATAGAATATAATTATAAGATTTATAATAAAAAATTATTAATTATTATCTATTACTTTAAAGAATAATATCTTAAACTAGAAAGAACTTTATTACTTATAAAGATTATTATAAATTACTAGAATTTAAAGTATTTTATATTAATTAAATTACTAAATTATTAATAAGCCTACTAGTCTAAATTTCTATTAAAATTTAACTTCTAAATATATTACTACCCTAGGAAGTTAGATACTAAACCTAATATATTAACTAGGAGGTTAGAGAACCTACTTAAAAAGGGGAATAAATAATTTCTCTACTAGAGCTAGATTATTCTAAAATCTAAAAACCTACTACTTAAGACTACTACTAATCTAAGACTAAATACTAATAGCTAATATTAAGTATATTTTACTAAATAACCTGCTACTAATAAATTAATCTTCCTGCTACTAATATTATAACTACTATTTAATAAAGCTTATCTATAAAATAAGAAGCTCTAATCTATTTTAAATACCTTAAAAAATAGTCTACTAAGATACCTTAATATTATACTAACTAATTATAAATATACTAGTTTATATTTAAGATACTAAGACTAATTTTACATGCCTAACTATAATAAGATAAAAGCTAAAATATTAAGACTTTATTATAAAAATCCTGCTACTAGATATTTTAGAAGAATTAAGATATATAAACTAATATTATATAAATATTTCTAGCCTAGGATTTATAAGTATATTAATTAATAAGTCTAGAATTATTATCTCTACTACTAAATTACTCCTTTTTAAGAAATAAAGTAAGAAGTATTAAGATCTTTACTAATTTCTAAATATATCTAGTAAGATATAAGTATAGACTTTATTATATATTTATTATTAAATAATAGTTATAATACTATTCTAGTTATAGTTAATTATTTAATAAAAATAAAGTACTTCCTTTCCTATACTAGAATAATTAATACTAAAGAAGTAACTAATCTATATTTTAAATATATTTAGAAGTTCTATAATATCCCTAAAATAATTATATTAGATTATAAAGTCTAATTTATTATTATTTTTTAGAAATATTTAATATCCTACTTAAAGATTTATAACCTATTATTTATTATTTATTATCTTAAAATTAATAGCTAAATTAAATATACTAATATTATTTTAGAATAATACTTATAAGTATATATATTATACTTATAAGATAATTAATCTAAATAATTATTAATAGCTAAATTTACTATTAACTCTATCTACTTTAAGTTTATAAGAGTATTACTATTTATAGCTAACTATAGATTTTACCTAATATTAAGATTTAAATTAAGCTATCTTATTATCTACCTTATTAAAAAAAATACTAAGAAATTTATTAATACTATATATAAGATTTATAAATTTATCTATATTAAGATTTTATTTATTTAAGCTTATTATAAAATATAAGCTAATTATTAAAAATAATCTATATATTACTATATTATAGAATAAGAAGTCTAGTTAGATATTTATAATATCTAAATATTTTACTTATAAAAAAAATTAGATTAAAAGAATTTTAAGCTATATTATATTAAAAGAATTATTAGCCTATATACTTATAAACTTAAATTATCTAAAAATATAAAAATCTATTTTATATTTAATATATTTTTACTCTATCTTATTATTAATAACTCTCTACCTAATTAATATCCTAATCTACTACTACCTATTAAAGTAAAAGAATTAAAAGAATAGAAAGTTAAGGAAGTTCTTAATTCTTAATAAATTTATTAAGGCTATAGTAAACTTAAATTATAATATATTATTAAGTAAATTAAATATAATAAACTAACTAAAGAGCCTATTAAATATCTAGAGAATACTTATTAATTAGTAAATAATTACTATCTCTATTATCTTAAGAAACCCTAGCTAATTTCTCCCTAGTCTTAATAAAGCTTAACCCTAAGGGGGGGGATACTATCACAGTACAAAGCCATAGTACTTATCTAATTAGATTCTACCTTAACTATCCATCCTTATCCCTATATTTAAGCTATATTATCCTTAATCCTGTTATAGCTCTTCAAACTATATCCTGTCTATTACCTGGCACCTACTGTTCTGCTGTTCTGTCTGGTTAGCTCCTAGTCAATGAATATCTGAATCCGACTCTGCCCCCTGACAGGATTCTCTTTATTATTTTATTAATATATACTTAAAAGATAACTAAAATATTATATAATTTAAAAAATATAACTAGATATTTATAGTATTTATATCTTATATAAAATATTATTTTTTACTTATTATTTTAATAAATATAAATTTAATAATAAGTATCTTATAAATCTAGTTTAGTAAATTATTTAGTTTTAACTAGTTAGTTTATTAGTTTATTAATTTATAAAAGAGGATATTAGTTCTTAATAATAATTATATTTAGGCCCTTATAATCTATATAAAGTTATAGTAATTTATTAATCTTTTATATAAAAAGTACTAGTATACTTACTATACTTATTAAGGGCTAGATTTATTCTTTTTCTAATATTTAATTAATATACTCCCTTAAGATTACTAACTTTATTCTTAATATATTATATAGCTAGCCTATTAATAATACTATATTAGTAATTAATAATATATTATAACTAGCTTTTTTAAAGAGGAGTACCTCTATCTTTTTCTTTAAAAATATTAATTTCTATTTTTTATAATATTTAAGGAGAGCCCCTATTATACTATTATTATTATATAGTTAGCTTAAGATTAATATAGTAAGTCCTTACTTTATCATACTCTTAAATTATTTAGATAATTTAATTTTAATCTTTAATTTTTTCTCTTAATAATACCAAGTATTTACTATTAAGGAGATATTAAGATTAACTAAACTTAATTAATTATATTTTAAAATTAGTTAATATTCTTTTTCTTTTAAATTTATTATATAATATTTTATATTAAATTCTCTAGTTTTATTAAGGCTATTTATAATTTAATTTTTTACCTAAAATCTTATATAGTATAATACTATTAAATTATTAGTAAAATATATAGATTACTCTATCTTTATTTTATTAAAATTTATTCTTTCTTTAGCTAAAAAATAGTAAGAAATAAAGTCTTTATTTACTCTAGTATTTATAAATACTCTTATTATAACCTATTTCTTGCTTATTAAAATAACTATAGTAGCTAGAAGAGATCCTACTAGTATCTCTTTATTTTATTAAAGTACTAGAAATTCTAGAGTATTTAATTATTATTAGTTCTAGTTTTTTAATTCTCCTACTTCTTTAGTACCTTTCCTATATTAGAGGTATTTTCTTATAATATAATTAATTTAATTATACTAATAATATTAACTTTTTTTTTATTAATTCTAGTAATTCTACTACTCCTTTTTTAATTTTTTTTACTAGAATTTATTTAATTAGGGATTTATTATTTTACTATTATTTTTTTTTTTTTCTTAAGTTATTCTTCAATATATAAGATTCTAAAAATTAATTTAATTATATTTTATTTAACTTTTCTTACTTCTTTTATTTCTAAAATTTCTTATACCTTACCTCTAGTTTAGTAACTTTAATTAGACTTTATAATATTATTATATTCTACTAGATTTTTTTATATAATTCAGGCCAGACTATTTAAATAACTAGCTAGTAGAGGAATTCTTTAAGATTAACTTTAATTATTAGAATAAACTTTTTTATTTAGATTATTAAGATTTATATACTCTATTATAATTCTTATTTTATATATAAAAACTAGTAAGTTACTATCTATTTATAATTTCTTTCTAGTTCTAGGAAATTCTATAAGAACTTAATAAACTTTATATAAGTAAGTCTTTTAGAATTTACTTTATACTTAAAGTATTATATCTACTTTATATTATTTTTTAGGTAATCTATAATATAGTAAACTTTAATTATATTACTCTTATAAAGTTTCTCCTATAATCTAAAGTAGTTTTAAAGATCTTCTAGGAAAATACTAAATTTTTTTAGGTTTTATATCTTAAAGAACTTAGATTTAGGTACTTTCTCCTTACTTATTTACATAACTTATACTATATATTAGGCTATATATTATAGCTTATTATCTTTTATTAACTTAATAAATTAGTACTAGAGAGTTACTAGTACTATTAAATCTTTTTTAATAATAGTTTCTAGAATTATAATTATAAATTCTATAGAATTTAGATTTATTACTTCTTAAAAGAAGGAGTAGATAGTCCTTCTTATACTTACTATATTACTTTACTTAATTAAGAAAGTACTTTAAATTATAAGTATCTTACTAGTAAGGTGCTTGAATATAGATAATATTAGTAAAGAAAGTAAAGCTATACAGAGTATAAGAATAGTAGGAAAATATTAGAAGTAATAAAATAAAGTACTTACCTCTTAGTACTTTAGAAGTTATTATATTATTATTTATATTATCTAATTAAGTTACTAGCACGGCGCAGGCAACTCGAATATTGCCATTCTCCTGATTACCCTTGGTTACTAGGTATGTGGTTCGGCATGTGGTTCGGCATGTGGTTGCATGTCACGTGGTCGCCGTGACACACACAGTTTGAGAGCAACAAACTCATCAAAAAATAAAAGCGCGAAAGAAAAAAAAATGCGCCCGGCCAGATTCGAACTGACGGTCTTCGCATTCCACGTGAATGGTACAAGTGCGACGCCTTACCACTTGGCCACAAGCGCAATGTTCTGATACACCGAGAGCTGTTCATATCCCATAACCGGCCATGGTCTGGAAGTATACTCGACTCACTCCGTACTCCGTACAGCGCCGTCGGCTTGATACAGTTATTGTTCTCTACTAGTTACTACCTATGTAAACTAACTAGTTAACTAGAGGTCATCTTTGACAAATCCTACTGAGAAATCTATCCATATTTTATGTACCTAGGCTAATTTTGCTGTTTACTGTGCTTGTTCACTGCCTACCTAGGTACTTATGCCTCTAGTTCAGATGGGTCGAAGTGCTTAGATACCTAACCACCGGGGCTGCCTACAGTGCTGGGTATGCTGCTGGCTTTAAATCTCAATAGAGTGTCATTTTATCATCTCTCATATACTATACAACAGTGCTAAATGTGCTAGTTACAATCATCATGTAAGGCCTCCTTCTGCCAATGTATTTACCCTCACCCACACTCCCTTTCCCCCAAAAATCTCCAAGAAAAAGAAAAGAAAAAGAAAAAAAAGAAAAAGAAAAAGTTATCCAGTGGGCATCGTAGCTCATGAATAAGACATTACCTTGCTAATCTATAGGACGAGAACAGCGCACACAAATCAAGCGCTGCTTGCCATTTCGTCCCTTGGTAGCTCGAAAATTCGTCCCCCAGCAGCCTTCGCATTTGAGGACATCGTTGTCCTCGCCTTCACCGGAGACATTCGAGGAGGCGCATTCGCTGCTCAGCGCGCTACGAGCGGTCACTTTTCGCTCGAGGTTATTGGGACTAAGAAGACCCGGGGAGTTGCGGTGTACGGCTAGCGCATCTTGGGTGATTTTGTTGTAGAATGCGTAGCTCTGATCGCCTTGTAGCCAGAGCGGGTTATCTTTGTCATCGACTTTAGACATTATTTCAGCTGCCGACTGCGGTGGCGGACGAATGTTTTCTGCTTCTGTGCCACCTCCGTTGCGCTTTGGGGGTTCTACCAAGCTTGAGCGGCGGCTGTCGAAGGAAGATTTATAGGCGGACATTGGTGGGGACATGGTGAATGCTGAGCGCGATTCGCCCTGCGGTCCTGACGAGCCACGCCCAGGGCTCGAATACCGCCAGAGACCTCGCATTGTCTTCGGCGGAGAGGGAGTCCTGGTCCTCTGCCGTTGATTACCGTTCGTACTGTCGTGTCCAGCAACCGAATTTCGCCATGAGATGATCCGCTCGGATGGTGTCTTGTGCGAAGACTCTTTCCCTGTGGAGGATGCGATGCTCTGCCGTGCCGAGTTCGTGCGTCCCAGAATCCGGCGGGAAATCGTCGAATGCGTGTCCCAGCTGTCGTAGAGACGTTTCGAGTGAGCGCAGTCCTGTCGGAATACTTTGATCTTTCCCGAATAGTCTGCCACGATGAGAATGTTTCCGTCCGGGTGCGTTGAGCGCGAGAGATATCCAGGGGATTCCTGAGCCAGCTTACTAGCCCCAGAAATACGATTCTGGCGCTCGTTCTCCTTGGATTGGCCACCAAGGGTGACTGGGGGCGGGTTGCAAAGGTCGTATATTGGGTCTCCTGAAAACCCTAGGGTCTGCTTCGCTTTCTTTGGAGCCATCACTGCGGCTGTTACCATGGCTGTCTGGGTTTCGAAAATCTCCACGGCTCGTTTATCTGCATCCTTCTCTACAGGCCCCGTGGACCACAGATATGCTCTGCGGTCCTCACTACCACAAATGATGTGCTTCCCATCATCACTAAAGGAGGCCCGAATCTGACTGCATGTATTTTCGTTTCCACGAAATTTAGCCTCCAGGGTGCGGTCCCGAAAGTTGTAGAGTCGAATGCGCGAGTCGTTGCTGGTGATCAGAAGCTTTATGTCACCATTCGGGTCGTTGGGTGGTAAAACAATCGTATCGATCCCAGTGATTTTACTGCCTTTTGCATTGCGACCGCGGGCCGAACGGACATGGATGTTTCCGGTCGGTTTCAGGCCGTCAGTCTCGTAGATATTGCACATCCCATTTAGACACCCAGCAATCGAGAAACGTCCGTCTGGAGTGAAAGCAACAGAGGTAATCATGTCAGACACATTCACAGTAAACGCAACACTCTTGTCTGGAATACTCCATAGCCGAAGTTTCATATCCAAGGAACCTGCTAGGAAGAAACGGTCGTCGCGGGGATGGAACTGAATCGATGTTACAAAATCACTGTGCTTAAAGCAACACAGGCACTCGGGTCGGGTAACGTGCCACAATCGAACAGTCTTATCCATCGACGAGGAAAGCAAAAAATTATTCTGTACAAGGCCATTAGTCCCGGCTCCAGTTACAATGGCTAAATTTCGCACCTTGCTCCAACTTAAATCAAGGATACTCCCTGTGTGGCTACCATAAATCCGGACGGGCTTTTCTTTGAATACGGGTGCTTTCAGGCGTAGAGTGTCGTCATCGTCGTCGTCCGCTTCACTAGTGTCTCGATCTCCTGGAGACGCTATCACAGACCAGACTCGAACCTTACGGTCCTGGCCAGCAGCTGCAAGATACTTCCCATCGTTCGAGAAAACCAGGGCCCATACGGCCTTCCCTGTAGGTTTACTGCTTTGTGAATCCGCCGTTCTGGGAGGGGTGTTTTGATCCGGTTCATTGGGCGAAGTATCGGCGCCTTCCAATTCCTGCGCAAGAAACACGCGATGAAAAGTTCTCTCCTTCTTGTACTGCGCTCGGACTCTGATGTACTTTGGAGGAGGTGGAAATCGCGGGAAAAAGCCTATCGGTTGCGCAGAGGCATGGGCATCCATGCGGTTACCCATTTCCGATACATTGTCTTCTTCATCGGAAAACAGGTCTTTTTTCTTGCCGGGGATGATGCGACTCAGAAACGAAACACCTATTCTACGGGTTGGTCAGATCGGGGAACTATTAAACCCAAAGGAACAGAAAGAAATGGAAGAGAGTTTAACGAGACGGCTCAAGTTCTGTCCATCGGTCTGGAGACAAGTGGCACTCACTTCTTGTCTTTCAGAGGCTTCTGACGCAGCGTGGCATCACCTCGGATTGGATCTTGGTCCACGGGGCTGAACCTGTCTGATCCCCCAGCTTCAGCCTCGTAAGACGCCCTCCCGAGGAGCTTGAGCGGGATCGATTTTTCGGTGTTTGTGCGCTTGATGATATGCTAGAGAAGTTTGATGTGATGCAATCAGCCACTAGTACTCAGAACCCCCCCCCCCAAAAAAGGGATCGTGCGTCATTCATTACCTGCGATAGCGGATCTATAGCGCTAGAGTCGGCCGTTTGGAACAAGGTCGGCGAAGAGGCGGAATTCCGCCCAACGACTGAGTGAGCGCCATGGGGTAAGAGGATTCTCGGAGACTTTTTCGCATCTTGTAGGTTTCCACTAGAAGCAGAAGCAGAAGCAGCATCGGAGGTAACAGACCCTATCAGCAAAAGAGAAAAAAAGCACGCAAAAGTCAGCGAATGATAGGCCTTGCGCAAAAAACCACCGGGTATTCCGGAAGGTCGGGAAGTGCAGCATGGAAGTCAACAGAACAGGTCAGATAAGCCCCCATACCAATTGGGAAAGTCTGCGAGGTACGCAAGAGTCTTGGGGTTACAGGACTGGGATCGTCCGTGCCGGGGAATTTTGCATTCGGGTTGTTGTCATTATTGTGACTGTGACCCGTGCTGTGGTTGACCTGGAAGGTATTCGAGCTCGAGGGGTCGCTGGTAACAATCGCGGGGACGGTAGCAGCCCGTAATACCAACGGCGCAGGAGCGTCGGACATGGTCCCTTTGGGCGCTCTTAGAGCCTGCGCCATGATCCGATCGGCCGGCGGAGCATCATGCACCAGGAGGAAAACTCGAATTCCAAATGAACGTGAATAATCGAGGAACCGATGATGATGACCAGAAGAAGTTGAAGTAAACGAGAGAGAAAGGGAGGAAAGAGAAATAGGAAGAACGCGGATCGTGCGCGGGAGTACCGATGATGGCAGCGGGATTAATTATTAGTTTGGCCGTAGGAGTAAACTATTATAATAATAGCAGCAATCATAATTCATACCCGGGTTAGGCGGGAGATTAGAGGGATGGACTGACTATCCCAATTCTTTTTTTTTTTCCTTCTTCTTCTTCTTCGATCCTTATTCTTTGTCTCATTCAAGTGAGACTGATAGAGACAGCCTGATGATGGTCTGGACTGTCAATGGACCTTACAGAACCAAGGATGAGGGAATAATATGATTTCATCAATTCTATGATACGAACCCGAGTACGAACTATAGGAATTGATGATTGAAGATGATGGAGAATTACGGAGTAGAGGAAGATCCCCGAGGATCAGGGGTATCCAACGTGGAGAAATCTATGAGTGAGGCTACTTTCAGGGTCTTTTCTCACTTTCTTACCTTTTATAGCCATATATTGTACTCCGTGGACTAGGATTAATGTGAATATTCTCTTTATAATGCTAGCGTGTATCTCTAGTTATATTCTGGACGTTTGCTCGAGGTTCCGTGCCCTATCTTTGGCAATATCACACATTGCCTTGAAGGAAAGAGAGAGAAAACAATTAGCAACCATTTTTAGATTCTAAGAGAGTACAACAATAGGGTACTACTACCCTACTCACCTGAATAGTCTCTTCGACCTCTCGTTCAACATCCCCCCGGTCAATCCTCTGACGCATCTCCACCAGTATCACATCCCTGCTCCGACCATTGACGAACGTTCTATGAACCAAGTCAGTGCGTCAGTCAGTCATACAACCCCCCAGTCAAGACAAGGGGGAAACAAGAAAAGGAAAAAGCAACTCATACACAAATCTCAACCCTGGAAACTTCTCTTCATATTCCGCATTCAGCACCCGCAGCTTCTCGGCCTGTTCCTCAGCCCCAGTGTTTAAATTCGCTTGCTCCTTTTTACTCAGTTCGCTCAGATGCTCTGCGGCCTTTGTTTTGGGCTGTCCCAGCCGCGGATGCGATCCTAGGATTCCCACAAGGATTGCTTTATCCGTTGGTGAGTTCGCAGCGGAGAGGGCAGACATACGGCTGCCCACGGCATCAATGAACCCTGTATATGAAGGGAAGGTTTGGCTGGATAGTACTAGAGCCAGTAGGGTGTGGAGCTCTGGTGAGGATTCGAAAAGGGTGTCGAGGACTTGGAATTGTTGAGATTGGGGGAGGGTTGGGAGAGAAGATAAGGGGGGGAGTGAAGGAGTCATAGCGTAGAAGAAGTAAGTGGTATAGATACAACTTGGGTGGAGAAAGAAAGTCTGTATTATTCTTAATTTTCCTTTTCTTTTTGTTTCTTTTGTAGAGGAGAAGAGAAGAGAGATTCAGTGGATAGTTCTGTTATATATCCCCGCATCGGCAGTCTCCGAGAGCTTTTCTTGGGGCGGGGCGGAGAGCTCCTCCAGGGCGGAAAAAAGATTCATATGAGATCCTGAAGGCCAGGCTAGATAGATATCCCTATATTGGGCCCTAGGAATACTGGTAAATGGACAAACAGGTATTGTTTCTTGATGTCAAAGCGGCGTACCTGAGATAGTCGGGTACCTACTACTAGGCTCCCACTAAGCCTTGTATTGAGGTCACATAGATGCATTGCATTTTATATATATATGTATACATAACTATAAGAACACCAATCTCGATTTTTTTTTTTTAAAAAAAAAAAACTACACACCCTAGATAGTAGTAAGGCATTTGAGAAAGCCCAAATGGATCTGACCATAAAAATGAGATTTTATAAGAATGGTTCCTGCAGGTGATCCATCATTAATCTATTTGATCCTGACTCGTGCGTGTCTTATTGTGTACTTGTTCATCTTTTTTCCTTTTCCCTCTTTTTTTGCTAGGAATCTTTTTGTCAAAATCCCTTCTTCCTAAGGGTTATCGATAAAGCATTCAGTCTCTTGAAGCGGGAAGAGTTACAGAAACATCCTACTGTCAGGCATGAAGACTGTGTCTATCGTTATTTAATCCCATCCCAAGCAGCATGCGATAGGCTAACAGGTACAGGGGATAGAGGGGCTAGAAGAAAGCCAACTATGGAAAATTAGATAGAGATGAAACTCTAGTGTGATGAAGAATATTGAGCTTGTACTTGTAGACTCTAGAGGATCTCATTTCCGTCGTCGTATCCACTATAATCTGTTCTAGAAACCCTCTTGTTCTTCCACACTCCCTTGGTAATTTGTCTGTAGGTACGGAGTAGACAAAGAACTGAGGGGTTTTAAGAGAGTACAGAGTAGGTACAGAGTAGATAGAGAGTATCCCCCAACCAGTCAACTTTGGAATCTTCTTAAACCCAGGCACTGACTGACTGACTGGACTTAAAAGACAATAAAACTAACCTGGTAAAAACAACGTGGAGTGGAGGCACTAAAAGAACCCCTGAACTCCTGAGTCCCGAGAGGTTCGTGGGTGACACCATATTAGCCATTGCCAGTCCCCTCCATCTTCATTTGATCTCATTAATTCCGACTTGGACGGGGGGAGATCTCCGTCCGCAGGAAAATAATCATAATAATCCAAAAAAGCCGCCCGTTTCAACTTCTCTTGACCTTTTTTCCCGACTTTCTCTCCTGGTGCCTGATATCCCCCAAACTCTCCCAGGAACCAGGGCCCCTCCCTCCCCCTCTCTTTCTTTGTAGAATCACGCAGCGTGAAAAACACTGTTGGGGTCCCTCTCGACCAGCATTTATTGGCCTCAATGCCGTTCCCGCCATGTCTCTCAATGGGTTAGATAATCCCACTGTCGTTGAAGCCTACCAGACTGCTCTCAGCGAAGCAGGCGGATGGTGAGTCTCAATCAACTCCTCCCCCTTCCCCCCCTATCTACCTAAGTAGTCTCGACCTGAAAAGGGTCGTTGCTTTAGGCCAATGTCCAAACCAGCTAACACACGTCGTTCCTGGTGCCCTCTAGGTTTCTTCTCCGCTATACGTCAAGGGATGAAGTCGCCCTCCTAGATCGAGGCACTGGGGGCGTTCCCGATGTGCGGAATGCGATCGAGGGCTACGAGGAATCCTCCCCGCTCTACGGCTTCCTTCAGTATCGTCGCAGGAAGGTGGTTCTGAGTTATCTACCCGAGGATCTGTCTCGACTTGTCCGAGGTTTGTTGAGCTTCCCATAATTCCTTCGTCCTGCTTGTTTCTGCGCTAACCCAGTCCGACTCGACAGCTCGAACGACCGTTCAGTTCCAATCGATTCTTGACAAATTTTCCCCCCACGACACCGTCTTTTCGCTCGCCCGGCCATCGGATCTTACGGAAAGCGCACTCTCTTCCGCATGTCTACTACATACCGCCTCAGGTTCTATCACCCCCTCATCAAGCTCCCTTCGCCGTCGGAGACTGATGGAAATCGCCGAAGATGCAGAGGAAACCCCGGCTAGCAAGGATGCCGTCCCGACACAAACCCCGACCCAGGATATCCGACAGAGGTCAATCAGTCAATTGTCAGAGGCCACTTTCGTTCCGCCCCCGTCTTTGATCTCAGATGTCCCTGAACCCTCCCATGGCGACCTCCCGCCCCCAACGAGCCCCGAAACCGCTCATACCAATAGCCACGCGCCTTCAATCCCTGGGGATATCGCCTCCGAACGCCCGGATTCGTCGAGGAATTTTGGCGACGAATCATCCTATGCTCCTTCAGAGCCTCGCAAGTCTACGCAATCCGCTAGGCCCTCTCTACGAGACTTGGAGCACGCGGCAGGATCCAAACCCAAGGTGAAACTCGGGCCCCGACCCTCAGTGGACGGGAGTGGCCGGCCTCGCACTGCGGGAAACATATCTCGCAACGCTGAACAGCGGCCAGTCGCTTCTCTCCCCGCTGGTGTACGCTCGTCTTCGTTCCGCAAGTCCAACCCTGGCCCTACTCGTCCTCGCTCGCAGGGAAATCCAGTAACAAACCCATCCAGCCGATCTGTCCCCCCAGTTCCCCCCCTGTTGGTGCCCCCGTTATCCATGCCGATTGCACGGCCTCAGCTCTCGCCTGGTGCCAAGTCCTTGAGTGCACTCTCATCCTCCGGAACATCTCACGAGAAGGAGCGACTGATGAAAGCGCTCCAAATGCGGAAATCGCAGATGCAAAAGAGAGCACAAGAAGAGAAACCACAAACTTCACACGATCCGAACGAGGATAAAGAGAATATTGGACAAATTGGCGAGATGGTGAAGCCAAGAAGCGAGAGACTATCTAGTATATCAGAGTACAGCAAAGGACCGCTGTCGGAAACTCAATCCCTGGCCTCATCCGAATCGCTCCCAGTTCTTGAACCGGTGGAGATGGAGATTGCCTCGGTAGAGCCAGCTGTTGACACCGCCATGCCCCACCAAAATGGTGAGATCCCAACCAAGTCAATGGCCCCAAGTAGCATGGTTCCTGAACCTAGTGTTGAGGACAAAAAGCTGGAGAAGATTCCAATAACGGAGACCCTTCCCGAACCTGAAACAGGCCCTGTCCAAGACGGCATGGTTGTATCGGTGGGAGGCAAAATGAAGTGCGGCACCGGCTCGCCTAGCGCCGTGCTTGATGTCCCGCTTGACGACAATCGTAATCCTCTAACCCCCCCAGAGGAAGAAATTGTCGTAACTCCACCTCAGGTAGAGAACTCTCTTGTTCCAGAAGAAACAAAGATACTTGAAGCCCCCGCGGAGCCAACCGAAGCTATTGATCCGCAATCAATTCCCTCGCCAAAGTCTTCTGCATCAGGGCCAAATTCCATTACCGATCCGATCGCGATCCCTGTATCACACGCTGGGCAAGCTCCAACCCCTGAAATTTTGAGTGTGGAGCAAGTGAGCGCTACAACCCGAAGGGATAAACGCAAACCTGCTCTTGAACCTATTCAAGTTCCAACTCCCGAATACTCTGATGACGATAATCTTCTATCAGACGATTCCTTCATGGAAGAATTGAAGAGCGCCACGGTCGAAGAAGCCAAGCCCATTTCAGTTGGCAAGTCTCCGCTCTCCCCAGGCTACTCAAATAGTGGGAGTAGTAGAGCCAGCCCTGATGCTTGGAGGAATTCCCGTGCCGTTTCCAACCCAAGTGCTGCTGGGGAGCAGCATCCGGCTATGCCTATATTATCCGGCGGCAGATCCGTTTCGAACCCGTTTACTCCAACAACCGAACCCCCCACAGGCCCCGTTCTAGTCGCCAAGAAGATTAATGTATCTTCCGGAATCTCTAAGCGCATCAAAGCGCTCGAGAAGTTTTCGAATAGCCGCGATGCATCGCCAACCCCGCCGCAAACTGTAGCCACCCCGTCCGCATCCTCCTTTGAAACTCTTCGAAAGCGTGCCTCTATTTCACTGGGAGCTGGGAACGCAGAGGTGCCCTCGTTGTCTAGGCATCCATCATACGCACCCGAGCCTTTCTCTCGGGCCTCGAGCCTGAAACGCCCTGACTCTCAACCTGGCACGAGTGCTGCACGCGCGACAAATGCTGTGTCCGTCACCGCTCGTATAGTCCGCGATCAAAATGCTAATAGGGGCGACTCGAACACTGACTCGACCGAGTCACGCATGCTCAACCTTCAGGCTAGCCCTCTGACTGTTGAGCATGGCCCTTCGGACGTTCCACAAAGCCTCCCAGCGGAATCTACCCCCAACAAATCTGAAAAACGCAGCATGTCTACATCTTCCGCCGGCTCTATTCCGCCATTACCTGCTATGATCCCGCGTTCTGAGAGCGGACTCTCTGTGTCCTCTGCCTCTAGAAATGACGGAATCGCTTTTCCAAGGTCTCCGAGTGAGGTCTCTGCTTCCTCCCCGGAGGAAAAGAAAGAGTCCCGCGCCTCTAGGATCCTTCGCCGCATGTCCTCAATCACTTCCAGTTCACGAAGGGGCACTGCCAGTTCTCGGAGTCCGGCTGTCAAAGAGGAGGAAAACTTGCCATCTGTGGACGAGTCTAAGAACACTGCGGAGCTCCCGGAGGCAGTTGATATTGGCGAGGTTAATGTCCAGTTCCCCGATACTCTCCTCTGGAAGCGGCGGTTTATCCGGATCGACAACCGAGGCTATTTAGTTTTAACGCCAGGAAATATTGACTCCAGTAACCGCAACATGATCAAGCGGTACCATCTAACCGAGTTCAGAACCCCTTGTCTACCTGACGAAGAGCGACAAGAGCTTCCCAACAGCATCTTACTAGATTTCTTAGACGGAAGCACTCTTCAATGCGCTTGCGAATCAAGGCAAGGGCAGGCGTTTGTTCTTCAGAGTAAGCTACCTTTCTCTCTCTGCCAACAATCTTGGAAGAATAGATACTAACAGGAATTAGCTCTTGTCCATGCTTATGGCATTCACCAACAACTTCTGTCCTGATAGTTCAATCTACTCCACATCACTTTCATTCTCATTCTTCCTTGTGTTTATCTAAATTTGCATCATCCTATGCCTTCTTTTTCTTTTTCTTCTTCTCCTTCTCCTTTCACTTGTCTGAACCCCTTTGTGTCCTTTCCTTCTCTTTCCCTTTTTATCATGCGTATTTCCAGCGGTATACCCCCTCAAAACGATTTCCTTCTGTCTACCAGCTGTCTTCTCTATAGACTTTGCACCAGCAACGTCAATTCTTCCCAATATCGAGAATTTTCTTCTATTTGTCCTTCAACTTGATGAGATGCATGGTGTCAAGCGCAGCAGCGATGGCTACTGTTGTCTGGAGCTTCCTAGACCAGTGCCCGAACTTGACATCTTACATCTTCTATAGTCGGCGATCCTCGTGATAGGAATATTGACATACCTTACGCTGAGATTAAAATAGACTCGGGAAGTCCATGCATGTGAGCGGAGTCTGGTTGGCTACTGTGTCTTCTACATTTAGGATAATGCATAAAAATTTGTTATTTCGCATCTTAGCTGTTTGAGGATTACCTCTTGTCATATACATATATGGATAGCCATTCTACACTGTACAGACGCACAGATTCACCCTGAGCCTAGTGTAGTTGATCAAGAAACTACTAGTAGTCTGCGGTATCATTGATTATAGGGTATTGCTATTACCCTCTCTTCCAAGTAGATTTTTCAGGGAATTAACTCTCTAGACTGATAAATATATATATATATATATATATATATATAATACAAGAACAGGAGAGAGACCTTGTCTATGGGGCCTGTTCATGACCCTCCTCAACGGCTCTCTTTTTCTCCCACTCATCCAAAAATCTTTGAACCTTGGGACCCCACACTTCTTCACCAGCGTCGAGATCCTTGTATTCTAGTATCTGTTCTGAGTCGAGGTTAAAGTGCGCCTGGCGCGACCGGATTAGCGAGCTCATGAGCGCGCAACTACCAAGCGCTTTGCCGAGATCGTGCGCTAACGAGCGAACATAGAAGCCAGAGGACACGGTCATGGTGATTTTCACCGCAGCAGGTTGGGATTTGGGGGGTTCAGAGGACGTATCAGATTGTGGCTCGGCGGTGATGGTGGTGGATGGGGCTGGAGTTTCCGAGGGCTTAGAATCAGGCTGCGCAGATGGCGCTGCGTCGCCCTCAGCAGATATCTTTTGCTTTTTGGCTGCCGCGCCGCTGGCGTCTTCTTCTTCTTCTTCTTCTTGTTCTTCATTCTTAGGAGTCTCCGCGGGTGGTGGGGATTTACGTTTCGCGGACGAGGAGGAGCCGTCAGCGTCGGCCTTCTCCACAGACTCGGCAACAGGCAGAGCGTCGTCCTTCGCAAGTAGCTTTTCCGCAACTGCCTTCTCCTCTGCCGGGGCCTCCTCCTCAGGCCACTGATACTCGTGCGTGCCGGGTTCATACCACTCCACAATCCTCAAATCACTGACTTCCACCGGACGCGGCTTGATCTCAATCGGCGGCTCCTTTCCCTCCCGCGCATACTCGTAAAGCTTCTTCCCCTGCACCTTGAGCGCCGAGAAAATCGGCGGGTGCTGCATGATCTTGCCCCGAAATTGCTCGAGAGCCTTCTCCACCGCGTCCCGCGTGATATGCTCGTAGGGCGCGCGGCGAACAATCTTCCCCAGACGGTCGTAGGTGTCTGTCTCTGCTCCGAAGAGCACCACGGTCTCGTAGGTCTTCGTGCATCCCAAGAAGTCATTGAGGTGTTTCGTGCCCTTTCCGACGCCCGTGACGAGAACCCCGGTTGCCAGCGGGTCTAGCGTGCCGCCGTGTCCGATCTTGACATCGAGGCGCTGCGAGCGGCGGCGCTTGCGCTGGAAATTGCTCTCGCGGTTGCGGCGGGCGCGCTCGGTGTCGAGCCAGGGTTTGAAGAGGTCGGACGGGTTGAAATGGTGCTGCAGTTTGCGGATTACGTCGGCGGAGGTGACGCCTTGGGGCTTGTGAACGGCTGGACGGGGGTTCAGATTATAATTAGTTTCAGCAGCGCTATGGGATTGCCATTGGAATTGGCATTGGGATGGAGTGTTAAACGGGTTGTGAGCGAGCGTACCGAAAACGCCTTCATAGATCTTCTCGCCAGACATGGTGGTGCGGAATAGCTTCAGCCCACGACGGAGGACCATCAGATGCGGGGATGAGAGAGAGCGTTCTAGACTTAATCTGGCAGATACAAGTCCAATGAGTCTGGTTTTAGCTACCAATTTAGCAGACAAGAACGCTATGAGCTTCCGGGGGGTGGACGCGGGGAGAATAAAAAATGTCGAAGGCCGGCTGAGGAGAGAAAACCTGCGGCCAGGTGATAGGCGAAAGAATGGTAATGAAACGGTATCGTCACAACACAGAAATTACGCACTGTAAGAGATTGAAATAGTTGTAAATAACCAGTAATTACAGCGTTCATACTGCAATCTCCAACAGGAACCCATTCCCATTCCATAATCCATCGTCCTCAGAATCAACGCTCGTCTTTCATCTTTCATCTTCATCTTTCACGATTCCTCCCCCTCCATCTCCTTTCGCTTTGTTGACTCGCCCTTCTACTCTCTCTCGGAAGTCCTGGATTTCTTCTTTCCCTTTGTCTCTCGAGGCATCATCATGCAACTCCCAGAGACATGACATCACGAGAAGATAGTGTATTGGCCCCCAGAGACCCGTCGCTCACAGACGAGAACGACTGGGAAGAATTCAGCTTGTCTGAGGTCAGAATCCTGCTCCCTGGCAAGTCGCGTTATGCCAGCCTTCTCACGGCCACTCCAGAGAACCCAGTTCAGGTAACTGGCTGTCTGGAAGAGGTGGAGGAGGAGCAAGAATCCTTAGGTGTGTCTTATTCTGTTGCTCCTTACAGCTGCTGGAAACTACCTTGGTACCTAGCAAGCTTCTTTCCCCAGTCCCAAACAACCCCAAACTAACCAGCGCAATTTCTCCTTGTCTTAGTTCTCGATCCGGACTACCTCTCGAAACGTATCGTGCTCGATAACGTGAGCCACTTTGCCTACGGCCAGCACAATGACGGCGAGGTTGGAATCTGGGTCGCGGGTCGGGCTGGCTGGTTCTCCATCTCGCCAGCGAGGGGTTATCGGCCAATGTTCAACGATGTTATAGAGGCCATCGATTTGCTCTATTTTTTAACCGACAGACACAAACCCAAGCGGAGGAAAAGGAAGCGTGGGAATCCAAGCGTGCAAGACTTGTGTGATGAGGTAAGTGTGTTTGGCCTGGTCGGGATATAGTTTTGGGTTAATGTGCGTGCAATATACATAGCTGACACACTATCCCGGAATTAACTAGTATGTCCACCACACATACGGAATCTGCGAGGATGGCGATGATTCGGCTGAAGTTTTTTATAAACATCATAATTTTCTTCTATCGCGTATGCTAAAGGGCGAAGAAAATGTCGAGTGGACTGAAACGAATATTTTTGCGCATCTTTGTGAAAAGTTTCCTGTATGACCCATCTTTCCCGCCGGGGGGGAGTATCAATGGCACTCCGTGTGTCTAGATACTTGTATGTCTGGTTTCTGACTTGATTGTGTAGGAGGACTATGAACAGCTCCGAGACAAGCATGAATCGAAAGATGAATCGAAAAGCGAACCAGAGGAAGAAATCGACTCAGACCCCGAATCTGAAGCCAAGGCTCCAATCCCAGATCCAACTACTATCTCAAACACCCAGGCAGATGAAGTCTATCAGGTGATCCTTGATCTCAAAGAAGCGGGGCACCTAGCGAAACGTCAATTGAACCTAGAGCTAGTTGCTTCTACTCTGGTGAATCGCTTCGAGGTCGATAGTATGGAGTATGCAAAAGACCTCATCTCTTCCAGAGCTGCTGCCGTTATAGAGCATATGGATGAGGCGAAAACGAACAGCTTCGATTGGTCAAAGAAGGTCATCTACAGGGAGCTGAAAGCTTCCCTTAAGAAAAACAAATTAGAGAACCTGGCTCTTACTCCCCTGCGACCTCGTATAACAGAAAACGATGCATCGTCAGGCGAGGAAAGCGAACACGAAGAACAGCCCGGACCACGGAATCATCGTGTCCGCAAGTCTGTACTAAGGCCCAAGAGCTCAGTCGCCACAAAAAGAACCGGCAAACGCACACGGAGCACAGCGGCAGACTTCGACGCTCTTTCAGACGGCAACCAAGATGCAATGGATGAATTCGAAACGCCTAGCAAGGTCCGTGGCCACGACCTCGTCCGTGATCCATTATCCACCCGAGCAAAGCGCCGCACTCGATCCATCCTATCGGACCCCGACTCGACGACCCCTATCGTTCAGAAAACACCCCTACAAGAGACTCTGCAGAGCCGAAATACTTCTGTCTCCGCTGTGGAATCGGAAACAAACCATTCCCTGCCTGATTTAGACGATTCTCATGACGACAACTTCCCATCCGATACTTGGATCTGCCAGGTCCCCGGGTGTGGAAAAACTATCCCCAAGTGCACTTCGAAGCGAGGCAAGGAAATGGTCCAGGATCATTCCTTAGCTCACGCGGACGACACAAAAGCCAAGCTCGATCTGGTTATCGCAGAGCAGAGACTCAACGTTAACATCCGCGTCGACAACCTCCTCAGTCGCATTCGGGATATGGGATCCCTGGATGCAGCGTTCGCGAGCCTGAATGGTGGGACTAACGGAGCATCTAATGGGATAGGGACCTAAGACTACGTACGAGGTTCATATAGCACTACCACGGTGTTCATATGCGTTACCACCATTGGAACGATGTAATTTTACCGCACCACCCTGCTACCCAGGGCAGCAGACCGGTGAAACTATCACGACCGGACTCTCTGATTCAGCATCAATATCCATGGCACAAATGCTAGATCTTATTTATTGACGGCGCGCCGCGATTGTCCAAATTGCCATGGATAAAGATGCAGAAGAGGTGATCTTGCATGAACATATGTATGATTTTTGTCGCTATAAGCATCGGGATCCAGCTTCAAGGACAGGTTTCAGCAGGAAACGGCGACAGTTTGGGAAGGCCAAACACTAGGGAGGACCCATCGCCCGTAATTTTCAAGGGCGTTCTTGGGTTGAGTTTATTTGGGACGACACCTAGCTAGGGCTTGCTTTGACAGCTGGAGCGCCATCCATCTCCTATGTGTGCATCCGGAAAGGACTACTCTAATGACGCCCCAGGTCTCTTCTTTAAAAAAGTTCAGACAGACACCCTACCATATTATATGGACTAGAATATCTATAGATTATTTCAATATCCACATGAAATTCTAACGTCAAGGCTGTGACCACCACCAATCCTCGAGGCTGCCTAATTAATACAGACAACATTTGCTTTTTGAGAACCCAAACAACCATTGCTTTACTTCCGGTATCCGATGAAGCTGCAACAAATACACGTAGGGAGGGGGGGGGGGGAAATAAACGTAACGCGAAAAGAAATCAGGGGAAAGAAAAAAAAAAAATTGAAAATTTAGATCATGCCCTGCCCCTAGCGGCGGCTCTCTTGCTCTTCCCAGGCCTCTTAGGACCACCCTTAGGACCACCCTTAGCACCACCGGCCTTCATCTTCTTAACGGAGAAGTCGCGCATGTCACCGCTGGAAACCGCATCACCACTCTTGGAGAATCGTTTCTTGCCGCCGAAGCCGAACTTTTCGTTCTTCTTTTGGCGTTTCAGCGATGGGGCGCCGTTCTCGCCGCCAGGCCCGCGCTTGCGTCCATTAGACTGGATAGCGTCTTCAACAGCGACGTCGAACATATCACCGTCTTCACCAGCACCGGAGGTATCCGCCTTGCGCTCTGTAATACTATCAGTTTTCTGTATCCAATGAAAGAAAAAAAAAAAAAAAAAAAAAGGAGAAAAAAGAGAGAGGGGAAAAGTACTCTTCTTCAACTCGTTAACCTTCTCCAACATCTCCCTCTTCTCCTTGTGCCTCTGCTGCAGTTTAGCAACCTGCACCTGCTTTCCGAACTTCTTCAGATCACGCTGCTTGCGCGCATCAGCAGACGCCTTCTTGGCCGCCGCCTCATCAAACAGCTTCTTCTTGATCTTGCCCATGTGCTCGTCTGTCTTCACCATCTCCGCAAAATAATCGCCTGGACGAGTGAACGGGATCCCCTCCTTTTTGAGCAAGCCACGCGCCTGCAACGTAGCGGCCTGGCATACCTTGTAGAAGGCGAGCTCGCGATTCAGGTCGTCGTTCGCGTCGGGGACATCGATAGGCTCTTGCGAGACCAGAGAGTTGTGCTCGGAGAAGGGAGTTTGCGAGGTGATGAAGGAGATGCGCTTGATGGAAGTGGTGATTGCGGCGGAATTGTTAATTGTTAGGCGTTGGTGGGGGACAACATCTTCTCTTTCAGCGTCAGAGAGGTCGGAGAGGGGGATATCCTCTTCCTCTTCTTCCTCTTCTTCCTCCTCCTCCTCCTCCTCCTCCTCTTCATCGTCGTCGTTATCGTCATTGCTAGGTTCTTGTTCTTGTTCTTGTTCTTGCTCTTCGGATTCGGACTCGGACTCGGGGTCTTCGTTGTTCTCTAGGAGGCTCTCGTCGACCTCAATTTCTTGTTCCTCATCGTCGCTTGTGCCCTCAGCTTCATTATCATGTTTCTTGGATTTTGAAGGTGTCGTCTATATCAAGGTTGAGAAAAAAAAAAAAAAAAAAAAAAAAGTCAGCAATTGCATTGCACAGGAATTTCCCATCCCATCCCATATTTTATTGAAAAGAAAAAAAAAAAAAAAAAAAGGCATACCTTCTCCTCTACGCCTTTTCTCTTCCGAGCAGCCTTGACCAGCTTCTTCTGCTTCTCAGCTTCATAATCCCTCCCCTTGTGCTCATCAAGAGCCTGCAGCAATTTACTCCGCTTCGGCATTTTCGCGGAGACTAGGTCTGATTTTGTAAAATAGCACGGAAGAAAAAAGAAATATGAGAGAGAGAAAAATTCAATCCTCGCAGTTGAATCGTTTTAAGGACGACTTGCGGATTGTATCGAGCAAGCAGCAACCCAGTTACGGGAATTTTTTTGAACTTGGGACTATTCCTGATACAGTTAGGTACTTTGATAAAAGAACACACTAGTACAAACACAGTTAGACCGGCTAATATGTACGGAGAATAGTTAATCCGGATTCTTATCGTCCTGATCCTTAGTCAGCAGTTGTGATGTAACTAACTAACTAACTAACTAACTAACTAGTTAACTATTAACTAACTATTAACTGTCTCATACAAACCAGCTCTCTATAAAGTACTCAAGTCACCGTCTTAAAATCACTATTTCTTTTCGTCTCCCAGAGCAATCCTACCAATCAAGTGTACCGATCCAAAAAACTCGCCGTCTATCAAGACCTAGTTATCCCATCCAAAGCAGCTTCGCTTCTTCTTCTTCTTCTTCTTCAGACTTCAGACTTCAGACTTCACCACCATGCCCGACAACACTGAAGAAACCGCGCCCTCCGATTCCATTACTCCCCCGATAAGCCAACAGGTGCGTATATGCCCTTGAAAAAAAAAACACCCTAGACATATGGATGATACCGCAATGCTAACAACAAGTCACGCTTGCGACGGGGCGATTGAACACTAGACCTCCGACGCCCAGGGCGAATTCGCCGCTGCCGTCGACGAACTGCTCGACCAACTGCAACATAAATTCGATACCGTGTCGAGGGAGATGTCCGGGAAGCGTTAGTTGGGTTCTTTCTTTTTCTGTTGCGTTAGGGATAGATGTATATATGCTTCTTCATCCTGAACCGCGGGGGGGGGGGGGGAAGATTGGTGTATCCAGAGACAGAAATACCAGTAGTACTAACATTCTCTCGGTGTAGTTGATGATATGACCAGGCGGCTTGATGAGTTGGAGGCCTCGTTGTCGACTGCGGGGGATCCGGGGACGCCAGCAACAGTAACGGCAACGGCGACAACGGCGGCGGGCGGGACGGGTTCTTCGAAATAATTTGAGGATATATAATAATATTTAATACATGATGATGATGATGATGATATTGATGATGATGATGATGATGGGGTCCCATGTTAAACTGGAGTTGTGGGTTATTTGTGTCCTATAATCCTCTTTGTATTGTTTCTGGCGGTCGGGTTTTGTGTATCGTGTGAATTGTCAGGGATACCCTATTATACCCTATATATTACGGCTTTGCATGCTGTCTGGAAAGGAGTAGGAAGGAAGAGAGAGAGAAAAATGAAAAGGAAATATATCATTCTTCATTCACGATAGGAACCAAACTCGGATTTTGTTTATACATGGTTTTAATCTTTCAAGGTTATACCTACCAAGCAACAAAAAAAAAAAAAAACATCATAAGTGTAGCAAAGTCTCTGTCCCCGTTCATAGAAAGCCAAGCTTCTCAAAGAGAGAGGAAAGAAATCTACAACTCGTCCTTGTTTTCCTCCTTCTTCTCCTCCTCCTCCTCCTCCTCCTCCTCCTGGCCCAAGAACTTGCGCAAAATGTTGCTGCGCGAGATGATATCATCAATCTTCTCCGGCGCAGAGCCACCCTTCGCAAGGATCTTCTTCAAGCGGGCAAACTCCTTGACCGCATACTCCTGGTTCTGGCTAAGCTTCTCCGCAACCTTGACATAGTAAGCGGCGTACTTGTTCTGCACGGACGCAGCGGCCTTCTTAACCTCCGCGACCAGGTCGGACGCGGTGTACTTGGCAACCAGGGCATCCAGAACGGGAACAGTGCCGGCCTTGTCGTCGAGTCCGCCGCCAACAGCACGGTGGGTGCCGGCCTTGGTGTTGAGGAATTCAACAAAGGCTTGCTCTGTGCGAGCGCCAGAGTAGATTTCTCCTTCTGTAGAGCCCTTGGCGAAGAACTTGATCGTGGGGTATCCGGTAACGCCCTGGTCCTTGGCCGTGGTCTTTGCGTTCTCAGCTTCAGCGTCGACCTTGGCGACAACGACGTTGGGTTCGAGGGCGAAGTCATTGGCGAGGGCTTCCCAGGTGGGGGCAAGACTCTTGCAGTCTGTTCGTTCCTATCAGCAACCTATCCAGGAAGAACGGGGAGAAAAAAAAGAAGAAGAAGAAGAAGAGAAAACCTACGTCCACACCAAGGAGCCGTAAACGCAACAAGCACATCCTTATCCCCCCCAATAGTAGATTTGAAGCTCGAATCCGTCAACATATCCACTATGCTGGGTTCCTTCTTGGATCCCTTAGGCTTGACGCCCGTCTTTTCCGTGATAAACGCCGACAGCGACTCGAGATCCCGCCCGCCATTGTAATCCTCAGGCTTGTCGCTCTTGCCATCAAACCACTTCAGCGTGGGGAACCCCTGGATCCCAAACCTCTTGCCCAAATCGCGGTTCGCATCGGCATCAACCTTGGCAATGCTTACTTTGTCCTCTGCGTGGGTGAAAGCCTGGGCGAGCTCCTCGTAGACGGGGGCAAGGGTCTTGCAGTGGCCGCACCAGGGGGCGAAGAATTCGACGAGCGCGGGCTTGCCGGATTGCAGGACGACTTTGTCGAAGTTCTTGGGGATCAGGTCGAGGACGGCGGAGGTGGCGGAGACGACGCTGATAAGGAGAGCTAGGGAGCTCACGAGGAGGAAGCTCAAACGAGCCATCTTTCTTGGGTTTGTTTGCTAGTATTGTTCGTGGGGTGTGAGGTGTAAAATAAAGGGTGAATGATTTTCAAAGAAGCAGAGATGAAAAGGAGACAGTTAGACTGTCAATGAGCGGAATGAAGGAAAATTCAGTCCAGCAGCTGAAGCATTAATAATGGTAAGATGCTTGTCGGAGCTTCAACGCGGGACTGCGGCTTTGGAAGAGGACACTTGGTAACTCCATCCATCCATCCATCCATCCATCATCTATTTGTCGCCCTTGACTTCCTCAACATCCTTGGCTTCAGTCTCTATATTCAACACTTTACTTGATTTAATGCACTTTGCTTAATTCTCATATCACTTCCATTTGCACACTCTTTCACTGCTACTATTAATACAGCGTCGAAGTAGGTTAGGAGCTACTCCGGAGTTGGGGAGTGGAACTACTTTATAACGGCTGAAGATCCGGAGCTTGGATGTAAACCAATCCAGGTCCTCCCTTGATGACAGTGGAGATCATGCGTTAGATAGATAGGGTTATTTTGCAAGTTTGTATTCTGTTGCCTTTTTCCCACGGTGTTACCCCGACAATCCTTCTCAAATCACCGTCTATCAGACAACCAGGTGTTGGCCTCCGCCCAAAACTTCGCATCCTTGAACTCTGCCCCTGCGGTTTGTGTGCCCTTGAAGACCTACAGGGAAAATTTGTCCAGTAAGCAAGGCGTCGAGATCAAGAATATGGGGCTTTACTTACCGCGTCCCAGAGCTTAAATGCCACCTCCAAATTACCAGAGAAACTATCGCTGTGCTGGAACCAGTCTTTGCCCTTGGACTTGACCTCCTCCCGGGCGTCCTGAGAGGTGGGCTCAGGCTGCAGAGGCAGATCATCCAGGTACGTCCGAACAGCAATTCCCAAGCCGCAGTCATTGTCGTCAATGAGCGGAAGTCTAGGCGTGTTAGCTCGGACCACATGCTTTCTACCCCCATCACTTACCCGACAGCCAATTCATTCCAGTCCTTCCGGTCCCGGCTCGCATCGCCGCCGAGGAAAATACCGGCCAAAACAACCTCCATAAGATTCCGTAGCGTAGAACGGACTTCAGATATCAAAGAACGATAGCATAACAGCTGTCTGCTCAAGGGTCCAGAGTAGCCGATGTTCTTGTGGTGTAGCTTACCAACGCAGGCAACGCGGGAAACTAGCATATTGAAGCTCTTGTCGTCGTCTACAAATTTTGAATCAGCATGCGTCAAGTCACTGTCGAATTGCAATCTTACCTGATCCCCTCATAGGCCCCCCGGAAACATGGGAAAACCACTGCTTGGAATTAAGAACGCCGAAGCGAAGCAACTCAATTGCTAGGAAAGTGGCTTCCTCTAGCGAGTCTTCAGGGTCGAGAACCGAAAGGGCCTGTTCCAGACATACACCCCAGGATGTAAGTTGATGCTTCTCGTTAATGTAGCCGCGGAGTTGGAGGAATCTCCAGAAAACATTGGCATATATCTCGTCTTTCGATGACAGCGGCTAAGAAAGGTCAGTCGTGAATTCATTTGACGAGAGATTGGAGAGATCCTACCGGAGTATCGTTAGATGAGAATGTCTTGGATACAAAATCCGAGTCCTTTAAACTCTGGACAGCAAACCTAAACAGCCCACAAGATCCCTGGTGATTGATTAGCACCAGCAGTCAGCACAAGAACAATTTTCACTCACATGGAGTTTTTGGACACCCTCTGTGAATTGGTCGTTGCGGACCTTCCAGGAACGAATAGAGTCTTTAACGGAAGGCAGAGTCTTGAGGTTAATCGAAGAATCAGACTTTTCATCGTACCAGGTTCGCACTTGGATTACTTTGACTTGGTAAAACCGGTGGAGGGAATTGGACAGCAGACAGATCGCCTGTGTTCTGATCGGCGTGAGGGTTTCACCCGCAATCTGCCTATAAATCTCGGTATCTTCAACTCCGAGAGGCAGTGAGATAAGAACCTCACCGGAGGTCAGATAGTTGGGGATATCAGGGCCAAGGATTCCCTTAGAGAGATAGAAGTAAAGTTCCTCCGGTAGACGTTGGCCGATTAATTCATGCATATCGGTTGGGCTATTGTCCGCATCCATAGGACCAACCTTCCCATCAACATCCATCAGCACGTGGTGTTTTACCGTCACAAAGGCGCGCTTGTAACGGTCAGTATACTGCGGATCGGGCATGCGGCCGTCTTCTTCAAACTGGGTGCATAGGTTAAGAGCGCTTCGTCCGGCGCTGTTGAACAGCCCCATAGCATCGCGAATAACGGCACCTTTTCCTGGAAACGGGGGGTTCTCAAAGCCTGGGAAGATTGGGAGGAATGAGGACCCAAGGAGGAGGGCAAAGTCTAGAAATTGTTCATGTGTGAGCTTGCCGAGCTCATCCTGGCAAGTTTGTTTGGTGATCCAGGAAAACTGGGCAGGGTCGGTATCGATCCGGGTGATTAGTTTGTCGACGTCGAACAGCAGAACTTCCGATGGCCCCCAAACGGCATCGACGAGCGGGTTCGAGCCCTTGGTAAGGTAGGAGAGCTATATGTGCACAGCCCGGTCAGAAAGGGCAACAATCGAAAGCATTCCCTGTGGAATAATTCTCACCTGGGCCGCAGCACTGTATGGTGCTACGATATAATCTATACCGTTCTGGCGAAGAATGCGCTGCAGGAAGCGGTAGAGGGAGTCTGGCCGAGGGGTACCTGGGGAACAGAAATTAATCAGATTAACCCAATTTAAATCCTGTGCAGGGCTACGCCTAAGACTTACCAGCACTGCTAAACGCATCTACCACCTGGTCGGCCTGTTGTTGGTCATAAAGCTCCCAGGCCTGCTCAAATGCTCGGACGGACTCCTGGTGTACGTGGGGTCGTTGATTCTTTCTCCCGAATTCGAGGCCATTGAAGACAAAGACACAGGCGACACCTAGGTCCTTGAAAGTCTGCAACTCTTTTTCGATATTGCTTTTCAATGCGAAAGGGAAACCACCGAGGGCGATCAGAAGAGGCTCACGCGTGGCGGGGTGGATGAGGTGTTGAGAAATGTAGTGCGACGCATCAATGCCGACGACAGCCCCTTTGAGGGCAGAGAGGGGGAGGGACAGGGTGCGGGCAGAAGCCCATTCATCTAACGGACGGACTATTGAAGACAAACAGTAAGGAATTGGTTCCACATGAGGAGTACCGGAGCTTGCTCGTGAGGACTTACTCGGCATTCTTCAAGCTGCAGGTGTGTTACGGGTGAGAAAGGCGGAAGCCGATACCAGGCATGGAGAGCCTGGAAGGCTAGGAGGGGGTAAGGACAAAGGAGAGAATCGAGAACCCGATAAAGAGTACAGGGAGAAAAAAGGGGGAGAAAAGAATAGGAAAGAAAACCAACAAAGGGGGGGGGAAGATGTGTGAAGCTTAGCAACAGCAAAATCCAGCTCAGATGCGACAACTACTGGAGGTGTGACATGCGGATCTAATCACAGGCAGATGGATTTTTTGCGGATTCTAGACTCGGAGTTTCTAAGGGATTTAAAAATATGTTTAATTTAGTTATATATAACTACATATTCTTCTTCTCTCTCTCTCCCTCTCTTTTTTGTCTTCCTTATTCCTCTTACCAGGTGTTATTGCTAAGTGGTGTGTGTCTTACAGGCCCTGGATTGGTGAAAAGCTTCGACCATCATGTCTATATATACTAAACACCATGTAGCAGGACTAGGAATTATAATATTTGTATATTCTTTATACTGGTATTTATTGGAATTAATTCTAATAATAGTATAGAACTGAAATGTTTCGCTGCAAGTCCCATCTGCTGCTTGCCCGATGCGGGTGTCGCTGCTTTTATCAGGGCAACACTAACTAACTACTTTGGGATGGCTACTGACTAATAACTTACTAAGCACACACCCGCTGCTCCACGACCAGAGCAAGATGCGGACCGTGAGTGATAGCTGTAGATCCAGGCCAGGAAAAGGCGTGGGAGGAAGAGGAGCAGGTACGACGTGCACGACATGAAGCGTCTATTTGATGACTTTTGGAGCAGCAACAGGATGGGTGCTGCTCAGTATGGGAGTCGGATTGGATGCTCCTGGCGATAAATGGGAATTGGGCGCCGGACAACGACCAGGAGTAGCTACGAGATAGCCGTGCAGCTGATCACCCAAGGAGGCAGCAACCTGCATGCTTGCCAGTGCTGGGGCACATGCACCAGATCACCAATGTATAAGATGGGGTATACAACTAACATCACCCCACTGCATATCGCGAGTCTATGTTGGTGGCTTCCTCATACTATGACTCAAGTTATAGCTGGTATATGGAGCAGATGCCCGTATCTGTGGCTCTTGAGGGACGCAATCCCCGACATCAACTAACCCGCCTGAGTTGGGACCCCTGGAACTGGAGCTGCTGGTCCAGCTATTAGAGTAGGTAGGGGTTAATGACCAGGTGGCCACTGAGTGCTGCACTGCATTATCTTGTGCGGGCGGCATCTGGATCAAATTGATGCCTGTTATCTTATTCAGCGCGGTGCGGATGTAAATGCAATTCATCACTAGGGCAATACCCCACTTTATGAACTCATGCACAATATAGTGTAGAATAAGATAGAGAGGGGAATGAAGAGTTTAATTTCAATATACTAGTTCTAACTATAGTACTGTACAGTCAATCAGATAAATAAATATAGTTGGCAACCGAGTAAACGAGATATTCGTCTAAGAATGGCGGGGCCAAATTACATAGCAATTGCCTCAGCCATGCATCTATCCATCCATCCTATCAACGGGATAAGAAAATATTCCCCACCATCATTCTCAGCTTCAGGCGTCAGTCACTTATCCTCTGGAACATAACATACATTACACCTCCAAAATGTCGGATACCACTTCCGTCGGGCCCCCAATTCAACTTCCTGTCCTGGATATCTCCAACCCTAATGATCCAGCGGTGGGGAAGGCCATGCTCGATGCGGCCACAAAGTACGGCTTCCTTTATGTGGATAGCAAGGGAACAGACTTTACCGCAGAGGATGTCCAGAGGGCCTTTGACCAGGTATGTTCGTCTCGGACTCGCAATGGACACACTCCTGACTGAGGATATACAGTCCAAAGCTTTCTTCGCATCCCCGGCGCAGGACAAGGAAACCTGCCGCATCCAGTCGAATGTATGCATTGATATCGATAATACTCTTTCCATCTAACTGGTATCTAGAACCGGGGCTGGTCTGGAATGCATACGGAGACACTTGATCCTGAGCATCAACGAGTTCGTCTCCCTCCTTGGACTTTGTCACAATTGTTACCCTCAAGGAGACAGGAAACTAACGATAGGTATTACAGACTGGCGACTTTAAAGAGTATATGCTCCCAACACCAAACTAACTAACTAACTAACTAACTAACTAACTAACTAACCTATGATCCAAACCAGAGCAATGAATTTTGGTGAATTCAAAGACGGCAAAGCCCAACAGCCTCTGCCTCCCTCTCTCGCCCCCCAAGAGACCCAAATAGGCCATTTCGCAGAACTATGCAACAAAACCTGCGCGCGGATCCTTAAGCTTCTCGCCCTAGGACTCCAGGTACCACCATCATCTATCCAATTCCAGTTCCAGACATAAGAAGAAGAAAAACACACACACACACACACACACTAACAAGATATACAAGATACCCGACGACTTCTTCACCTCCCGCCACGACTCAACCCAGGGCCCAACAGGCTGCATCCTCCGCTACTTATACTACCCCTCCATTTCCCGCCCGGAAACCTCCTCGTACAAACATGACATCGACGTGCGCGCCGGCGCCCACTCCGACTACGGAAGCATCACGCTTCTCTTCCAACGACCAGGCCAGCCGGGTCTCGAGATCTTGACGTCACACGAGGAGGGCACTTGGGCTCCTGTGCCCGTGCAGCCATGGGCCTCGGCCGACGCCTCGGCCGACGAAGAAACCAGCAGAACCCAACATCATCATCACGCCTTCCCGCCGCCCATCCTCGTCAACATCGGCGATCTCCTCAGCTACTGGACCGACGGACTGCTCAAGTCCACCGTGCACCGGGTTGTCTTCCCGCTTTCCGAGCAGCGCAGCCCCAGCCCCAGCCCCAGCGCCGAGGACCGGTACAGTATTGCGTTTTTCTGCCACCCGTTGGATGCGACGGAGCTGGTCCCCGTGCCGAGCGAGGTGGTTAGGGTTTATCGGGAGGAGCGCGGGGAGAGAGGGTTGCGGCCGGAGGAGAAGGTCGGGTTTGGTGGTGGTGCGGGCGGGTTGGAGCCGGGGAGGAGGGCGTTGACTGCGTCGGAGCATTTGATGTCGCGGTTGAATGCGACGTATAGTTTTAGAGAAGGGGGTTCTTCTGCTGCTGCTGCTGCTGCTGCTGTGTAGGTTAGTATACTAGTAAGCCTTCAATTTTTGGTTATCTTGGTAGTTCATAATGACAAGTCACAGACTGTTTCATTTGCAGGGTACTAGTTGATGTGTATGAACATGTAGCCATTGGATGCAATAGACAAAATATGCTAGTTTATGAGCATATACATTCATGGGATAGTAAAAAAAAAAAAGGCAACAAAAACAGACCAACAGAAACTGCCAATTGGAGAATATCGAAAATATCCCACACAACACACATACAAAAAAGAGACGGCCAAAAGGAAACACTCCAGGGAGTTGATGGTGAGGAATGCCTGGTAATTAACTGATAAAGGAAAATCGTCCGACATCAAGACAATGGTGGATTAAGAGCCTGGTACTGGTAACAAAAGCCAAAAACACACAAAAAACCAAACAAACAAACAAAAAGAGACATGTAAGATAGATGGTTGAAGATGACATCGCATATTCATGACCGCTAGAGGTGATTCGTATGAGTAAGAAACAGGCTGATGAACCCAGGTTTAATGAAACAGGGTCCGAGGAACAAAAAGGAAAGAGACAACGTTCGCAAGCGATGACATACAAAAGGTATCTTTGGGAAATGTAGGAACGCCGCCAGGTTCAAAATGCCATGCACGGGTAGATGAGAGACCTTTGCACAAAAAAAAAAAAAAAAAAAAAGAAGAGAAACAGAGGAAAAAAGAGAAGCAGATGACGCTATGCAAGCCGGTATGCATTAGGAATATAAGACAATTTCATCCGTTCATGGTGTAGTGTGGCACCAGTGGCGGTGGTAAACCCACGCTGCCTTCTGGCAATCTTTGCTGCAGTATTTCGTCCGGCGGCAACGACGACACTTCGCAAACTGCCGCTGGAATTCTTCCCACTTTCCACATTTATAATATGCACACTGTCGAATACCGCCTCTCGATTCGTCCTTGCGGCAGAGATTCCTCATGACGACGCATGCCCAATACTGCATATCCTTAGAATGGTGGCGGACGGTGAACCTTTCAACTAGGGGGAAGATATTAACATCGTCGGGGAGCAGGTACTCGTCTTCCTCCTCAGCGGGCTCAATCGGCGAGGCCCCTTCTTCAAGCATTTGGAGCTCGCGGTCGACTTTGAGTTTAGGCACAAGATGGGAATGTTGGAAGTAAGATCGGAGATTGCAGTATTTAGAAACGTAAGCGAGAAGTTGGAGGGACATCAACACATCCTCCTCACGGGGCATCGTAGTTAGGACATTCTGAGGCGTGTTGGTGGAACGATCACGAAGGTACAGAGAATATGGACTAGGTACGAGAGCGGGAGAGTTGGCGTTGGCAACAGCCTGGGTAGGTGACAGGCCCAGAGCGCCATCAGGCTGTGTAGCGTCGTTATTGATGATACTGCCGTCCACGGTGGAACGGTGCGTGATGTTAAAGGTTTCAGCTTCTTGTCCCTCGGAGGGATCGGTTACTGTCAGGTCATGGGTATTAGAAACGCTCTCCAGCATGGTTTGTCTGTCGGCAACGTCATCAATTTCCATCCGACTCTGAAGTCCAACAATAGGCTCGGCTGTTTCGGCGGACACCGCATCATCGCCCATGGTAGATCCTTCTCCATTTCCGTCGTCGGATTCACCGGAGGCAGACTGGTGCTGTCTCAGGGCAGGGCGCTGTCGTCCGAGGGTGCTTTGGACCGTAGCCCGAAGGTGTCCAGAGGCACCAGGAGTAGTGGGGGAATCAGGTTGAGATGTGATTCCGGAAAGCATGCTCGGAAGTCTTTCCGTATCACGCACCGGGCGCAACCCAAAGCCATCAGCAGCATCCATTGGGGGAAGAGCTGTGGCTAGGGGCTGCATTACCCTGTGACGATGACCAGCAGTCGATCGATGGCCGTGGGCTTCCTGTCCAAACGTGCTGCGTTCGGGAGGAGATGTCAACGGAACGCGAGGAGAGGATGTTACGTCCATGGCGTTGGGGTCGGCGGTGTGATTATCTTGGAAGAAAGGGGGGATTTCAATGTGGGGAGGAGGCGCTTGACGGCGAGAGGTACGTTGTTCGGCGGTAGAGGACGAATCTAGGAACGACGCGCGACCCGATGCATCAGCAGTGGTAGGGGCCGTCTTATGGTGGTGTCTGTGGCGTTGAGCCTCGGAATCCGATCGTGCGCGCACTTTGTCGACCACCTTGATGTAATTATCGAGGATGGTGGCGATCACAGGCACCATATCCGCTTCAACAACCCTTGTCCTGACACTCTCCGAGCCTCGTACTCCAATGTTCACAACACACTGAAAGGCGAGACTCCATTTCCACATCTCCATCAACTTATTACTCCGACCCTCCTTGAGGATGCAGACAAGCCTTTCAATACCGCCATCGACGGTGAGGATATCGCGAATCCGGGCAGAGGATGTTGTGAGATAGGCTAGGTGATTCAGGGAGTTGATCAAAGGCAAGGTGGATGTGCAGTCGAGGGCCCGTCGGTCATAGAGGGTGGTGGTAATGTTGACGGAGGCCTTATTGACATTGGGGATGCTGAAGTTGACCTCCCGCATGCTGGGCGAGAGGAGGAAGAGCCTCAAAAAGGAAACCGCTATATCTCGGGATGAAAAGTGATTCCAAAATATATGGCACAGAGAACGGCGCTCGACGCTGAGGGAGGGTGGTGTGGTCACGGCCCCTAAGACAAGGAGGAAAACTCGTCGCTGGGGAGGGTAAGAAAAGAAATGAGACGGAAGGGAGGGAGGGGAAAGGGGGTTCAGGGGGTAGTGAAAATAGACTATATCAGAGTCATAGGAGTATTTAGTTGGTAGAGGGATGACGGTGAAGGATCCTCGAGGGGTGGAAAGTAGGGATTGGGGATGAAGAGATGTTTGCAGAATGATGAGGAGGAGGAGGAGGAGGAGGAGGAGGAGAGGGAGGAAGAGGAGGCGTGAAAGGGAGGTCTGTTGGAGCCAAGACTACCAATCCGTCCGAGCCTGGTGGTGGTGGTCGCCACGCTGTGATTCAGTAGTAGAAAGAAGAAGAAGAAGAAGAATAATAATAATAATAATAGTAATGGAAAAAACTGATATCTTGGAAAGAAACTTAAAAGGAAAGGGTACTTCAGAGTCTTAACTAGTTAACTATTAACAACTCTTCTTCTTGTTTTGTAGTACTTGATTAGACTAAGAGGGGGCGAAGAGAGACCAGCGAAAGCGGAGCATCTCGTCGGGCGGCGCCTCAGGCTTCTGTCTTTTTTTCCGCCGCCACCGAGTTTTGCCTCTTTATATCATAAGAATAAAGGACTTCCGGGTGAATGTTAAATGATAGTATTTCAATCAATCTTGGAGGTGAGGAAATGGCTCGTGTACCTAAATCAAGCCATCCGCCTTGATGTCACGGCACATATCAAGATTGATAATCATTTTGGTTTTTTTTTTTTTTTTTTTTTTTTTTCGCGACGGAGTAATACCGGCCTGACCGATAGTTAGTTGTGGTAAATACGTAAGAGTTCCAGTTCCACCAAATTTATCTAGTATTGACTACAAGAACTGAATTTGATCTCTATCAGTACTCCATACAAGTAACTACAATATGAATAGTATCCCAAGAAAACCAAAGATTTCCCCAAACACCAATCAAGACCCTACCCTTAGTAAAACCCACAAAGCAAGAGGGTCCTGTGCTCCCACCCATGCACAGACACTGCCAGCTTCTATGATCGTTTCATCTTTGTTTGATTGTCCTGAGCATGCGTCTAAAAATAGGTTCTTGACAAGGCAGGGCGCTTAAGAGAGATCGTTCTATGGAAAGATATAGCCAGGGGTGGAAGTCTAGAATTTAATACAGTTTGATTGAAAGACTCGAAGGTCGTTGAAACTTAAAAATAATCCGTAGCTAGTCCTTATACAGTAGTAGTAGGGATGAAGGTTGGTTCTAGTTTGATCTGCTTCGAAGTATATATATATATATATTTTTTTTTTCTGTACCTGATAGTCTTTAGAGATAATCTTGAGGCTCTTGACCCAGGAAACATTGTGGGACCGCCCGTGCCTTTGAACAATGTATCGCGGAGTATGTATCCGTCTCGTCCCCCAAGTACTAACTATATCCTGCACTATCAACGTAGGTAGATATAGATACACATGGACTGAACTTGAATCGGTAAAATTTGTTCAAGAATTACGATATTGTCAACATACTCCTCCAATATTGCAGTACCTACCATGTTATCCGTCAGGACAAGATCATTGATCGAGTATTTCCTTGCTGACGATACTAGCATGGGAACGTAGTAGATAGGGTCGGATTGGTTAGGACTACGAATGTTGGGCGCTTAGAGTACAGACCCGATTGGATATAGCTGTGCGGATAAATCTGATGCTGGACTATACCGACTGGACCTAAGGCTAAATTTAAGTCTTAAGCAGTTTCTCATCATTCCCGATTGGATGCAACGTCTTTTCTACCGGAGTTCTGGAGAATTCCTCTACTGGCAACGAGAGTGAGGGGTCGTCCAAGGATCCTGTACCATTTTCCCTATCAAGTCAAGCTTGCTGTAGCTGAAGACGCTCTTTGACTCTTACCTCGGTAGTTCACAACTTGGTTATAGTAGGGTTGCCCGGATTTCCCTATCGACGAGGCCACTTTTACGGGTTGCAGAGGGAATCGTAGCCCCAAAAATGAAAAAAAAAAAAAAGGTTCAGAAAGGTCTGTAGAAGGAACCGTCGCTGCCGTCTATAAAGAGAGGCTCGCCCTGTGGTAGATAAAGCGCGATTCCGAGGGGTTTAATCTCACTACGATTGATATCTGAGCTTCAGCTGTGAGACCAAAAGCAACGTGAGATAACATATAGGTGTGGAGAGGCGAGTATGGCTAGCATGCTGCAACTAAGACTGCAAGGCAGCCGTTCATCAAATTATATGTATTGTTCTGTCAATAATTAAGGTGCATCTGGGGGTATTAGAAATCAGCTTAGACTGCAGTGATAAACTAGATATTATTCATGGCTTGCGGGGGACAGGTTTGGATGTCCGATGTATATAACCTTGAACAAACAGTGGCAGTAGTCGGATATCATTCCAACACAACACACCTTCTTAGCTTGTAATTCAAACCCTAAGCTCAGGGCTTGCAGGATTTTAGCTGGATCGATAGCCGTAAAGCAAAGCGCCATAATGTGCGACACTAGTAAGCTAAAGGACATGCGTACATTAGTTAATTGGTTCCATACCCGATGAGTAAGGAAAATATTGATAATTCCGAATTGTATTTTACCAATGATATAGGGGTCTAGGGACTTGGCTTTGCCGTTCTCAATAGTTATCTAATGCATGAGATGAGATACTTCCTTGGTGAGCCATTAATTTGGAGTACTAAGCTAAAGGTGGTAACTATTTAAGATACCTCTAATTCCGGGCTAGGCTTGTTACCTTTCCAAAGTCGACACGGACAGGAAATATACCTATCTATCCATCTTCTTTTTGACAAGTCAATACTTTCTTTTAAAGATTTATACTTTGCATACAGAGTATTTCTGCCTGGAAGAGGATGCACATGCAGGTGAGTCTGCATGCTGGATAGGAAATTAGTTCAGTGGTTTGAATATGCCATTCTGCTCAACATACGGAGTAGATAGGTAAATTCATTTCACCTGGAGAAGTGGCTCCATTGTGAAGACTTTAAGACCGTGCCTGACTAGCTCATTGGGTCTACTGGCCCTCATAAAAGGTCTTTTACCACATTCATGATTAATAATAATAGTCGACAAGTAAACTGTGGTATCATGGAAAGAGTTCAGAGACGCAACTTGAAGTGGTGTACTTTTGACGCTCAATGAAGGAATTTGCAGAGTATCTATAGACTGTACCTACCGGTTGATTGTCTGTTTTGAGTGACATATGATCTACCCGAATGAAGTCAACAACACATGAGGATTGGAAGACATCCAGGGGATTTTCTCCGAGATTGAAATACAGAGTACACCATGTTGAAAAATACATAGGTGGCAGTAGGTATAGTTAGGTATGTTTTGTGCCGTTAGTGTAGTAAGTACTACTAGTACCTCCTGGAATTTGGCCATTTTATCCCTCACTTTCAGTCCTCTCGCACTTTTCACTACTGTCTTTGAAATTCCAAAGAGCCTTTCATTTACATATTTAGGAAGTTGGTATTAAGTGATTCCTCAATACTTATATGGTATGGAGTACTCTATCATAGAAATAAACAGCATTTTAATAAGTATTTTCTCATTAATAAATCTAGGTACTTACTTAATTTAACCGGAATATTAGTGCCGGGGCATCGCCGCCACCTTCTCCGATTTTCCGATTTGGGTGCCGCCGCTTTGGTCAATTTAGTTGCTTGTTTGTCCCTTTGCTTCAGACCACTTACTTCATATTTGGTGTACACGCACTGATTGCTCTACAAACCCACAAATTCTTCTAATCTCTCCAAGTAGTTACTTCTTACATGATAGTAGTATGTGCTTTAAAACATGACAGACTAAAACTATAAGTTTAGGAGTAGGTATAGGTTTCCAGCAGCCTTTCAAGACAAGCTAAGCATAAGCCACCTTCATGTACCAGCCATGCTTCTATAAGAGCAGTGGAAGTCCCAGAGTAATTTCCGTAATCAAGCATGCTAAAGGTAAAAACGAATTTAAATCTCCCAGATCCGCGGTAATATTCCCCGAAGGCTCTTCCATGTAGCGGCGTATGGGGTTGTCTGATTGATACGATATGTAGAAAGCTTAGCGTTGGGTTTTATTCAGAAGTGAAATATGCACGCACTTGGAGCGTTTAACCCCACAGGCGCAGTACGTACTCGGTAGCTTTCCCCATCACAGAGGCTCCGACTCCCTACCCAAATTATTAGGTGAAGATGGGTTTCTCCTAATTCTCCTAATTAAGCAGTCTATTTTCTCAGTTCAATCAGGATTCTGATTGTTTTTTTCCTGCTATTATTCTTAATATTATACTATGATAGGAACTCTGGAAGCTCAGAAGATGATCTCTTTATTGTATCCCGGGGAACAACTTAATCTCCACCAATCTTCCAATTGCATTGTCTGCTTGGTAAATCATATATTATCATTTACAGTAACTATTACCCTATTCCATTCTACGGGCACTCACAGCGGACCTTCCTATCATTGAATAATTCTAATTAAAATGCTAATAATACTAATAATAGACGGAGTAACTCTCTAATAAGAGTATGTCTTCCTGCTACGGAGTACTCTGTCCTACTATTATTTGCTGATTTTGTATTATGATTCTTCCTGTCTGTCATCTTGCGGTTTTTTTTTACCCTTGTCTCCTATACTAATAATTACTAACTCTTCCGAGCCTTTCCCCTTTTCCCCCATTACTACTAGGTAATCTTCTGGCTTTCAGCTGACTTTTTCTTCCCTTTTTCGTTTCTCTAGTACTTAGTAGTTACCTTAGTTCTTAAGATATCTTATTATATATATTTTTTTATTATTATAATCCGTACGCCGGATTAGACGCTTGAATTCACCAAGGCTCTGGGTCGAAACTTTCTTACTATTTCTTCTGTTTCGCTCGGTCGCTTCCGCCGTAAACTCGCTCCACACCCAATTGGCCGTCACCCCCCTCCTAACCTACCTCTGCTCTCCTCTCCTCTCCTCTCGCTCTCTCTCTCTCTCTCTCTCTCTCCCTCCCTTCTCTTCCTCTCTCTCTCTCTCTCTCCTTTCTGATTCTCTCCTATCGCCCTCTCCTCACCTCATCAAATCCCCTGGATCTTACGACGCGCCATCTATCCTTCCAATTCCACCATATAGGTCCGCTGACGTTTTCCAATTGCCAACTTTCCTTTCCAGGGGTCCCAATCACCCAAGATGGCAGCCGATATGAGCGGCGAGCAGATGCAGGCCAAGATTACTGCGGCCAGGCGCGAAGCCGAAGGCCTCAAGGATAAGATCAGGCGTCGAAAGGATGAGCTGGCCGACACAACCCGTATGGAATCCCCTTCGCTGCAGAATACATCCTCAACGATTGCATCCGTCATTGGATGATTTTGTCTTGGACGAGTTGCTGACTATTGCCAAACAAACAGTTCGTGATGTCGCGGAGAACCAAACCGACACCTTGCCCCGTATTGGAATGAAGCCCCGACGAACGCTCAAAGGTCACTTGGCTAAGATCTACGCTATGCACTGGTCCACCGACCGTCGCCATCTCGTCTCAGCTTCTCAAGATGGAAAGCTCATTATCTGGGATGCGTACACTACCAACAAAGTCCACGCCATCCCCCTGAGATCGTCATGGGTCATGACCTGCGCCTATGCTCCTAGCGGAAACTACGTTGCTTGCGGTGGTCTGGATAATATTTGCTCCATTTACAACCTTTCCTCTCGAGAGGGACCGACCCGTGTCGCGCGCGAACTTTCGGGCCACTCGGGATATCTTTCTTGCTGTCGCTTTATCAACGATCGCCGAATTATCACCTCCTCCGGCGATATGACCTGCATGCTTTGGGATATTGAATCAGGGTCTAAGGTTACGGAATTCGCAGACCACCTTGGTGATGTCATGTCCATCAGCATCAACCCTACCAACCAAAACATCTTCGTCTCCGGTGCCTGCGATGCGTTCGCTAAGCTTTGGGATATCCGTACCGGAAAAGCTGTCCAGACTTTTTCTGGCCACGAATCTGACATTAACGCGATCCAGTTCTTCCCCGATGGAAATGCTTTCGGAACAGGTTCCGATGATACCTCTTGCCGCCTCTTTGATATTCGTGCAGACCGGTCGCTCAACACTTACCAGGTGAGATTTACGAACCCGTATTTTACTTTCCACGGGATCCGGAATTAACGAATGTTTTCCAGAGCGACCAAATATTGTGCGGTATTACATCCGTTGCCTTCTCAGTATCTGGAAGGTTGCTGTTTGCCGGATATGATGATTTTGAATGCAAGGTATGTTGGTTTCTTATAACTTTAGCTATAAACTAAAGTGGGTGCTGATTATTCTTAGGTCTGGGACGTTCTCCGAGGAGACAAGGTCGGATCTTTAAGTGGCCATGAGAACCGCGTCAGCTGCCTTGGTGTCAGCAATGATGGCATCAGTCTTTGCACTGGATCTTGGGACTCATTGGTGAGTGATGCAATCCTTTGGATTTGGACCGAGAGCCACAGGATACTAATATATCATCGGTGATTATAGCTCAAGGTCTGGGCCTGGTAAAAAAAGATAAAAAAAAAAAAACAACAACAACCACAACCAAGATACCCTGTCTCAGTCATCTGCGACGTCCTTGCTCGAAATTTTATTTTCACCCACCGATAGGTTGAATGTCCGCATTGTACGATAATCTTATTTGTCGAGAAGCAGTTCTATCGCCTTCTATAATTCACCGCCGGGGATGCAGACAGAGTCACAAAGAACCGGGGAACAAGCGATAATTGGGCATGTTTGGGTGGATTGGGTGTTCCGACACAGCCTCATCACACCTGGCCATGATTGCGCAAGTCGCAAGGGATAAAACTTCTGAATTAAAAAGAGTAAAAAAAAAAAAGGAAAAGGAAAAGGAAAACTGATGCGGCAGTTTGTACTAATGTCGTCAATCTTTCTCTTGAGAATAGTTGCTGGGGCGCACGCTTGGTGTCTGGAATGATGTGGATTTCCCTGGAGCTCGAAAGCGACGAGGTCTGGGGATCTTCAGGCTTTTTTTTTTTTTTTTTTCATATGTTTTTTGATACTTCTTTCCCCTTTCACTTCATCTACACCCCCTTTTCTCCCGTGATTTGACCTATTTCTCCGGCCTCTCTTTCTCCCCTCGCTATACCTATGACTGGAATTTCTTTCTTATTTGGACTGCCTCTTTTACGCTCTTATTCCTGCATGTATTTTTGCCGGTGATGGAAGGGAAGGAATGCTTCCGGATAGGCCATGACGTTTTCATTTTGTGCATCTTTTCTTTTTTTTTTTCCTCTCTACCTTCTACTAATCAGCTTACATCTGAAAGTGTCGAATATGCTATTTGAGTGTTTTAAAGCGTGATACTCTTGACCTGATGTTTGAGCTTGCTGCATTTCTGCAGACCCATTTCTTGACCCTTTTTTGTGTGATTGTATTCAAATGATGAAAGTCGCTGTAGTAGCGAGTTTGATGACGCTGTTGGACCAGGATTCCCAGCCGAATGTTACAAACGACATTTTTTTTTCCAGCCTGAAGGACAGTTGGCTTTCTCGAACGACTCGGGTGTAGACTAGAGAGAGAGAGGCGGAGTATCTTCGAAGACTCGGACGAGAAAGAGTAAGGTAAACAAGTAATTGTCCTTCGTATTCATGCTGGGAGTACTCCGTATCATGCAGCGATGGATCACACGGAGAAGGTGGCACTTGGAGAAAGATGAAACAACGGGGTGGAGAGGGCACTGTTGGTTCTGATTATTATTAGTCGCAAGTCAGCCTACGGATGTGTAACTATATCGGATATCCTCATCTTGCGGCCCAATCCAGAAAGAAGGATATCCTTGTGCTGTTCCACGTGGTTCGGGGAATTAATCCAATTATTGAACTAGCAAAGGAGGATTTCAGACCACTTCCTGGCATGCCAATAGTTTAGTTAATGACGAGAAGCGATGATTAAGAGTGGTGGGAGTTTTTTCCCTGCGGTATACAAGTCAGAGATAAACAACTCACGTGTCAGAAAGGGATTAACGAGGACTTCGAAACAACTTCACTTGTAAATGAATCGATGAAGAAGAAAAAGAAGCATGAAATTATTCTTCGCTACTTCTAGTCCATCTCCATCGCGTGGCTTGACACACCCGCCTTTTGAAACCGAGAAGCCTGCGTCCAGCCCTCTCTGACCTTCTCTTAGACTCCCTTAGACTACTCTTAGTACACCAAACTTACCACGATCGTCATCCTCAACACTGCTTCACCTCCTGCTCATTTTTGGTCTTGAAAGCCCAGGCTCTGGCCCTTCCCCAAATTCTACGATCTCATTCGCAGACCTTCAAGCATCCGTGTCTTACAGACGATCATCGGCATCCTTTCCCAACACCGCTCTTTCTTTTCTTTTTTGGCTTTTCTCCCCACACCATCCTACGGACCTACGGCCCTATAGAGACCAACCTGCTAAAAAAAAAAAAGGGGGGGGGGAACTAAAAACGAAACCGGATATCTAGGTAGCTCGATTGCAGATCCAAGGCGCGGCTAAGCTCAAACCAACTTCATCGTCACCTTGCTCGTCAGTTTAAAAATCTTGACAACCCCCGCTCTCCCTGGGCCTCCTCTTTTCAATATGTCTTCTGCCCAAGACGAGTTCAATCGGCTTTTCAGTCACCAAGAGAAACTCTCCTCCCACCCCGAGGACCGTGACAACGGCTCAGACATCGATTCTATCCCCTCCGATCACGATCTCGACGACCCCCCGCACTACTCCGACTCCGAAGATCACAACCCAGCCATGGGCTCTCGCACCGCAACCTACCACATCCCCAACACCCGATTCGACGCTAACACAGGCCCCAAAGGTGTCATCGCTGATGCTCAAGCATTCGAGCGTGCTCGGAAAAGCACATTCCGCAAGACCTGGCTCGCTGGCACGGGTGGCAGCGGTGCTGGTGTAGGCCGCTCCCACACCTCTTCCAAGTCCGTCACCGATTCCGCTACGCTGCTCTACAACTCCTCATCCCCAGATGGCTCTGCTACCGATGAAGACGAGGAGCGTTTCATGCGTCACTGGCGAGAGTCGCGCATGCAGGAATTACAGAACCAAAGACAAAGACGGCCTAGTCCTTGGAGGAAAGCGTACGGATCCGTGGACACTGTTGATGCGGTTGGGTACTTAGATGCGATTGAGAAGGTCCCGTCGGACCAGGTGGTGGTGGTTTGCGTTTATGACCCCGAGGTACGTTGCTTTTGCATTCTGACTCTGTTGTCGAACGCAAGGGGGATGCATGTGCTTTATACATGTGCGGGCATGCAGGAACCATAAAAAGACAGCCGTCAAGATCTGTCAAGATTGACCATAACTAACTTCAACTACAGTCTGCAGCAAGCTCTCTTGTTGAAGATTGCCTAAGAACAATTGCTCAACGGCAGCCCGCTGTGCGGTTCATTAAGCTGCATCATGAAATCGCAGAGATGGATCATATCCAAGCTCCTGCGTTGTTAGCATACCGGGACGGTGACGTCTTTTCGACAATTGTCGATATTCCTCAACAGATTCCAAAGGGTCGAAGCTGCACTGCAGATACTCTAGAGGATTTGCTCAAGACGTGAGTTTTCTTTTTCTTTTCTATTTCCTGTTGTTCACTTGGTTGTTTTATTTTCCTGCTTCTGGCCCAACTGCAAACCCCCCATGTCCAACAAACAACGTGTACTGTAGACTAACTCAATTTGTTTCAGGCACCGAGTACTCTGAACATGATGATGTCTACTACAAGAGATAACAAAGAAAGAATACAAGAATACAGCATATACATCCATACCTACCCACCTACCTCTCTATCTACCTCTCTACCTACCTACCTCTTGTGTTCTCCCACTCGATGTTCCAGCTACGGCTTCCTTCTACACCTACCCTACTCAAAAATATCCATGATGTATATCCCAAATACCAAGGTTACTCACTCGTTCCGGCCTAGTCTACCCCAATTTACTACCTATCTTATTTTATCGATTTGGACCGGAACTATCGGCGCATTCCATAGACATTGCTTCGCTTTCCTTTTCTTGCCTGTCTTGTTTCTCATCTCTATTTACTTTTGATTTAGGTGTTCAGGTTCAGTTGGTCTAAGATTAAGATGCATTCTCTCGAAGATATCCAACGTGGTTCTTTTTTTTGTCTTTTGCCCCCCCCCCCCCCCTCCTTTCCCGGGAGTTGTGCTTTATCTAGTAGTTATATATCTCTTAAGACAGGAAAAAAAGGACACAAAAAAAAAAAAAAAAAATCTCCCAAGAATTCCTATCGTCATCGTTGTTTTTTTTTTTTTTTTTTTTTTTTTTTTTCTACTATACGTATCTATCAACTCTCTACTTACGCACTTTACTCACTCACTACCTAAGTCAACTAGTTAGTTATGACAAGGCCAGTTAGCTATGTATGTACGTAGTTTCAATCGTTTCTCTCTCCCACCTCGCTTCTCAGTCTTTACCTATTCATTCTCCTTGTTTAGATAGTTAGTTAGTTAGTACCTACCTACAACATCTCCAACCCTTTTAAAAGGCCCATACCATAGCATACATAGGCCCTAGCCGAGCAAAAACAATGAAACCAGCCCATGTGTGATTAAATTTTTAATAAATTGATTGATTGGTTCAATTTCTTTCAAAACACTAATTAATACCTGAGGTAGTTAGTTAACTAGATACCTCCCTCCTACTATGTAAGCAAAGCCAAGGTAGTTAGTTACCTAGGTAGTAGGTAAACTAAACTATCACTGGATGAATCCGGTACCAAGAGCGCCTCGTTGTGTTTCTTCTGTTTGACATGTCTGTTTTTTTTTTTTTTTTTTTTTTTTTTTTTTTTCAATTTCCTTTCTGATTGTAGGCAATTTCAGTTCTATCCTTTGGAAGCGGTTCATCGGGAAAAGAAAAGGATAACCCATGTAATTTGTAGATTTTGATCTGGATGGAATACAAAAATGGAGAAAGATGGGAGAGAAATGGAACATGGGGGGAGGGGGGGGAGGAATAAATAAAATGGATAGTGCCTAAAAATGAGATATGACAATGAACCGATGACGAAACATAAGATGGAGATTGAAAAGGAGTAAAAGAGGTATCAGGGAGGAAGGAGAAAAGGGCTTATAAGGCACCTTTCTCCTGTGTGAAGTCCCAGAGCATTTTGATTAAAGAGTCGGGTAGGGTATAAAGATCGACGTGGAATTCTCCCTCTGTAAACTTGCTTAGTATTTCTTGACCAAGGAAAGGTAAAGAGAAGGAAGAGAGACATACGCTCAACATCATTCTTCGTATAGGAATCAGGAGCCTTATTATCATGGACCATCTGCACCACTTGGAGGAGGTCATCTTCTCCGAGTCGCTGGAGGCCATCTGCTAGCTTGTCCATATCGACCTGTAGAGAACGGATGTTGTCAGATATTGGAATATTTCAAACCTATTCCGTCTTTTCCGGTTTCATTGTTTTTTTCTGAGGTGGAAAAAAAGACTTACATTCTTTTCTGTGCGCTTCTTCTTCTTAGATCCTTCTTCGGCTCCAGCGGAGCGCTTCATCTTCACGCCATTCTCATCCCCAGGAACAGGGCCAGAGTCGCGCAAAGCAGCCAGTAGGGCAGGCTTGGGGTTTTTGAATGTCTGTTGGAACAATGTAAATACCTCAATACTCGAAGTTGAAAAAAAAAAAAAAAAGACAAACACGTACGATAACATGCTTGGACTCATATCGCGCCTGTGAGAAGTTGAGATCATGCGAAACCGAATGCTCCTTGTCCGCAGCAGTGAGGCCGATCTGCATGTCGAATTCACCCCATCCCTCTTCCTGGATCCTAAATGGAGGGTTCTTGAAAACTATAGTGATTTTTGTCAGCTGCCTGCAATTCTACCGGGGTAGTGTGTACCGGAACCATTCGCCTGTTCAAGTATTTCCCTTATAAACAGGTCATGTACCAGAAATCTTGACTGGAAAATAGAAATACAGGAAGAAAGAAGATGAACGGACCTTGCACTGCTCTATCTCCAAAACTGGGGTGCAAAGTGTAAGTCACCTTGTCGAACACATTGGCGGCCACTTGTTCCCCATGCTCATTGACGAGGTAAACCTCAATCGACCACGACCGGAGAGGAAATCCTTCGACGCCGGAATCTTTATTTCTGTAGACACAAACAACATATCCATTAGCGAGAGCTGAATCATATGCTGACACCGTTGACACTAAATCGCGACTCAATCTCCTTCTCCCTCATACTATGTTGTGAGCTTGTGGCGGTCCAAGGCACCCGCGCGCAAATACGCCCACTAGCACGCGACAAAAGACCAACGCAGATACACAGGAAAGGCGATAATATGGACATGACGGAGAGGGGAGAGGAAGAAGAGAGGAGTGGGAGGAGCTGGTTGATGGTTCGAGGCCGATTTCGAGATCGAGTAAGGGGAGACAAGGATGGGATGAAAACGTACATGACGTGTTGCTCCGTCACGAGCCTGATGTTCCTTTTAACCTGTATATGTGCAAAACATATTCGTCAGCGCCATGCGAAAGTGGGAGGAATCATTCGTGAATATGGGGCCTCTTGGGTGCCTCAGATGGAGGGAAAACAGCCGCAGCAAAGGACGACTTACGTCGGGCATCTTGTCAACAAGGCTCGGAACCCCACGCGCGCTGAGGATTTGATAGTATATCAAGAAAGAAGTTTTCGTCGGCTGGGTGCTCCGTAAGAAAAGCGCCTCAGCGGGGAATAGCAGCTTCCGGGGCTTCGAGGTTCGCGCGAAGGTGGAGCGAGTTGGTTGCTCGTCGGTAAATGTTCGAGGGGGAAGGGGGCTTGTAGAACTAGGGAGGAGAAGAGGCAGTAAATAAACGCTCGCGGGAGAAATCAGGAAGAAAGGTCCCAATATTCATCAATGACAACGAGAAAACAAGGGGGAGCGAAAAGCAGGCGCGTGAGGGAAGGTCAAAAATTGGAAGAAAGGAAGCATCCGAGAGTTTGAGGCCGGGAGTGGGGGATGGCATTGGGACTTCTTGGATTATGCAGAGCCAAAATCGCTTTTGAAAAGTTGGTTTAAACGAAATTTTTACGGAGTTCGCTATAGGTACAATGATCTCTGTTTGTTTGTTTATTCCTCCAAGTCGCCAGATAATATGCCCATAATTACTACAGTCCATTTTACTGCATTACTGCTCCAAACAGACAGAGCTTTTCTATGTATCGGGAGCTCTGGAGGTTCGTCCCTCGTAGATGATATAATAATAGCCTCTACCCTTCGAGAAAAACCGCATTACACAAATTTTTGAGACGTAAACGATACTAAAACAAAGCTCGCCAGGTACGAATAAATGGGAATCAAGTATTTTCATTTGTATATTCGATGGATCAAACGTCTATCTACTGCCAACTTGCTGGGCACATCCAACCTCAGCTGGTGACGATAATGCGGTTGCGGACAATGTCGGGCATACATCGATCCAGAAGTGCCAGTGTTGGCTCATGGTTTTAACCATGAACAGAATCATTATTCTGCTTCATGCACGCGTGCAAAAGGGACGGGGAGGGGGAGGGGGAGACACCTAGGAATCATATCAGGGGAGGAAGGGGGAAGAAGAGGAGGGCATAACGATGTTTTCCTTGGACAAAGCCATATATCAAACTCGCTGCGATTAAAAGGGGATCGAAACATGGATTAAGAATAGTCCTCCGAACTATCATGAGGTTCCAGGAGAAGCTGAAACAAGCAGCGGCAACTTTACTGCTTGAGGAGCTTCTCGTTCTCCTCCCGAGCCTTCTCAAAGGCATCCTTGAACAGGTTGGCGTCTAGTATCATCGCATCAGTGAAACCCGATTTAAACTAATTCATTTCATGAGAATGGACTTACTCTCGCTGTTGGCGAAACGAATGGCCAGAGTCTGCGCCTCAGGCTCACCCTCGCTAACATCTGCAGCAGCGTTCCAAACCCAGCTGCGGTCGCTACCAATGTTGGGACTCAACTTCATATCGGGGACAACTGTATCATCATGAGCAACAACGCAAAAAAACACAAGGGTATGTACCCGGACAAAAAGCCCAGAGCCGGCGACGTACTGTAATGGTTGGCGCAGACCTTGAGGGTCTTGTCTCTGCGCATCACGAGACGAGTCTTCTGGTTCTCTTTGTGCTTCAGCAGCCTCACTTCACCAGTGCCACGCTCCTTCCACTCTTTGCTGTCACGGTCGAATCTGAAGAGCTTGGCGCGCATTTTGAAAACCTGTTCCTCGAGCTCTTCGTTGGTCTTGGTCTCAACCTTCTCCGTCAGATGGATGACAGGCTCGAAGTGAATCTCTGGGGACTCGGGGGCCTCGTCCTATTGATGTGTTGAAACTATATTAGCCACTATCTCCAGGTAAATGAAGAAAAGCTTTGCAAAGCGGCAATATCAAGTATTCAGGGAACACCCCGAGTTATGTAGATAATAATACAGCATCCAAAAGAACCATATCCAAGCCACTGTGGTAAGCTAGAGGATAGAACTCACCTCGTCCTCAGCTTTCTGTGCCTTAGCAGAACCGGAGGGCTCATCAGCCTCCGCGGCCTCCTCCTTCTTCTCCTTCTTGGGGCCGCCGCCGAACATCGAGAAAACGTTATCGGTGGTTTTGGTAGCAGCATCCTTCACAGTCTCGGCGGCAGATTCGGCGACAGCCTTGACTTCCTCCGTCTTTGATGTTTCGGTGGCGGTGGTGGTCTCCGTAGCCCCCTCAGGAGCGTTGGTGGTGGGGTCGGGCTTGGTCTCAGCGACGTCAGACATGTTGACAAACAGGCGGGGGTTTCTGTTGTTTTTTTTTTTTTTGATGAGTTTAAGAAATCACAAGAAGCGTAGGACAATAGCGATATACCTGATGATGAAGAATATGTGAAATGTATTCTATTGGGGTTGAGTCTCACTGCAGAAGAAGAGTAGGAGGAGGGGGAAAATATGGATGGTTTGCTTTGAGTCTGAAGTGGGTAGGTTCATTGCCTCTGGGCCTAAGGCCACACACACTAGTGCCACCGCCCCTCTACAAAGTCTACTCTACTACATCCATTTCGCTTGCTATGTCTGGTAAACGGAATTAAGGAGAAGGACAATTCTATGGGGGAGAACTGCTTCGTTACTCATTGTTACATAACTAGTTTGTCTTTCTTTAAAAAAAAAAAAAACCCTTGAGTCCATCCCTGTAAGCACCTGGGGCTAAACCAAACCGAGCCAAACCCAGCACGAAAAAAAAAAAAAAAAAATGAAACAAGAGAAGGTTGGGAGAAGGGAAATGGGTAAGATAAAGAGGGAAAAGCAAAGCAGACATATTAAAAGAAATACAGAGTATTCAGACCAGGGGGCCAGAACAGGATTGGATTGTCCCCTTTCAGGACTCTATCCAATCGTTTTAGGGCTCCTAGGAGGCCTTGCCTCTCATTAAGCGTCTGGCTCTCTTTTGGGCCTTATCCAGGGCCTTGCATTTGTGTGCGTTACGAACATGCTCGATTATCGCTCTAAAGTCTAGGCGTTGAGCACCGTTGCTGATTCTACCCCATGTGCCGCTCATCATCTGCCTCGCCTCCTTATTTACCTTCAGGGTTTGACCCTGTAGTACGGAGGAGGCAGATAGGAAGGGCTGCACAGCGGTGCGTTTAAAAACCTCAGAGAGTTGCTTCGAGGTGGACAAGACCACTTGTCGTGTTTCGAGAGTAAGTTGCACAGAATCTCGTCGCAGGGTGTCCGCTTCTCGTCGTACGATATATGCCTTTTTCACCACATCTCCCATGAGAACTTGTAGATCAGTACAGATTCGGCCGTACGCTTCGGATAATCCTGTTTGTGCGGTGTTCAAGTCCCTTACGAGCTGCGATGTAATATCGTGTGCCGCACGTTTCCAGTTTGCAATCTTCAACCACGGTGTCCCCAAATCTAGGGAGGTGGTTTGTCTGATTGCGGGCTTCGAGTTCGTAGTTATTGTAATGTTAACTACACCGTACGCCTCTTCGCGATTCATCTTCAGACTGTAAACCCCTTCGAATAGCCTGGAAAGCTCATACTGAAGTGGCTGACCCCGTCGACTCACTTGAACACTAAATTTAGGCTGTCTTCTCCCCGCCAAAGATTTGTGTGGGGGTTTTATGACGAGGTGACAGTCACCCACTACTTGGACCTCAAATGTTTCCGGCGTCGCCTGCTTCTCGACAGGGGATAGTGCTCCCAAATGTCCCTTCTGTGTTTGACTGTCAAGCTGTTCTCCAAGGACTTGAATGTCGCTTGTCAAAGAAGAAAGCACTGGAATTGATGTCTGCTTTAATTCTTGCGTTGGAAAAACGGCCGTGGTTGAAATACCCGAAGTAGATGATGGAACTTGGCTGGAGACTGCTGGACGGGTAAGGAGGTCTGAAATGCAAATCGTGGTAGCCTTGAGGGCTGAGTGACCGAAAGTGAGCGTTACAGCAGATATTAAAGTGATGGTGATGAGACGGAGCACAAATGAGAACTCAGTCTCATTTCTCAGGTAGGGGAGAGGGAGGAGTTTCCTTGTATACTTCTTCATATCAAATGAAGGCTTCGTTGCAACGACGGTTGGGGTCTTGGAGGTAGACACGTAGTGCTTCCTGGGATAAATGCTCGTTAAAGAGGCTAGGTTTCTATTCAATTGCCCAGGAGTGATGCTTTCGAATGTGTTTAGGTCAATGGGATATCGCTCTAAGACTGTGGTTCTCCCGGTAAAAGAGTGACGAGATTCTAAACACATGTGAAGACTATGATGGTTCACGGGGACCAGGTCCCTAGACATTGTCCAGAGTGGTTTCTCCGAAATCGCCATTGTTGGCACTCCATGTCTTTCCATGAAAACACGTGCCGAATCTTGGGTTCTCATGGCTATCTCGGTATCCGAATTAGATAAGAAAGTGATGGCTACGTCGGGTAGAGTCCATTCGGTTGATGATGAGAGGCAATATTCGGTTCCTGTCCAGAGAGATGAACATGAAGGCCGGTTCTTTAACTTCAGATTGATTGTACTAGGCTTATCGATATGAGATTCCGGGAAGGCCTCGAGGCACTCGTCAACGATTAATTGGACATGAATCGGGAGAAGCTCCGCAAAGTTAGGGACGGCGCCGGCGCCGAACGAAGTTGGAACCACATGATATCTTGAAGACTCCGCTGAGCTGCTTTCGAACCCATTGGATGTACTTGCCACCAAGACGTCTCCAAGCTTATCAAGGACAATACTCCGGAACTCGGAGCTTCCAACATATAGTACTCGAAAAGGTTTGTCGGTATCAATGCTTTTCTTTGTCATCGTCTGTTGGACGGTCGCCATCAAGGTCGAGTCCTCTAAATAAGGAGCGAAAGTATCCCCCAGCTCCGTAATCTCAGGGCCCTCAAACAAACGAATTGTATGTTTCAGCTCTACCCGTTCAACTTCGGGCCAGTTATCGGGTTCAACAAATTCAATGGACTCGGTCGATTGACGGAGCGCAGTCTTGGCCGTCAGATTACTATCATCAATGGAGCGTCCTATCTGAGGAAACATAGGATGCAGCTCCTGAGACTCGGACATCTCACTTCTTGAATCGTAGTTGTCATTCTCAGGGCCCTCGTCGTAATGACCGTCCACCTCATCGCTACTGCTGTACCCCCCATCGAGGCTTGCAACATCGTCGGGGCCGGTTTGATCAATCAGAGATCCGACATCAGTTTGTTCAGAGGGAGCGCCATCTTCAGAGTGCACGTCAGATACACTTAAAGTTGCCCAACTCTCACTCAAAGACTTTGGTGGATGGTCTGTCGGTGGTGTTGACGTCATAATGATAGGTCTCGAACGAGATAGCCACTCTTCGACCGAAGCACTGAGGGGAGGAAGAGTAGGGTATTGCAGATGTGACAGATTTGAGATAGTATCTGGACGCCTGGATGGAGGCTCTGGAGAGTCAGCCATATCGCTAGAGTGTGAATGTCATGGGATAGAGAGGAGAAAGCGGGCAGGGCGGAGAGCTTCGTATCGAATACAACAGTCGACAACCAAGCTCGGGAGGAACAGTAAACAGGATAAAGGCTAGTGGGAGAATACGTGAAGTTCCCAGAGGAAGCTCGTTGAATCTTTTCAAACGACAACAAAGGCTAGATATTCCGTGAGCTTCCTTGGATGAGCTCAGCCTAATAGGCAGATGCCCGATGACAAGGCGTTGTATGTGGGGAGGTTCTGTCCCGGGCGGAAGAAGAGGAGTCAGGTGCTTTTGGGGCCAGCAATCAACACAAAGAATAGCCAACGAACCTTTTGTTCTCCTGGTGGAGACGATCTATGAGGGTGTTCTTTTGGTGTCCTTCTTATACTCGTTTTCCAGACATGCAGGTGTTGGGTAAAGAAAGAAGATGATGATGACATAGACGATGAAGTAGATGGGGGAGGAGGGAAGATAGCAGGTGAGATATGTAAGTCGTGATTGCTCAACCAGACGCGGGGCACATGACAAGGAGGCAGCCGGAAGTTACAAGAAAATACGATGATCACTCAAGAGGTATCTATCTATTGTAAGTCGGGTGCCCATGCCTGGAGCATTTAGGCATTTTTAGCCCACGAGATCCTTCCTCAGGTGTTGCATTTTTTTTTTTTTAAATACTCTTTAGTATGTATGAAGTCCCTAGGTAGTATATAACTAGAAGTATATTGTGTATTGATAATAAGACATCGTCCCCAGTATTTTGGCACTAGAATTTAGCGGCCCCAGCCCAGCGCGCCTATCAATTAGGCTACACACCACTAGTTTCTAGGCATCCCCTCATCCAGCCCCATTATCGACCCCTCCAGTGTCCACCGTTCAAACTATATCAAATCGACTCAAAATTCCAACTCGAAAAGGCATCGGATATCGTATAATAACAATTCATATAGGTACATTGTTCCATACTCTATAAACAAAACAATGCGTAATCGGATATTTATGTTGTTTGGTGGTGTGTGGGGCAAAGAACCTTGGCTGTCTGTCAAAGTTCCCTAATAGCTAGTATGTTCACTTGTCGCATAGCTCAGAAAATAATGAAAAGAGGGAGTCAAGGAAGGGGAAAATAAATATCGCAAGGACGGAGAGAAACAAGGGTGTAATGGATGGAATTAAATATTGGGGGAACAAAATTGGGGGAGAGGGGATATGCCTCGAAGTATCTATTTGAAGGACAAAATCGAGACACCACAACTCGTAAGGTTCAACAGCAAATTTTCTTTACAATGCAGGACCATGCGTCACAATCTATGCGGGAGCCTTGAACACACCGTCAAGCTGTTTCGTACCGCTCGCCTTTCAATCCCGGAAAGAGAGTTGCATATCAAAACGATGAGAGATTCGAAACTGTCCGCTGACGAGAATTCCCAGGCTGTCCAGGAAAAACTTAAGCATAGCCCACTCAGTTTGCCAGCGATGAGCAGCAAGGGAAGCTGTGCTGGTGAGGAATATCTCGCCGACAGACTCTGGGTTTCCTGATGGGTGATCGGAGCCCATGATAGGGGACATTTTTTTTTTTTTTTTTAAAAAAAAAAAAAAAAAAAATTTGGAACAGAGCACTCCAAATGAAACATACAATGCACGCTAGATGAATTGTCAAGATTGATGAGAATGGCCACGCCATCCTCCATAGAAGAAGTCGTCAGATCCGTTAAACGCCGTCCAGAACCCCATAGCCAACAGAACATGTCGGCTCAAGCAAAAATAACTCCAAGGACGACCCGAGTAATGCTCATCGTCGAACAAGTAGGTACGGAAATGAGGAGGTCAAGATTATACAACGAATATTAGGGGGCAGCTCAAGTTTATGGAGATGCCCATCCTCCAGCAACATCCACCCATTCCGCCAGACAACTTCCTTGCTTGCCTTCGACATCAACAATATCAGTATCACACCTGCACCTACAACCAACGCCATTTTCCTTCACAGGGTCAGGGTTTGCCCAATATTCATCCTCTTCAATACGCTCCTTCTCATCCAAGGTTGTTGTTTCTAGCCAAGGAATGCGGGGCAATTGTCGCGCGGGAGCGTTGGCAGGGCAGTGCTGGATGGTAGTATGTCGATAACCGAAGTCGCGGAAGTAGTGAATATCACTGGGGGACAGGAGAGCTCCAGCAGCGAGCGAGTGAATAGGCGCATCACCCCACTGTAATAATATTGTTAATGAAAAGGATTATGGTGAGGGTTTAAAAATGGAATCTCGACACTTACTCGTTCCATCCAGAAACCTCCGCTCTTGTCCATCATATCGAAGAATTCCTCGTATTCTTTGCTCCGGAACCAGTCTAAGCGTGCGATCTCGAAATTACTCCAGAAATGGCACATATTGTAGCTCTCCCCTTCCATCGCCTCGGGGTCTACCTCAGGAAGATTATTCTCGCCGGGTTCAGCAATGAGAATCTCTTCGGGAAGCTTTTCTGGTTGCTCTTCGGGCTTTGGTTCTTCACGGGGCTCGAGGAACATTTCCCATAGCCCCTGGGACTTGATATTGTTCTTCCGCATGTAAGCAGAGGCGTATCGGAAGATGTTTGGAACAGTCTCGCGAAGTTCCTTGACGGCAATTGTGAAACCGTATGTCTTGTTGGCCTCAATCATTTTGATAAAAGGATCGCTATTGAATCGGTGAGTGAGAGCCATTTATTTGGCCAGAGAGATTCTTACTATGTAATGTCACAGAAGTACTTGATCTCGGGCTCAAGACGCCAGTACCATTCATACTTCATGAGGAGCGGATGTTTATAGAAGAACCTGGTCCAATATCAGTTTTGCTGCGGGTTGACTTGGACATGACAGCGAATTCCTCACCCTGAGTAGAACCTGCACATATGATGATAACTCTCCATGCCTCCGTACATAATGGCGGCATCACCCTGCTTCCGGATGCCTTCCTTGGCGACCTCATGGTCAACCCAATTTGGATAACCCCACATAGTGTCATCAATCCTTCCAAATTCCACAGGAGCGCTTGTGTAATTCTTGACGGTGTCCATGAAGGCATCGTCGAAATCGGCGTCATTCAAGAAAACATAAGGATAATGGTACCAGCGATTGAAGTGCCGTTCAATTGACTTGAGCGACTGAATGACACCATCTATTTCTTTGTTCCTCGCGAGGACAACAAATGCGGCATTGGCCCTTGGGCCGTCAGTCTTCTCAATCGGAAGGCAACCGGTTGCGAAGACCTTGTCATATTTCTCGCTTATTTTCCTACACAGTACAATTATTAGCTTGCTTGATCGAGACAACACGATTAGGATATCGGTTGCGGCGAACCTGATAGATGGCGGTGTGCCTGCAGGGATGAGGATACCACCAGGAGCGGAAGGATGTCGAACGAAGAGTAGTAAGATGAGAACTATTACAACGCAGGGGAATAGTAAGACAAAACCCAGGGGTATGGAAATCGAAGAGTTGCCCTTCAACCGTATCCTGCGGCTAAAAAATGCAAATCTGGGAAATTTGCGTCCTTTTTCGTAGGACGAGTCTTCTAGGGGTAGACTCGGTGTTGAGGGCAACCATTTCCTCACTCGTTGAACGAGGCCCATGGGTGCAAGAGTGCCCACACTGCGTCGCCTCAGAGAGGATGAGAGAGAGCACCAGGATCAAGATCCAATCAACACAGCGGGACGCCTTCCCGAAGTCGGGCACGCTTCAGGCCAGAACGGCAGGTCTTTCGAGGTATCTCAGTCCAACGGCAGATCCACACGAGTAGTGAGCTTTGAGTTGGGACGTCGTTAGCAGCGAACCGATCGGGAAGTATGACCAAGAATGAGGGTAGAATCGATATTATAGTTTGTAGAGGATGAGGAAAGGGCAGAAGAGAGAAAATTCGGGTGGGAAAAAAAGAAAAATAACGAGTGGCCGGAGGAAAGCCTCCTTTCTCTGCACTTTTCTTTTAGTCGACCAGCCGGCGAGAGGTGGGGAATGCGTTGACAGCGACGCAAGGGACTATTGTCCTTAGCAAAGAGGCCGAAAGCACGGAGAAAGGAGACGGGTTCATCAATCAGGATGGAGAGAGGTGGAGGTTAGGTAGTGACCCGACGACTTGTGGGAGACATCCGATGAGATGAAGGCTCGAAGGATGAATTTGGGGATGGGGGGTGGATGGAAGTTTCGCCAAGGCTAAGGAGGCGCGCAAGCGGCCATGATTGTCATTACAGGACGGTAAGTTTACGTTCCAAATCGGGAGAGGCCGCTCCCCTGGATGGTTTTGAAACGGTATTGCGTCCAGTAGGTTATTTACAGCTTTTTGGGGTCGAGATCGAGATCTAGGTAAAGAATTATTTCGCTAGAGATATTGCTCACTCTTCTGATTATTTAATGGTAACTAACTAACTACTGAGAATTCTTAAAGCATTATCTCCTGGGCCGTTTTGACCATGCAGTGCGGAATAGATGCATCATCTTTCTACTACAGACCCTGAAGCTTAACGGCACGTCTTCCTCAAACTAACCCCCCCGGAAGTATAATACTTTATACTGCTTTGCAATTATCAGTGCATTTTGACATGGATTTAAGTTTACAAAGAGTAATCGACATGAAATGTAAGGTACTGTAACAGGAGTTTGACAGTACCCAGGGGTAATACTAGTACCACCCGGTAATATAAAGCGTCCAGAACCCTGAGATCCCAATGGAGACCCCCCAAAACGTGAGCAGCCCAGGATCGGTCTATCTGGCCTCTTGTTACCTCGATGTCGACGTTGCGACGCGCTTCGTCACGTATGTAGGGAATATGTGTGGCTTTCAAGGGACCCGTCAGACAGAAGAAATATGTAGGTACTAGTACACACTTGATGGAATATGCATAAGCTCCAGAGTACTTGGTTAGGATAGTATTTTTTTCGAGGCCACGGTTAGTATACATAGCCAGAGGCACTCACTATCTGCTGAAACTGAAAATTGGTTGTTCCATTGAATGCTGTGCAGCTTAGTTAGTTAATAGTTAACTAATAATTTATGATGAATAATATAACTATATAAATATATCATAGATTAACTATCAACTTTCTATACCAAAATCTTCAGCAACTCAAATTATAATGCTTACTTTGGTACGGAGTACATATGCAAGCAACCAAGAAAAAAAGGAGATCTCCCTATCCACCAACCTGACTAACCCGAATGATCTCCAGTCGTCCAAAACAAAATCCATGCGTGCCTCCTGTTGGACATTCGGGACCCTTGTCTGCCAGGCCCAGTTTCGACATATCTAGAGTTCTGAGTTCATACCTTCCTGCTCCTGGCGCGTGCTCTGTTTCGCCATTAAAGCCCCCTCCCTCGGCGCCTCTTTCCTTTACCCGTAGCCATCCACCAGTGAAGCCTTCTGACACAGCCTCTCGATGACGCTTCATTGACATCCTCCTCGTTGTTTCGACCCCTGGAAGCCAGAAAGCTAACTGGGTTTACTTCTGCCTGCCTGGTTTTCTCCGAGTCATCTAGGCCGCCATCTGCTATTTATGGCGGATTGTCTGCATCATTCTCCGCTTGGCCCAGATATGTGCCTGTGCAGCGCACGCCGGGTTTCACTCTTCTCAACTTCCTCACATATCTAGCACGCTTTTCGACAGCCGTGGGAGACAATATAGCATCGAGCACCTCTCTCCAATACCATGAATCAGACCATCACAGCCCCTTTGGCTCTCGAGGGGCCTGCCAAAACCCCCGCAATACAACTCCCCGACGGCACAATACAGCACTCTTCATTCCTATCTCCTAACCAACAATCTGCGGCCTTTCGCAACGGTCATGTTAATCTAGACACATTTTCCCCCGTCAACGAGAATGGAAGCTTTGAATTCGACCGAGTTCTCAAGTCGAAGAAGGTGTGCCGCCGGGTGAAGTTGAAACATGTGTGTATACCTACCCTTGGAAGCTCTCCTTCTGTATAAACTAATCCCCTAGGTTTAGGTCTTTAGAGCCTTCTGGAAACCTGCTTATCTCGTTCTCCGACCGAACTTGTTATCAGTGTACAAGGATGAAGAAGCAACAAGGCTACGAGCGTCCATTACATTATCCGAGGTCACGGCCGTCGCTCCTATTAAATCCCCACGATCGACCCGACAATATGTCTTCGGCATTTTCACCCCTTCCAAAAACTACCGCTTTCAGGCATCATCGGACAAAGATATGGAAGACTGGATTGAACGGATCCGTGCTGAAACACGTATCGATGAGGATGAGGAGGCTTTTCTTGCACTATCTAAGCGACAGGGCGCTCCATCACCCAACAGACAGCGCATCTACGACACTACTGACCACTCGGATATTGAAACTCGAGGGAGGGCAAGTTCCCCTGAGTTTGGCCGGGATCTAGCATCAAATCGTCGATCTAGAAGACTCGCGTCCCCTCATGATTACTCGGCAAACGATGTCACATCGTACTCCGAATGGTCAGATGGGCCCGGCAGCAACACTAGTATTCATTTAAAATCTAGACACTCCATCCAAAACCTATCTTCCTCTGCCCCAGCCAGCCAACAATCCAACGGTAGAAATCACGATGCGGGAGTCCTACGTGATCCGGAAAGAGTCATGTGTAATGGATATCTTCAATGTTTGAAGATCAAGGGAGGAGTACGTCACTGGAAACGCCTCTGGGTTGTGCTGCGTCCAAAGAGTCTAGCTTTTTATAAAGATGACCAGGTATGTTAACCAACCATTTACCATCATTTGCACATGCATCCCTATTCCTTCCCCCGCTCAGGACTAGATACGCATATTACGCTCGACTAGATTCTAATTCTTTAAATAGGAATACTCTGCTATTAGAATTATTCCAATGTCACAAGTGCTGGATGCTACAGAGGTTGATCCTGTGTCTCGTTCCAAGAAGTTCTGTTTGCAAGTCATCGCAGAAGAAAAGATATACCGACTCTGCACTCCTGACGAAGAGTCCCTAGCGAAGTGGCTTGGCTCCTTGAAAAGCATTCTTGTCGCTCGCAAAAAATTCGAACATGCTCCAGGATCAGGCACTATACCCCGTGAATAATCATACAAATCCTCTTCCTCTTCCTCTCCCTCTCCCTCTCATTCTAATTCTTCTCCTTCCCTCTCCCTTATTTCCTACCCATTGTCCTTCTTCTATACGCTTTCCCTCTGATTGTCTCTCGATAAGCGTCCCCTCCCTTATCAACCGTGGACTGCTTCCAACTTACCGGTCTACTTGCTTTATCGCTCATTTTATCTTATTCTTTTGTTTTCCAAGTACCCATACCCCAGCATTATTGACGATACTAGCTTCTTTTATAATCTTTTGCTACCTCCATATACGATTAATACCATTCTATGAATAATATTTACGTTGTGATAGCGCTGACCTTGTACTATTTGATCTGGGATCTATTCTACTATTCCAAGGGCAGAGTAATTATATCAATCTTTACTTGCTTATACCTCCTCCTCCTCCTCCTCTTCTTCTATATATGCTAGTATAAAGTTCTTCTTACGGCTTGAAACTCGCTCATGACCTGGTGTACCTGCATATACTATACCTATTGACATCCCCTCCATAGCATTGTGACCAAACAATCTAGTTGAGTGATCTATTTCACTATTTATCTAATAATTTTCCATTTCCTCTAGTATGCGATGAACAAAGCTGTCCCCTCTGCATTTAACCAAGTGACCAAAGTAACAGAATGGCTAGTTCAAGTAAGGCAATAATCATTATGCTTATTACTGGAACTTTTGCACAATTATATGATTAGGCTTTTATAACTAACTAGTTAACTAACTAACTACCTACGTAGTTACCTAGTCTAGTTAGTTATACAGTTAGTTAACTAATAATGGCGTGTGATGGCTACCTGCAGTTTGACACGAGATATGGACTACGGAGGAGATACTTGTCAAAGCCCCCCCCCCAAACAAAGAAAAAGAAAAGAAAAGAAAAGAAAAGAAAAGAAAAATACTGGCTGGATATAGACTAGAATAACAAATGTTTCAAGTTGAATAGTGCTATACCAGTAAAACTTCAATGTGCATCTAACTCCAGTCTAAGGAAAGAGGTAACGATAGTCATAAACCTCACTCGTGTACCTCCTCGGAAGGAAGAACATTGTATCTTCCAGCGGATACGTCCCCTTCGGTATTTGTATCGCGACTTTCCTGATTGACGATCAAAAAGGAGAGAAACACGATCGTGGCTCCGACCCAGTACAGCGCTGTTGCGTACTGTCCTTGTAGGAAGATCTGTCCTACAAGCGAGAGCGGGATAGTCAAGCTGAGTCCAACTGTGACGACTAAAGGTGTGGTCAGGAGCATTGCGTAGGCCCAGCAGATATCAGAAAGGAGAGATGATAGCGAGTTGACCTGGAATAGATTAATAAGACCCACGGCAATATTCAAGGGTCGACAGATGGACTCTGGTGAACGTACCCATATGATAGTCCAAACCCTGCCAGTGTCGGGCAAGGCAAACGTCTCGATACCAGTAAAATGTAGAACAAGGAATCCGGGCCAAAGGAAGATCACGTTGAAGAAACCCACGAGCCCGAAGAACAGCTGCATGTTGACTCGGGACTCGTCTCCGACTTGTCGCTTCAGGACAATCGTGTATATCCCGTACATTACGGCACTAAATGCAGCCATGGCATCCCCGAGAGCAATCTCGCCCGCAGTTTTGGAGGGGAATGAGCCGCCGTTATCGATTCCGGGAGGCCCGTCTGTAGAAGATAGATCCACGCGAGATATTAGGATTATTCCGACCAAGGAGGCGACAACCCCGGCGAGTTTGCGGAGAGTAAATTTCTCGACACCAATGATGGCCCCGAAAATGAGGGTCCACACGCCTAGAATGGATATTAGATATGCTGTTTAAGTAATGCACTTGATTCATTGAGGAGCTATACCGCTCGTAGACGTCAAGATGGTTGTGCTGCCCACAGTTGTATACTGCAGACAGGCCAGTGCAAAGTAATTTGCCTATCGTGCTGAACTTAGCACTTGCTCGAGGAGACGGGTCATCTTCACGCTACTTACAAGGAACTTATTGTCTATTGTTAGCTGACCGCGCCTATACACAGTGTGAGCGATTCCAGATTAACAAAGAAACACCTACCCATAGTAAACAAAACTCAAAGCTCAGTTTAGCTGTAGCCTTTAACCCAAGCTTCTGTGGTCCATGCTCTTTCGCTGCAGCATCGACCTCGGTGGCATTCCACGCTTCGGGATCCCTTGACTCATCTCGGCTAAGTATGTGCTGCGTCTCAGCATCCCAGTCGTGTGTATCAAGGCGCTGGAACAGATGCCCAAACGACTGGATATGATACAGTTTGCCTGCGCGAAACAATCTCCAGACCCGACTAGATAATATCGTAAACAGAGGGAGGGTAAACGTAGAGGTGTTGAGGTAGGTCACGAAGAACGGTTTCGAGTACGTATTATCGGCGAAGATAGTCTATGCCCGACATACACACTTAGTAATTCATCACGCAGACGGTAAGACGGTAGGAAAGACAATCCGCAATCATCATATAGGAAGAAGACAAAAGAAGAATCACCTACACTAGCCAGGAAATTCCCGGCTGTCCACAAGACAACCACGATCAAGAGCAAGCAAATGCCCAATGTCCTTCGTGCGGCACCGGATAACCGGGATGCGCCTATATTTGGCGAGTTCTCCATCAAGATACCAAACTCCTATGAAAGTCCTTCTGGGTACTGATAATGCCTGTTCTGTTGTATGCTGCCCCGCGGTAGGACTGTGTTTCCGACAAAGGCGACCGACCCTCTCCCAGAGGTCTTTCAAGGGATAGACATGAGGGTACGATTCTAACGAGACTAATTGCTGGCGGCAATCATCGAATATAAGAATAGGGAGCCCCTCACCTCATGCACTGGATAGCAATTTCCCGAGGCGCGATTATTTCACTATCTCTTGACCGCGGAAGTGGATCGGACGGAATCAAGATGATCTCCACCATGGGAAACCGCTTAGGTGACAAGTCACGAGTAGAACGGAAAACATGACGCCAGCAGCTATAGAATAATGATATTCTTCTATAAAGAGATGAATCATTCAAAAATAAATTATATTGATAATGAAGTTTGCTATTATTGATGTCTAGTCAAAAAAATGACATATCTAGAGAAGGACGCTCATGTCCACATCTCGGCAACGGCAAGCATCATTGGATGCTTTGAGAGAAAAAGGTGATGATATTCCAGACTCCTAGAAATTACGACTATGCCTTCAAAACAAACAAAAGCATTAACAACGGGAGAGCAAGCTGAACCAGATAAGATATCTTCATGCGAACCAGCACAAACAGAAGAAGGACGTCGTCGATGTGTTACACAGGGAACTCCCAAGTTGGATATATAGGTCATGGGGTCGAGAACGCATTCCTTCAAGGCCCCAGGTGGGATAAGGGACAAGAAATTCTCTACACAAGCAGTAGAACAAAGCATGTCTTAGTTGTAAAATAGGATTAGGAAAAGCAAGTGCAGAACGAGGGTATCAACAAGCGCATCCATCGCGTTCGGTGTCAAGATGGATGTTGATCGGATCGCTGTATTCACCACTAAATTCCTCTGCTTCATCTTGGGCTAAAGCACTTCGGGCGATGACTTCAAACGAATACGTTAGCTATCTGTGGGGTATGCGAGCATAACCAGGAGATGACGTACCCTCAAACGCTTGCTCGACATTGACGGCCTCTTTTGCACTAGTCTCGAAGTAAGGGATGTTTCCCTTGGATTGGCAAAAAGTCATAGCCCGTTTCGAGGAGATCATTCGCTTGCTTTCCTCGACATCAATCTTGTTTCCAATTACAACCTGTGGCATTGAAATTAATCACTAAGAACCAAAAAGCACTTGAGGAAGAAAACAACACTTACAAAAGGAAAGCTTTCCGGGTCCCGCGGACTAGCCTGAATCAGGAATTCATCGCGCCAGCTGTCAAGAGCCTCAAAGCTCTTGGGGTTATTTACGTCGTACACCAAGACGCAGCAGTCGGCTCCTCGATAGAATGCGACGCCCAACGACTGGAAGCGTTCTTGACCGGCGGTATCCCAGATCTAATCATTGCATGTTACTTTTTTATTCCTCCACGGCATTTCCTTTGGTACGTACCTGCATTGTGACCAGTCGATCATCAACCAGAACTTCCTTTGTCAGAAAATCTGCACCGATTGTTGCCTTGTAGCTTGCGCTGAACTTTTTGTTGACCTGGTCGGGGATATGGCATTAGCGGAATGGAGAATCGACTGAGGGATAAGGCCACCGACATATTGGTTCATCAAACTTGTTTTTCCGACACCACTATCACCCAAAATAATAATCTGGAGATCCATGAGGTTAGCAAGTCGTTAAAAGGCCAGTTTGTTCAGGGCGAGATAGCTATACCTTCAGCAAGACCTTCTTCCGTGACGACATGGCTGTGACTGGGGGTGCAGATAAAGCGCTGCGAGCAAAGAATGCGGATAAGAGGCGGGATAATGTAAGGACAAAGAACTACGCCTCTAGGCCAAAACCAAGAAGAGGCAGGAGCGGGATAATATATGCTGAGACGTAGCCGTGATTAAGGGAGCCGAAGTAAGTGGAGAGTGAGTAGTTGGGCTCCGCAGCGTGCTTCGTTGCGATGATGCATGACTACTGGGCGGTGGAAGGGGCGGTGTGGTCGTAGGCTGGCTTTCGTGGGAGGGGATGGGTGGGCTCCTATAATTAGGTATCGTCAACATCCTTGCCTAGGTTCTCATAGCATGGGCTGCAATAACATCTGGCCTTTGAAGAGGTAGCCTGAGTCTTTGGAACTCCTTGTACATCTCAGAATCCCTCTCTTCAAGAGTCTCTCGCTACGATGTATTCATGATTTCTGGACTTCCTCTGATGACCTGCGTTCCCGTCTCATGGCGCACTGGAGGGAGGAGTACGCCGCCGCTTTGGCGGCTAGAGATCGACGCGAAAAAGCCAACATCTCCATCTACAATGCTTGTGCGAAATCTCCATTCCCTTCTCCAGCAGGTTGATGTCATCTGGCGTGTTGTCTGACTGAAACCCCGCCTGTTGCTCCAGACACCAAACTTGCCGATCGAACAGCCTCTCTGAACGCAGAGACCAATAATGCTCAAGGCCCTACCTCAGCGGGAAACCGTGCAACCCGCGCGGACCTTGTGGAAGCGCAACGATCCCGCTCTGAGCTCGAAGACCGACTTGGACGGGTGACCATCGAGCTCGAAAAGCTACGGAAACGAAGCACCTATGATGGAAAGCGAATCAGCTCTATGGAAGGCGAAATAACACACGTTCAGCTCCGGTTGAAGGATAGGGATGAAGAATTGCGCGGGAAGGCCAAACTATTAGAGGTATGTTTGCTTCTTTTTTTTTTTTGCTGGTTAAATATTTCCTTTGCTGACTTGGCTTTTCTTGTAGGATTTCCAAGATGAGCTAGCGACATTGAATCTTCAGCTCAACATGGCTGAAGAGCGGACGGACCGGTTGCGCAAGGAGAACCAAGACCTAGTTGATCGTTGGATGGCTAGGATGGGTAAGGAAGCAGACGCCATGAATGATGCGTCAAAATTTTCATAAGACATGTAAAATCTTCTTGTTGTAGAACCATCCCCCGCCTATTCCCTCATCCCAGGGGTCTGGACACTACTAGGCTACACGTCGAAGTTTCTTGGGATATAACAGTAAATACTTTGCGATAGAAAGATGGAGTGTTATGAAACGCTATAATAGCAAGCTGTCTACCAGAGGCAACAAGAATGACCATTAAGATCACTGTATTTGTACATTTTGATATTTATAAGTTGTATAATAAGAATGGTATCCTGCTTCTGCTCTATAACAACCCAGCTCCCTTTCCCCCCCCCCCAAAAAACCAAAGATATTTGTACACAAGTACAGACAGTATATACCAGGTGCCCAAGAAAAGAACAACATCCGGGAACCAAAAATCGCTTCGTTCCAGTCATCGCACCAAAGAAGGGGCTTGATGTTTACTCGGTCGTCGAGAAAGAAAATAGGACAGTCATGACATACTCTCTGCAAAAGCCTTGAGTCGAGAGCTATCCTTGGTTGCGATAAAGTATGTACCGCCAACATCGGTCCAGCTGACGCTATTTGACCAGTAATTTCTCTGCTTCACCTTGAGAAGATTGATAGGCGAGTTCAAGTTCCGTGATTGAATCTTATGACCGACGGGGACAAAGGACTTGAGAGACACAATTTGGCACCCCTCCTTCATATCCAAGAAATGATTGATCAACTCATTATTCAGTTGAGGGGTAAAAGCTTGGTTGTTTATCAAAACAACATCTGCCCGTTTGAGAACATCGACAATGCTCTGCTCTTTAAGGAAGTCACCCCGGACTAGGTGTGTTTTCCCTGGCGCGATTCCCCACAACCGACATCGCGATTTAAACTCCGTTTGTTGAAGCTCCGCAAGATCGCATGCATTCTGCATCATTTCGCAGCCCCAACTCTCGCACCCTATCTCCAAGGCTGCCTGTAAGACCACGTTACCAACGCCGGACCCAAGGTCAACAAAGACCTGACCGGACTTAAGCCCGGTCTCCTTGAAAATAGTGCTGATAAATCGAGGGAGAAGCTCCCCATAAACATTGTCCGTCCCGTTTTCGTACTGGCGAAGAGACTCGACTCGTGGTGAAACTGTTCGGGAGTAAATTTGGTTCAAGATACGCTCCACGTGAGCTAGACTAAGCCGATGTGTAGCGTCCAGTTTCTTAGCAATGCTCCCACTGCGTCTGAGGCGATCGATAGCATTATTATAATCTGACACGCCCTCGCGAAACTCCGCTTCGGATTTCAGGGCTAGCGCTCGCCGTAGTCGCCGCTTGATACCCGTCGATTCGTTACTAAACTCATCTAAATCGTCTTCGGGAATGTACGCTTGGGAAACGATCTCAACAACTTGGACAATATCGTCCAGAGGCTTAAATTCATCATCGTCCCGAGGAACGACTAGTTGGTACCTAGGAGCCCCAAGAAGCCATTAGCCACATCACCAAATTAACGCCCAGAAAAAGAGAGGCTGGGTCAATGGACATACCGTTCTTTTGACGCCGCACTAGGATACTGTAGAAAGATATCCGCTGGCTGACTTTTATTCTCAAATGCGGGTTTGAATTTCCCCGCCTTTTGAATAGATGTGATCTCCGCCGCATGTACCATAGGAAGCGACCTAGCCCCTTCTTCAGAAAATGCCTTCACAGACCTTACGCGTCTCTGGAGATCAGGTTCTGGGCTATCACCCGTCCTGGCGCGTTTGCGCACTTCAAAAGAGGTATCCGTGTCGCTCGCGTCGTCATCGTCATCGCTGGAAAGTCGTTGCTCGGGCGTTGGGCGCTTTCGATTTCGCAGTGGTGTCCCTAAGCGTCGCTTCGATGATATGTGTTCTCTTTCCCCAGAGGCTGACCTGCTATCCGGTTCTTGAGTTTTTTTCGGCGGGGCAACGGACGAGGTGCGCGATCTGCTTGGAGTCTGGGATGAGGATCGTGAGGGAGGCGCGGCTCGTGTCTGAACTACCTTTCGTATTTGGGGTTTCTTTGCCTGGAGAGAGAAAGCGCCTCCTTTCTGGAGGTGGTCAAAAAATCCCATGAGGCGGACTCGGGAAGACGAGGCAGAGGAGGGGGCAGAGAATAGGGAGAAGGGCGGGAAAAATTACAAAAAAAAAACAGGACGATGCATATGAACAAGAAAATGTGGAGAGAGGGAACTAATATACGAGGAATGGCATATGTACGACGAGTGGTAAAAAGAACGAGAGTAGAAGCAGAAAAAGAAGAGAGAGTGTGAGCAAATGCCTGATGTGAGAAAAGGCAGTCAGTTGTCTGCGTGAGACAGAACTAAAAGTACTACCAGTAAAGTCGCCGCCACTGCGGGTCACTTAAATACAGGTATTAATTATAGTTATGCATTTATGTACTCCGTATTTCCACTTCCATGGCTTTGGGATCGTCTCGGATATTTCAACCTTCCCGAGTACTATTTTGTACCTTATTTACAGCTAACTATATCTAAGACGCTCTCTATTTTTGCTTTTTCTTCGCCAGTCGCTTCTGCGCCCGAATATCCTTCTTCATTCGAGAATCCACGATCTTGTACTTGCCCTTTACACCTTTAGGACGGCCAGAAATACCCTTGTTGCTTCCCCGAGCAACGACCAGTTTCACCTGTTGCTTGGGCTTCTTCTTAGCCACCCTGCTCATCAACCTCGCGATGGCCTGCGATTTGTCTCGTTCGCTGAGAGTTTCATCGTCTGCGAGGAGTGCGGACTTCTTCCGGAGCTTCTCGATCTTCTGTGCTGCCTTCAGCTTCTTGCGACCCTTAGCTTCCAACACCTTCTTGATCGGCCGTGCGTTGATGGCGCGCATTTTCTCTTGGATTGCGGCAGCAGCAGCCTTTGTGATCGGTCGGTTTGGTTTGCTGTGCTTGCCTTCATCGTCAAGGAACCATTCCGGGAGGCCATCGACATCTCGGAACGCGAGTTTATTATATCCGTCATCAACAATATCCTGCGACTTCTTCTCGCCTGTAGCCATCTGCTGAGCCAGTGCCATAGCTTCTGCGGTGATGATATCAATATCTATAGCCGTTGAGTTAGTAAAAGGCACGCAAGATAGGAATAAGGTCCACAATACTACTTACCAAGCTGTCCGTTCTTCTTGCGTGGTTCTTCCAAGTCTTCGAATTCATCTTCCGAAGAGTCGTCAGAATGCCGGGCTTTCTTGGCTTCTTTACCGTTCGGCTTTTCAGAAGCCTTGCTCTTCGGCTGCTTGGTTGCTTGAACTTCGTTGTCCTCGTCCTCTTCATCACTAACGTCCTCAAGGCCCTGGAAAATGTCTTGGTCAAAGAACAATGCAGCATTGTTGGAGAGAGACCCATTGGCAGGCAGTGACTTGTTGGGTGTGTCGAGTGCCTCGTCATTCGATTGTTCGTCATCGCTGCCCTCATTATCCTCGGAGAAGCCTTCCCACTCCTCAGCTTCGTAATCTTTTCGGGCTTTTTTGGCACGCAGTTTCGTATCCTTTTGTTCCATGCGGTCCTGATACTGCTCGTAGAGTGTGTCTAGTTCTCTCTCCAGAAGATCTCCTTCCTCATCGCTTTCGTCGTATTCGGATTCAGATCCAGACTCTTCGCTCTCACTCTCAACCGCTACTTCTTTGCCAGCGGCGATTGTATCTCTAGCGCCAGCTCTGTCAATCTTTTTCAACGAAAATGTGGCATCGTCTCCTCCAGGACCTAGCTGCTCCATTCCGATATCCATAGGAGTCGCCATATGCATCTGCAGACGAACGATCTCCTTACGCTTCTTCTCGTTTTCTTTGCGCCTCTCCTTCTTTTTCCTCCCGCTTTCTTTCTCTTTGAGACGGAGTAGATCTTCTTGAATAGCCAATTCCTCATCCATGGGAGCCACCTCAGCTACCTCCTCAGTCTCATCACCCTTGGACTGTCCCTTCTTCACTACCAATCCGAACTTCTCACGCACTCTCAGTCGCCACCGGAGCAAATTTCGAAACTCCTTTTTACCAAGGATTTTTAGATCCTCACAGCAATTTCGGATTTCATCCGTCGTTTCGGGTAGCCGGTCAAGAGTTGCAAGGGCTAAGTCCCCTCCTGGCATTTGTTGGAAGCTGAGTTTATTGCAAGAGCCAAGAATGGCAATGGGATCTGTGGTGTTGATGAACTCTGTTACAGAAACCTCTTTGAATTGGGTCCAGTCGCCCTCTTCATAACCATCTCTCTTCCGCTTCTTTTTTTCGGGGTTAAACACTTTTGCCTCATTATTGGGAGTGGGGTCTGAAAGTTCCGCAAAAACATGTTTTGGGTCAAGGAATTTGGGGTCCATGCGCTTTGGTGCTTTGAATCCGCGGCAGACAACGAAAATTTCGGCGGAGACGTTGCGAGATGATGGAGGCTTAGTTGCTTCCACAGATGAGAACAGCTGCTTGAAAACCCAGAGCAAGGGATTGTAATCCTTTGATCTGAAAACTTTTGTGACGAATGTACCGCCTTCGACCAGAAACTCAGTGGCCAGTTTTAGCGATTGCAAAACCAATTCCGCCTGAGAGAAAGCATCCTGAACCCAAGCTGTACCGACATTCGGAGCACCATCATGGAGAACAGTATCCGCCTTCCAATGTTTGAGGTGTTGTCTGATCGTTGCGCGACACTTTTCGGTGGTAATATCGCTCTGGAAGCTGATGACTCGAGGGATTGGCTTAATGGGGGCTAGATCAACACCGACAATGATACTCTGGGCAGGCATGCATTCTGCGGCGACTTGACACCATGACTAGTTCCTCTGTCAGAATATGAACATTGGGGGAGGTATCCAGCATCCACTGTACTTACACCAGGTGCAGCGCAAAGATCCAGAAGAACCTTGCTCTTTTCCAAAAATCCATACTTTTTGTTCAACTGGATCAACTTGAACGCAGCTCTTGCTCTGTAGCCCTTCTCCTTTGCCAAACGATACCACTTATCTAAACGACCTTTGCCGTTCTATTAGAAATTAGTACAAAGCCCTCAAAAAGTTTTTGCGTTCGGGGAAATGAGACATACCTTTTTCTGGATCGCCATTTTAAATAACCGGTAGTCGAGACAGACTCGACAAGTACCCGGAGGAGCGACAAGCTAAACTGGTGTAGAGGAGGGTCCGTTTGAAGGAGAAAAACAGGGCCTGGAAACCCAAGTTGACGCATGAGAAGAAAAAAAAAAAGATATCAGCACAAGGGTAGCCCCACAAATTTCCCCTTTTAGTCATCTGTGGCAGTGTGCATCACCAGCCACACTTTCTCTCCTCAGGCATCAAAAGGCGGTGAGGCTACTTTATAACTAGCATGTGACGTCGGATGATATCAGCCGTTGGGGTGTTTGGCATCAAAACGAGCGCCGCATTTGCTGGTACCTAACCCTGTTCTTGTTATCACGTCCAGACTCGGTCGATTATTCCTAGTTTTTTTGCTCATTACCAGCGTTCTTTGTTTAGCAGTACTTCTTCTTCTTCTTCTTCTATCCCACTTTCCGCGGCTGACCTTGGTAATGTTCTTATTTCAACCTTCATGGCGTCCTCGGGATCTCGTAAGAGAGTAAAGCCTAGCCCGTCAGGCCCGGACTCACGATCATTTGATGGGGTGGCCTCCCCCAACGAAGAGCGCTCCAGCTTGCAGAGTGCCCGGGTAGGTTTCTGATTTTCTCTAGATTAGTCCGCACTGCTTCTCGAGTGAATATGAAGCACATGAAGTTTATTCTTATCATATCTAACTTGGATTGCAGTGGTACCCTGGTGTCTGGCCCGCTGCGTCGAGGTCATCGAAAGCGGCTCCCGTTACCGAGGTTGCCCGTGAGAGTATCTCAATGGCGAAACACACCCTATCGAACTTGACTTCTGCATCAACTCCTCAGCTTGAGGCACCGAAACCACCACGGAATCCTTCCCTTCAACTGACACGAAAAGCGGGTGCATCGACAAGGTCCCTCCCCGCTGACGCGACAACAACCCGCATCAACATAGCTTCTGATGGCACCGCATCCACTCCCTCAGTGGACGTTCAACCAGACCCTACCACTTCATCAGAGCAAACAACCGATAAAGAGACACCAAAGGATAGCGCTGCGATTGTATCGAGTAACACATCAGAGCCACAGGTAGCCACGACGAATCCCGATGCAGCTGAAGGGGACGCGAAAACTGGTAACACATCAACAACTGAAACTCAGCCCAGTGGATGGCTTTCATGGTTTTATAGCCCGGTCACAAATGACACAGCTGCTACTAGCGATTCGCCCGCAGATTCGCCCGCAGATTTACCAGCCGACGCACCTCTAGAACCCCCTGCTACAGAAGCTCAAGCAACGCAGCAAGATTCTTCCTCTACTCCAGCAGATTCAGCGCTAGAACAACAAGATAAACCCCCAGAAACGATAGAGATCTCATCTACATCCCAAAAGCGGTCCTGGCTCCAGATGTGGTATGGTTCATCGTCGTCCACAGGGCCGGAGGAGCCCAAAGGTGAATCTCCCCAACAACCGGAAGAGCCAGCACCTTTTAATCCTACCGAACGACCCAATCCCAAGGAGGATAATGTAACACCAGGAGTTGAAGAAAGCTCGCTTGACCCAGATGTCCCCACTTCTAAGCCGTCGGGGTGGTCGTTTTGGTTCAAAGACAACACCAAAGATCCCACCCAGGGAAAGGCACCGGATGCCCAAAGAGTCGAGGGGTCAACAACTCAAGAGCAACCCATGCCTCAACCTGCTAGCGAGCTCGAATATAAATCGGATAGGAAGACAGAAATTACTAAAAAGGGCAGCGTGAAGATCAAATCTCCTTCCAGCGGCTTGTCCCTCCCTGACAATGCGATTCAAGGATTAGAAACTCGCCCCAATGTTCCAACCTCGACTACTCCTGAAGCGGCCGCTGCTTCAAAGCAGTTGCAAAAGATAATCCCCAATCAAGTCGTCCCACAGTTTAAAGACACATTTGCCTTGCAAGATAGCCCGACACTACTCCAGTCGATCGGTCGATTTCTCCATTATACCAAGGAACCCAACAATAAACACGTCTACAAGGTTCCTAATCCACCGCATATTAAAAAAGCGCTCGCCATTGGGATTCACGGATATTTCCCTGCACCATTAATCCGAAGCGTTCTTGGTCAACCCACAGGTACATCTGTCAGGTTTTCCAATATGGCGGCGGAAGCAATACGCAAATATACCGACGACCATGGATATACATGTGAGATTGAAAAGATAGCCCTAGAAGGCGAGGGGCGCATTGCAGAGCGTGTGGATTTGCTTTGGAAGCTGCTTCTTAGCTGGATGGAGAAAATTAGAAGTGCGGACTTCATCCTCTTTGCCTGTCATAGTCAAGGCGTGCCCGTGGGGATTATGCTAGTTGCAAAGCTTATATCTTTTGGTTGTCTTAATGCGAATCGTGTTGGTATCTGTGCCATGGCTGGCGTGAATATGGGACCGTTCTCTGACTATAGATCTCGGTGGATCAGCGGCTCTGCTGGAGAGCTTTTCGAGTTCGCCTTGCCTTACAGCCAGGTTTCGAAAGACTACGAAGCATCTCTGAAGGATTGCATAGATTTTGGGGTTCGAATATCCTACATTGGGAGTATTGACGACCAGCTTGTGTCCCTAGAGGTAATACCCACCCCCATCCCATCCTTCCAGGCAATGAACTAACACCAACAACTTGTTTCAAGTCATCTTTATTTTCGCCCGTATCTCATCCATATATCTATCGAGCGGTCTTCGTTGACGGCAGATTCCATGCTCCAAGCTTGTGTGTTCCCTGCAGCTTCCCAATTTCCCTTGATCTTAGACCACTAATACCATTTTCGAACAGTGTCTCGCATCTAGTCGGGTTTGCGCTTAAACTTCGCAACCTAGGAATCTCGGACCACGGTCTCATTCGAGAGTTGAGCTCTCCACTTGCGGGTAGCCTCTACACGGGAGAGGGCCACTCACGACTTTATGATGACGACGCTGTATACCGGTATGTCTTTGGGGTCTCCTACAGTGCTTTCCATCATCGCTTATCCCTTCTCCAGACTCGCGATTGAATTTGCTCTCGAAACATCAATAGTATCTAGCGCATCTCTGCACATCAAGAGAAGCCACCCGCCCACTCCCGCAAACCCATACATCCTTCCTTTCGCAATGCGCGGCCTTCTTGAAGAAGAATACGTCCGACGCGAGTTACTCGACGAAACCATGGAACTCCTCAAGCAATTCGACGAGTGGAAACCAACAAGCAAGGTCCTTAAAGATGTTAAATTCCGCTTGGAAGGCATACGCTCCAAACTTTGATAAAAATTTCCTCAGTGCCCGATACACTCTTCCGGGCTTATTTGTATCTACTACTGCTTCTTGTGTACCTATTTACTGAGCATCCCCTTCCCTGCTTAAGAACATAGAGCACTACAAGTGTTACAGTTGATTATATAGATCACACTACTTTTATATTTTGGGGTTTTTTTTTTTCTCGCGCAACATGAATGATCCAGTCAAAAGAATCGGGGGCCCCGCATAAAAAAAAAAAAAACCAAAAAAAATGGATGGAAAGGGGAAATCAATTGATTAATTTCATTTCTTTGTTCTCTCTTTCTTCCCTGCTTTCTATCCACCTATCCACCTAGACTATGTATAACAATAATAATCCCAAATAAACTAACAATTATTTTCTATAAAGCAGTAAACCACAAAAGCCAGGGAGTTTTTTTTTTTAAGGGGATTGGGGGGGTTCCATGACAGCTCCAAGAGATTTGATAAAAAGATATATATATACAATATGTATACCGCGGAACATTGCGAATAGCATTGGGGATATTGGGATATTATTGTGCGTAGCTAGCTATGTTTAGGGAAGTGAATCAACTCGGTCTAAAGGGGGAAATAAATTCCCAGGACAGAGACTTGAAGATGGGGGTTTAGAGAGATGGTTGTGTGATGAATGATGGTGGAAGATACCTATACCTACCTAAGGTATGTAGGTATGTATGTATGTATGTCTGTGGTGGGAAGAACCTGTACATACAGTATGTACAAGCACTTCCGGACGTGGGAGTTGATCCAAAATCTTCTGGTTAGGTGTCTGACGAATGTGTCGGCCTCTTTACTGGTAGGAATGGCAGAGAGTATATTGAAGCTAAACTCCTCAGGTTAGTCGCTACCTAGAAGCACTATCTTACCCTATTGGAGTGGTGTCTTCGAGTTTCCAATAATAAAATATCTTAATATGACAGGCAGTCTTTAACTCGGGTTTACTGGAGTATAGGATATGTTTATAGAATTCCAATGAAGAAACTGTTAGGGGCCAAAACTGGTCTGGCCCTATCGTGAATGATTCGGCTGCTGTCTCCGATCTAGGATATAGCAAAAGCACAAGAAGCCTCAACTATATTATGATAGTCAATGTCCTCAATATGAACCGCATCCATCCAAGGATAAGGTATTAATATAAACGCATACCTACTATTGTAAGAAAGCCGTACGGTATGCGCCCTCAATTTCATCTAGAGCATCTAATATCAGCGCTAAATCCCCTTTATTGTTGCTCACGCAAGTACAAAAACAAAGGACTCACCTCTCATTCCATCTAAAGCCTCAAAGGCAATAGCGTAGTTTGAGACAGCACTGATGATCCCTTCCAGTCCTTGTCGAAGCTCTTCCATAAATTGATCGAAGGGGTTGCTTGTAGTGCCATTCCCGAATTCCGGCGACATTTGCTTCTCTACACGCACTTTGTAGAGTATCATCAGCATGGCATAGCTCCCTTGCATGAGGCAGCACGCAAACGAAGGCATCGTTCGTGGAAATTGGTTTAGTGGTAAAAATTGAAGTACCTGCGGTGGATTGCGGGCATTATTGAGCGGCTGGGGTATAGGCAAACTCTGAAACGTGCGCGATATTAACAATGACGCTGTAAGACAGACTTTTGCAGAGTGTTGACTTGAAAATGGGAATCCGTCAGTGAAGGAGAGATGCGACATAGATTGAAAATCAGAAGACGTAGATGAGGTGGATGAAGGTGTAAAATTGCTCGAGGGGGATTGCTGGACTTGGCCCAAACTAGGACACGAGCAACCAATACTCGAAATCTCATCATGAGCTTTGGGGGGTTTCGGGGCATTTGCTTGTGTCGGGTTGTTAGGACCAGCGGCAGTTAGATCGCAATGTTTCTTAATGAATATAGGTATATCGGAGAAGGCTCGAAATCGGTGAATTTTGATTTGTGCACTGGCGCAAAGTTAGTATGCTACCATTGAAGAGCTACATACACATGGACCAACCTGGAGAGCTTTATTTGAGATATTGCACGGATGCTTTTGGCGGTAGTAAACTCTGATTGGCTATCGCGCTCGGCGGCTGGAGGAGCGATAGGAAGCAGATTTGACTGGGCCAACGCTGAGCTAGCCCAAGCATCCAGCTGCTGCATCCGTTCATATATGTAATGCATATTCGTCCTTGTTGAGGTGCACTTATTGAGATCGATCACAAATTGAGTTGCAGATACCAATACTTGTTGAGCTTGAATTAATACCGACCAGCCCTGTGAAAAGCATTAGTGAGACCGGTTGTGGTATAAATAATGTCCAAGCAGACAATCCGGGGAGGGAGCCTACATCTGGATCCGCAGAAAACCGTGGATAGGGAGTAACGAATTGCGGGTCATTCGCAATAATGGATAAAGGCTTGAGATTCACAACATTAGAGGCGCAATGAGAATCAAAAAAGGTCCAACTTACTGCTGTGCTAACAATCGAGCCCTGGAGAACACAGTAATACTATTGTAGAAGAGTAGATATCAGCAATTGTAGGAGAGAGTCTCTGGCAAGTGTCTCTCTACCGTCATCCACCAAGCCCTTCTTCGAGCTTCTGTGAACTCGTCATATTCTTCCCCAAGTGCGTGAAGGGACATATCAAGCGCTATGGCCAAAGCCTGACCGGCTCGATATCTCATTTTTAAAAGATTTCCACGCTGTGTGTACTCGTATACTGAGAGAACTAGTAGGGCAAGAATGCACTCAAGCTCGACAGGAGTTTGAGGGTGAAATGGCTCTCGATTAATGAGCGGACGACCACCTGACAAAGCATCTGCTGGAACCGTAGATGAAGCATGGAGCTCGCAATCAGACTCTATGCTATTATTTGCAAGCTGTGCAAAACTGTGTGCGTATGTGCGACGTCGAATGACCGAGCTATGAGATGATGGCTCTGGATCATTTGGATGTGGGATAAGTGCTAATATAGCAGATAATGCCAGACTGAGCGGGGAGTGTGGTCGATAGAGGAGTATCGGTTCCTCTGACGGAGATTCTGTGAAAGAGCCAGCGCAATCTAATGGCCGATCCATAGAATAGGGTGCCACTCTGGGTGGAAGGATTGGAAAGTAGCAATGAATGAAGTCGTAGTAGGCGTTCAGTCTGTCTTTCCAGTCAGAGCAGTCCAAGGTCTTCAAGGTAGAACCCACATGTCGTGCTCGCTGCCATAAGTCCTTACCAAGGAAGGCGACGTTATAATACTTGGTGAAGGGGTCGGTTCCATTTGGGCCTGGGGATTGTTGCCATCGTGAGGGATGAATAGCTCCGCAAACATAGACAGAACATCGGACGAATAATCTAAGCTTCTGATACCGGCACCTGGGACGGAAAGCACGTCGATTTGACCGAACGTTGCTGGCATATAATGGTTAGTTTTCCCTTCGGGATCTACCGGGGTCTGCTTAGTCCTTGCACTGGTTTGGTTCAACATACAATCCTCGAAACCGGAGCATACGGATGCAAGTGCTGGGTTCTGGATAACATCTTGCTGGACAACGCCATCTAGATAGGGTGTGTGCTTCTTCTTTTTCCTTGGACCGCCGCGTTTACTAGGGAGATAGGAGCATTCCCTCTTTTTGCTGAGACACTTGATATAGGGATGTGCCTTAGTATCAAATTTCCAGTACGTGGGGCCAGGGGTGGGGGATTGGCCTGGAAGGTAGTAGGTAGTTTGGGGGGAAGAGAAGCCAAAGAACAAGCAGAAAACAAAACACAGCTGAGAGACAACCACGAGGGAAAAAAAGAACCTACATTTATGCAAGGATCTTGGCCATCACAGCGTGTTCTCGAGGCACGACTGTGATTTGATTTGGTTAGCGGCGAGATATATCACCGTGGGCAGGAAGACCCGAAGATGACCTTGTAATCAAACAAGCTTCTCTCCCGGCACCAAATGGAGATCGAATGGAGATCGAATGCAGATGGTAAACATGACAACGGGCGTTCCTTACCAAGCTAAACATGCTACCTTGACTGGAGGCTTTGCAAATTTCTTGCGGATCACAGTGGGCCTCGACGCCATGGACTGTGTAACTGTCGAGACCCCATTCTGATCCAGCTGGTGCTCGAAACTGTCCAGAACCATGGTGATTCTGGAGGAGTAGTTTTTTTTTTTTTCAATCAATGGATTGAGCAAAGAGTATGTTGTCGAGGCTCCAAGTCCGAACTGTCATGCAGCGTCTGGCAAGCGTGCAACCATTACTCAGGACTCGACGCTCAGATGGTGCATCACGTGCGAAGTCTGGAGGGGAGGAACAACAAATTCTTCCTTTTTGTTTTTGTTTTTCTGCCCCTTTTTGATGGAGACCCAAAGGAGTGGTCTGATATACGGAGTACACCTGCGTTGATACTTGGGGGGAATAAGTTCTATCTTAATCAGCAATTGTTGGCTGGCTCGTGAACCAAATCCCGAACTGTGCGACAGTTCGGGATTTGGTTCTGATTTGGTTCTAACTGGAAGAATCACAGTGATGCTCAGTCCATTCTCGACAAATTCGAGAAAATACCCTTCAAGGATCGATTCCGAGGAATTTTACTACTCCTGATTTATTTTTATTTATGTTTTTTTTTTTGGTCTTTCATTCATCGCAAAAAGGACAGGTCCACAGTGCCAGTTGGTTGCGCTTTCCTTTTTAGGCGGAGGCTGCATATCACGTGATATTGTAACTATATCACGGTCCAGTATTTTATGATATTTAGATCGATAATGTAGAATGTGAGATGAAAGACTCGATATATACACTGTACTCGTCCTGGAAGTTGTGGCAAAGCAGCGGACCTAACAAGGATAACCCAGAGAGGGCAGAAAAAAACACTTACAGAGACTCTTCTGTCATCTGTTAGTTACTTGCGGCGTGATGCCAACGTAAAAAGTACTATAGTTCCTTTATTCCTCAATATAAGAGGGATGCGAAATACAGGATGGGGGCATTAGTATTCCTGTTGCAACGACCCTAAAGGAATATTCCACTGATTCACTTCTCTGGGAATCTATATAGGTGCCGGATGCCAAAGAGCAGCCGAGTACATAGAGGCCTAACGTGACAGGCAACTGTATGGCACACGACTGTGGGATTAGGTTCGAAGATCACCCAAGGAAATGCCAGGTACACGTCTAACACTCCCCCACACGCTATCAGGAACGACTGCGGGGAGCTTATGTCCCTTCAATTGTTGGTCGATTAACCACATGCCGACGACAAACTCTTCCTTCGCAAGAAGACCAATCTTCTGTCCATCCACAAGGTCCCAGACTTGCTCTAGGGTATGGTCTGGAAGGCGACTGCGCGACCAGATATCCTGAACCACTAGGTTTACCACCATCTCAAGAGCATTCACAGGATACATGTCAGGGGGTCGTTCTCCCTGGGAACCCTGTTTAAATATTTGGTAAGGAGGAATAAGCAGCCCTTTATTAGCAGCCCAAACACCTTCATACCGCTTTCGCTCTTTCTCGGTTATTTCAATTCGCCATCGTTTTCTATCGCCTTCGTGGTGTTTATGCGGGTGTTTATGGATGATATTTTTTGTGTGTGGATGGTGAAGATGTCGACGGTGGTGACCTCCCTCGTCATCAGATTTGGCTTCGGCCCGGAGTGTTTGACGTAGGTTACCCGGGCTTGGATTGGAGGGGCGGTCCTTTTTGGATTGATGTTGAAGTTGTAACAATGAACGAGATCTGCGTCGACGCGATGGTGGGGGTGGAGGAGGGGACCTCTTCGCCTGTAGGGCTCGGGCTGACGCTCGTGACGAGGCAACGACGGCGTCTGAACGCCCTTCTCTACTTACATCCGTCAAATTATCAGGCATGCTTGAGCTGCTGTAGTTTTGTGATTGGCTGTAGAGTGATGCAGCACTGGAGCTTGACGGCCGTACCGGAGACCGGTTATCTCCAAGGAGATATCGATGGTCTCGTGTATCCCTCGTAGACATGGTTGAATCAGCTCGTCGTGGTGGGAGCGCGGGAGGCCGCCCCTCAGATAAGGTAGAAGAGGAGGCCTTTGAGCGAAGAGAAGATTGGCTGCTCGAGAGCTCTTGGTCACGTTTTAATTTGTCTAGACGCTGGCTGGTAGGAGCTAATGAGCTGGTTGAGTGGGTTGTTGATGATGATATTAGAGCGGGTTTTCGAGGTGCAGGCGGATTTGGTCGAGGCTTTGATACGGCCGGCCTAGGAGAGGTGGTAGGCACGGGCGACGCAATAAATTTTGGCAGCGACGTTTCTTCGGCATCGTCTAAAAATCGTCCAACAAGCGAACGGGTTGCTATCGTCCCTCGGACGGGGATCGGGGACGGCAGATTCTGGTCTTCATGCTCCCCATTTTGCTGGATTTGGGCTTTCTGGACACCGACACTTGCAGCTTTTGCGCTGGGCGTCGGGGTGTTTCTCACCGCAAGCTGGGCCGCAACATGTTGCAGACTTTTCGCTTGAATATCTGTCTGTGAGCTCGAGTTGCTACTGAACTTCGCGATCTTATCCTTTATAGAGCCGGGTTCCGGGAGCTCTAAAGGCGGTTCGGAGTCGCGGTCCAGAATAGGGGCGGGATCCCGACGGTCAATCCCCATAATTACGCCGGATTTCTGGCTGACCAGCCGTGGAGGATCTCTGACTGGGGTTGAATTAAAGGCTAGGAGAGCTCCTTGCAAAGCTGCGGCGTTGGGAGAGCTCCCCTCATGATTGCGGGGAGATAATCGGCGATCCAGAGTTGTAGGCGGTTTGGCCATTCCTGGGAGACCGACCCGCTTGGACCAGCCAGGGGGTTGTTTCCGCAGGAGGCTTGAGCAACTCTACAGGTACCGTTTCTCAGTAGATCCGCCGTTGAATGGTGGTTAATTGATGGAATTGCTGGTCTCTTGAATATTCATCGGTCTCTTCAATTTCTAAAAGACAGATAGGAGAGTCTAGGTGGACGCGTGCGAGTCAGCCTCAGCCGCAATTTTCGAACTAAACCTGTTCAATAATCCAGTCTATTCTACGAGTTTTAAACATGGCTCTACGGGTAATTCATTGGATCTGTCTCTTTGCCCTGGATTTCTATTATGATCTCGAAAGGTTGCGCGTGCGTGGCCTTTCCACGCTACAAGTCCTGTTACGACTGAATCTCCCCCCCAACCCAGACAGAAATATGCAGAATCATCTTGGAATCCTCCTAAATTTTTAGTGCCCTAGTGTACTCAGCTCGCGCGAGCTTTCCCGCAACCTCGCGTGAGGTACCCGAACCCTAACCGATATCAACCTGCAGTACGGAGTAGGCCTGAGCATCAATCGTAGCTTCCGGGTACTGATACCTGTAACTTGGTGATGTGCTAGTTGGCTGGGATGCAGTCAAGTCAAGTCACCCAGAAAGTCATTACTTAGCAAGTCACGTCCCGTCTAGCAAATCGCGCCCAGCAAGTCCCATGTCTGCATCTGACGGTAACAAGGATGCAGCCACCTAACCGGAAGGGGTTGAAGTTGCTGTTAAGAAAGAAGTTATTACAAGCATAGATAAGGAGACTCTTCAGCAACTTGGCTCGTCCACCAATGCTGTCAAGGCAAAACGACGAACGATCCCTGCAGAGGAGGCTGCATCCCCTGACGAGCCCCATCAGGGTCAAGATCAGAGCCAGTAGTAGGTCCGCTGAATTCTTGCTGGAGGCAACTGTCATAGCTTGCCTTGTCGTCCACTTTCTTGGAAATGATTCCTTCGCGATCCCAGTCCCAAAACCATGTCAGCTCGCGGTAAAATGCAAAACTGGGAAAACCCTTTCTAAAAAGTGGGTGGATTTTGTTGTCAAATAGCCAGAAAAGTCCGGATGTTGTTGCCAATGCAAGTCCGTACCAATATGCTCTAGTGTCCCAAGCCTTTTCTAAGATACTAGATAGTTCTGAGCCGCGTGAAAGTTTCTTTTCTTCAGATCTGAGGATAGCCATGAAGTCTTCGGTGGAGGTCTGTAAGAAAGAAAAAGAATGGTCCACGGCAGTTCTGTGTAAAAAAAAAGCCGAGGTAGCATGCGCATTGCTGTAAGGATTGAAGATTGGTAGGCAAAGTCCGATCGATTATTAATAGCATTAGGTTGATAGCGAAGCCGAGAATCATGCACCGCAAGTAAGTCATCCACATAGTGATATGTTGATAAATATGTTGAATCGCGGGGTATACCAACAGGTATTCCTTCATTTTCGAGCTCCTAGATCCCTAGTGATAAGGGCCGATTCGCAAGACACAAGTACCCACTATCACATATTGTAAAAGATCCAATTCGTGGAAGTGGGGATTTTGCAAAGCTCAGGAAGATCCGTGCAAGATCACGAAAGAGATTAGCACGCAGTTCATTGTTATCCCGTCCTTGTTGCCATGTGTTTGAAAGCATACCACCACGGTTAATAAATTCAATTATCATGTAGCCTGGCATGCCCTTCTTAAAATGACTATCGTTTCGAACATAGCAAGACGGATTCGGGAGACAAAGGAGTGATCGTGACCAGCGAAGGAACAAGGAGATATAACGAGAGGCAAAGGACAGGTTCTCGAGGCGGGTAAACTGTGGATTAGTTGGACGTAGAGCTAGCAGGGTCTTAAATATACAGTCACGCCGGTTGATATCCCAAAGCCATATAGCTTTGGAATAGGTATGTTAGGGCAATAGTCTTCGAGCCATGCATAAGTACCAGCTTCACATCGGATCTTTTCATCTGCATTTCCAGGCTTGATTCTTTCACCAACGCGATAGGGTAAAGGGATGCGGAATAGGACTTGATACTAGCCAGTAATAACTGGTATACAAACGTTAAAGCTTCCATTTAGCCATTGATCTCGATGCGCAATATTAACAGTGGATGGTGACATATTGAAATGGTGCGCGACAACTTCACGAATCCACTCTACATGGTCTTCAAGAAACGAAAAGAACTCATCCCGTTGGCGAACATATCTAAGTTGATGTAGGATATTGCTTTCCTTGTCTTGAGCACTCTCGAGTGTGATCTCACCACGGAGAAGTTGTCGAGATTGGCGGGACATGGTGGGTGAGCTAGCAGTTATGGTTGCTGGGACCTACCATGCTTGGTGCAACCTCATCGGAGCGGATTAACTATATGAGGTCAGGTGACTGCCAAGACATTCGTAATTTCTACCAGGCATATGCCCATTATATTTTACATTAGAAGTGGTGAATACTTTCATGTCAGGTAGAAAAATAACTCTCTACCCATAATGAGGTTGGATTATGCTAGCTCTACCCATGGTGAACTCGGGACCTCGGCGTGGGTATGGAGTAGAGCTCTACCAGCCACTACGGAGTATATTGGAGAACTCGACCACATCTACTGCAAAGAGTAGTACCACGGAGAATTAACCGAGTACCTCATGATGATACCTGCCCACCAGGTAGAATTTAGCCGACTGGAATATCCCTGGATGGCCAATCAATCAATCAATCGCAATGATTCTCATCCTGCTCGCCCCGGACCGAGTCACGTTTCCTCGCACTCCACCACGATTTCCCCCGCTTCTCGTGCCTTGGAGTGTGCATCTGGCACGATGACCCGCCGAAGCCGGCATCTGCTCTGAAGTAGCGCCCAAAGAACCTGGGGGTGTCAGCATTTTCCGTTATCAGTGTCGCAATTCTTGAATATTCATTCATTCTTCTTCTTCTTCTTCTTCTTCTTCTTCGTCCCCAGGCGCCGGGATGCTCGATTGACCCACTTCCGGGGATAACAAGTAACCCCACATAATAATGCTCTCGCGCTATCATTGTCCATTTCTTTTGTGATGCGTCTTTCAATTCTCTCTTATGCTCCTCTTCTCTGATACTCTGCGCTACCATGTCCCGACGCTCCTCTCTCCATCTTGTCAGTCTTCTGTGCGCAATTTGTCGATGAGACGCCATGTCCCCGGAAAACCCCGACCCTGGTCAAGGTAAGAACGGATGTTTTGAATTCTCCTTCCCCACACTCGAGTTCAAAACTAAACTTCCCCCAAGAAGTCTTCCTTTTCACAATTTTCGCCCCAGGAAAAATTAACCGAGGTTGTAGAAGCTTTAGACCGCCATGAAGCCGATTCCAGGGCCAAGTGTGACGACGTCCCCTATGATCGCGAAGTTGAGCAGCCCTCCACAGCCGTCGGCCAAACCAAATGCTCTATCTGTCAAAGCACCTTCCGAAGACCTGAGCATTTAAAACGTCACTTTCGCAGCCACACGAAAGAAAAGCCGTTTGAATGTGCGCAATGTGGCCGTCATTTTTCGAGAACGTAATTTCCCCTCCCGTCCCCTCTCTCTTTTTTTGTTTTCCTTTCATAAACGAGTCCATTCTCTTCTTAGACACTCGCCGTTCGAATTAGCTTCGCAATTGAATCTAACGTGCCTTAGTGATACGCTACATCGCCATGAATTAAGCCATCATACCATAGGGGCCGACGGGGGAAAGGATCGTACGCACCGAATCACAGTCAAGACATTCCGAGCGTGCTATAAATGCGCCATTGCCAGAGTGCGATGTAGTGGTGGTATGCCATGCTCGCGCTGCGAGAACCGATCTCTTGAGTGCCAATACCCAACCGAGCGACGTTCGAAAGCCAAATTACAGAAGAATGGGGTGTCAACCTTATCCGTCGAAAATGATGATGTATCGTCTGGACAGTCTACGCGCTCATTCTCTACTCTTTCGACGAACGCCCCCGAGACGTCGCATAAGCGCAGCGGCGAGAACTCGGCCTCTCAGTCTTCTGGATATCAGATGGGCCAATTTCAGCTTCAATTGACAGAGCCTAATCCTTCCATCCCTTCCGAACACCGTCCTTTGCAGGCCAGTTCCCAGGACCATACCCAAACCCAAGCGGGAACCACGGAAGGTACTATTCCTGAGCCTACTGCGGCTTTGTCTCAGACAAGTATTATCAGAGTATCGGAGATAGTCCCGCAGTCGTTTCCCTCATTTTCCGGTCAAAGCCATCAGCTCTATTCACCCTTGCCAAATTTGCGAACGCCAAATTCCCCCTACACCGATAGGAGACTCACGTCCGGCTGCTCACCAGAATGCACGCCGTTAGATATCGTCAGCTCCGGCAGCACTATTTCCGGAATTGTGGTGACAGGTGGCCAGCACGAGCAAATGGGTTTCCCACAGCCCTTCCTAGACCAGTCTACAGTTTCCACAATCAATTGGCTTTCTAACGATCTATTCCTTGGATCCCCCAACGACCAGGGTCTTGTGTCCGCACCGCCTTCGTATTCCCTCCAACCCGGTGCCTTTGATGGCTCTTTGAACCAGACAACATGGCTTCCTCCAGTCATTAACACAGAACATATGGGCTCATCCCTGTCAGGAAACATTTCCCAAACTCCTTCTGGAAACACATCACTGGGTGACGATATGGATAACTCAGCTAACTTTGTTCAAGGCCCAGACCCGCGATCCCAATCGCGATCTGAGTCTAGCAAGCGACCGGCAGACTGGTATGCAGATGAACCCAGCAGGCTACTTCTTAAGCACCGGCGGAATCGACCATCTTGGCCAGTACACGCCCCAGAACCACTGGATATATTTCTGAAATTTCAAAGCAGTGACTCCAAGGTCGGGTTCTCGTTCCCAGTCTCCCAAGAGGCCAAGGTGGATCCTGCATCTGAGCCTTTGAAGACATGGCAAATCCAACCATCAACTTACGACCAGATATACAACTCCTTCGTTCGGCTATGTTGTACGGAAACCGTTCTTTATTCAAAATTCGAGACAGAGAATTTCCCAACAGCTGGGGCATTATCCAGATTTCTCAACCTTTATTTTCGCTTCTTCCACCCTGTATACCCTATATTCCATACTCCTACCTTTGATCCAAACAAATGTCACTGGCTGGTCACACTTGCACTAGTTGCAGTAGGGAGTCATTCCCAAGATCTCTGTGAACGAAATGGGACGGTCGCAGCCTTTCATGAGCTCCTTCGCCGGGCTATCTTTGTTGAGGTATATGCGTACTATATTGAGAAAGGAACCTCCTTAACTAATTAATTTTTTTTTTGCTTAGAAAGAGAAGTGTCCTCCTGAGCGGACACCACTCTGGTTACTCCAGGCAATATTACTCAACTGTGTTGGCAGACTTCATGGAGGTAGTGAACGAGGAAGAATTTCAGCACTTGGTGACTTCACGGATCTCACTAACCTTGCCACTCGTGAGAGACTGCTATGCTGCCCAGGGAAAATAAATAACTCACCGAACGAGGCATCCGTGGGTCAAGAATGGACCTTATGGGTTGAAGAGGAGTCTCGAAAGCGAACAGGTTATCTAATATGGGTATGATTCTCTTTGGGCTCTCTGTTGATTAGCTAGTCGGCTAAATATCGACACAGCTCGTGGATTCCACAAATGGGTACCATTTCGACAACAACCCGTCTTTTTCTCTTGATGATGGCCAAGCGCCGCTTCCTTCAGATGAACATATTTGGCAGGCGGGTTCAGCACAAGAATGGGAAAGACTTTATGAGGCGACTTCAGGTATTACTTGATTCCTCTTTAAAGCTTCATCTTACCTAACTATTCTTTTTCCAGGCCGAGAACAAATATCTCTCTACGATGCTGCGCTCACACTGTACATTGAAAAAAGACTTGTTCCTGAAATAGGGGATTTTAATCATACTCTGATTATTCACGCTTTATATCACCGCATGTGGGAGGTTGGAGAATACTTCCGCCGGCCCTTATCATTCTGGAACCCCACGGCAAAGAAGCAATCCCGCAGATTAGCTATTCCGTCAGGGTCTGTATGGCTTCCAGGGATCCCCTCATATTCGAAGTGGAGGAACAGCGCGTGCGATTGCTTGGATATTCTTCATTGGAAAGCAAGTGATCTTGTCGCAAAAGCAAACGGCCACGAGCACCCAACGATTCTGCATCTTCATACAGCCCGAATCGTTCTCCTAGCGCCATTCCGTGAAATACGATTGCTAGTGACCTTGCTTGTAACGGGTAAAGCTAATTGGGCTGACCGGCAGCAAGTGATCGAATGGCATTACATCTTGCGTTGGATAAAACACGACCAATATAAGGCGCGTCTGGCTATTATACACGCCGGCTTAGTTTTATGGCATGTTCGCAGGTTCAAAACCAATGCATTCCACGAGCCAGTTGCGACCTACCTGGCGATTCTTACTTTATGGGCTTACGGGCTTTCCTATTCTCAAGCACCTCCGGACATCACTACTCACGGTGATACAAGTCGGGAGTCATCCGGCGAAGCTGCTATAATCAACCTTGACCAACCTTGCGACGATGACCTTGTGCAACTGTTTGTACGCGATGGTCAGAACATGAGGGGAATATTAGCCGGTGTGGGAGATCTTTGCTCCTTGCATGGCACAGAGCAGATCCTTCGAGTTGGATGTGAGACCCTTGCCGGGCTTTCATCCTGGGGGATATCTAAAGAGTTCATGGTGGTCTTGATGAAACTTGTAGAGTTGGTTTCTTGATAAAGAACAGAGTTAGACGAATAAACAGATGGTTCCCAGCTTTTACCGGTGTATATATTAACGAACTCAACTACTACCCATCAACAATCAAGCTTTACGATTCCTCTCAAAAGGCCTCTTCCCCTTCAGCGATGAAGAAATTGTTGCCAGTACGGTGTGAGGGCAAGTGATATCATGTCACATGTTCTCGTGTCGTATATGGCGGTTGGAGCCTAGAACGCTGCCTACAACAACAAATCAATACTTAGTTGCGCGATCCAGCTCCATTCCAAACCATAGCGATAAGTGACTCTTCCATAATTGCAGCCCTTTAGCAGCAGTGATATTAGTTTGAATGGACTGCTGTGATCAATATGGATCGAGACGAGGTTATGCAGGACAAATCAATAAAACCCCCACTGGGCAACGAGGACTCCGATGTGGATGAAAAGTAATCGAACCAATTCACTTTCTCTTCGCCATTTTTCTTTTCTTTTTTTCCCCCGCTTTCTTTTCTTTAAAACTATTAAGCTAATATTGATATTCACTCGACATAGGTATCCTAACCGACCTCGAAATCATGCACCGACACTGCCTTTCCATGCGCTTTTTGAGCTACTCTTCCGGCCGCTAAGTGAAATCAAGAAGAAGCCCGTAGGACCCCCGGGAGCTCGAAGAAAAGCCGGACCTCAGGGTCAATCCGCTGAAAATCTTAATCCATTCGAGAGACGACGCGATGTAATTGAGCGCTTCATCTCACGATGGAAGAAGGAAGTTGGTGACGACATATACCCCGCATTTCGATTGATCCTGCCTGACAAGGACCGAGATCGAGCTATGTATGGCGTCAAGGAAAAAATGATCGGGAAATTGCTCGTCAAAATCATGAAGATTGATAAGAATTCCGAAGACGGGTTTAACCTTTTGAACTGGAAACTTCCGGGGCAGGCTGCGCCGTCAAGTATGGCGGGCGACTTTGCAGGTCGCTGCTACGATGTTATTTCGAAGCGACCCATGCGGACGGATGTGGGAGATATGTCGATTGAGGAGGTGAATGAGAAACTTGATCAGCTCTCGGCTACTTCCAAGGAGGAGCAACAGCTTCCTATTCTTGCTGAATTTTACCGACGGATGAACGCCGAAGAGCTGATGTGGCTGATTCGGATCATTCTTCGGCAGATGAAGGTCGGCGCAACAGAGCGGACTTTGTTTGATGTCTGGCATCCCGATGCGGAGGGTCTTTACAGTATCTCAAGTAGTCTTCGCCGTGTCTGCTGGGAACTTTACGATCCCAATATCCGACTCGACGCAGAAGACCGGGGAGTTTCACTGATGCAGTGCTTCCAGCCGCAGCTGGCCCAGTTTCAGATGCATTCGCTGGACCGGATGGTTAGTCGGATGCGGCCAACGGAAGAGGACCCTGTCTTTTGGATTGAGGAGAAGCTTGATGGAGAGCGTATGCAGCTTCATATGGTCTCGGATCCTTCTGTAGCAGGAGGCAAACGGTTCAAATTCTGGTCTCGGAAGGCCAAGGATTATACATATCTTTATGGAAATGGTATATATGACGAGAATGGGTCACTGACTCGGTATCTTGAGGATGCCTTTGCCGATGGAGTTGAAAATTTAATCCTCGACGGCGAAATGATCACTTGGAATACGGAGCAAGATGCGCCTGAGCCTTTTGGCACCCTTAAAACGGCTGCTTTGTCGGAGCAGAAGAACCCGTGGGCAAACGGAATTCACCCACTACTACGAATCTTTGATATTTTGTATCTCAATGGACGCGATCTGACCAAGTACACACTTCGTGATCGTCGAAACGCCCTGCAGAAAGTGATCAAACCCGTGCATCGTCGGTTCGAAATACATCCCTATGAGGAGGCAACAACTAAAGCTGAGGTTGAGACTTCGCTCAGAACAGTCGTTGCGGAAGCCTCCGAGGGTTTAGTCCTGAAGAATCCTAGGTCGCCATACCGATTAAACGAACGACATGATGACTGGATGAAAGTGAAGCCCGAATATATGACTGAGTTCGGCGAGTCCCTTGATCTCATCGTGATCGGCGGCTACTGGGGATCTGGCCACCGCGGCGGTAACCTCTCGAGCTTTCTCTGCGGACTACGGGTCGACGACGGGTCGTCTTCGCAGACCTCAAATCCGACGAAATGCTACTCATTCTGTAAAGTTGGTGGAGGATTTACTGCCGCTGATTACGCAAATATCCGGCATTATACTGATGGTAAATGGATTGACTGGAACCCTAAGAAGCCCCCTACAACGCAGATCGAGCTTGGGGGAGGTGATGCCCAGTATGAACGCCCAGATAGATGGATCAAGCCCGAGGACTCGATTGTAATTTGCGTCAAAGCAGCGTCTGTATCAGTCAGCGACCAGTTCCGAATCGGGCTGACACTGCGTTTCCCACGCTTCAAACGACTACGTATGGATAAAGACTGGAAGAGTGCATTGTCTGTGCAAGAATTTTTGGATCTCAAGTCTAATGTGGAGCAAGAGCAACGTGAGAAGGAGTTCAACGTTGAAAACTTCCGCAAAAAGCGCGTGAAGAGGACTACGAAGAAGCCACTTACAATCGCGGGATACAATGAGGATACAGAAGTTAAGTACGCGGGCCCATCTGGGCATGTTTTTGAAGGGCTCAACTTTTGTATGTTCTCGGTTGTCTCGTCCGTCGAGACTCGTGGCTGACCTTTGGATAGTTATTCTTACCGACTCAAGTGCCCCAACAAAAAAATCCAAGGCAGAGCTCGAGAATCTTGTAAAAGCCAACGGGGGCAAATTTTATCAGACGAATAACGCAGCTCCGGATACGATCTGCATTGCAGACAGAAGTAATGACATTGCTCGCCATTGTGTGCTAGGGATGCTAACACATTTAACAGGAACTGTGAAAGCAGCTTCGATACAGAAGAGCGGGAAAGTTGACATTATTCGCCCTGCCTGGATTCTCGACTGTATCCGACAGAATGAGATTGATGCAGGCCTCCCCGACCTGCTCCTTCCTCTGGAGCCTAGGTATAACGTTTTCTGTTAGTTTGTAAAACATATCATTGCTAATACCATCCAGGCATATGTTCTTCACCACCAAAGACAAGCAGGAAGAGATTTCGTTCAATCTTGACCGGTTTAATGACAGCTATACTCGTGACACAACGAGTGAAGAGCTTCGTGAGGTGAGTCTTCTTGAATTAATATCATAGCACTCGTTAACTGGAAGAAGCTTTTGAACCAAATGAGCAAAGAACATGAAGTTGATGGAGCCAATAGCCCTGAAGCCATTCAGAAGCTCACTGACTGCATCCAAGAGAAATCCAATTCCGGATGGACCATGCCATCTGGGTGGCTGTTCAAAGGGCTGACTTTATATTTCCCCGAGGAAAATGATACTTCCAACTCATGCCGAGCCCGCTTGGCCAAAAACACTGCTAGATTTGCCGGAGCAAAAGTCACTAGCTCCTTGAAAGATGCTGCCGTCACTCATATCCTTGTGGGCCCAGATACGTCGTCATTGGAAATTTCATCCCTCCGGAAAACACTGTCAACTCGGACTAAGATCGCACACATCGTCAACCTGGAGTGGCTCGAAGAAAGCTGGAAGGAGAGAACACTTCTTGACGAAGAGAGTAAGTTCCAAAGTCTACTGTCATTTATGCCGGATCGGGCAATATTAATTTCCTTTTGGTTAGGGTTCCAACCGTCTCATAAATCTTGACGAAATTTACCACCATTTCTCATTTTTCTTGCAGGTTTGAAACCAACACTTTGGAGGGGGTTACGTCTCAGATACCAGATACCTATGCTCGGCTGATGTCTGCGCAAAACCCCTCATGGATGAAAGAACTCACCCTGGATGACTTGAGTTCCTTGTCCGGCTGGTAGCCTAGCTGCCCGATCTACGGATAAGAAGTCCGCACCTCCTCCGTATCTATTATTTACTCTTTGATCTTTTTTTTTTCTTCTTCTTTCTCCAGGGTCTGCAGAAACTCGTAAGATCATAAATGACTGGGCCAGGCTCCCCGAACCCTCCCCGTCCGAACCTATACATGAAAGCCAAACCGGCTCCTCCATTGGACAGAGATAAGGCATATGCACTGGCCTCTAAGGGGGAAGGGAAAGGGAGGATCATCCCGAAATCACACCTCATGCTCTTCTTCCCCACCCATCCGAAGTAGGCGCCATAGATACCCACCTGCACTATGTAAAGAAATAAATACAGGACAACGTGCGCATTCGGTATGACTTGCCCGGCTCCCATCTACGTCCTTGTCTCCGTTCATGGAATGGAGGTGTAGATGGAGATAGAGGTTGGTTGGGAGTTATACGAGGACCGGACCTACCCTGCAGAGAGAGTACAGCTCTAGATAAGAGAATTCCAACCCCGAGTACTCCATACTCCGCAGCCAACTGTGATCTGTAAAATTGACTCAACTTGACTCATACCCTCCTGAGTTCCAAGCACGCATTAAAAAAAAAAAAACCGGCAATTTTTCGTCGCAGTATCCCTAGGAAATAGATAGGAAGGTCCTTCTATACTCTGTATCCCTGCCACAGTGGAAGTGAAGTACTCCGTAAGTGTCTGCAGCGGCAGGAGGATGTATGTATGTATGTATGTATGTATGTATGTATATATATTTGCTTTTATCCTCATCGGTGCATTTTACTGACTACGGAGTACCCTAGTGGTGGTGGTGGTAGTGGTAGTGTACCTAACTAAGGTTTAGAGTATGTTTGTAGCTTCAAATGGAAAAAGGTAAACATGACTCTACTAGTTAGACTAGTAGTAGTACGGAGTATGTATCATCGTCCCAGATAATTAACTAGTACTACTGTCTACGTAGTTAGTAGTGCTGTACTACTAGTACTAGTTAGTTTGTAGTTTGTAGTTACATACATGTCAAGTTTGTGAGTTAGTTAATCACCAGTTAGTTAGTTAGTTAAGTATTACATGTTGTACTAATTATGCATAGGTACAGGTACATAGGCACGCACATACATTAGATTAGGTACGGAGTACAGAGTACTACACTGTGCACTACTAACTAGCAGTGCGCGTATACATATACAGTATGTATGTATGTATGTACCTATAGGCAGGTACAGGGGGGGGTGTCTTACAAAAAAAAAAAAAAAAAAAAAAATAGAATAAAATAATAATAAAATGAAATGAAGTAAAAGAAAATTTTTTGTATTAGTATTATTATTAGTAGTTTATTTCTACTGCCTAGGTGTATCTATCTCTGTATATATATGTATATATACCTTGTTCAGTCCATGCTTAACTATGCTGCTGGTTATTCTTCGGCGATAATGGATGTAGATAAAGTAGGTAGAATAATATCTCTGTATCTATCTCTGTATGCTACTCTGATCATCCCATTAGGTAACTAACTAACTAACTACATACTACCCTTATAGCTAGTTATGTATACGTGTGAGGCATTTTGTGGCATTGTGCTTGGTTTTTTTTTTTTTTTTTTTTTTTTTAATAAAAAAGTGGATTGAGCCTAACCATCCTCCGTAGTCCTTACGCCATACATAAAAGTAGTCACTGTTAATTAGTGCTTTCTAAATGGAATTATTTTCGAAACAACCCAACCCTACTCCATAATAGGTAGGTGGATAGTATTTAGGTACATACCTATCCGGTGTAGGGCATGCATCCCTTATCCTATAACCAGACCAGTTAAAATGTACGAAGATAATAAAATCACAACATGTTCATTTAACCCGACAAACTCTAGTTGAGGTGGCTTGCGCGCTTATGTATACATCATGTATCAGGACAAACTCGGAAATAATGATGAAATACGTAGGAAAGTAGGAATACATGCGATGCAAATGATTCCAGGCTTATAGTGATGTGTAGATGCTAACTCCACCCAAAAAACACCTTATCCATCCTCTAGCAATGCTTCCCAGTCCAAGTGGTACCCAATATACGTGTACAATCCAAAATAAGAATATGATGCCCAAAACCGACGCCAGGCGCTATACAGAACAAAGCGGGGGAAAGGAAAGAAAAGAAAAGAAAAGAAAATAGGGAATGAAAGTTCAACAAAGACAGCTGTGTTAAAAAGACTCCGCAGAAATACCAACCCATCGGGATGGAATTGCGGCTTCTTCATCGTCTTCTTCGTAATCGTAAGGAGGGACTCGAGTTTGGCTACCTTTACGAGGAGGTAGCCAGACTTTAGCTCGTGTAGGAAGGTCGTCGCGAAGTTTGCCCTTGCGTCTCATATTCATCTCGAGGGCCACCATGCGCAGAAAGTCGCTATTTTCCCGAGGCTCTCGTTGCCGCGAAATAGCCGGCATTTCTGGATCAAAGGGCAAAAACTGTCGACTGCGGCCTTTGGAGCCAGAGAATTGGAAGCTGCCTCTCCGAAAGCCGCGTTTACCCGAACGATTGTATGTCTGCATTTGAACAGAGATGGGACTGTTGCGCGTGTCAAGGGACTCATGCGGTTGATCCTGATACGAGTACATTTCCGCTGGCGAAACCATAATCGGATTCAGATATCGCCGGAGAGCTGGAGAGGGTGGCTCATTCATCGGAGGTGGCCTACGGTCGTCTGTCATTTCAGGCGTGATAGTGAACAACGATCGCGTGAGGAAATCATCGGGTTGCACTGAAGGTGATGCAAAGGTAGATACCGTTTGAGCCGCCGATTTAATCGCACGCAACGACGCCGTCAAGTTTGATTTGAAAGACCCCAAACGGGGGAACGATCGCGAAGAGATACGGGATTTAGGTGGTTTTGAGTTTAACGGGGACGATCTTTGGCTAGTAATTGTATGTCCATCTTCAGAGTCTGACGATTCGACCTCCAGGAGTGGATGATCCAAACCGCAGCTCTCGGGATGTGACGGGCGCCGTAATATCCTTTCAGATGGACTTCGTTGGCTTGATGGAGTATACGGCAAGGGAAGGCTAGATGGCGTATCTAAGTCGTTGTCTAGGGAAGGTATCGAGCTGATAGACATGGAACGAGCAGAGAATGACAGTGTCTCACTGTCACAATCGCTTGTGATAGCAGATCTCTCCCCGTCATCAGGAGGACTGAGGAGGATATCAAGAGCAGTATTCCCCGTGCTTTCCAGCACCTGATCATCAACCCCATCCATCAACAGCTTGCTAAAATCGTGCACATGGTTCCCACGGGGAAGCTTGCGCGACTCGCGAACGGTCCAGTTTCGTCGTGGAACGGGGATTGCGGTGGCCTCCAGGATCGATGCAATGGATGAGGGGATGGGGCGGTGGTCCCCCTGAGGGGGTGACGATGCCCGGGATGTGACTCCGCCTCTCCTCGATGTTTTGTAACCTTTTCGTACAGGCTCCCTGTGTGGCGATGTTACCCGTGGGCTGCGCTTAGGAGGAATCACCACCGGGCTGGTGTGCATCGTCTGTGACATCTTTTCGGAGGGTAGTTGGAGTGCTGAATCGTCCTGTATCGAGACGATATCGATCGACCTTTTCGAATGTTGGGTACTCTGCTTCCCATTTCGTTGAGAGGGCATCGGAGAAGACACCGAGCTAAAGAGAAAAGCCCTAGGGACCATCATCTTTAAACACTATACCCACGACAGGGGTTGGAAGAAAATCGGTTCAAGCCTGATGAGGCACTCTGGTCGAGAGTCCGGGCGAGATACATGGATGGGAAGAAGATATAGAGGGAGAAGGGAAAGGAAAGGGAGAGGGAGAGGAAGAAAAAGAGTCGGATCTGGAGGCACCCCCAAAGGGGATTATTTTGGTGATAAATAGATGATAGGTCGACACTGAACTGCCGCAGGGTTGGGTATTTTGCTGCGTTGGCAGGAATCCACGACTAGTGAACGAAAGCGTTAAGCGCAGGATACCCGATGCGGGAAACTGCCGGGGTTGTATGCAGGCACGCGACTAGCAGATCCCGGGGATTACAAGAGGGAAAAAAACCGGGTGGAGCGAAGACTTGAAAGAACGAAGTTGTGGATAAGATAGGATGTACTCCGTAGATAAAGGATGGAAGTCAACTGCGATGGATAGTTATAGATAAGAGACAAAAAAGAGTGAGACACACGAGAGTCGAGTGCGACGTCAGGCGGAGGTGAAGAAAAGGATCCTAAGAGTTTCGGTTGGAGCGATAAGGAAGAAAGCCACTTACTCTATACATTTACCACATTTCCCACACTAAACCCAGAAGGGAGCCGGCGGAAGTGACGGCAGTTTTCAGTTTGACAGGGTTTGACCGTATTATCGGGTCGGGTGGTAGGTAGGCCCTTCTGTAAGAGTCTGACACGGTTTGTATTTCCATTACCATTATTCATTGGGTATCTGTACTTGAAGTCCACGGATAGGCTTATCTCTGCGTAGAGTTACTTGATTCGGCTAATTAGAGAAGAACCAAGGATAGTTGGGGCCATTTCCAGGGATCCATGGATTAATTTGGGCGAAAACAACTGGGACTTTACAATACATTACACAATTGCCCCGTTCTATACCGGTAATCACCACCTCGTCAGACCCGAGTACATTGGTTGAAATACATTAATCCTGCAGCCCCACAAGAAGAACATTTCGATTTTTCTAGTGTTACGTTATCCTCTTTAATTTCTACTTTATCGTATAATTGACTAATTGAGATAGGAGGGGGTGTCTGCCTGCCCAACCCGATCCTCGCCTACTTAGGGCAATGGCTTCTTGCCTACATTCTTTCTATCATCTTCCATAACGGTTGTTTATTTATGTCGTTCATTACTAATGCACAAGTCTTGATTCCGCAGTAAACCATATGAACCCAGCCTGACTAGTCTTTAGTAATTCACTGAGCATAATTGTAGTAAGCTAAGCCTAGAAACCCTCCTGTTATGCGACAAAAGTACAAAGGAACCACGACACCACATATCAACCGTATATCTTGACTCCAAACTCAAGAGTATACTAGGTATATCTTCTGGACTTTTTTAACTCTAATGATATTGGAAGTGTACACCGTCCTCCCATACTTTGATTTATACTCTGAGCCACGACAAGTCAGTCTGGGCCTCCTTAGTCAGCCATATGCTAACGGTCATAGATGAGAAAAAGCTTTTTGTAGATTTTCATCCATGGATCCAACCCCATGGGACGCAATAGCAGATCATCAGATCCCCAGCTGAGTTTCTGCTGCTATTTTGCGCCGGCTTAAGCCATTGCAGGTTGCCATCTCTTGGCAATCTCAGCACCTTCTTATCATCCCCTCATCTTAGACTCCCTGCAGCCCATGTATGGTCCTCCAGTCATTATCGAATCTGCTTTCCCCTCTCTTCCGTCATTGCCCACCTCCACTTGCGGGTCACTGACCACAACAAGTCGTGGAGGATAGATCCTATTTGACCCTGTGAACGAGATCCGTGAGTTGAGATATACCGATTCTGACCTTATTATCGTGAGCCTTAGGTATGGAGCTGATCGATGGCGCATAATCCTTATAGTGTCTCCTCCGCATCCATACCAATAAGCCGACTAACACACCTGCGACCGCTCCTCGGATTCGTCCAATTGTTAAGCACATCTTGTCGATAGTAACCCCTGTACTTTGCGGCTCATCTTGATTTTGGCCTTTGGGACCTCCCCTCCCTCCTTGTTCCCGCTTCCATCCCCCCTCCCAGCAGAGTGAATTGTTCGTACGACAAGCATGGTCTCCCCTAGTTTCAAGCTTTCTCCGAATATATCTGTCTGGATTTGACAACAATGGAGGATAATATAACCCCGGAACCCATCGAAGGATCTCGAGCAAAGTTGTCGGCAAGAGCGCCAGGAACAAAAGCGGGCATTGCTCCTTCATCGAAACGCCGCTGTGTGAGCACAGCATGTATTGCATGTCGCAGGAGAAAATCCAAGGTATTGAATCTAAGGCCCGATTACGTGCCACAATATCACTGAACTAACATGGGCTTTTTTACTAAAGTGCGACGGAAACCTTCCCAGCTGCGCGGCTTGTTCCTCTGTCTACCATACACCTTGTATTTCACCACCCCTCAGCGTCGTCATGATGGCACCGGTAAAGCTAACATCATATCTAGGCGTTTATGATCCGAACTCTGATCACCGCCGGAAGGGGGTCTACAAAAAGGAGACAGATACGCTTAGAACAAAAAATACAACCCTGCTGACTCTGATACAAGCGTTGCTCAACTATGAGGAGGAGGAGGATGCTTTCGAGTTGGTTCGACAGATTCGATCTTGCGATAACCTGGAAGATGTGGCGCAATCAGTCTTGGACCGGGAAAGCGGATCATCACCTGCCTCTGGCGAAGCCGCGCCAACAGATGACGATATGCCAACGCAAACTGACCAGTTTGAGGCTGAATTAGCGGGCAAGATGAGCAATCTCATGTTAGACGGGTCTCGGAAGTTTATCGGGGGAACGTCAAATCTCATTTTTCTACCTCCTGGGTCGGAGCTGAACGAATTCAATCCAGGACTAAATAATCAGCAACTGGACAACAACATTGAAAGTGCTGTCGCGCAATGGACGAGAGTCACAGATGATGAGCAACTGACTAGTCACCTACTGACCATGTACTTCACGTGGCATTACCCATTCTTCACCACACTATCTAAAGAGCTCTTCTACCGCGATTATGTTCGCGGGGTTTCAAGCCAATACTGCTCTTCCTTCTTGGTCAACGCGATGTTGGCTTTGGGCTGCCACTTTAGTTCCTGGCCAGATGCCCGTGAGGATCCAGATAATCCCGCAACAGCTGGCGATCACTTCTTCCAGGAGGCGAAAAGGCTGATTCTTGACAACGACGAGCTGGTAAACTCAAAACTGTGTACGGTGCAGGCTCTAGCCCTTATGTCAGTGAGAGAAGCTGGATGTGGCCGTGAGGGCAAAGGCTGGGTGTACAGTGGAATGAGCTTCCGCATGGCTTTTGACTTAGGGTTGAACCTTGAATCCACTAGTCTAGGAACACGCGACCTTGGTGAAGAAGAAGTGGATGCACGCCGGATTACGTTTTGGGGCTGCTTTCTGTTTGATAAGTACGTTTTTTGCTGGCAATTTATGATGGTCGCAAGCCCTGGAATGCTAACCGTCACAGGTGCTGGTCCAACTATCTCGGCCGGCAACCCCAATTCACAACGGCCAACTCCAGCGTGTCCAAAGTTGATATCTTCCCCAATGAGGAATCGTCGTTATGGTCGCCTTACTCAGATGATGGGCCCAATCGTGAACTCACACAACCCTCCCGAACCCGAGCAGTTTCTGTTCAACTTTCTAAACTCTGTGAGATTAGCGGGGATTTGATAGTCTTCTTCTACGACCTAACACCCAAGGAAAAACCGACATCGAAACAAGCGGAGCTGAAAAACCTCACTGGAATCCATACCAGGTTGGAGGCTTGGAAAAAGGGTCTCCCAAAGGAACTCGAACCAAAAGAGGGACAACTTCCTCAGGCGCTCGTTATGCAGTGAGTTGATAACCGCCTAATGACGAACTACAGAAACTAAACAGTACGCAGCATGTTCTATCAACTCCTCATTATTCATCTCTATCGTCCCTTCTTAAAGTACACCAAGTCCACATCCCCACTCCCGCAGCATGTCTCTCCCCGCAAACTATGCACCCAGGCTGCCACTGGAATTTCAAAACTGCTCCGCGTTTACAAACGTGCATATGGCTTAAAGCAAGTCTGCAATATTGTAGTCTACATTGCGCACACTGCCTTGACAATCCATCTACTAAACTTGCCCGAGAAAATCGCTCAAAGAGACGTCATTCACGGACTTCGACATCTCGAGGAGATGGGAGAATTCTGGCTTTGTGCTCGGCGAACACTTCGGATTCTTGACATATCTGCCAATAAATGGCAGGTCGAACTGCCAAAGGAGGCGATCATCATCTTTGAACAAACACACGCACAGTGGGGTTCCTGGGGCTCGTGGGACCAAGCAACATCGCCATCGGCCTCTGGGGAGTCACCGCCTGCCAACATTGTTCAACTACCTCCTCTGACAATGAGCCATCTACCTCCACCAGCAGTGCATTCTTCTGCACCTGAACCCCCAGATTCGTCTCTCCAACCAGGCCTTGCGGTTCCGGGGCCTATTGGCCCTTTATACTCATCCTCTCTTCCAACTTCGCTCTCGATTTCCGCCATGCGTTCAGCGGAGCGATCGTTTGGAGCGCAACTCGCGCGAAACGAAACGCAACTACCGGAACCTACCTACCTACGCCCCGTATCTAATAGCTATACCTCCACACCGCCTAGTCAACTTCCGCTACAGAATCAGTGGTATGGTCCTGATGAAACCCAGATGCATGCTTTCACTGCCAACCACAAGGTTCCCTCGACATCTAGCTCTTCCCCAATGACCGGACTCGATGGGCCAGAGAACCTTGTTGAAGAGAGCCAAGACTGGTGGTCCCGCGAAGTAAATTCACTGCACTTTGGAACAGGTGAATGGACCCAAGCGTGGAATGCTAGTATGGCTGCTGGTGCACCGCTAGATTGGCGCTTTGAGAATAGCATGCCCACTACTTCACAGGCATTCGAGTCGGAAAGTGGCTTGAGACCTGTCCAACCTCATCCAACACTAGCTGGAGTTCCTCACATTACAGGTTCTGGTCAGGACTCGGACGGTTCTCATAACCCCAGCGATCAAAGTCATTTGATGTTCTCCAGTAATTATACACAATAACACGATGGGCATTTCTTGGAGGAAGTTCTACTTCTAGAACTACTGGTTCAGTTGAAAACTCACGACTTGATGATGTGATGATATATATACCCTTGGCTTCTTTCCTTTCGTCTCCACATTGTGCTATATACAGCTATATATTTCGCTGGGTTTTCCGGAGACTTTCCGGAAGAGTCCCCCCAGTTCTACGTTTCCACATACTGATAGGCTTTACGCCCTAAGCTAAGTACAACCTTGAAGTACACAATAGGTCAAACTACAATTGAAGGTAGTTCTGATGAAAATTATTTGGAACAGCGTATTATATGGTTTCAACCTTTTGAACTCCCGAGGCTAACTCGATGGCTTAATTGAACTTTCCAGGTTAGTTCGTTATCTCGGGGGGCTGATTATCTATATTCAAATTGGAATAGTATTATATTATACACTATAACAAAATCCATAGAACGCCGATTAACCCTCAAATAACACACAAACTAATCTATAGGTAGGTACTACCTAGAACTTAGTACCTGCCCCCAACGCACTGTATACGTTCTTCTCCCTCCAGCAGGCGACGACAACCGCCCCGGATGAATCAAATTAAACACTCCCACCGCGGCAGCCATCATGGCGCCATCCAACGCAATAAAATACCGCTCGTGCGTAATCAAATAGCCCGTCCAGCCCTGAACCAGCTCGATAGTCCGATAGATACTCCTTACATAGACACAGGTGATGGAGAACGCCGTCGCCGCCAGCAGAACCCGCATCTCCCTTGTGATTAGATACGCGAGCCGCCTCCGCATAACGCGGTGCATGAAGTCGACCGCGCAGGCAAGAAACACGGTGATGGCGGCCATTTGGAACACCACGCCGGCGACCATGATGTCTGTTCCTGGGGTGGTGTCGCTGTTTGCGGAGAGGGCGGTTGCGGCCATTCCGCCGCCGATGGCTTGGACGACGAGCGAGATTATATCGCAGGTGCAGAAGACCCAGAGGTACAGGTTGGGCGTGAGGAAGGAAGACTCGGGGCCTATGAACTGGATGAATTGGCCCAGGATTACATATGTGCCGGCTGTGAAGAAGGTCGGGGCTGTATGTGTGTGTGTGTGTGCGTGTGTAGGTCGTGTTGTAGCTGAACGTTAGAAGGAAAAAAAAATAAAAAATAGTTGGTTATGAGGGAGGGAGGGAGGGAGGTAGGTACATAGGGCTTGGGGGTTTCTTACCGATGATCAAGGTTGCGATCTGCATCAAGAAGGCGTTGAGGTCGTATGGACAAGCGGCTGACCAGGTGCGTCCGGCCCAGCCTAGGATTTCAACTATATATATACAAATATATATATATATATATATATATAAGATCAGATCAGATATGAGGGTCAGAATGTCCGTGTTTTGACGTACCCAGACAGCCAACTGAGAATACATAACACCACCATGTTCTTTGAAATGTTGCCTGTACGGTGTGAAGAATCATGGACACGCCGAATAGAGCACAGAACACGATCCCGGCTGCCAGGGAAGGCCGGTATCCGTATTCATTGGCGATACTGGGATCATAGGCTTGACAGTTCGGGATTGGGGTAGAATCTGACATCCTTGTGCAGTGTATGGTTTTTTTTTAGGGGGGGGGCTTTTCAGGCGGAAATACGCCATTTAACCTGGGATATTCTATATTTCTAATTGAAGCTTCGTACAGAGTAAGCCAATGATAAGTCATGGCTTAGGGCTATCATTGATCTATATATATATGTCCAGCTTCCGGGATTCCGAATTCAAGATGGGTCTACAGAGTCGTATGTACTACAGCCATCTACTTTGGAGTACACTAGTCAACCACTAGAATAGCGGATCTGGAGGGGTTCAAGATCTCTCATGGGAAATATGTTTGCGTACGAAAAGCAATGAATTATTATTTTGTAGCTTCCTGTTCTTGATTAATTGTTAATATCTTTCTTGATGTGTGTAAAAGGTGTCCCTCCTGATCATGTGATGTTGCTGCTTCCACCTGGCGGCGTTGGAGCACCAACAGCACACTCCAGAAGAAGAGTTACAACGATCCTTGTGAGAATGCTTCACTCACGGCTTTCGCTAGTTTGTGATAGCTGCAAGTCACGGAAAGTCAGATGTCTGAGTAAGAACAACCCCCTGGATGCTTCTGGACCGTGTATATTGAATGAATACTTTGCAGAAGAATCTAGAAAGTCCGACCCTGCATGTGTGAATTGCCAGGTATGTACCTGGATTAACCAGCGTAAAAGGTAGTAACTGACCCATCTCAAACAGAAAAAAGGCCACGCCTGTGTATTTAGTCCGCTGAAGAGGAAATTCAAGGATCCGAGATTCCCGTCGACTGATGGCCAGGTCGCTGACCCACCCCCAGCGGAGCAAAGCATCCAAACGGCCGTCTCCTCGTCCACAAGAGGTTTGTGCCGCGAGAGACTTCCATTGAGGCGCGTTCTAACCTTTGGCCGTTAGGAGACGCGGGAAGTGTGATATTGTCACCTATTTCGCAGGATGCAAGAAAGAAGGGTTCCTTGAACCGTCTATACGTTGACCAATTGCTAGATACGCGACAATCTACTGGTCGGACACAAAATGTTTCGGGTGTTTTGAGGGTAAGTTGGAGATTTCCTCTTGAATCAGGCTTAATGCTTATGAGTTCGTTCAAGGCCAACGAAAATTACCGTACGTTGTCAACTAGTCCCTGTCGGGTCGGCTATGGATGCTCTCCTCACACATTGAGACAGTTGCCAGCTCAAGTGTGAGCTTCTTCTCAGAAAGTCGTATGAAGGCTCTCTCGAGCCGCATAGGAGACAATGCAATCAAAAACCTGATAGAGCGGATCTCTGATGCTGTGCGATCTGGGTTAAGCGGCACCAATCGCAGCTCGGGGCCTTCTGGTATCTGGAAAAGACCCGAAGACACCTTAAGGATTGCACCAGAAAGAGCTCGTCTTTTCATCAAAGGTATGTATTCTAACTTGAGAAATGCGGCATATTCACTCAACTCACACTTCAACAGTTTATTTCCAACAAGTTCATCCCCTGCATCCCTTCTTGGATCGTCTAGAGTTTGAGAGACGAGCGTTCAGCCCCGATTTAGCATCAGATCTTGTGAACTGCATCCCTTGGGCTACGCTGTACCATACAATTTTAGCCCTTGGATGCCAGTTTCACGGTGGAGGTTCTTTTGAACCTGGCAATGGAGAAGCCTGGAAGCTCTTTCGAGTAGCTCTAGACTTATTCCCAAAAGTACTGCAGTTGAATACAGAACTACTAGAAGTTCAGGTATGTGAAATTTGTGTATATTATTCAGACCCCTGTCTCACTCGATTTATAGGCAGTTACATCAATGGTAAAAATCCCTATCGCCAGTCGAAAGAACGATACTGACCTCCATAGGCGATTTTTTCCCTAAACTTGTCGTGCATGCAGATCCAGGGAAAGATTATCTCAGAAGCCGCCCGTATGGCCCAGAGAGCTGAGTTGAACAAAGCCGCTGCTGGCACGGATCAGGCTGCGCGCTGTCGAGCTTTCTGGGTGATATACTACATTGAGAAAACCGTCTCATTTCATCATGGAACAACATCGGTAAGTTATACTCTGCTTGTTTAATTCAAAAACTAAGATGAATACAGTTAATATTTGATTCCGATATTGGCTCCCCCGTGCCTTTTATTCCGGATGCGATTTTTGATGGCTTCGACTGGTTCCTGGCCTCAATCAGGGTTGCTAGATTATACTCTCGGACCTTTACTGAACTATTCTCTATAAACGCAACTACAAATTCTAAGCTGTCATACCTGTCAAAAATCGATCAAATCGAGGAAATACTGGAGCATCAGCGACAAGATATTCCGAGTCATTTTCGACCAGGGCATGAACTCCGCACCGAGTCGTTTCAAAACCCCCATGAGATTATCGCAGCTCTTCGAATTCACTTCCATTACCACGAGCTTCAGATAGCTTTATGTCGGTTGAAGCTTCACATTACTCGGGAACAGAGTTCCCCGCAGTCGCTCACTGCAACGAAGAATATGATGGATTCAGCTAGAGCAATTGTTGAACTAACAAGAGTCATTTGCATAGAGCCAAATATTCCTCTTTTGTATGTTTTCATTGCTCTCTATCATGACTGCAGCTAATTCACTTAGTATTCTCGTCTTCATGCCTCTTTCAGCTCTCTTTATTCTATTTGACCTTGTGATTCATAACCCGACTCACAAAGAGACCCCAGGGAATCTCTCCTTACTAGAGGCGTCTGCTGGATACTTTAGCTCCCTTGAATATGCGACGAAAGGCTTTTTCCCTAGCTCCATGTTCATGGAGTTTGCCTATATTGGCCGATCCTTTGTGCGGAAGTCGGTGTCGTCAGTTCAGGAACAGACAAATGATGAAGCCGCTGAAACTATCAGTCAAAGATCAGGCATACCGCCTCAGGATTGGCCGTCATCAGGCTATATTTCTGCTAGTGTAAGACGAGCGCAATCCTTTTTGAAGATCAAGGGAAAATACTGATTGGTAATGCATTACTTGTGGGGATCTGTACAGCAACTAAATGAAGAACAAATGCTTATTGAACCTCTGAGCTTTCCTTTGGACTTCGGCACTTCGGTCGATGATATGGTCTTTCCCGGTTTAGAGGTCATGGATCTCTTTGGCACAGTGGTGCCTAATTTTGATGGGCTCTAACTGGTTACTGTGGTCTGCTCATTCGACGGGTTAGCCAGATCAGGAAACCTTCTCGGCGATGGCCCACCTTAGTTTCGAAACGGCTATACTCCGTACATCAACAGGGGTTGCTTAAATACTAAGTGAATGCCATCCTTCCACCATGAGGAAAGCCGTCAACATAAATTACGAAATTTTAATCTGCCACTAATGCCTGAGGTCACTCTACACGAAATTAAGCTTCGCGAGGAGCTGGAGCCGTTATGTCGCATCGCAGCAAGTGCCTGGCAAAACGACCCGCTTTTCTCCTGGCTCTTCCCTGGTGGTCAAACACACCCGGAGGATTTCCTCATCTTGTGGAAGATAATTCTGGACATGGAGTTTCTGGAACCCGGGAAATTCATCTTCGCTGCCAGTATCTACGATGCCGAGACACAAACCAACAAAATAGCCGGGTTTGCTGTTTGGGAGCGACGAGGGGATTCTGAAGCAGCTAGAAGATGGCAGGGCACCAGCTTTTCCAAAAGTAAAGCCCTAAACATTAAATACACATATACACGATCCAAATAAACTAATGACCCAACCTTCTGTTAGAACTCGGACGACTAAACCTCAGCCTCAAACTCGCTCATACCGTCACCCTCAGCCCAGCCCGCAGATCATTCTCCAGAAAAAAGTTCAAGCTCCTTGATGAAGAAGTTGAATCCGTTAGAGCTCGCCAGCCCAAAGAATCATGGTACCTGAACTTTCTTGGCGTTGATCCCACGGCTCAAAAGAAAGGGGTTGGGAAACGGTTGCTTCAATGGGGCCTTGACCGTGCCGACGAAGAGGGCATCGCAGCTGGACTGGAAGCCTCGAATGCTGGTGTTAAGCTCTATCAAAGTGCTGGGTTTGAGACGACGGAGTGGATGAATTTTGACGATGGGAAACAGAAGCAATCTGTTATGAGGAGAGAATGTAAATTGAGGTCTCCGTGAGATGCGACGTGTTAATGAGATACCCTCTCCCCTTTTTCCTTGTGAAATATTACATGGAGCGGAGGAGCCATCAAGGCCGTTGTGTTGGTTCAACTTGGACGTATGGAGCCGAGCTGCATTATACCTCTTCTTCTTCTTCTTGTTATTGTTATTATTGTTATTGTTATTATTTTTATTAATATTAATATTAATAGAGACTGACTGATCCAGATCCAGAAATGCCTAACAAGGTCATTTCAAAGTCTGAAAGCAACATAATTACCCAATGCAAACCTTACGCGCCAACTGACATAGATGAAGATCCTAAGAAGAACTCCGAGACAAGCCATGCCATGCCCTACCTAGTAAACAAACATCATATTCCCCTAGCAGTAGTAAAAGATCAGTTGTGGGAAGTGGATAGAGCTTTTCTGCGGGGCTAGAACGAACTGCAATATGTTTAGTGAGCTACCAAGAGCTTACTTACAATTAGATTAGATTAGATTAGGGTTAGTTAATCATGTCATGTCATGTCATGTTATGTTATGGTGCAAGATCCACGTTTAAGAAGCGAAGTAGTAGTAGTAGTAGTAGTAGTAGTAGTAGTAGTGAGCTACAACCGCTCATAGATTCAAGTATCTAAAGTGGTCATCATTCTCAGAGGCTAGAAATCAGGTATGAAGAATCATGTTGGGGGAGAGGACAGGAAGAGAAGATGGAATGAGATGAGGCGCGATTGAAGAGGTAAGGGTCACAATGGATGAGAATGGGCCGGCCTATATAAGAATGCAGCTAGGACTCTGAGGCTAAGAAGAAGAAGAAGAAGAAGAAGAAGAGAAGAAGAAGAAGAAACAAAAAAAAAAAAAATGAAAAGATGGGTCATATGGTATCACTATTGTAAATCATGGTCAGCACAAAGTGAAAAAAAAAAAAAAAAAAGAAAAGAAAAGAAAGACTTACCAGGAAATAATCAGCAACAGGCTTCTTTGCAGGCATACCTCTTGTATCCTGCGCAGCGGCCTCAAAGACCCTATATCTTCTCCCAGGACTCCGCAAGGATGGCCGCTCCACAGACGCGGTTAGAATTCCATTGCTGCGTCCGTAATCCCCGTTACTCCTCACCACCGTGCCCCCATTACTTGTGTCTTCGCCAAGCTCTAAGATGGCTGCAACATTCCCACATCGGTAACAGTAATTCGGGGCTGACCAAACAGTGACGATCCCGCCGTCAAACATCTCTTTGTAGCCCTCCATGACAAGCTGATGAGCACGAGCAATTAGGGATAGATCATTTTTGTAGTTGAATTGCTTCACAATATCTGCACCAAACAAAAAACCAGCTCCTCGAGGGCTTAAACCCCAGCCGTCGATTTCGTCAGGGTCCGACCAAAGCAAATCACACATGGCCCCTTCATGCGGTACCTCTTGTTTCCTGTCGATTAGACGAATTTTGTCCACCGTATCGATAAGAGGTGAGAGCCCGCCGTGAACGCAGAGTACCGCTCCTGTCCTGCTGGAATAGCTACCCGCTCCATCGCCAGAGGCTCCTGTTCCGGGCGCGCCGGATCTCATCGGCGCTTGACCGGGCGCAGCAGATATATCCCTTGGAGGTGAAATGCTGCTGGTATCCGTAGATGTATCGGACGAATATCTCTGCTTCGCTCGATATGTGCTCATAGTAACATCGCCCTTGGAATTCAACACTTCAGTCTCTAGCTCGCCGTCCTCTGCGGACATGGTGGACTGCGTAGTATCGTTGAAGACCGGCTCTGTAGGCTCCAGTTCTGCGCTAGCTCCGAGAACCAAGGCACCCAGCGCCAGGTAGTCGAATACCTCACAGCAGTATCTCCACACATTGGCGCTACCATATTTGCGAATACACTCGTCGTAAAAGCCATACACCGTGGTGATCTGCCGAGACTCGTGATTTCCTCGAATCAACGTGATACGGTCAGGATAGCGGACTTTGAGACAAAGAAGCAGAAGGAACGATTCTAGCGAGTAGAATCCGCGGTCGACAAAGTCTCCCATAAAAAGATAATTGGTATCAGGAACATCCCCGCCGACGCGGAAGAGCTCCATCAGATCATGGAATTGACCATGGATGTCCCCGCATATCGTGACCGGAGCATCAACGCAAACCACATTTCCTTCCTCGATCAAAAGTTCGCGCGCTTTATAGCACAGTTCACGGACTTGGGCCTCGGGGATTAGGCGACAGGCGCGAAGTTGGGCGATCGCCCTAGAAGCAAGGAAAACAGACAGATGTCAGCTGGAAATCTTGGCGATGGAGGGATCATCCGCTTGAAATACCTATCAAGGTCGCTCATAGTAGCTCAGTGCACCTTAAAGAGCTAGCTTTGAGGGGATAGCCGAGTTTGAGAGGAGAGGGATAAGGTATTTGGTGGGTCCTGGGCCTTCCAAGAGCAATCAGCGGGCGGGGGAGTGGGAGGACGACAGTTTGACTCAGGGTAGAAGAGAACAATCCACTAAGTGTGTGGAAAAGGCGCAGTCATGTTTTTTTTTTTTTTTTTTCCTGTGCGAAAAATCTTCTGCTGGGCGTAAAAAGAAGAAAGGTGAACGAAAGGTGAAAGAATATGTGGAAAGAAGAGGCGCCGAGAGCTCTGCTGATAGCAAACTTGGAGGCTTTTCGCGCCTCAGGTTCTCCAGGCAGATTCGCGTTTTGCTGGCGAGGAGGGCGATGGCCAATCATAGGAGGCGAAGATAAGATTAGATCTGATCGCCAAGACGAGACCGAATTCTTCCTTCCTCCCTGCGGTCCTTGAATGCGGCTTCATCCGGTGAACGCAGGACCGACTCTCCCTCCAGCATTGCCATTGAGGGCGCCATGTCGTCTCGGAGAGCGGTTTAATTCGTCTATGATTTGATTCTTCTCCTTCCCCTACCTCGACGTTTACCGATACTTCCTGGTAACCCTGTGGACTACCCTCCCTAACTTAGCGTCGCGAAGCACCACTAAGGCCATCAATTGCCTACATCTACATGGCCAGTCGAGCCCTCTTATAGCGACAGAAAATTAGCATTCAATTTCCTCGAAAATGCCTCCTCATTTACATCCCCGATCACGGTCGACGACCGGTCTTTTTGCGGGCACATTACTAGCGTCACTGTTGGTTGTTGGTATGCCACACATATTTCCTTGTCCTGCTCCACGTCGCACATTCGCCGATTCCGAGATGATCATTACATCCGATGGACAACAAATCCAGAGAGTCCGAAGGAGGAGACGGAAGGATGCCGATATGCTAGGACAAGAGGAGACTGCCCTTTCCCAGACCTCCCCAACCCCAGATGAAGAAGTGTCGACATTTCTGCAACTAGAGGAAGAAGCGGAACAACTATCTAAACCTGGACGAGAGTGCCCAGTGCCTAAACCGACTGGAGTCATAGGCGAATTGCTTGGATTTCCTAACCGAACAACATTGCAGCGGGGAGAAGGCCGTCAACCAGATATCGCTGGACAGCAGAACCAATGATACAGATGAAAGAGGCTTGGAATTCTAGTGGAATTGAGGAAGAATTTGCGAACGAAGCCATGATACTCTTGTTGGATTGATTGTGCCTTTGATATATGAGGCAGCTCCTAATTAAGGGTCATACCAGCGATATATATACCCATGTACATATACCACCACCTAGCCATGATTTGTGATAAAAATGGTGTGTGCCTGTATCTGAATCAATAATTTTTGTCCCATTAAAAACACAATGATTCTTTCAAATGATCATATGATTCAAGCCTTTGTATATGTAGCTCAATTTGCCCGGGAAAATCTCGCCGGGGCGAAGCTAGACGCTAATCCCAAACCAGACAAACATGATTGGCTCCCTCGGCCTAAGGCCAGATACTTGAAGCTTCTATGAAGCTGTTCATCATCATCCTCATCATCATCATCATCAACATCGACAATGACGCTCACACAGCTCGTAGGCGATATTTGCCTCAACCCCAAGCATAGTAAATGGATAGCTCCTCTTCTCAATATCGGGGATGCTTTTCTTTGCGTTCTCATTATCTGGAAGGTCCCATGTAAGCCCATCCACTCTCTCTCCTTTGCTTTCTGGGCACCTTACTGACATTGCGCTGCAACACAGACACCGAGATCGACTGGACTACCTACATGCAACAGATATCACTATATCTCTCCGGAGAGCGAGACTACACCCAGATTAAAGGCTCCACAGGACCCCTCGTCTATCCCGCCGCCCATGTGTACGGCTATTCATTACTTTACCATCTTACCGATAACGGCCACGACATTGTTTTTGGCCAGATCATCTTCGCTTTCCTCTACCTTATAGCCCTAACCGTTGTGATGGCATGCTACCGGCGCTCCGGAGCCCCGCCGTATTTGTTTCCTCTCCTTGTCCTCTCCAAAAGATTACATAGCATTTTCATGCTCCGTCTTTTCAACGATGGTCTGGCGGCGCTTGCGATGTGGGTTGCGATTCTCTTCTTTCAGCATCGCAGGTGGTCACTCGGTGTTATCGTGTGGTCGATCGGGCTCGGGATAAAAATGCCCTTACTCCTTCTTGCGCCGGCGATTGCGGTGTTACTCGCGCTCAGTCTATCTATTGGGCCCTGTATCAGATTGGGTGGCGTGGCTGTCGGTATTCAGGTGCGTAGCCGTATCTGATATTGTATCGTCTACAAAGGGTGTCTACTAACATGGAGTTAGGTTCTGCTTGCAATACCATTTTTGCAGACAAATCCGGCAGGTTATCTCTCACGCGCTTTTGAGCTAACAAGGCAGTTTATGTTTAAGTGGACTGTGAACTGGAGATTTGTCGGGGAAGAATTGTTCCTGTCTAGGGACTTCGCCCTGGGTCTCTTAGGCTTGCATATCCTTTTACTGGGAGTTTTTGTTGCTACAAGCTGGCTGAAGCCTTCTGGGTCTAACATCCAGAACTTTATCAGAAACTTTGTGACTGGGCAGTACCAAAAGAGAACAGATCTGTCACCGTCTTTCGTGATGACGGCGATATTATCATCCCTGTGCATTGGCCTGCTGTGCGCAAGGTCACTCCATTACCAGTTTTTCGCCTATCTTGCGTGGGCATCTCCTTTCCTCCTCTGGCGCGCTGGCTTTCATCCAATTCTTGTGTATATCTTATGGGCGTTGCAAGAGTGGGCTTGGAACGTTTATCCAAGCACAAACCAAAGTTCCATGGTTGTTGTTCTTTCGCTTTCCATCCAGGTGCTAGGAGTTCTCATGAACAGGAACCGCGCGTTCAGCACCTCATCTTACAAGCCCACCAGCAAAGAACATATCCAGTAAACTGGGCGTTTGAACTTTACCGATTTGCGCCGGCGTCCGGTCAGAAAGGATGCAGGATACGTATATGTGGGGGACGGAATGATCAGCTGGGTGCTTTCGCAGCTAAAGAATATCCATGATAGGAAACCGGTGGCTTGTTTGACTCTCCATTATGCGTCAGACTCATCGGATGAGGGCATTTTGCCGACATTAGATTCCTCTTCATCGTCGGATACCGAGACGGGCTGGCGAACGAATTCTTTCGGCCTTGCAAGGGTGTTAGCGAGAAGCCACCCGGGTTCTTACTTATTCCCTCACCAGTATGGAGTTTTGCGCCAGGCTTTTTCATCACGAACAATATTGATGATCTCTCCCCGAAGCTTATTGTCCCGATCCTCGAGCGCGTTGGTGTCCACCAGCACAAAGGAGCCTCGCTTCATCCAAAAGGTGGATCGAAACCTGGCTGGTAGCTCGACCAGGGCCGTTTCTCTCGAAGCGAATTCGACGGAGTAGATATTGTTTCCGGTGGCCTTGATCAGTCGTGCGACCTGCTGCCCTGGAAGCAACTCATCGGGGGGGAACAAGGTTTCTTCGGCGGTTGCAAGTACTTTGCGACGAGGAGGCGCCATTGTGGAGGAAAAACAAACTGGCGGAGGAAATATTTTGGCTTTTCTTATTCCCGTGACCGGCGTTTATTTGACTTCTAAACAACAAGGGGCGGTTAAAGGCCTAACACATTGTGGATGGTTGAAAATGAGGTTTTTCTCATTTCCTGTGTAGAATTATCCCACGTGAGAGCGCTAAACCCCATATGGAAAGACCTTGCTGTACGGAGTAAGTACCTGCCCAGCATCCAATCCATACAGCCTCCAAACTACCAGGAATTTGGAAATGGGCTCAGAGTGTCGATCAGGCTCATTTACTCGATAGTCACAGCTGTAGCCATGCTTGGGATTATATATGAGAGTTCTCTCTCATCCCACATTGTTTCACACTGCGTAGATCATCACAGCAAGGCATAAGAGGGGACATCCTGTCTCTAGAACAGCAGCACATGCCGCTGAGATGCATTGATAAATTCCTCAGAATCGGTGACCAGCAAGGGGCATGTCTTTTTCATTGTTCTGTCTCATCCTGCAAGATAGCCGTATGCTAGTTAGTTAGTTATGTACTTTTCTTGGAAAGTCAGCATTAGGGTCCAATGAGGGAGGGACGGACTCTTTAAGCCTTTTTGCATTTGACCCTCGTTGGATCTGGTCCGGAGTAGATTCGTTAGATAAGGATGGAGATGAGTTACACAATCATTCCACATTCCATGAGTCAAGAGGGATCACTATGTATGTATAACCTACCTTGCTCTTTTCTCGAACTTATTATTATTATTTTCCCTGTAGTCCTAGACTGGACCCAGAGCAGTCTGGAATCTTGCCGGACACCGTACCATAACCAACGGCAGGCACCACACCACGTAAAACTTGTTCTTTCTGTTCTTTCTCTCTCTCTCTCTCTCTCTCTCTCTCTCTCTCTCTTGTTTGTCGATTTGCCACGAGAAACCGGGCCTTTTCTTCCTCGTCATCGACTCATGGGATGTCTCACATGTGTGGAGGAATTGAAAAAGACGCTGACTGGATAACTACTACCTCCTTTCTGCCTTGAGAACGGATGACGGATTCTTATTCTTGTTGTTCACTATATTATTATTGACTTTTCACCCCCTCCCCTCTTCTCTGCCCTGCAACTGTCAACAAAAGCCCCGCGACGGCTTCTCTTCTTTCAACTCCACACTCCCGCCCAATCTACCTTGACACACCTACCTTACTGAACTTCATTCTTCTCACACCTCCTATCTCCTTCTCTTTTCCCTCCCCTCCCCTTCTCCTCCTTGTCATTTTTCTCCCCTTGGTTGGTGTCGCCTAATTATCTTCCCCACGAATTTGTTCCCACAGTCCATTCTCTCTAGGTTAGGCCACCTTCACCATGGACGGGGACGATCTCATCGCCTCGGTCTACCGCAAGATCGAGCGGGAAAAAGCCCTCATCACCGCCGCGACCAACATGCGACAGTCGACCGATAACCCTTTGGTGCAACAGCGAGTCGATGCGAATATTCGTGATGGCCGGAAGAATATCGCTTATCTGGAGGAAAAGATGCGGGAGCTGCAGATTCGCCGAATGGAGCAGGAGGGCGGCGGTGGTTCTCCGACCGACAAACGTCTGCCACCTAACCCTGAAGACGGCCCTGCCCCTCCCCCCAAGGATTTTGGCCAGGGTTATGGGGACGCCTCAGGACCGTATGCGCAGCCAGGAACCGGTTCTATGCCGCCGGGGGCTCCTTTTAAGGACCCTCGACCATTCGCGCCCGTACCCAAGGCTCGCCCGAATTATACCAAGCTTGGTAGGTCAGAGAATTATTGTGACTGGGGATGGATGGTAGAGGCTGACCCCAGATAACTTTTCCAGACTTGATAAAATACGATACACCTTACTTGGGCCCCAAGATTCAGCTCATGCTATCCCAGCTCGAATTTAAACTGAGCGTGGAAAAACAGTACAAGGCTGGTATCGAAAAAATGGTTCGCCTTTATCAGGATGAAGGTGACAGGAAAAGTCGTGCGGATGCTGAGGGTCGACGGATCGAGAGTAACCAGAAGATCCAGCTTCTAAAGCAGGCTCTCAAGCGATATGAGGATCTCCACGTTGATATTGAATCAGCAGATACCCCTGATGGTACGCTCTCCGTCTTTTATCACTTCTACCTGGCTGTCCACCAATTTCGTATATTGACCTTTGGAGGCTAATATCTGCTTGTACAGATGAAAGTTTAAGCACTCCTAACCTGCGCAAGCCTCTGACCGGTCTTTTAACAATGCGCATCCAAGCTGTCCAGGATGTTGATCATGCTACCAGCTCGAGATTCTCCAGAGGCCCCGAGACATTCGTTATTGTGAAGGTTGAGGACAACATTAAAGCTAGGACAAAGGCGACTCGGTCCGATCGGTGGCAGGACGAAATTTTCAACATTGACATCGACAAGGCCAACGAGATCGAGCTTACTGTGTACGACAAATCTGGCGACCGGCCTACTCCTATTGGCATGCTTTGGCTGCGTATTTCTGATATTGCGGAGGAAATGCGTCGCAAGAAGATTGAGAGCGAGTTCAATGCTTCAGGCTGGGTCTCCGCAGATAAGATGGAGCACCCAGGTGGTGGTCCTGGACGAATGGATTCTGCTGGACCTCCAGGATCCTCTGGGCGTCCCGGCTCCGGAGGCTATTCAACTGCTCCATCCCAGGGTGGGGCTACTCAAGGTGAACCGTTGATGATCGATGCGTGGTTTGCCTTGGAACCAGTGGGTAGAATCCAACTATCAATGAGCTTTGGTAATTCTTTTATTATGCCTTCCCTCCTTTTAACCAAAACTAACATGTCATATAGCCAAACAATTGAAGGACCGGCGACCATTCGACATTGGTCTCAACCGTCAAGGTGCCGTTCGCCAAAGGAAGGAGGAGGTTCACGAGAAACAGGGTCACAAATTTGTCACGCAACAGTTTTACAATATCATGCGCTGTGCGCTGTGCGGTGATTTCTTGAAATATGCTGCAGGCATGCAATGTGCCGACTGCAAATATACTTGCCACCGCAAATGCTACCCAAAGGTTGTCACCAAATGTATCAGCAAAGCAAACTATGAAACGGACCCCGACGAGGAGAAGATTAATCACCGCATCCCACATCGATTCGAGAGTTTTGCCAATATCTCCGCCAACTGGTGTTGTCATTGCGGTTACCTACTGCCTTTCGGGCGAAAGAGCGCCAAGCGCTGCTCAGGTATATTTGTTGATTCAACCTAAAATTATCGTTCTTGAGAACTAACGCCTTTTTTTTTTTTTTTTTTTTTTTTTTTGACAGAGTGCGGTCTTACTTGTCACGCCCAATGCACTCATCTTGTGCCCGATTTCTGCGGCATGACGATGGAAGCTGCCAACCAGATTATAGACACGCTGATCCGCGCCAAGAATCATAAACAGTCTGCCTCTGTCAGCTCCGGTCTTAGTGGCCATACCCTTCGGCCTAGTGGTCCACCTCAGGCTTACTCGCCGAAACCTACCGAAGCCCCGTATGCACCTCAACGGCAACCCTCTGCGGAAGCTGTGAGCGCCGCAGCTACTTCTTATATGCCCCCACAGTCTCCCACCGCCGCCCAACGACAGCAACTGCCCCCCCGAACTTCTTCATCAAGCCCTGTCGCCGCGGCGGCTGCTGCAGCGGCCGGACTTCGCACTCAGCAGCAGATGCCTGGTATGTTAAATTTCCTCGATCCTCGGGTCAATAGAGCTATCATTAATCTGCCTGGAAATAAACAGATAACTCTCGTCCTGCACAACCCCCACCACCAGCCCATGCTCATTATGATCCAGCTGCATACGCCTCCTACCAGCAACAGAGCATGCCGCCACCGCCCATGCAGAAGGTTACGGCACCAGCGCCTTACACCGTGCCTCCACAGCCGCAGCCGCAGCCGCAGCCGCAGCAGTCAATGCCAATGATGCAACAACAGGTCGCAGTGAAAGAGGAAATTCCCCCACAGCAGCCAAAGGTCAGAATCGGGCTCGATCACTTCAATTTCCTTGCTGTTCTTGGAAAGGGTAATTTCGGAAAAGTCATGCTGGCAGAAACTAAGGCTACTAAGAAGCTGTATGCGATCAAGGTGCTCAAGAAGGAATTTATTATCGAGAATGATGAAGTTGAAAGCACAAAGTCCGAGAAGCGAGTGTTCTTGGTTGCCAACAAGGAGCGCCACCCATTCCTTCTCAATCTGCATGCTTGCTTCCAAACAGAAACTCGTGTTTATTTCGTCATGGAATATATTAGTGGTGGCGATCTCATGCTGCATATTCAGCGAGGCCAGTTCGGCCTTAAGCGAGCACAGTATGTCCTTCCAACGAAAACTATGTATACATGGCACAAAAAAAAAAAATTAAGCTGACAAACTCTACAGATTCTATGCTTCCGAAGTTCTGCTGGCACTCAAGTATTTCCACGAAAATGGTGTCATTTATCGTGACTTGAAGCTCGACAATATTCTTTTGACTTTGGATGGTCACATCAAAATTGGAGATTACGGCCTGTGCAAGGAGAACATGTGGTATGGATCAACCACGAGCACCTTCTGTGGTACTCCCGAGTTCATGGCACCTGAAGTATGCCCTCCCTTATTTTTCTTTTTTTTTTAAAAAAAAAAAAATCTTCACTGGATACTGACATGGAAAAAGATTCTCTTGGATAAGAAATACGGCCGAGCAGTGGACTGGTGGGCCTTTGGTGTTCTAATCTATCAGATGCTCTTGCAGCAGTCTCCATTCCGTGGTGAAGATGAGGACGAGATTTACGACGCTATTCTCGCTGATGAGCCTCTTTACCCCATCCATATGCCTCGGGATTCTGTCTCGATTCTCCAGAAGCTATTGACCCGTGAGCCGGAGCTGAGACTGGGCTCTGGACCTACGGACGCCCAGGAGGTGATGTCCCACGCTTTCTTCCGGAATGTCAACTGGGATGATATCTACCACAAGCGGATTCCCCCACCATTTATGCCCACCATCAGCAACCCAACCGATACCAGCAACTTCGACCAGGAATTCACCAGTGTCACACCCGTTTTGACTCCTGTGCAGTCAGGTAAGGCTAACTCCCTATCAAGTTACATATCCGGATACTAATCACAAATGTCCCCTGGTTTAGTTCTTTCTCAAGCTATGCAAGAAGAGTTCCGTGGTTTCTCCTATACTGCGGATTTTGCTTAATCCAGTCCTATTTACGTTTCGAGAACAGTCTGACTGTTGTGTTTATTCCACGTTTGTTCGCCGTCATGTTTGAAATGTCATCCTCGGGCTTCTTGGTCTTTGCGGATTGCCTTTAGCTTTTTTACCCTGGAATAGTCTTTGAACATACCCCCATAAGAGTTTTGAGAGCTAGTGTGAGCAAGTGCTGTGATGCTAGGTTTTGAGAGCGCTGGTTGAAAAAAAGGGGTGGTTTAGTCTGGGACGGGACTTCCCCTTATTTACGTGTGTTTATGTCCCCTACGATGGATTGCTAACCATTCTGGGAATTTAATTGTGCTTCGTTCTTATATTGAATCACTTTTAATGCTGTATGACTGAATGGAGGTGCAGTTATGTTTGTGATACCGAAAGGGGCAAGCAAGCTTCATAGAATATATTTTTGATATTGGATTTTGCTGTTGAAGTGACCTGATCTAGTTTTTCAGATTATTCCGTGGTAGTAGAGGGTTTCCTAGACAACTTTTAACCCCATGTCTCTGCAATCCTTTCTATCTGTCAGTAATACTCAAGAGAAGGAAACCTCCGCAAGTCTAGCAGCACGCGGTGTAGATTCATAAATTTAGACTCATATCAAAGCAACAAATGGAGACAAGAGTTGAATCCACCATCTCAATGCATGAATGGTCCTCTGATCCAATATGGTCGCTTTATCCCCGCAGAACAGTTATTGAAGTTGTTTTTGTTCACATAATTAGATCAGTAAGTAACACAGTCAGGTTCATGGGCCATTCTCCCATTCTACTCAAATCTGTTCTTTGTTCCAGTTGCACTCTAAGATGGCTTCGAGTAAAAAAGAAGTTGGGCTCGATGACCTTCCTTTATCCATCTTCGCCTCGAAGTTCTTTGTCTATAGAACTGTTTCTCTTTCATCGTGACAAAGAACGACGTGCACTGCAGCAAAGCAATCTCAAGACTAAAACAGACAGTTATCGTCCAAGAGCACAAAACCATATCCAGTTTCATATTCAGTCCCAATTCATCCTGAGACCGAGTTTCCCTCGACACGATTTCTCCCCAACATATCACCTGCTCATCTGCCTTCTGTTCTCAATAAAGTCGTCTGCAGCTAGATTGGCACAATCGAGACTTCAATCACTGTACATACTACGACACATATTTAGATTCCGGGACTTTGATCACCTGCAAACAAGATGGTTTCCGCGCCCTCTCTAGGCTCCCTCGAAAATGATGGGTCCGACGATATGCTCAGTCTCCCCTTGGGAGCCGGCAAGATGAAAATTAAGAAGAAGCGGGCTCTAGATCCTGCGTATGTTCCATATGAAGATGACGACGACGATGAGGATGTACTATCGCAAGTGGAAGGGGCTGCTGGTCTGCTCCAGGAACTAAGTCCCCCCAAAAGGAAGTTGGGCTCGGATGAGGATGGAGACCGGGAATCTTTAGGCGATAATTCCTCACTCCGACCAAACAAGAAACTAAAGAAATCCGGTAGGTTTTGCTATTCAAGGTCCTTGTGAGTTCGAAGACTCCAAGCTGATTTGCGCGTTTAGGACCGCCCAATATCATGGTTGCAAGAAATGCGATATTGCCCCCTAAAACCGATGAGACCTTGGCCCCGACGAATAACAACACTCTATATCTTACAGCCCCTGCAGAACGAAAGCGGAGTGTTATTCCCGGCTCCCCAAGGTTTCGGAAGCAGTCAAGATTGGAAGATCGTGATTATGTGTCTGATAATAGTGATCATGATGATAATGACCATACATTCATCATCTCAAATAACGAAAAGACAACGGTTGTCTTTGATTTCACTCGTGAGAAAGCCAAACGATTAGCAGGTGCAATCAATATCCCGCAAGATATCTACACAGAAAGGGAGAGAGATCTCTTTCTTCAGCTTGCAATGCGTGGATTTGAGCCCCTGGCGCCAAAGCATTGGCAGTTCGACTTCCCAACCCTTCCGGATTCATTATTTTCTACTTCCGAAAACAAGTCAGCGCCTATTATCAAAACATCCAGAAGTACAACCTTCTACGGTAAGTCTGTCAACTGCATTTATCTTTTAACACATCGGAATGTTCATTTGGCTAAAACCTATCTGTAGCGATTAAGTCTCTTGCGTGTCTTTTCTCCCTGAGTGGCAGAGTGAGGGACTGCAGTATCTTGGAGAAACGCCCGGAGGCTTTGATCAAACAAACAATTGAACAATATATTCGATGGGCGCTTTATGATGCAGACCTTTCAATCGATCGTGGTTCAATCCCAGTACATGTTATATATGCACAAAAGAAGAACGAACCAACTTTGAATGCCCTCACGCGCCTCAACAACCGTCTTCAGAAGCTCGCACTTCGGCATCATCTTGCGCTAAAGGAGACTCCAAATATAGGTGCTCCCCTATCTGATAGATTGCCCTTGCTTATTGGGTTTGTTATATGCGGGCCCATCGTTGCTATAATGACCTTTGACCCCGATCCGCAGCAACTTGATGAAAGCACTGACGGAAGATTCATGTCGCAGTTTGACTTGTCAGAACGAGGACAAGATGTGTGGAACTCACTCGCTATTGCTATTGCAGTTATACATGTCCGTAACACAATGATTCGACTTTCACAGGACGGTATAGGAGGATTTAGGAGAACTCGCAGGAGCAGCCCGACAGATAATGATTTTTAACTCGTATTCTAACGTCTCATGTGGTGAATTAAATGAAGATGTTCTTTTTCGGAACACATTATACAGTTATATTCATAATAGATCGCTTTTACCAATCCCGAAATCCTTGTTGATGGGTATCTTCCCAGGTTATGCTTTTATATAGATCGAAATGTTTATCACGTGATTGAGTTTGGCGTTGACAAGATCCCCGCGGTTTGTATTTGCTTCCTGACTTTCAAGATGCGTCCAACCCTCCGTACGGGTGCCAAAGTTCATCATGGATGCAGCCGAAGATCGAGAAGTCAAACTTCAACGGGCTTCTGGGGACCTTGTCAAAGAATTTTCGGCTAAATTGCCCTCTTTGCTTTGGAAGCCACAAAAGGATGAGGGGACTATTCGAGTCCCACGAAGGTGGACGCTGGCTTCCAAGACAGAGAGACTAGTTAGCCTTGTAAGTCGCGGTGCCTTTTCTCCTTTTTCACATATTTGTTACATTACGCCTTTTTTTTTTTTTTTTTTGTTGGGGCTGACCTGCTAATCATTCGATGACTTGCAGCTAGAGCATTTTCAGGAGTGGCCGCAGTTGCTTGACCCTCACTTACAAGCGCTTCTCCCTCCGCTGGTTGATGCTTTGCTGGCATACCTGCTAAAGCATCGGGACCAGTACGCTAGTAAGCCTGCTACCAGCCAGCAAGCACGGGCCCTATACCCTCTACCTAGGGCGGTATGCAGGCTCCTCTATACCTTCTGCAAGGTCCGGGGGGTCAAGGTAATCAGCAGATTCCTCAATAATGAGCCAAAGCATCTCGATCCTTTGCTCCGAGCCTTTATTGAGTGGGATTCCGCTCACCAGGATGATCTAGCTGATGCGTCGGCTGGGGATATCCCGCGCCGTCTTGTTTGGGAAGAGCGTTATGTGCTGCTGATCTGGCTTTCGCACCTACTGCTCGCACCCTTCGACTTGTCTTCTATGTCGTCCAACGATATACCGATTCCATATGGAGATAATGAACCAACTAATCGGCTATTACCACAAACACCTGCGGTGGCAAAGTCTCTGCTTTCAGTAGCATTAAATTACATAAATGTCGCGGGTAAAGAACGCGAAGCTGCAACAACCCTCCTTGCGCGACTGTCACTCCGTCGGGACATGCAGAACTTGGGGGTCTTGACCATACTAACGGAGTGGTCATTTGCTGTTATTCACCCCATGCCCGGGACTGAGCCTTCACCTGTTTACGCGTATATAGGTGTGCTGTCTTTCCTTGCTCGCTTAGGAGCATCGGGTCAAGCTGAGGATTTTGCTCCTCTCATAATCCCTGTGTTTAAACAGACAATGCGTCTCATGCAAGATGAAACCGAGATTTCCCAAGTCATCCTATCATCTGCGCTGGCGCGGAAAACAATCATCAAAATTCTACGATCTGTGACCGTTCTAGCTCTATCACTTGGCGAAAGGAACAGTAACATACTCTCAGATGATCACGTCTCCTATATCCTAGAGGAGGCAATTGATCATCTCCTGACAGCTCTTGCGGACAAGGACACTCCTGTGCGATTTGCGGCTAGCAAAGCGTTGAGCATCATCACTTTGAAATTAGACCCAGATATGGCAACTGAAGTTATTGAGGCTGTTACGGGCTCCCTGGAAGAGAATATTCTATATAACAAGCAGGACGGTACTATAATAACACCTTCTGCGGCCCGAAAGATTGGAATTCATACCCTAAAGCGAAATCTAAGTGCCGTTGACGCTCAGAAATGGCAAGGCCTTATCCTCACGTTGGGCCATCTCCTATTTCGCCGGGCTCCTCCAACCCATAAACTTCCTAAAGTACTGCAGCCACTTGTCTCCGGACTCGACTTCGAACAGAGATCTTCCACTGGAAGCTCTGTTGGGACTGGTGTGCGTGATGCCTCTTGCTTTGGTATCTGGGCCCTCTCTCGCAAGTATACAACTCAGGAACTTCTCGCAATTAAGCGGCAGGACATAAGCTCGTCCATATCTCCAGGTGATGGGAGTACCCTCCAGATGCTTGCAATTGAGTTGGTTTGTGCTGCCTGCGTTGACCCCTCTGGTAATATCCGAAGAGGTGCTTCCGCTGCTCTGCAAGAGCTTATCGGACGCCATCCGAATACTGTTGTGGAGGGTATTTCTCTCGTGCAAGCTGTGGATTATCACGCAGTCGCACGGCGTTCAAGAGCAATGATTGAGGTTGCAAAAGCCACCGCAGATCTAAGCTCTTGCTACTGGGGGTCCCTTATTGAATCGCTGATACAATGGAGAGGAATCGCCTCGCCTGATGCCGAGTCGAGGAGGCATGCTGCAAAGGCGCTTGGAGTATTAAGCACCCAAGACTCCTACAAAAGTGTACAGCTAGTACTTCGAAAGCTCTTTGACAAACTTCATAGTATTCCTCACGGCGATGTAGAGACAAGACATGGTTGCTTTCTCGCTGTTTCTGCTGTAATAGATGCGTTCAATGCCTTTAAAGCATCGGAAATTTCCAGAAATAGCAGCGACGCCGTCGGTGTTGCCCAGCAGATAGCTGAATTCTGGCAGATCTTTGATAGCCATGTTGGGCCTACTAAAGACGATCTAACGCTTCTTGCTTCGCGTCCAGAACTAACTGCCGAAGCGTTTTCATGCTTCGTTTCTTCTCTTTCCCAATCCTTATCTCGCCTCAATGAACTCCGTGCCCCACCTCCATCGACAACATTGCTTGACAAATGCTGTGACAATCTTCAAGTTTGCCTCTCACGGAGTGATGATATTTCGATAGAGTCAGCGTCCAAAGCAATCTCAGCAATATGGCCCCTTCTAGCTTCTCAGAAACAGGACGAGATCATTCAAGGGTGGTTTTCCCATATCCGTGCAACTCGGAATTTGCCAACCGGCCGGGGCCAGCTATCAGCTCTCGGCTCTACTTTCAACCAGCTTGACGCTGAAAGTACTGTCAGAGAGACAATAATAGAAGAGCTATTATGGTGTGCAGAAAAAGAAGGGTTGATTGAAAAAAGGGTTGTAGCTATCAAGAGCTTCACTGTGGGAGTACTGCCACATATACGTGAGTGATTAAGAACATGTGATATATATGTATGTAAGCTAACAGAGGGGCAGATGTTACCGATAATATTGCGAGTAGCCTTATTGGGTTTTTGAACGATTACACGACCGATAGGCGTGGCGATATTGGATCTTTGATCAGGTTGGAAGGTATCCAGGCTGCAAGAGTTATCACTGAGAAGAAGATTGACGCTACTAGCCAGTCCAATGCTGAAAAAATCGCTGGGTGCCTCTGCCGCCTTGCAGCAGAGAAGCTCGATAAGGTCCGCCTTGAAGCATGGCTCTGCCTGCAGATTTTCTGGTCGTCCGTCAACTACTTTCCACCGTTGCAAAAGTAAGAAATGTCCTATCGTTCTTTTGATACCCGATGCTAATGAGACTAGGCACTACGGACATTTCAGCGAAGTTTCCTCAACAGATTATTTCGTCCAGCTTCTTGAACTCCAAGCTGTTGAGTGGCTGCGCATCCCGCTATTCCAAGGCCTCGCTACTTCTGCTGTAGCTGGAGCCGAGGGACTCATTCGCTCATCCCGCGCGGCCTTAGTCCAGAGCATCAACAAATATGAGGCAGAGTTGCGCCCGCAGATAGTAATATCTATCATCCAGGACTTGCTACTTGCACTAAGTGACAAGCTCATCGATGACCGTTATGCTATTCCGATTCTAGAATTGTTGGCTTTCCTATTGGATGGTTACGTGTCTTCTGTGCCTGACATTACAGATCCAAGGTTTGTTAAATTAGAGCTCTAAAATGAAGGTCTTGAATAGAGAGCTAATCTCCATTAGTCTACGAAAGGTGTTTGTTCTAGCCCAGAAGGTACACTTCAAGTCTTCGAATATTGCGCGACTCGAAGCAGCAATCAGGGCATACGCTCCTCTCTCTAGGCTGGAGCGGTTACGGATCGATGTTTTGAAAAAGTTGACCGGGATGCTACTGCATCCGTTCCCTAGGGTATGTATTGGCCTCCACCAGACACACACACACATATATATATATATGTATGCTAAGCAACGAGAAGGTTCGAGTTACTACAGCAGACTACTTGTTCATGGAAACAGGGCTGGGTTTAGTAAAAACTGAAGATTGGACAAGACCACCGAAGGAACTCAAAGGCAAGGTTGAGGAAGTACGGGAAGTGTTGGCATGTAAATAACTTCTATACGACTTTGAAATGAAGACCTCCGGAAAGAGTGTTTTCGAAGCGAAAAAAAAAAAACTTTCCCGAAATACAAAAACAAAAAAAAAAAGAATTGGAATGCATCATCCGCGAATCGAACGCGGGCCTCATCGATGGCAACGATGAATTCTACCACTAGACCAATGATGCTTTTCTTGTGGATATCGAGGATTCTTTTGCGCTCATAAACCAGGCGCAGACTTTGCTCTTAAATCTGTGCTTTCCCTAGACAGGCTAGTCTTGTAGTAGCCTGTACCAACGTGAGCTTGTGGATATGGCAGCATTTGATTGGGTGCTGAGCACGACACATCACCTGACATGATTCGCGCTGCTAAAGCGGCAAGCAGTCATTGGGACCGACAAGTAGTGGGAGTTGAACAAGAAAGCAAGCAGCCATATAACTGCAATTAGTTAATTGCTCCGGACCAGGCCAGGAACCTCCCATCCACCCGCGGCAAGTCAAACACAACCCCCAGCTTGTTGCAGATATGGCTACCATCCCGGTGCCCGTCCAGATTCCTCCGAATCCCACGTAAGTTCTTTCCTTGGTACCTTATTCAAAGCGCGCTTCTGGTTTCATTGCTAATAACGTTCTTCCCCCCCCTCCCCCGGCGCGCAGGGTCTATGTATGTTGCACGATTGTTAACCCACGAGCGGAGCGCTTGAAATCCCCGCCTCTCGTTCTTGTTGATCATCATCCGTTTGATTTCCATCTGCTGACACCGAGCTATCGTATCAAATTACAGGTCCGGAACCTCGAGGAGCGGATCAAGGTCGACCAGCTCAAGGAAGCTCTGGAGGAGATCTTCTCCGAATATGGGAACGTTCTGGAGATAGTCGCGAAGACGAACCTCAAGGCGAAGGGCCAGGCGTTCGTTGTCTTCGATAACGTGGAGTCTGCCACGCGCGCCATTGACGAAATCAACGGGTTCGAGATCTTCGATAAGCCGATGGTTCTTGATTACGCGAAGACCAGGAGCGATGTTACGGTTTTGCGTGAGGGGGGGGAGGATGAGTTGGAAGCTCATAAGCGTAGACGGCTAGCTGAGAAAGGTGCGGTTTTTCTCTCTTTCTCTTTCTTTCTTTCTTTCTTTCTTTCTTTCTTTTTTTTTTGCCGAGGGGGGGGGGGGGGGGGGGTTTGTGATTTTGCTTGGGTTATGAACGGCTGATAATGGTTTTTTTTTTTTTTGCAGAACGGAAACAAGCCCACGAAGCCCTGGAAGCACAGAAGAAACTCAAGCGTCCATCTGGTCCCCCCGATACTACGCGCCCCGCCAAAACAGTCAAGGGTGCCGGTCTCAAGCCTACAACTGGCGCCGCTGCTGCCGTTATCCCAGACGAGTATCTGCCACCCAACAAGATTCTGTTCTTGCGGGACCTTCCCGATTCTGCGGATCAGGAGAGTCTCACGGCTGTGTTTGGTCGGTTCGAGGGGTTCCAGGAAGTCAGACTGGTGCCGGGAAGAAAAGGAATTGCGTTCGTCGAGTACGAAAGCGAGTCTGGGGCTATCAGTGCAAAGGAGGCTACGTCGGGGATGCCCATGGGGGAGAGTGGGAAACCGATCCGGGTTACCTACCAGAGACAATGATGGGCTGTTCTGCATATTATCGTCTACTGGTTTTTTGTTGGCGTTGGGGGGTTGGGTTGCTTATTATTTTTCCTATAAAATGATTTAATTGATTCGAATCATGGTGACTAGGCTTTATCGGCTTCACATATCTGGAACTGAATGTTTCGATAGCGCAGAAATAAGAGATATGCAGCCAATGTATATGGCATGGAAAAAAAAAAAAAAAAAAAGAAAAGCAAGAGTTATATGCTAAGCAGGAAATACACTAGTTACAGATCAAATCAAGGGCAGGGGAAGCTTAGAAGATGACATCCGTATCTTCTTGCTCCCCTAGAACGTCTGGCGCGTCTGGTGCGTCTGGCGCTGCTTCTGATTGAGTCTTAGTGGCATCCGCTTGTTGTTTCGCCGCCTCTCTCTCGCGTGCGGCCAGAATTTCAGCATCCGCAGCGGCGGTGTCTCTTTGTTTCTTGTTTGACACTTTCTTGAGTCGGTAGAATTCTTCTCTGTCAAGCTCGTCGAGCTCCGAGTTGATATCTTGGGATAAGTTAGTGGATGCCGAGTGGTGATGGTGGGGAAAATAAGCATACATTTGATGGTGTTTTCCGTTCGGGGAATGATAACGTGCTCACTAGATGCAATTATTAGTGTTCAAGTTCATCAACAGAGGCGTGGGCAAATCATTTGTCTTACATCGCATTAACTATGACATGGATTAGCACACAGACAGCTTATGTAGTTGGGTTAAGTACTCACCTCTTCGGTTAACAACCTTGATCACCTCATCGAGAATAACAAACGCTGTCTTGAATAAAATCAGCCCTACTCGCAAGGCAGAGAACCGGTGATATTCCGTACCTGCAGACTTGCCAGTTCTACCAAGGTCTCCACTGCCCGAGCATATGTCTCTCGACAACGTTGAACCTGCTGTCCTCCCTTTCCCAGGCCAGTCAAGCCAAAGTCATTGATTCCATCTTCTGTGTAGCTCTCGAAGTGAGGGAGAAGAACACCGGAAACGTTTTCCTGCTTCGCGCGCACTCGGAATCGAGCCTGCTTGGCGGATTCTTGCACTTGGTAGCCGATATCACCGCCAACGGCGTAGCTCACTTCGGCAAGGGAGAATGCAGCAATCTGCATGACTCGTCCCATCTTCTGTTTAGCTTCATCAATCCGCCGCGTAATTTCTGGGTTTCCGCGTTAGTTTCATGGGCTGCCGGGAGGTCGCTATATAAGTTCCCATACCTCGGAAGCGCCTACAGATTTCCACGTTAGTTCTGGACTCCAATGGATGAAGAAACAGCAATCTTACTTGGTTAGAGCTTCGCTTTTCCTCTTGAGCAAACTATGACCAGTCTCCGCGCCCTTCAGTTTACTCTTCATCAACCCCAGCGACTGGCGAGTCGGGAAGACTGGCTCACGGCCCTAAAGCGGAACAACACGATCAATAAGTCTCTCATCAGCGGAAATTGTTGCAGGGATAGCAGACGCACCACTGCACCAGACATGTTTAAGGAACCAGAGAATGATGCTCAACTCGTCACAAAGGCCACGATAGCGGTGCAGCGACAGGAGGAGGAGGCATGCCGATAACATCACCCACCGCGAGCGGAAGCTTTGACCACTCTGTGGCTTGGGCCCGCATGACACGGTGCACGTGACCGGCCTCACAACTTCAACAATCGAAGCGCTCATGGGTTTTCTCCCGACGCGACGAGAAGGACTTTCCCGCTCATGCAACCCCATTTTATTGCGATTCCGTGTTGACCGTGTGAGTCGGTCCCGCTCTATCGAGTGGCGAGATGCCAGGGACACTCCTGCCCCCGAGATCCCACCGGCAACACGCAGAGATGGATCGATCTTCGGCCTCCAGGCCGGACCTGTATCTCATCGTAGGTGAACAACGCATTGAACCTCAATTAGATGAAAGCTAACGGATCTCCTTTGTATCAGGGCGATCAGGACACCGTATACGAGCAAGACCTCCTCCGGAACCCCGGTAGCATCAAACCTTGGCTTGCTTATATCGAATACAAGCAGCAGCATGGAACTATCTTCGAGCAAGCCTTTGTGAGTCCTTCCCTCTTCTTCATATTACATGCAGTTCTAATTACGCGATTTAGGTCATGGAGCGTGCCTGCAAACAGCTCCCAAGATCCTACAAGCTTTGGAAGATGGTATTTGAATTTTTCCTCCCCCCACCTTCCTTGTCCCCCTCAGTTTGACTCCCAAGTACTTGCGGTGGCTGACTATCGTAGTACCTGGAATTTAGAACTAAGCATCTCCGGGGCCGTAATGCGACAAAATATCGGGCGGAGTTTCACAAAGTCAACGCCCTGTTTGAACGTGCCTTGATCCTGCTTAACAAGATGCCGCGGATATGGGAAATGTACCTTGCCTTCATGATTCAGCAACCCATTGTGACCCAAACGAGGAGAACCTTTGACCGGGCACTGCGGGCTCTACCTATCACCCAGCACAATCGGATTTGGAAATTATATAAGGCTTTTGCGCGCTCAGCCTCTGGTCAAACTGCCGTCAAAATCTGGGCTCGCTACATGCAGATTCATCCGGAGAATGCAGAAGAATATATCGAGCTACTTGTGGAGATGGGGCAGTATACAGAAGCTGTGAAGCGATACATGGAAATTCTCGACAACCAAAGATTTCAGTCTAGGGAGGGCAAGAGTAACTTTCAACTCTGGACTGAAATGGTGGATCTGCTTGTTTCTAAGGCAAAGCAGATTCAAACCGGTCCGCAAGCTGGAATCGACGTTGATGCTATCATGCGTAGCGGTATCGATCGATTTGCAGACCAGAGAGGTAAATTGTGGGCTGGACTGGCCACTTATTGGATTACCAAAGGTAACTTCGAGAAGGCACGGGATGTTTTCGAAGAGGGCATTACTACTGTGATGACAGTCCGCGATTTTACTCTTATATTCGATTCTTACGTTGAGTTTGAAGAATCAATCATTGGTAACTTGATGGAGGCCGCAGCCGTTCGCACAGACAACGGCCAGGTAGACGAAGAGGCCGATTTTGATTTGGACCTTCGAATGCTTAGATTTGAACAGCTGATGGATCGACGTCCATTCCTGGTTAACGACGTGTTGCTCAGGCAAAACCCGAATAACGTTATCGAATGGGAAAAGAGAGTCGCTCTCTGGGGTGAGAATAAAGAAGAAATTGTCCAAACTTATACAGCGGCTATCGCTGCTATCAATCCCAAGAAAGCTGTCGGCAAATTCTCAGGGCTCTGGGCCAACTATGCGAAGTTTTACGAGAACGGTGGAGACTTGGCCACTGCACGAGTCATTTTCGAAAAGGCTGTTAAGGTTCCTTTCAAATCAGTTGCAGAGCTTGCTGAAACTTGGTGTGAATGGGCTGAGATGGAATTGCGCAGTGAAAACTTCGACAAGGCAGTTGAGATAATGGCAAAGGCAACCCAGGCACCTAAGAGATCGACTGTCGATTATTTCGATGAAACTCTTTCACCCCAGCAAAGGATCCACAAGAGTTGGAAGCTGTGGAGTTTCTATGTCGATTTGGTCGAAAGCGTTTCGTCGCTGGAGGAAACGAAGAAGGTGTACGAGAGGATTTTTGAATTGCGCATTGCCACTCCCCAGACTGTTGTCAACTACGCCAATCTTCTAGAGGAGCACAAGTACTTTGAAGATTCGTTCAAAGTTTACGAACGCGGATTGGATCTGTTTAGCTACCCTGTGGCGTTTGAGCTTTGGAACCTTTACCTCACCAAGGCTGTTGACCGCAAGATTGGCATTGAACGTCTCAGAGATCTTTTCGAGCAGGCTCTGGATGGTTGTCCTCCGAAATTCGCCAAACCCCTGTACTTGATGTACGGAAATCTTGAAGAAGACCGTGGCCTGGCCCGACACGCAATGAGAATCTACGAACGTGCGACTCGAGCTGTCTCAGATGAGGATAGATTCGACATGTTTGAATTTTATATCACCAAGTCCGCATCGAACTTCGGATTGACTTCCACACGACCTATCTACGAACGGGCTGTTGCCGCTCTACCTGACCAGGAAGCTAAGGAAATGTGCCTCAAGTTTGCAGAGATGGAGAGGAGACTGGGCGAAATCGACCGGGCTCGCGCGATCTACGGACACGCATCTCAATTCTGCGACCCCCGTACCAATGCCGGATTCTGGCAGAAATGGGAGGCATTCGAAGTCCAGCATGGAAACGAAGATACCTTCAAGGAAATGCTTCGTATCAAGAGAAGTGTTCAGGCACAATACAAGTATGTACCTCTCGTTCCCAACCACGAACAAAAACTAACAGATTTGACGCAGTACCGATGTCAACTTCATCGCCTCCCAGGCCATTGCCCGCACTCAACAACGGGGCCAAGAGGGCGAGAAAGAGCCAGCAACAGAACAAGAAGAAGCAGATGCCATGGCAGCATTGGAACGACAAGCACGAGCGCCCGTGGGCTTCGTCGCAGCTAGCACAGGTCCTGAGGGTGGTAACCGTCCTCCCGCTGACAAAGAGCCACCTGTTGCTGCCACTGCCGCTCCAGTGAACCCCGACGCCATTAACCTCGACGATGATATGGATGCCGATTAAGTGTTTTGATCTCCACTTCTGTACTAGCGACTGACCTACTCTTGCTTCTCTGGATCGCCGTATCGGCGGCAACTACTACTACTACTAGGTACTGCTAACCTTACTGTACCCAAGAGAATCAACCCAATCCGTTGCTCCTTCCTTCCACTTCCATCTCATATACCAATCACATTCTCACATCAATGATTTTCCTTTTTACTCTGGCTGGTTTCATCTATCTCTCTTCTCTCTACCTTAGGTATCTGTCATCAATCAAACCTTGAACCACCCTATAACGAACATGCTTGGTCCAAGACTAGTTAGTTTGAGTTTGTCAACTTTCAATTTAGGCATGGGTGTTACTCTGTGTACTCCTATATCTCCTTTGTCCCTTTTTTTTTTTTTTTTTTTTTTTTTTTTTCTCTCTCTCTTGGTGCCGCTCTTGTACCTCTCTCTCTCTTGTTTTAGTCACTCCTTACGATGAACCCCCCCTACGATACCTTGGGTGGCGTTCTGTGTATAGATGAAATGATTATCTCACTTCCAAGGCCTCACTTCCCCCTCGTTTCTTTTTTTATCGTAAGTTGTATTAACGCTTCTTTACTTAGTAGTGTTTTGCAAGGAATTTGTTACGATGTGTCCCGTCAAATACATTCATTCTGTTACTTCGTTTTTCAAGCTCGGGGTTGAAAATCCACTTCAGGATGAGTGAGTGTAAATCGATTTACACACAAGCCAGCTGACGATCCAAAAGAGAAGAAAATGGAAAATGCAGAAATAGAGTGTCTATCAAGACCACCGCTATGTCACCACTCACAGGCGAATTCGACATATATGTTGGCTGCAATAAGGAGGGGAGGCAAAAATAGCATAATAAAGGTTATATATATATTTACATAATCTTTCGAAGACAAAAAGGCACAGGCTACCCACGCTGTAAAATGCCCGAGTAAAATAAAACAAGAAAGAAAGAAAGAAAGATTATTCATTAGAAGTCAGAGACCAAGAATCCCTGGATGTATTCAAGGATTGCTTGATTCATTATTGGTGTCATCTCCAGCGGGTTCGGAAGGGCTAGGAGGCTCCTCCTTGGCCTCCTCCGCCTCGTCCTCTTTCTTTTCATTAATGGAGTTCTCTTGGGGCGCTGCAGCAGGAGACGAAACAGGGGATGGCGCTGGGGTTGTCTCCTTTGGTGGTTCTTCAGGGAATATCTCCTTGAAAAGTTCCGGCAAAAACCTGTCTAGGCGTTTCTTTGTCTCGGCCCAGATCTTTTCCTTACTCGCGTCTTGGGATGGTGGAACAAGATAGCCTACGTCGGCCATAACCAGGATGATGTTCTTGATACTTTCTGGGATCGCTTCCTCCTGTTCCAAGTTATTAGAAAAATTTTCTGCTTTGATGTGGGAAGTGATTTTCGGGGCAAGGAGAAGTTAATTTTTGACGTACAAGACTATCACCTTGACCGCTGTTCATCATGCGATCGAGAACATCTAGGATCTTGAGCCACAGATCCAGCATTCCTTCAGCGTCGGGAACCTGGTCTAGATAACGCAGGAAAATCTTACAAACCAAAGTTGCGACTTGAACTCGGGTCTCACTCATCCCACGTGGATCTGCATGATAGACCTCAGGCTTCAGAAGGCGCAGGATAAGTGGGAAAAGAACCTGGTCGAAAATGGCTGCCCACTCCTTGTCGGAGCTGATCTCGACAGACAAAAGTGACCCCTGTAAAGTCGACACTGCATGATGCCTGATGTCTCGACAGGGGTTGATACACTGGGAGGTCAAGGAATGGAAGATGGGCGACCAGTACGCTGACCAGGCTGCCAGTCGCATCGTTAGCTAAGTTCATATGTGTGTTTTTTTTTTTTTTTTTTTTCTTTATACAAAAAAGTGGGTTGAACAAACCTTCGTTTTCCTCGAGATGCGACTGGTTGATCAACGCGGGAGCTCGTCCTGTCAGATGGTATATAAGACCAATGGCTGTAATGCCACGTGAAACAACTTCATTTTCACTGCTATTCCGGAGTTTAGCGCAATCTATTGAACGGTTGATAACCCGGAGAAAAGGGTTAGAGGGAGACGAACCTGGCTTTCTGTTGTTTAACCCCTTTAGGGCGTCGTGTGCGCGTATCCCTTTGTCTCTCTTCAATGTAACCCACACTCCCGGCACTAACAAAATCATTTGCAAGGCTGACAGCAGATTCATAATTGTCCGCCGTTACAATTGGAGGCGTCGACTCAACAACAGTTTGGAGAAGGCCAAATACCAAAGGTGCCGCCTCCTTATGCTGATGCAGTCGTTGGAGAATGGACCAAAAGTCGGGTGAGACAGTGATCTCATTTCGGAGGAGGCCTCCATCGGAGATGCACCGTGATAGTCCTTTGATTGTAGGGATTGCAACACTCTCGAGTATATCTTGATCGAAGCCGGAAATACCGTGAAGGATGACGGGGACCCGCATGAAGGGTTGATCCTAAAAAGGTTGTGTGAGTAAAACATCAAATGGGAATGTTAAAAAAGATTTACGAGAAATCTTACATGGCTTAGTCGCAGCAAATTCAACAAGTAGGAAGTGACCCTTGACAGTGCCAGAGAATGCAGGTTCCGAGCATCTCGAATGAAACCTTGCAATGCAGACAAGAGTCGCTCACCAAGGGTTTCAATGGTTTGCTGATCACGAAGAGTAAGAATGGTAGCCAACTCCAATAGATACATCATCCCAGGATCATATTGGATCCTACTGGGATCAAGTTTGACATTTGAGGCCCTGGAGGATGGAAGTGGTCGTTCAGGCTTCACCACGATGACCGCAGGCGCACTTTCTTCAGGCAATTGTGCCAGTAGTGACTCGACTAACACCGCCACAGACTGCAAGGGCAGGGAACGAATGTTGCACAAGAGGTCATTGATCGAGCACGCTGTTACGCAATCTACCGTGCACAATGTGTTGTCAAGTTCTTCGTCAGATGGCTCCGGAGGATCGTCGGCTGCGTAGCTGGATAGATAAGATGTGAAGGCAGACAGTAATCCAGTCTCATTTCCTCGACCATCACGGTCCACGACTTGGGATGGGGTCTGCAACGGAATGGGTGGAATGTCGAGGTCGGCATTCAGACGAGAGTCAAATGGCGGAATAAGAGAATTGACGAAGAGGTTTCGGAGAATTTGAACAACATGGTCCCAGCCCTGCTGCACAGCAAGCTCGCTGTTTGTCAACAACCGGAATAGAACGACGGTAGCCAACTGCGCTCTAAAATCCCGGCCAAATTTCACAGCCAGCTCGCTAACCATCACACTCTTCTTTCCAGCCTGGACTTCAGTGTTAAGCGCTGTGCTGGGAGGAGTACCTGTGGCTAGAGTACTAATTGAAGCGAGGCAGAAGATTATGCGATCGAACGCCTCCGTCAGCCCATGGCGGGCCGCAATCTGAGCGCATTGATCGAATCCCATGATAACCCGGGAGTACACGGCGTCATCCGAAGCAGACATAAAAACATACGCGAGTGTGGCGACTACAGGTTTCCAAGTAGCCTCGAACATCTCTGCGTCATAGATGTTAGTCTGACCCACTACTAATTCCCCTGCCGAAGCTGATTTTACTAGCAGTTCTCGCCAGGCAAAGTCAAATGCATGCTTGTTATCATGCTCATCAGGCAAGATAATCTCATTCTGCTTGATTGAGTCATAGATCCCTTGCAGAAACTCGGGAGCAAAATCTTGACCCGCATTCACCCCTCGGAGGTTTCGCGCGAAATCGTTACAGGACATACGGTTTTGAGACTTAATATTCGGGTTATATAGCTCGGTATTGAGCATAATGATGCCATAGGTTAAGATAAACAGCGAGTCCTTATCGGCAACCTCAGGAGGGTGTGATTTCTGGATGAACTGGTTGGTGAAGGTCGTAATGATCCGCTCAATGAGAGGGGATTCGCCAGGCAAGCGGAAAGCTCCGAGCAAGTCGCGCAATCCCTCAACGACTGTCTTGCCGGAAAAGTCGAAGAGATCCACAAAGGCGTTGAGAAGATCTTCATTCGCTCGTTTCGAGATGAATTCACCGAGGACCTTCTTTGACAGCCTGGTGGTACCTTTCAGGAAGCGAGCCACCTGAAGGGGATCATCAGGATTCTCAATAACCCCATGGGATGCAAGATAGGCGATTCCACCCTTTGGGTCTTCATTAAACTTTTGAGCGCCTTGCACAACAAGCTTCTTCGTTTTTCGTTGGGTTTTCAGGCGCTCGTTGGATGGAAACCCCTCAGTAACAGGCTCATCATCGAGCCTATCATAAATGGACTGTATATAGCTAAGAAGGGCGTCTAGGCAAAGCGGAGGCACATTGGTAGTGCTCCAGGTTGCGGAATCAGGGAAAGCGCTCCGGGACAACAGGCCGACCATGTCCTCACACAGATCGGCTCGGTCAACTTCGCAGTCATAGTTGACGAAAAGTTCGACCATGAAACTTGGGATCCGGGCCAAGACTCCAATACTTTCAACCATGGCCTCTCGCGTTTCGGGTTTTCTAGAGCCTCCTTCCAGGCCCAGTGTCTGTCGATCCTTCACGGGCACGGGGGTGGATCGCCCGCTGACTAATTTAGGTGCCTGGGGTACTCCATTATAAAGAGCAGGGTCAATGCCAGGTTCTCGGGGTATATCGACCCATGGGTGAAGGCAGGCAACCAGGTACGATAGATAGAGTTCTTGCTGGAGCTTTAGAACCGGACGGCAAGTTAAAAGCAAAGTCCCGGCCACCCTAAGAGAGCCCGTAAGGATTGCCAAATTCTCCGACCGCACTAGTTGGAAGAGATGTCGGCAAAGATCATTTTGCGCCAGGGATGCCAGGCTAGGATGCCTAGCAATAGAAGGTCCTGCCACTTCTAGCCCCACATCTATAATCCTCAATGCCATCACCCTCATCGGATCAGTATGTTGGCGGTTGTGCGGGTCCAGGAGGTCGATCAGCACGCGAAACAATTCCCGTATAGAAGGTAAAGAATATGGGTTAACTTCGTCTCCGGCATCATCTTGGGGATTGGGCGGGGCAGCGACCGCATTACCATTGGGCGCCTGATCCGGGGAGCCATCTCTGCTTGTTGTGTGTTCACGGTCCGCCACGGCAGTATCTGAGCCCATGACAGAAGGATGCTGGGACGTCACCGTGTCTCCGTCAACGGAAGGGTCCATCTTAATATTAGGCTGCTCCGCCTCATCTGCGTGGTGTATTATTATGTGAGTCCCCGGGTCCGATGAATCGGGGACATCCAATCCCGATAGGCGCATGAATATAACCTGACACATGTTGACCATTGCTATTTCAGCGGACCTTCGGAGGACCTCCGAGAGTCTACCCTGACAACACATGCTCAACCCGGTTTCCATCATCTCGCAGACACTCTCATCTCCCAGCAATTCGCCCTCGGGCCCCGATAACATTCCCTCCATCAGTTTTAGGATCCTCAATAGGACGATCTCATCGGCAGCGGAATCACTGGCCTCGAAGCGACAGTGGGTGATTGCAGCTGAAAGAAGTTGCATGGCCATGGAAATCCGGGGCGAATCGCGGTCAATAATTTTGTAGGAAAAGAACTTGGTCAAGGCAACCAAGGAGAGAGAAGTGATTGCGGCGGAGGTGGAGGAGGAACGAACGACTTGGAGGAAAGGATGGAGGAGGGCGGGAGCATCGAAAGTTTTGATGTCTTTGCAATCCTTGAGATCACTTCGCAACCGAGTGAAAGCTGAAATAAGAGGGTTATCCTGAATGCTCTTGCCTTTCTTCCCCCTCAGCCCCCAGCGATTTGCAAGAGCATGATCCTCGTCCCCAGTCGAGAGTCTGGACCTCGGACGGGGAGGTGTATTCCCGTTGCGGGGACTAGATGGCGCGGAGGTATCCCGGTCATAGACACGAGAAACCACACTACTGCCCAGAATAGCAGACACTGAGGAGTGAGCCCAGCGGGCATTTTTCCGCATGGCAGATGTGACGGTGATGCATTCTGTTGTCACCAAGGCGACAGGGTCGACAGCGATGGGTAAGGAAGAGGAAGACATAACGAGGGGAATAAGCGAGCGGCGGAATTGAGAATGCCCAGCAAAAGAGCAATCTCAAATCATGGCCCTTCTAGGTCGGAAGAGGAAAGAGAGGGTACGTGAGGAGGGTGAGGAGGAATCTTAGGTAGTGTATATCATCACATCACGAGGAGGAGAAACACAACAGCTGGTCTTCTTTTTTTTGGCTCCCAAGGCGGAGAGGGCTATTTCCCTGATGAGGCTTAGTGGCAGTTACCCCACTAGGTTTAGGCTCCTCGATTGATACGGGAACTTTGAGGTAAGATTGGAACTGTACGGTACGGTTTTAATACTCTTACAATACGGAGCAGTACGAAATAAAACCACAATCTACTTTAAGTGAGATGTACACAGTTAGATATATACAGTCCGTTAGAATACAAGATAGATGTTATGTTGTCTATGATTCAATTAATAGACCCCATATCACTAAAAATCAAGTATCAAGATGGTGGATCCATAGTTGGGGAGGCCTTTGCTCCAGCGGTGAACACTGAACAGTTAAAAAAAAAAAAAAGGAGCAATCTCCACCTCCAATAAACAAAACATTTAGTTCCTATATATGTTTATGTTTACGCTGTATATAGGAACTGTCTGATACTAACCAACTCCTTGCTTTGTTTTCTTTCCTTCCTGTCAGGAGGATTCCATAGTAACTCTCCGATTTCTACTATGTATTACCACCACCACCACCACCAACAGCAGTACACGTGTTGATTCTGTTAATTCTTTGCCAGCAGTCTAGCTATGCAAATCTTCTTTTGATTAGCTTCAAGATCGCCGTGTAGTTTAAACACCATATGTAGGTCACTTTGAGTGAAATAGATATATTTCAATAATTAGTGCTTCTCCTGTTGTCTTCCCCTTGACCTCCACTGCATCAGCTAACACTGGACCAACGCAAATCATCTGCAGTCATCTTTTTGAGGAAAATCCTGGTCAACAACCACAACAAATCATCATAACAACCACCCCTTCCAGACAGCCTTATTTCTACCTAGATCCCTTGATAAACCTCCGATTTCCTTTCCCTGCCCTGGTCCCTGTGAAGATCTACCTGGCATTGGTGAGGAGAACGTGCTATGCAAACTTGCTTTCTTCTCTTCTTCTCCTCTTCTCCTCATCGCCACCGTCAGCCTCTATGGAGGGGCTCCCCTTCGCTTCTTCTTGCTATCATATGAGCACCTTTTATTCACTCGTTGTTCTTTCTTTTTGATCGCTATCCATTATTACTTCTAATTCTTCTTCTGTCCCCAGCCAATACCATGACCCCCACCCATTATTTCAAGCTTGTCTTTCTCTAATCTTGACCGGGTGGACTCGTGTGTCGCTCGCTCTCTATCTCCACAGCTGACTGACTGAACCTCTTGCGACCCCTCTTTGGGCCTCATTCTTTCGTTTCTTCTTTGCCTTTCTACGTTGCTTCTATACTAATTTAATTCCATCGGTCCTTCTACTCCAATTTTCCTGCCGTCGTCCTGCCGTTGCGCCTGCCGTGCCATCTTTTCATCCTCCTGCCCGATCCACCATGGCGACCGTTTCCTGCGCTCCGTCGGACCTGCCCCTGGACCAGCTCGACCTATACCATGCCTCAGATCCGTCGTTGTCGTCGGTATTTGTCTTCTTTGGTCCCGTGTCGACTGCAAATGCCACCGTTAGCAGCTCGCGCGTCCAGGCGCATATCCTGACCTCTGCCGGTTTTCAAAGCTACCCGAGAATCACCGTCTCCCCCGCAGCGCCGCTGTACGCGGCCGTCAACCACCTACCCCGCGAAAAACAAGGTGACGAGGTTTGCCGGGGTCTGGCTGTTAGCATGCTGAAGTATTTCGCCGACTTGTCCGATCCCGCAAAGGAATGTCTGCAGGCCCTCGCCCGCACCGGGAAACCCGGAGGAAAGATTCCAAAGATGTTCGATGAGATGCACGCGGCGGATTTAGCAAATCGCATGGCCAAGGTGGAATACACAACGGACATAGTGCGCGATATTCGTGGGGCGTTTCAGGAGCGCAAAGTCCCATGGATCGATGTGGATGTAGTGCTCGCAGCGGGGACCATCAAACCGCCCGAACCGCCCGATAACGACACTCAACCCCCGGATGACAGTGCCGATCTTGAGGATACATTGGATGTTAACTATGGGAAGTATTCGTCTCTCATACAATCCCTGGGAGCGCCTCTGTTCCTACCAACCTCGCGACTGAAACGTGCCCCTTCCCAGCCCACCAATGTCAGCCGGTCTAAATTTTTCTCCCAAAATCAAAAGCAGTCTCTGCGCTTGACCATGTGTGAGGTGGTAGATACAGAAGAGAGATATGTGAGCAAATTATACAGCCTGGTATGCGAAGTCGCGGAAGAGTTTCGCGCGAAAGCGCAGGGCAGAGCAGGATTGAGTACAAGTCCTACTGAGTCTGACTTAGCTACGCTGTTCCCGCCGTGCCTGAATGAAATTTTCAATGTAAACATGGGGTTTTTGGAGGTTATCCGCCGTGTCCTCGAGGAAACGGAAAGGGATGCTATCGATGATATCACAGTGGATACCGAGTTGCCCGCTTCCACGTCGCAACGCAGCCTAGGAGAGGAGCGAGACGCGATTGGCGCTGTGGCATTTGCCAATGCACTTCTGGAGTGGTTTCCTCGCTTCTCGCAGCCCTATGGGGACTATATGCGTACCCATACAGCCTTCACCCAGACTCTAAACTCGTTCATGAGGGATAAGAATTCGAGCTTCTCAAAACGGGTCTATGAGACTGGGGAGCAGAAGCTTCGATCACTGCTGATGGAGCCGGTCCAGCGACTTCCTCGTTATAGCCTGCTAATTGATACCATGACAAGCAGCCTCCCTTTGATCCATCCCGCCGTTCGCCCCCTCTTAAAAGCACGCGATATCATCAAGGACATTTGCTCACTGGACGATCCGTCTTCCACAAACCATGACCAAAGCTTCCGAAGATTAAAAGAGCTAGTGGATGGCTGGCCCTCGACCATTCTCCCGGCTGGCCGTTTGATTACAGCGGTCGATTTCAACGAGCTGTCCCCCCCTTTCCATTTGGACGCGCCTGCCGTGGATTCAAGCCCCGGGATCATGCTTATATACAAGAACTGCCTTACGCTATTGTCAAAGATTCCTGGGAGTAGAATGACTGCGCGTGGCTTACTAGCAGAATTGGACAATGCCGCGTCGGCAGCTCCCAGTGCTGGCGGTGTGCCGCTCCCCTCTTCTACGGACCTCCGTGTCGTGCAAGTGTATGATCTTCACACTGTACGTTGCATGCAATCCACCTGTGGCCGGATCCTCTTCCTAGCTCCCACATCAGCGAACTCAAAGCCGAACCAAAACACGACAGTGGATCCCCTCGCGCTTGAGCTAACTGCTACGTATGACGGTCGTGCGACTCGAATTATTGAGGAGATTGTCAAGGCAAAGATTGAGGGCAGGTTCTCTGAAGGGGAAAGAGAAAGCGGGAAATGGTCTCTCCGGAGCCCCACGGGCACTGTTGGTAATCTGGGTATCCTTGCTTGTGTTTTTGAGGATGGGGAACCGGCCGGGATGAATCGGCCATGCTCTTCCAAGATTAGGGTCGTGTTTGATGCACCAAGGGCGGTTTGCTCCAAAACCCTCGATGATTCAGATCTGGAGGTTTTTGTTTCGGTGTCACTTGCAAGTGAAGACCAGTTCCGAATTACCATGGACTCGATAGTTGGTACCAGCTCTTCAGATATTGTAACGGTGGAGAGTTTCGTTCCTGTGCTCTCCAAGCGCTGTAAGTGATCTAATGCGGACCTCAACTCATGAAGGGAACTTGGGACTAACTAATGTAGTGCTCAACATCCTCCAACCCTTACATGATTCTCGCAATAAGAACATGACTGAGTCTCTGGTTCACTCCAACTTCGAAATTCTCCGCTATCTGGCAAGCCATCTCATTACTCAATTCAAGACCCCTCGCGGGTTTCGTCCTCCATCACCTTCAAAGCTTATTGCGAATCTGTTGGGCGGAGGTCCGTCGAAGGAAAGCAGTACTGCAAGCGCCAAACCCCCCAATTCAGCAGCCTTACTGGGCGAATTTCCCAAGATTCCTCCCCCTCGTGCTAACCTTTCACGATCCAATACGTTACCCTCCTCCTTTCCTGGAAAAGAGCAGACCCCAATCAAGATCTCCGTGATTGGAACAACCCCTACTAAAGGGTCAGACAACACATTTAGCGTTCTAGAGCAAACATTTGCAGCCTATGTGCTTGCTCTTCAGTCTCGCAGCGGCAATATTGTGGGGCGGAGCCTTCGGGCGAGGGAAAACGTTGACCGGTCCTCAGTCAATGAACTGTACAATATTCTCCTAGAAGACCCGGCAAGACTTCAAGCCGCGGCAGAGGTGGCAGTTGATACGCTTTTTGTAGCATTCGAAACGTTCATGGAAAACGCGTGGAAAGAGCATATGGGCCCTGTGATCGACCCCCCGTCGCTGAAACTACTCCAGAACCAGTTTGACACCATGTTCCCCCGCGATTTTGAAGAAAACTTTCGAAAGTTCGTTGCGGACATGAGCCCCCAAAATCGCCGCGCGCTCGCGTCTCTCATTCGCCTTCTGGCAGAATTACTGGACGCCTCTGGTAGCGATGGGGACCGAGGTGCGTTGACAGCGGCCTTTGCCGAGGTTTTAACAATCAAAGGAGACCCAATGCAGCACATCTCTCTCTTGGATCGATTAGTGGATGATTTTGACAACCTTTTTGATGAGTTTATTCCAGGGGGGGTCTCGTTAGAAGGCATCTTGACTGGAGAACAGACCAAATCCGCCTCGCAAACTGCAGGCTCCGTAAGCTCTAACGCATCCTCTTTCCGGAAACGCTTTGGCTTCAGTTTACACCGGGAAACCTCCAAGCCTGAAGGGGAAAGCAAGGTATCCTCAATTTTGAGGACCCTGAGCAAGAGTAAGGGTGGTCCTAGTGAATCAGAGCCGGGGACACCGAAGGGTTCTTTGCTACGCTCGAAATCTATCGATATTGATACTAGTCTGGGTTCTCTATTACGCCCCGGTTCTCGCGATCGTTCCGGTGCGTCCACGTCACAGGAACTACTCCGACGACCAGGGAGCGCACAGGAAGAGCCTCCGTCATCATCATCGGTCCGGGGAATCTCAACAAACGGCGTGGTCAGAGTTCGTCGCAAGCGGAGAAGCTCTCTTTCTGATCTAGTGCCGGAAACAGCATCCACAGACGCATCAACAGTATCCCCAAGCCAAGGTCCAAGGCCTACAACCCCAGGATCTTCTTCTAGCCATCTTCGGCCCGATGTCATGACCCCGACTAAACCTGCTCGACCACAAACTAGCCATGGTTCAGGATCGACTGCTCGCAGTACGTCACCTTTGAAGAGTGGCTCCCCCCCGAGGGTGGCTTCGCCTAATCGACGGTCGCCCATACGTCCAGTCACCCCCAGCCTGAAAGAGAATGTTGATCCAAAATTCACGCAGCCGGAAAGGTCCCCGAAGAAGAAACCTGAGGGATCTGTGTCACCTGTTTTAGAACTTAAACGTCGACCTCGGGCTCCCAGTATCCCTTCGTCTAAGGGTCCTGGGCTAAAAGAACGGCCAGTCCAAGTAAATGGTTCGGAGGTAAAACGCCCATCCTCTTCCTCCTCCTTTCCTAAACCGCAAAAATTACGAATGCAAAGTCCACAAAAGGTAATGAATTATTCTCCCCTCTCTCTCTCTTTTTTTTTTTTTTTTCTTTTTCCACGACGATATTAGTAGTACCTTCTTCTTTCCTTGAGGATGATGGCTAATAAAATAAGCAGCTTCGGGATCGTCTTCACAGCGAGAAGAAGGTTCAAAACATTGCACAGTTGGGGTTGCAGGAGGAGTTGGAGCTTATTGGCCTGGAACTACAAGCGTTGAAACCCTCCCCGTCGCCGCACAAGAAAGATGCAGCCCAAACTGTCAACAGCCCCGAAAATGAGATTCCTACGTCAAGTACAAGTGCTGCAGCTCTAGCATCGCGTATTCGCAGCCTTGAACGCGCGTTCGAAACATTTTCAGGTGAGCTCAGTGGCCGGACCTCTGCGCTAGAGCGGGACCTTGAATCTTCCCTGGTGGTTAGCGAAAAGCGGGCTAAGAAACTTGATGAGCTATATCGTGAAGCGAGTGCTGAGAATGAAGCCCTTTATGATCGGTTTAATTCTGAATTGGGTAAGGTCGCGCGAGATGTTCGATCTGGATCCGCGGAGGAGGCACTGAAGTCTCAGTTGGCTTCGGCTTTGGAAGAGATTGGAAGACTCAAAAAGGAGAATTTCAGGCTCAAGAGAGAAGTTGGTGGACTTCGTGCCCAACAAGCTGCCGTGGCCTTGCTGAGAGCCAGCGCCGAATGATTCAACTCTTACAATGTTCCAAGTTCAAGGGCCCCCAGTAGGCTTCGTGGCTGGTTCCCCGAGCTTTGCCTTTGAAACATGGTTTCTTCCCCCCCCCCCTTTTACATTTCTCTAAATATTCTCGACTTCACTGCATTTAAGGACATTCCCAACTGGACATGTGTTCATGAAAACGAGTATTCCTTTTATTTTCTTTGTCAAGTGTTTTTGGTGGCGACGGCGTCCCGTGCTTAGGGCTTGGAGAATATTGGTATCACCTCTTCCAATCTCCCTTCGTCAGTATTTTTTTTTTTTTTTTTCCCTCCGTTAGTGGGTTTACCAAATTTTTTACTCTTTCTTCTATGACAGTTTAGCGCATAGCTACCAGGCTCACATTTCATTCATGCATCTTGGTCTGATGGGTCCTTTCATTTTGGCAGTCTACATCCTCAACAGCGTTTTATCATAGGAACTTCAGATGTGTTCATTGAACATCTTGGATTTCATTTCTTCCTTAAAATAACATAATTAGTTTACAAAGAACTCATCAATTCCAAAGAATCAAGGCCAATCATCTTATACTTCCACTCCCATTTTATCGTGTATAATTTCTTGGTGTGCGAAATCTCCGGCTCACCACGCTGTGCCAGAGGCATCCATAAATCAATCGTAGGCAAACCCACCGGTCTGTCCGAGTTCTGCCCAAGTCCACCAAACGACCCGTCAACCGCAACGACTGGAATCGTAAATCGAGACTGGCCTGGAGCTTCTCGATCCAACAATTCAAAGAACGCAGTTACATCAGCAGCAGCAGCAGCAGCAGCAGCAGCAGCAGCCGTTTCAATTTCCCCAGCAAGCTGGGTTGATTGGATATTTCCCTTCTTCTTCTTCTTCTTCTTTTTCCCTGGCCCGATAGCCCGACGAAGGATCTGCAGATCAGATTGCATCAAAGGGCGTACGAGAAGTGGGATGATAGTCTGGGATATCTGGTTTGCGTGGTGGTTCTGTGTTGGAGATTTCCCAGGCAGGGAAAAGGTATAAGAAGAAGAAGAAGAAGAAGAAGAAGAAGTGGGTGCTGCGGGGACGATTGCGAATCGGAACCAGTACCGATTGTCCCATAGCTTCCAGGGCGTGTAGGCCGGTTCTTCTATCTGCGGGGAGGGTAAACTGGAAGATGGTTTAGGGGTGGAGGGTGGAGGTGGAGGTGGGAAGTATAGGATTGGATGGCGGTGGCGCATGAATGGTTGGCGGGTGAGCAGCCATGTATTTGTGTGGTTAGGTGTGAGTTGTCCGTCTTTGAAGGGAGTGTGGGATGGAGATGGGGGTGATTTCTTAGAGGAGAGGGGTTGGAAAAGAACGCCGCCTAGGGTAAAGGGGGTGGTGGTTGGGGGTTGGGATTTAGATGGGGGAGTCGCTGGGAAGACGTTATATGTGAAGTTTTCGAAGCTGCGGAGGGGGAAGTGGTTCTCTGGAAAGGGAGAGATGAGTTCTGTGATGCGGCGGAGGGTGAGGGATTGGATATGATGCAGGCGTTGGGTGGGATTTTGGGGTGGATGAGAGAATGTTGTGGCTGTTAGGAGGGATTCTGGGGAGGGTTGAGAAGAGCTGGGGAAGGAGCTTGGGAATTGAATGGCAATGCATCCCGATGCGAGGGAGAGGTCAAGGAGTTTGCATTGCTGGAGGAGTTTATTGGAGAGGTGACGAGAATCGTTGATGAGGTCTTGGCTTTTTTGAGCTAGGGAAAGGATGGAGGGCTTCTGGAGGGCTCTGGGGAACTTGTTGGAGGAGAGAAGACTCCGGATGGCGTTTCGAGGGGTGAGCGTTGGATCGAAGTTGGTTGGGTCAGAGACGAATTGGACGTTGTTTGCGTGACAGGTTGCGATAAGACTGGTTTTGGGGAAGGAAAGCAGAGGACGACAGATTAGGATCCCGCCTGTTGAAATCGGGACAGCTCTTTGTTGGTGTGCTTTCGATTCGTTTGTGGTGTTGTTGTGCCCATCCATTTGGTGAGTGCTATGTGACCGGGGTCCAAGTAACTTGTCAGGCTGGATGAAGGCTGTATATCCACTCTCAGAGACCCCATATAACCCGTGGCATTCTGGGATGCGTGCCACAGGGGGGATGCCAGCTAAACCTGCGCCTCTGGCTCCGGAACATAACCTCCAAAGAGTAGTCTCGACATTATCGTCTTGGTGGTGGCCCATCAAAAGGACTTCAATTTGCTGTGCTCTGCATGCATTACCGAGAGCTTGAAAGCGTAGACGGCGAGCGTGCGTCTCAAATGCAGTTATATTAGATAAGGAACCGCTGCTTTGCTGTGGCCACTCCAGCTCCAGAATTTGCGTCTTTATGCCTAAAGAAAAGTCAGCAGTCATGTTGTTTACTGTAGATATCCACTGGGGAGTCGCTAAGCATACCCATTTGCAACAACCATTGGGAAACAGTATTGGCTTCTTGCGTACTCTCCTTGCGAGCTTTGTGATCGACCACGAAAGCTGTGACGCTGACATCTCGATCACCAAAGTCCTGGGAGTGATTTCTCTCCCACTGTTTGCATAGATATGCCAAAGCCATGGAGTCAGCTCCTCCACTGACGGCAAGACCTATTGATCATTTGGATTAGAACTCGGACATAAATTGCGCATAGTTCGATTTTAAAGCTGAGTAGTACCTATTTTCCGGGGAAGGATAGGTGCGGTTTCTCCGCCGGCCCAAAACCGACGCGACTCGAGCCATGTTCGCTGCAGGACCTCGAGAAATTGAGGGCCATTGATAGCTGCTGCATTTGCAGAGCGTGCGAGACCCGACCCTGCCATGTATGTATATTACATGGAACACGGAGTTCTTGCAGACCTTATCTTATACTGAGGGAGTTGTTGACGACGTTTTTAACACGTGCCGCTCGCAAGTTCGGCACACGTGATCGGGCTCCGATATATATATCTTTTCGTTCTTTGTTATTTCCATCATCACTGCGACATAATTTCGAATTGCTGTGGCGTCTAAATATTAACTTCCATATTGCTAGGCCCTTGACATTTGCTCACCATAATCTTCCAGCTTGTTTTGAAGGATATCAAGATCCTCAACGGAAGCCTGGCCATCGCTTTTGAATCTGGCCTTTGAGGCGAAATGAAGGAGGGAGGTGAATTTCTTCTTCCTCGTCCAGAGATCGGTTTACACATTCAAGAATATTCTGCTTCTCAGTTTTGGTTGCTATCTCCCAGATCCACCAGCGAGCGGACGCCCGAATACATAACCCGGATGGGACTATATTTTAGAACCAAACAATAATACAAATGCAAGCTTTCAAATGGTTCACAGGTAGACATGCAAATATGTCTCGTGGGCAAATAGCCACACTCTGCGCTACTAATCTGTTGCAAGTGAAAAGTGGCCTTTCGACGTGTACACGCTACCAACTCTCTAGAATGAGTGTATTGGGCTAGCCAACTGGCAAGGTGTAGTTAGTTGCCAGCCCTGCACAGCGCCCTCATTTACTGGCCTTGCGTTCTCAAATTGATTACCAGTGACGAGGGGAACATTGCTTTTCCTTCCCTTCTCTCGGAATCAATATAATACGTCTTGCTCTGCGAACTCTGTGATAACTAATAGTCTATCAGTAACTAACTATTAGCCTGGAATGATTACTACTACTACTACTACTACTACTACTAAGAGGCAGGGTTGGGTTGAGGTCTGTGTATATATATTGTACATCACTTTATCACCGTTGATTACGAGTCAGAGGAATTTATCACACCCAGTTGAAAACCTATGAAATGGAAATCAAGTACATCATATCATATATACATGTACAGAGGCCCACATATACAGTAGCACCGAAGTAAGAGTAGGTGTTTCATCGCTAAGTAAAACAAATTTGCAGGTTCAATAATTCAGAACAGCCACACGCACAATCCCCCGACCCCCAGAAATACACACGTAGGGCCTTAGCAAGATAAGAGAACGGCTGGATGGGCGGGCATAGCTGGGCTATGCATACCTCTTTAAGACACACAAACACATAACATAATGACACAAGAACTGACGGTAAATGGGACATACAAACGCCAGGGAGGTTGATTTAACCAACCGCACACAACTCCTTAGGCGCTAACCTATATAAAATCAAGAATTGCTCACCGAGACCGGTACGGAGCCGGAAGAGTGGACACTTCCCTGCTGCTGCGTGTTTGAATCTTCCCCATCTAGGATGCTGGTTCTGCCTAGCTGAGTCTCTGATTGTGTTTGGTTAGAACCGGTTTCGGCGGATTGGCTGTATTGGTCTTTGTCCTTGGTGGTTCCTGGGACACGGATCTCTTTCTTGCCGTTGGCTTTGTAGTAAAGAACCATATCGCCGGATGAGCGCCAGAGGTGGGCGCGGATCGTTGCGAGGGTCATGTTCGGTGGGATGAGCTGGTTGATCTTAGTAATCTCCTAATGGGGCTCTGTAAAAGGGGAAGTGTACGAACCGTCTTTTGGCAGTATAATTCCAAGTAGTCCTCCGGATTCATTGCATTCTCATCTGACTCATCGGGTGTTTGGTCCTCGATGCGTTCTGAGACGTAAGCAAGGATCTTCTTCGCACGGAGCATGCGGTTAGCATTTAGGCGCGAGTTGTTTATTAGATTGCCATTTGCAAGGGAGCTTTTTGTCCGGATGTTAGTGAGTAGACTTCAAAAATGATGGTCGGGACGAGCGGACGTACGACTCTGGCTTGATGACGGGTGGAAGGAGGTCATCGTAGGGTTTGAGGGTAAACGCGAGTTTAACAGGTTCTTTGAAGGGCATTTGGTTCTGTGAAGTGTTAGAACAAAATAACCTTCCTTGAGGCACTGATTGAGCTGAGAAGGGTCGGAAATACCTTAAACAGCAAATCAGCAAGCCATAATGGGATTGATTTCTCGAGTTTATCAATCTCCTGGCTGATGCTGGCTACGCTGCCTTTGTAGAGATCCGAAGCCACAGCCGAATCCTCAGAGTCTTCTTGAATGAAAACCGCCGTGCGGCCTGGTATACTCAACACGGGGGTTTCGCTTTCATCGCTTGGGGTAAACGCTACTGCTGGCTGCTGCCCGGGATTAGCCGAGAGGAATTCCTCGTACTCGTGACGAGTCCGCTCAATAAAGCCGCTAAGATTGCTCTCGAAGACCTTCTCCTCCTTCAATGATGATTTATCAGATTCTTCCACTTTTTCTTCTTGGATCTGGGGCTTGACTTCGGTCGAAGTCCGTCCGAGCTTCTTGGGGAAATCCATGCGGAATTTCTTTCCAAAAAGCGAACCACCCTTTTTGCGCTCCTCCTTATCAGGCTCGTTTAGCGTCTGATTAAGAGGCGTGGGGGTCTGTTCCCCCGATGTCGCTGACGGTTTCTCTGTTTCTACAAGGGAAAGAACCTGGGTCCGGGACGACGAGAAATAGTCGCTTGATCTATCGGAGACGGAGCTTCGCGGTATTTCCGTGCTTTGATGCGACATCAGATAATCCGATGATTCTCCAGGAGATGTGCCCATGAGGTTATGATTGTTGGCATGACTGGGCATTGCTGATCCCAAAGATCCGGGTGTCGTGGCAAGCCCAATACCGAAACCAGACGTCACAGGGCTACCAAGAGAATCATAACCGGAGCGCATTGATGCTAGAAAATCGGAGGGCGTGGTTAATGTCTTCGAAAATGGTATGTCCACTGGTGCGGATGTGCTATTAGATTTAGCAGTTTCCTCTGCTCTTGCTATCGCTGTGGTGCGGTATTCAGAATCACGTCTAACCTGCTCGTCGACGAGCGAGGCAAACAGCCACCGTAGAACCCATTTCCCCAAGTTTACTAATTGATAGTTAGAAGAGATCGAAATTTAGAATGTAGCAATTATGGGTAACGTACCTCTTTGATCCTCGCGGATTTGGGAGTAATCCGGTAGGTCAGCTTCATCTGCGTAAATTTCCGCATCAAAACATCGTCCCGGCTCCAATATTACTGACAACCTTCCCGTTCGAATATCAACCGTACACCAATGCGCAATGCTCTCAGTGGTATTGACCTCGGAAGCAACGTCATCGATATGACGTTTGCCAAACGACTTAATAGGCACACACTGGAACGACGATCAGTAAAGGTTCACCAATATCCAGAGACAGATTGCAGGTAACTACCTTAAGAAGATCCCACAAGACAACCTCGCCCGCTGAATCCTGTGTTAATGTCCGTTTTCGATCATTCAAGAGGAAAGATTTGATCAATCCATGCTGGCCCTCGATGGTTTCCTCGGGAAGAGAGTGAACCGGCAGCGTGGGTTCCAGATCTTCCTCCATATTGGACCCAGGGGTTGACGGTTGCCCACTGGCAGCCGAGCGCAATGCCAAAACGCCCTCCGGCAGCCGCGAGCTGGGAAATGTGGATGTATTCGAAAGCAGTAAAAGCGACTCATACGGTATATTTTTGGAGCTCTCTTTGGGCGGTGACTTCTCCTTCCCTTCCGATTCTGCGGCCTGCACTCTTGGAGCATCGACCTGAGCCGTGGTGTCAATATCCCTCCAGCGGTTTATACTGGATTTTGGAGTGGCAGTCCAGATATACTCGCCAGCCGCCACGACATTGACCACACCCTCGTGTTCTTGAAGGGCTGCAACGCAAATACCCTGCTCGATATCTGAGGCATGCCTTGTATCTGTCTTAGCGACGAGGCCAGATCGATCACTGGAGTAGAATACTGAAAGTTGTGGGTGGTTCGAGTATAGTGACCAGACGCTGTCGTTGTGCATCGTCAAAGTGTGCATGCATCTTCCAGCCGTCAATGACCAGATCTTAACCGTCTGGTCAGAGGAGGCGGTCATAATGGTATCACCATCCCGGTTAATTAGAATATCCCGAATGTTGTCTGTGTGTCCGACAAATTTGGTGATTAATTTCCCGGACTTGGGATCCCAAACTCTAACCACGCTTTCCGGACCACCACTGGCGAGGACGGAGGATACAGCACCCAAAGCATATACCGAGCCCTTGGCCGTGCCATCTCCTCCACAGGCGTCAATGCTGAGCACTTCTCCTCCGCCATTCAAATCCCACAAATAAAGCCTGTGATCTAGACCACCCGATGCAACCCATGTTGAATGGCTCCCCGGTGTGGCGAGAGATTTAACGTAATCAGAGTGTTTACCGATCGGCTCTGGGACTTGTGTAGATTCGGAGTGAGGGCGCCAAAGCCTCACGGTAGTATCGGAGGAGGCAGATACGAGGGCGGAGTTGTTCTGGGTCAAGACAATGTCGTTGATCCAATGGCTATGCGCTTGAACCTGGTTTCGAAACTTTGTTGGGCCAGGTTTTGAGGAGGAAGAGGAGGAGCCCAGAGAGGGGAGATCAAGGTCCCATGAACAGACTACACCATCGCGACCAGCTGAATACCTTTTGTTTGTTTTCAAAAGACTTGGGTTAGAGGCTGGCTAACAGCGACGTATGGTGACTTTGAACCCTTGGCTCCTGCGAGGGAGACTTCAAGGAGGGGAAAAAAGAGGCAATGCTCACAGAATAGAATTCTCCGTATCGATTTCTAGGCCATTAACGCCGAGTCGATGACCGCCAGGGGCGTCAGGTAGAGGGAGCACTTGGAGAAGACGCCGAGGTGAGCTGCAGATCGATTCATGTAGGCATCCAAAGAAGGCGCGGAGAGGTCGCAACCGGGGAGACAAGGGAAGCAAATAGGCGGGAATCGAGGAAGGCAATTGATTAAATAGGAGGACATACCATAGGTGACCCTTTGATGACTTGGCTTGCGGGCCATCCAGCGGAATCAATGAACAGCGAGCGGGTGGAATGATGTGGAAGTGCGGAGGAAACAATAGATGCGGAGGTTGAGAGGGGCGATCGCTCACGTAGACCAGATGAACATGCCTCCAGTAGGATGTACACCCAAATTATTATTATTGAAGGTAAAAACGGAATTAAATAACAAAGAATACAAGAGACGCAAGCACTAGACAGGACCAGAGAGGAAGAGATGGAGGAGGAGGAGGAGGAAGCGGAGAGAGAAAGCGGGATGGATTTAATAATTGGGACTTGGCTGACACTAGATAAGATACTGACTGAGAAGCCATCCAGATACACCCTATAGAATCTGAACTGACCAAAAAAAAAAGCGTACTCCGTATATATATAGTTACATGTAAGGAGGTGAAGTAGATAGATATCCCATAATGAAACCCTCGTCTATGACCGCTAATTTCTATCTTGCATGAATCCCCTCTATGAATACAATACAATACAATACAATATAATATATATGTACATATATAGCCCAGTATTACTAGCCATCTACTCCTCCTGGGATCTTCTCTCCAAGGTATTCCACGCCCACTGATAACTGCCCAAGAAGACCGCTCCCCCAATGCCAATCCAGGCCACGCGGGGTCCAATCCCTCTGAAAAAGGCCCCAACCCCTTCTTTCGAAATCTCCTGCACGATATCCTTCACCCGTACACCCGCCTTGCCGCCCTCCCCACGACGAGCTAGCATCACCCGGGTCTTAATAACATCCAAGGGCGTAGTCAACCCCGCCGCAATCGCACCCGCAATACTTCCAAACATCGCACTCGTCGACGCCGGCACCTGCGCAGCCACAACACCAGCACCGGAAACCTCGGACGGAGCTCGCAGCACCCGCTGCGCATAAGCCTCCTTCATCGACTCCCACATCGTAAATTGTAACACCGTGAATGGAATCTCCCGCGCAATCGTGATCCCTGCGCCTCGATACAGCTCCCTGAAAACTTGCCCATACCCTCTCTTTGCGCCAGTTGAAGGATCCGGATGTCGGTGCGCCAAGATATCCTTGAACGCAAGCAGGCTGGAGCCACCGAAGAGACCAGCTTGGGCTCGCTGCTTGACGACCTCCGTCGGGACGCGGACTGCACAGGCGGCGATCTCGCCCATCGACGAGGCAAGGGATTGTGTGAGGAAGACATGGGTGCGGGTGTGGGACGGAGACTCCGACGACGACGCCGACGACGACGCGAGAAGCGTTCGTTTCACGCCATCGTAGACAATGAAGAATGAGGCGGCGGAGGGAGCGGAGCCCAGAAGGACAGAGGGGAGACCGGCGTAGATGCCGCGGATGGTTTGTTTGAGGGAGAGACTTGGGGAGGGCACCGAGGGACCGTGGTGTCTGGCCTTCTGGAGACGGGTTTTGATGGTGTCCAAGGGATACAGGGAACAGTCGACTGTGAGGCCGGCGATGGCACCGGACTAGGCATAACTTGAGTTAGCTGATAATAACGGGGGTAAAAAAAAAAAAAAAAGGGCAACAAGGAGAGGAGGCATTTCCATTTCCACATACAATTAGGGACCTGGTCCAAAGAGAGGAAACCAATGGCTCTTGATCTCGTGACTCAACCATGGTGTGTTGAGGGATATCAAAGACAGTACAGCTAGAAAAGAAAGTCACGATCCTTTTAATAAAACATGCTGAGAATTCAAAGAGAAGCTCATAAGAAGAGGAGAAACAAAGAAGAACGGGGGAGGGGGCGGAGGGGAGGAAGAGGGAGATAATCTTCCCCAACGAGCGGATGGATGAAGCATTTTCGGGTCATCACATTTTATCCGAACTCCACTTATCTCTACCGATCCCGTTATCGCAACATGTTGGCTTGACCGGGCTGATATGAAGACGTTTTAACTGGAATTTACACTACAGGGACAGTCTACATGACCTCGGATTCTTAAATGTATCATCTGTATTATCTGCAGACCAGGGAATGTACTAAAAACATGAAAGCATCCTACATCCCTCTATAGAAGCAACCTTGTGGTCTGTGGATGGGCTGAAGGAGCCATGGAGGGATATTGCGTTTATCCAGAGCAGAACCGTAACCGTAACGTAGAAAATAGCGGTGTCTTGACAACGATTGAAGAGGCAGACAAAAATTAAGCAGTCGAGGCAGGACGAATATAAACAAGGCACCTCACTCACATATTAGACACCACTGAAAGAAGAAACAACATCCGCCGCCGGGGGGAATGAGAGAAAAATAAGCCGTAAAGACACACTAGTCTACTTGAACTGGATAGAGCAGTAGAGTAGGGAATCGGGGGGGGGGGGGGGGGAATGAGCGTTATAAGACAAGTGCCATGCACCTAGAAATGCGCAATGAAAATAGCTTTTCCCGTATGAACATTTGTACACAATAGGCCGGAGGAGAGTTCATTTGGCCTTGCTAGCAACAGGTACGCTAGGCGAGGGAGGCTCCAAGACGTGCGTATGGCCCGAGGCTTTGATCACCTCTCCGGATACCTCTTGCTGGCACGCTTTGATATTCCGAATCCATTCGTCCGTGAGGACTTCTTCGAGATTTGCTCGATCTTTGACGCTCACTTTGAGCATGCGGCCGATGATATAGCGGCTCTCACGGGGGAGAAGTCGAAGCAATCTCCAAGGGCCCTTAATGACCTCCTGGCGTTGTCCTGCGGAATGCGCCGAGGCAGGAAGTGGAGGTGCCTCTTTGCTTGTAGTTCGCGTGGGTTTGTGGGGGGCAACTTTGTGATCGATGGTAGTGGTATTACTTGTTGTTTTCTCCTGTTTCTCTTGTGGGCTTTCTGGTGGGCGGTTTTCCTCCAGGTTGTTAATCTCTGGCTTGACTGGACTCTTTGGTGGCTCATTGTGACCGTTGGGTAATTGCGGGTTGTCTGATGCGCCGTTCGCATCCGTCGGAGACGATACATATCGATCCTCGCGGGCAGCTGAGGTTAGATCAGGCGCTGACTTAACGGTGCGGTGTCGCTTAGGGTCAGCGTCAGGTACTGGAGTGCCCGGGGTTGGCGTGGAGACAAAAAGTCTGTAAGAGTTATCGCTGACCCTGGGTTGTTTCCAGGGGAACCTGCGCAAGCTCATGCAGCAGAAGATGATAGCTAGGGACCAGATATCTGTTGGACGGGGGTCGTATTTCTTTTCATCGTATACCTCTGGCGCTAGATACGGATCGGAACCGACGATTCCTGATGAACTTGTCAGTCGAGACCATGAAGAAACTAGGACGTTAGATTTTAGCTTACCCGATGCAGGGACAATGTCGTTCTCAAAAGGATATCGGAAAACCACCGCACTTCCAAAGTCAATGAGCTTCATGATACCATGCTCGTTAACAACCACGTTGTCGAGCTTCAGATCCCGATGCGCCAGACCCATCCCGTGCAAGTATGCCACACCACTAAGGATTTGTTTGAATGCGCACGCAATTTCGTCTTTGACCATTTTCCCGGTCATGACAATTGCGAACAGGTCGAAAGGCGCGTATTCCATGACTTCATACCAGTGAGTTCCTTCTTGGATGATATCCAGCGTTTCAATGATGTTGCCGTGATGAAGAGTGGACCCGATACAGAATTCAGCAGTCACCTTTTTTGAGTATTCTTTCATCGTTTCCCACGAATGCCGTTCTCTGAACTGCTTCACGGCAAATGTTACCCCGTCACTGTTACGTTTAAGCAACCGGACGGAACCCCCGGCTCCCGAGCCCAGAACCCTCCCGAGCTTCCCATACTTGGAATTGAGGCCGTGGTCATCCGCAAATGGCACATTGTCGGGGGCCATTTGATATGGGGTACTCTTTCCGGAAGAACGGCTGGATTTCTTGGGGAATGATGTGGGGGATTCTCCGCGCTTGTGCTTGTGGCCCATCTTGAAGAATCGCTTGAGTTCCGACATGTGGCCATGAGATTTACCATCCGAATCTGGCTGTCGTAAATCCTTCTTGCTACCAAAGATACCACCGCGCCTGTCGCTGGATTTCAAGTCTGTAGTACTAGAAGAGCGGGCGGTTCCAGGGCGAGAGAATGTGGAAGAGCGATCGCTTCGACGCTTCAGATCTCGACCTCCGAAGATGAATCTTTGATCCAGTTGCGATAGATTCTTCGACTGTGGGGGCCGCTTGCTCCGTGCATAGGGGTCATTAGGTTCTCCAATTGGGGTAATGGTACCAGGAGGAGTGTAGCTTTCGGGTTCGGTTCTGGGAGTGGGGGGAGGACTCTCTTCTTGAGAGCTGGCATCGACTGGGGGCCCGATGAAAAATTGGGCCCGATGGCGTGCTCCATTTACCGGATGGGAAGTAATATGGGCGACGTCGTTTTGCTTTGACAGATGCTCAGTTGAAGAAGGACGGGAGGTGGGCGCGCTCTGGGCCACTGCGTTCTTTGATACGGACTCGGTGGGTGGAGAAGCGGCTGGTGTAATGGCCGCGGGTTGTAGTCCACCCCTTTCTACCATCGTCGAAGTTGAAGAAGCATCATTAGCTTTGGATTCACGTGAATGGGTGGCCGCAGGTGTCAGGGGAGGCGATTGCATTGCGGATACTGGCGGGGAGGCATGGGGAGACTGCAAACCAGATCCATTAAATCCTCGCGCACTGCGATCGCTTGAATCTTGAGATGCGACCTAAAAGAGACACAATGATCAGCTGGTGCTTTATGATTCGGCGAACCAAGATACATACCCTTGATGATGGAAGAGAGACAGGGTCATATGAAAAGTTGCATAGTCTGGATTCCTGTAACTGGGACTTTTGAAGGGAAGCCGCGAGAGATCGAATGTCTTCCTCCTGCTTCTGATCTTGATCAGGATGTTTGTTTGAACCTGATGACTCCGTTGGTTCAATCTCCTCAGTCACCGTGGAAAACCGGACCTGCCCCGGATGGGACTTGGGTTTGCCATCGGCGTCGATGGATTCAGGGTCTTGTCCAGCGGGCATTATTAGGGCTGAATTCGGGGGCAGTTCGTTTCCTAGAAAATGGGAATATCGTATAAGAAAGTGCTTCCGGATTAGGAGGAAATAAATTGCTCACCTAGTTCTGTGGGAATTTGGACATCGGGAGAGTCGGTTGCTTCAGACGTCATACTGGCCAGAACCATCGGGTGGGACGCATACCCCTCCCAAGGATGAATGGGGGTTCGAAGAGGATACTGCTCAACAATCGAAGCGACGACAATAGAAAACGAAAAAAAAAGAAAAGAAAAGAAAATTAAATAAAATTAAGAGGCGCGAATAATCCCCATGTAAAAAGTTTTCTTTGGGGTGCAGAAGGCGAGCAGGGGTGGAACAGGGTGTAAATGGACGGAGGATTTCGTATGCAGGACGGAGCAAATCTTTCCAGACCCGTCGCTGCTGTTACTCACAGCTGTTACTCACAACGGCCCGGAAGCTTCGAAGGCGGCGGGAAGGATGGACGGAAGAAAGTCGGCCCACCGGGTTTCCGTAAACAGGGAAGGTGATGGTAAGCAGGTGAACGGTCGGGAAGCCTCCTTATGGGGAGAAGAAGTGGAAGGGGTGGAAGAGGAGGAAGTAAGGTGAAAGAGAAGAAGAGAAGAGAGAAGAGAGAAGAGAGAAGAGGCAGAGGAGTTGGAGTAGGAGAAAGAAGAGATTGGAGAGAAGCAGGTGCAGTGGTAATAATCCAGGTTGGGAGCAGAAAACAAGCGGCGGCAATAGCGGCGAGAACGAAGGCTGACTCGAAGTAGTAGTAGCCAGAGGCTAAAAGGGTGACTGGACGGAGTATCCAATAATAAGACAAGGGTACAAAGAGGATAATAACAATGATAATGATAATGATAGTTAATGATGATGATGATGATGATAAAGAGAAGAAGAGGAGAAGAAAGGAGAAAACAAGAATAGTAGTTCACTATAAAAAATGATCAATGTAAAGTTACTAAAAAAGACCTCAAAGTTCAGCCCGTGCTTTGCAGTGCTTGAAAGATTGGACTTGGGAAGGGCAACATTTCCACAAACCGGAATCTTACGGAGCCTGTATTTTTGTATCTATACTGATCAAATCAAAATCATACGGTCAACTATGAGAATAATTCTTAGCTTTCTCGAAAACCATGCTTTGTACTCTGTAATATACCCTTTTCTAACTATAGTTTTCGAAGAATGATGAATCACTTGCCGACTTGCCGGTCTAACAAGTAGTCATTTTACCCCGCTAGATTCTTCTGGACCTGGGTTTGTTTAGAGTAATACATGCATTGAACCTGGGAAGATCAGGTGGGATAATCCTGAGATATAATAATCTTCATTCTTAATCCTATTCCAACCTGGATAAGACGGAGAACCCATATTATTCTTTGTAGAGGATAGTACCCGTTTGTAATTGTAGATACAATAAATCCGTGGGTCAAATCCGGGACGGGACTCCAGATTCTCTGAGAGAGAGAGGGAGAGGATTTCCAGAACCAGCCGATCCGTTGCCAGATGGTTTCATCCTCTCCTTGCATTCCGAATATTTCAAGGACATCTTCTGGAAGATTACCTACACCTAGTTTATGATACCTATCCGAATGTATCATTATTGACTATCGGTTGTTATGACCTATAGAGAACCCCATATGATCAAGTCTTTATTTTCTCTCTCTACGCATACAACTATTGAGCGATTGCGTACCGATACAGAGTGTATCCCCTCGCCAAGCGAAACTTCCCCCCTAATCCTCCCCTCATTTTTGCCGAGCATACCAAATTCTGCTGGTCTGGTCCCTCGAACCCCGGTTTGGGACAGACAATACCTGGAAAAATCGTACTGCTGATCCCCAGTTACCATTGCCGCTGGGAAGTCAGACGGAAAATGAAGTCATACCAACATTGTCTTGGCTGCTCGGCGGTGGAATCTGACAACGCTGCATCAGAACTCAGGAGTTGAGTGGTGTTGCTGTCTCCCCCCTTGCCTACCCTTAATTACCTATCCAGCCAGTGATGCTGATATAAGTGTAACTTGACCTTCACCCTTATCAAGGAAAGGAGCGGTAGTAGATCTGCTTCTACACCATATCTCAAGATCAATAAAAGAAAGATTCGGCCCATATACTTGGACCCAGCGAGCGCTTTCGATCTCATGCAATGCCTATAGTACATATATATTATAACAGACCCATCTCCGAAAACGCCAATACGTAATCCAAACAAATGGCTTCACAGTGCAAACGATACAATTGAACAAAGCCTACTCAACCAGAGGTATCTTCCCTTTTCAAGGAAGGACCTGAATGCCAATCGACTTGGCCTGTGCAATGACACTCTTGCAAAGTCCTGGCAGACTCAACCCTGATAACCTCGTCTCGGACTGTTTGATCTTGGCAATCTCATAAACGTGCTTCAGGGAAATATTGCCAATTGTCTCGTGTCCGGGTTTCATGGCGCCACGGATTCGGTTCTTGCGAGGTTCCACGTTGGCAGCCTGAAGGAGCAGCCAGGTCGTAGTGGGAGTGCGGAGGTCGAATGTAAAGGAACGGTCGGGACGGACGGTGACGCGGGCGGGAATGGGGACGCCGGTGTTGATGTGAGCTGTTCTAGCATTGAATTCCTGTGGGGGTGTTAGTGATTATATTCATTCTATTGCTTCCTCGTCGAATTGCAATGTGGTGGTGGCATGCATACCTTGCAAAAATCCATACTCTTCACACCTTTACTTCCCAGAGCTGGACCAACAGGGGGACTGGGACTGGCTTGACCGGCTCCCACAATGAGCTTCACGATCTGGTCCTTGGCCAATGCTTTTTTCGCCATGATGGGAGGGGAACTTTGAGAGAATGTGGGTTATTTATCCAACATCAAAACAGCTTCCTCTCGAACTGATCCCAATATTTTCGGAGGACGGAAGACGGCCTGGATTCGGGACCGGAGTTTCTTGCTCTTTTGGGGAGGATCCAGACCAACAAGCGAAATTGTCTTCCTCAGGCCCAAACAAAAAGTGCTGGACGTCATTATTATTTATTATTTTGCCGCAGCCTCAGGCTCAACAGTGGATGACAGGAATTGTATGTAGTTCTAGATTTCTTTCTCTCCTCTTCGTCGTCGTCTTGTTCCCTTGGATGAGCAGTTCCTAGCTACCCCATATAGAAATATCTCTCACCTCCCCATAGTCATAAAAGAAGGTCCAGTATTGACATCAGACCAACCCCCCTTTGGGCCCCGCGCGCTATCGATTTCCTCCCTTCACCTCCTCTTCTCTCCGTTGCTTTGATCTTCCCTCCAACACCTCACCTCCTATCTGCCCATCATGAACTGGCTCAAGTCTACGTAAGCCCCCCCCCCCCCCCCCCCCCTTTTTCTTCTTCGAGCTTTGTCTTTGATTTCCCCTCCTTGATGACCCCCCTGTTCCTTCGCTAATCAATGATCCCGCATATAGCCTCGCCTCCGTTGCAGGAACCCAAGAACCGATCTATGGCCCTGGCGCCATCCGGCCCGTTGGCACCCAGCAGACTGACGATGCTCCTTACACTGAACTCACCAAGGAACATCTGCGGTGGCGCGCTTATTCTTACACCAATGTAGAGACTCAGACCTTCTACATCATGGCCGACAATGGCACCTTGGTCTTTGTTCAAATCATCTACAGTAACATCGCGTCAGTCCACCCCCCCCTCCCCCGCCCCTCCTCCCCTTGACCTCAAACCCTTTTCTGTACCTGCATGGTATCCGTCCTGCGCATTAATGATCTAATCTAACCTTTCCCTCCATAATAGAGGTATTCATACGACCGCTCAATTCAATACCAAGATCTACAACCTCAGCGGCGATGGTCCCCACATCTGGTTCTCAGACCCCTTGTCCAATTACATGTTCGATGAGAGCATGCTTTCCTTTGCAGCAGATAACATCTCCTTGGCCCTCAACGAGGAGGGCGATGCTTATACCCTGAAGTCAGCAGTGAATGATGACTGTCTGGTGAACCTGACTTTCACCCGCACCTGCCCTGGTTTTGCCATCGGAAAGGACGGCACCACATACTTCGGCACAGACCCGGAGAACCCATGGGGCTCTATGCGCCATGCGTTCTGGCCTCGATGCACTGTTGAGGGTACTATCACTACGAAGGAGAAGGTCTACGATCTCAAGGGTCGGGCCATGTTCAGCCAAGCGCTCCAGGGCATGAAGCCCCACCATGCGGGTGAGTGATTTCTTCCTGGACATCGAAGAGCGACAAGACTCTGACAGACTGTAGCCGCTCGCTGGAACTTTATCAACTTTCAGACCCCTTCATTCTCCGCCATCATGATGGAGTACACAACACCCCCATCTTACGGATCAACCATCGTCAACGTTGGCGGAATTGTTAAAGATGGAGAAATCATTTATGCTGGCACCGGCAATACGGCTACTCATACAGGAGCATCCCAAGACAAGGAAAGTGACTGGCCCGAGCCCACGGCTATCAAATGGGAATGGAACGGCAAGACCAAGGACCAGCAAGAGGTTGTAGCCGAGATCAACGGCCCACTCGGCCCCAGACTTGACCGTATCGATGTTATGGCCGAGGTTCCCGGCTTTATTAAAACCATTGCTGGTAGTGTTGCAGGCACACGGCCGTACATCTTCCAGGTATGTCATCATCTCCTGACCTCAGCAAGTACCATGCTAACGGACGTAGTTCTCGCCCCAAGAAAAGCTTACGCTGAAACTCAAGATTGGCGATACCGAATACTCCGAAGAAGGATACATGTTTTCCGAGGCTACGTTCATTTCTTAATGCTTTTCCGTACATCGAGCATTTTCCCGGGACTAGTCGTAGGCGTTTTGATGATGGCCCGATATATTTATTTGCCCATGATGATGCTGCTGATTCACACCCACATAACCCCTCTCTAATGCCTGCATTATTTATACAGTGTTAATGCTATTTATATAATACCTCCATGCGCTCGTTTTAGGGTTAAATCTGACCCGCCAAGTATCACCCAGAGTAACACGGGATTCACTGAGTAGACTCAATAGTGTTGATTGAATTTCTTTGGTGTTCTGCCTACCCATCTACACGTAGTAACCTGCCTCTTTCTCGATACGCACTCTCTTTTGTCATGCCATGCCATGCCCATACCAAAACCACTATCCAACCACCCTCCTCTACACTTTAGATACCATCTCGACCCTCATCCAATGGCCCGCCTCCCGTCTGCCTATTTCACACCTGTCAATTCCGGCCGTCGGTTCAGGTGAGCATACCATCTACTCCTATCCGAACAAACCCCCCCCACCAACGCTTTCCAGGAAACTCCGAGACAACATCGAAGGAGTCAGTAAGTCACGTCGCGCCTCTTCTTCCCCTCGCAAACCCGAACCGAACGCTCTCTTCTTCTTCTTCTTCTTCTTATTCACGACTTGCCAGCCCGTCCTGCAATCCGGTCAGTGCCTTTCTTGTTTCAGATCCAGTAGTATTAGCTGGAAAAAAAAAAAGAAAAAAAAAAGAGCTTCTCGTACTGATCCCATCATATCTCTAAACAAATAGCCGCCTAGCCCGTCGCGGCGGCGTCGTCCGCATCAAGAAAGAAATCTACGCCGAGATCCGCGCCGTGCTGCGGGATCGTTTAAAGGAGGTTAGGAGAACGCATACCTACCTACCTAGTGGTGCCTGCATCCATCTGGGTTCTTGGGGAGATTATGGATGCTAAACTTTTGATTCACTGCCTTGCAACAGATCCTCAAGCACGTTGTCCTTGTTCTAGAGTCGTCGCAGACTCCGTTGAGGGATCGGAAGGTTTGTTGTTGTTTTTCTTTGCCCCCCCCCTCCTCTACATATATTTTCTATATGTTGTTATGTATGACATGATGATATGTTTTACTTCCAGAACTAATAATGACAATCTAGGTCGTTACCTCTCGAGATGTGCGTGTTCCCCTTTTCTTCTTCTTCTTCTTCTTCTCCACCTCACCCGTCCGCCCTACTACTTTGCGCAACGTTGTTATCCGAGGTGGTAGATATTTGGTCTTGTGTGCATGTACATATATGCACTGCACTGCACCTGCGGACGGAATAAACACATGCTAATATCAGGACCTGAAGGTGGTATATGCTGTACACCAGGTACGTGGGTGAGTGAGATATGATAGGAATCCTGATTTCAATGTATTACCGATTTGTCTTCCTTTTTTTTTTTATCTACGATGCTGTGTTTCAGAAACCTCGTCCTTCCTCCCCCCCCTCTCTCTCTATATTTGACTTGATAAGAGATGTTAACCAGCATAGATGGGAAACACTCTCTACGGGTTCTAGTCATGGATGAATCTTGATCGTGTTGGGTGTTGGGAATACCTGGGAATGAATGCCTACACTACACTACTCTGCCTGACTGACTGGCTGGTGGCTATCGGCTCGAGGATTTGTTGGTGCTAAGGGACAATTGGAAAGGTCTAAACTATATCTACTAGGCAATGACGCTAGGAAATGTCTTGAAATCATGAATGGTGGATAATACAGATCAGATTTGAATGTAATGAAAGTCTATGGTTTCTAATTGAAAAAAGTACACTAGGAAAGGACAATAAGAAGAGAATATCCAGACTAGCACAAATAGTATAATACAAGGATCAAAGTAATGTATGGGTGAAATAACAGAGAATCATTACAAGGAATTGTGCTGGGGAAATAATTAGATGCCAGTCTCTGCCCATAGCAAAATGGCTATGAGTGAACCAAAAACATCAAGAAGAGAAAAATATTAAACAATCTAAGGCGAGGGATGCTCCTTAAGCATCGATCATCAGCTGCTCTCCTTCGTCTAGTAGAGATGTCACCTTGGCCAGATCCGAGATCATCTTTTTCCCGTGTCCGACTAGCAACAGTTTCTCAGCATTAGCTGGGAGGCCGAGATACGTGGGCGGTTCTCTCTCCGGAAGTCTATTCACCCACTCGACAAAGTCCCGGATGCTCGTTTGTCCGGGGAGCGTGAGACATTCGTCGTTTTCAACTCCAGAGACAAGTTTATACTCGTCTTCGAAAGCTGCAGGAGTGAGGAAGCTATGCACCAGGCGCTGTAGTTGCTGGAAGTCTTCATGGTCATCGACCTTGCCACCGTACATCTCGGTTACCAGGGTCCGAATCATGTCCCATGGGAGTTTTTGAGGCGCCACATTAGATCGTCCTTGAGCGATGCTGTCAACCCAGTAATCGATAATAAGGGCAGAGCATTCATACTGAGTTGCAGGGTTAGTAGACGGAAGACATAGATAAGTTAGGGCTACTCACATCACTATCATTGAACTCCCAGAAACCTTTCCAGCCCAGACTTGGAGCGTAACGAAGTCTCTCTTGAACAACGGCATGCAGGAAGCACAGGAGGACATACACACGAGCCTTCTCGACAGGAGCCTTGCTCGCGCGTGTGGTCAAGGAAGACAGGGAATCTTTCATATTGGCGCGCACACCAGCTGGCTGCTCGAACATGAGAACTCGAGAAGCACGGATGAGGTTGACGGGGATCTTGGGACTGGATTCCATGGAAAGGAACAGCCTAAAGTCTTTGTGGGGCTTGAGTGACTCCAGACGCTTCTCCAAGCTTTGGAGCCATGAGGGCGCAAGATGAACGTTCTTGACCTGTACCCAGGTTCCAGCGGCGGCAGCATTGTTAATCGCTTTGTCGGCAGACTCCAGACCTTCGTTGGAACCCATAGCAATGTTTGCACAAGTTGCCTGCATACGCTCAACAAGAGCATCGACTTTGTAGCTGGCATCAAAACCAGGGCTGGAGCTGAGGGAGATTGGCGTGGTAGCGTTTACTTGGTCAACAATATCTCTTAGATCAGTGCTTCCTTCAAACAGCTCGCGGCTGAACACTGCCACAATGAATCGTTCTGCAGCTGGGACGAATCGGTCCATCCTGCATATCTTAACAAGTAGTAGGGTTCGGAGCAATTGATCGAATTCGTTTGTGTTTTCGTCCCACACAGCAGGAACTACGTTTTCTGCTAGCTCTTCATTGAAGAACTGATCCCATTGTTCTGCAGATACTGTGGAAGCATGTGACCTGAAGAGTGACATGTTTGAGACCCGGCCCATGACTTGTTCCTTGAGATCAGGGCTGGAGGAAAGATCAGCACCCGCAATTGATTCATCTAAGATGTTATCAATGATGCTCTTGTCCATAGCGTAGGGCGCAGCTTGCGCGAGAAGCATTGCGAATGTAATACGATCCTTTTGGATCAGCCCCAAGGACGTACGTTGGTAGGTAGTGATGAACAGATCCCGGAGAATGATTTGAACTCGTGCGGAGTGGTCCTTTTCTTGTGCGAGACGTTTGTTTTGGTATAGGACCGAGTTGAAGATATCGACAAAGTATTGGAGGGAGAATTGGTAAAAGTGGTTGATATGATGAAGCTGCTCCAGTACCGCGAACACGGCGCTGCAGGATTTGGCGATGATGCTGTACTTGAGCGTAATATTCTCCACTTCGGTCATGACTCCTTCGGTTTCGACCATCTTCTTGGAGATTTCTGCAGCTTCTTTTTTGAGCGTTTCGAGTGTCTCAATGACGTTATCATCGTCGAGGATGTTGCCGCGGGATTCGTTGAGAGCCTGCAACAGGCGCTTCTCTAGCTGACGCAGATGGATCTTAAATTCACCTTGCAACTTGACCAGGTCTGTGCGACGGGCGTCAACATCAGGGCGCTCAAACTTCAGCACTTCGTTCAGTGACTGAGTCTGCAAACTGCTTTGTGTCACAGTGAAGTTCACAAAGGTGGTTCTACTGCAAACGTCTGGTGGGAAAGATGCAGAGGGATCTCTCGTTGACAGGAAGAGCTTGAATGCAGGTGAGAAATCGATCTCCTGTTTGCCCAATTGAATGAGAACACGTCCTCCAGTTTTTTGGTATTCCTTATTCAACACGTGGTTGATAATTGGGTCCAGATACTCTGCATCCTGAATCAGGATCGGATTTCCGAAACGCAAGGCACTTTCCAACTGCTTCACAAAAGAATCATCCAGAAAGCTCGTCACGGTCAGTTTTCTGTCTGAGCTTTCTTTCTGCAAGAACTCGGTAACACGGCCAGAGGGGTCAATGATGAGCGGGTATCTGTTATATCGCTTAAGGATAATGGCGTTCTCGGTACAAAGGTCATCGACTGGCAGTGAGTGATCTTGCCAGGTCAGACGTTCATCCGCATTCGACAGGTACTCTGTGATGGGGTTGTGTGGCTTCAAGTTGATTCCAGATTGAACCAGCTGGTTAACCCAGTCATCAATCATTGCCTTTCGGAACTGCTGGTCGTAGAAACCAGCATAGGCAAGGAATGCTGCTGCAATTAGAACATCACCCACCAAGGTGCTGATTTGCGTCTCAAAAGATTTGCTTCCTTCTTCCCAACGTGTACGTTCCGATGCCAAGCTGTCCAGCAGGCGTACACTTCGGTCAACCTTGAATTGCACCCTCGACATCTCAGTTTTTATTGCTTGTGTCTCACTGATGAGGGCAGCATATTCAGCCTTGTAGGTGGCAATACTGCTCTCGAGGTCGTTGATTGTGTTTTCGATGGCCTGTGCTTCAGCCTTCGTCTGCAATGCTTGCTCTTCAAGCTGGTCCACCTCCTCACGCAAAGGTCCAACCCGGTCCAAGATCTCCGAGTAGTTGACCTGGGCCTCAACCCACTGAACCAAAGGACCGCAGGCCTTACTGGCGCGGTTGACTCTCTCATAGGTAAAGTCCTCCTTGGAAAGAAACTCGCTCTGCATCTTCAGCCTGTGGTTTCTTGTCATCTGTCTCTCATTGTCATAGTTGACGATACTAGCAATGAAATCGTCTTTTCGCACAATTCCTTGGATTGTCTTCCAGCTATCGACCTTGTGGCCCAGTAGAGTACAAACGGCCTCGAGAGCAAGTCGAACACTTGCAGGGGGATTACCCATAGAACGAACTTCAGTAAGGTGTTGACGTTTGATGTTGCTGACACTTTTCTGGGCTTCTATAACTGCTGGTTCAGCCCTGGCAAGGTCGTTGAGAACAACTTCCTTGCGGCGAGCTACTTCTTGTTCCTGCTTCTCCAAAGCTGCCTGGACCTCGAGGGATACTGCCTTCCGTTGTTCTGCTTCCCGCTGATCAGCAACCATACGTTGGAGCTTTTCGTTAGCCTCCGTGTCTTTCTTTTCAAGTTGCATCTTCTTCTGGGCCAGACTGGCACGGAGATCGCTGACTTTGTCGACAGTGTCCCTCAGTTTCTCCAAACCAACGTTCAAGTGTCTTTGTTGCTCCTCTAGATCTTCGCGTTTTTCATTAAAGAGCTTCACATACTGAGCGACAAAATCGAGGTAATGGCGAGGAGTGAGGTATGTTGTCTTCCCTTGCTGCTTCTGAAGGCGTTGATTGAACCTCTGGAGGGAATAATGGATGTACACCATGGCATTTACGACTGCATCGCGATGGGACGCAGGAAGGCTCAGTTCGCGGTAAGCCACTGGTATGCTGTCAGGAGCAACAAAATTTGACTTATCTAGGTCAACCGATTGTGTAAGTTCGGAGCCAACCTGGAAAAGAGCCTGGTCAGACCAGTCGCCCATCCAGTTGAGAACGCAACGGTTGAACAATGCGGGACTGGTTGCAGCCTTCGACGATAGTCCTTCTTCAGGAGGATTCATAGTGAAAACAACATGCAGGTTCTTCACAATTTGTTGGGTAAACCATTTGTAGAGTTCTTCTTGGGTATCGAGGAGAAGACCCTGCCGTTGAGCACCTTCCTTACATCCTGTCATAAGAGAAGAGAATTCGTCTCCTTCAAAGAGACCAGGAACTTCAGCGTTAGCTAAGAGGGTATTCATGCGCTCCAGGAATCCAGAGTCAAGAACATTTGCCTCGTCCATGATGAAACAAATCTTTTCACCTTTACAGCCTGCACGGCGCAGAACAGTCCTCAAATCGTCATCAAAGTCTTCTGAGGAGTACTTTCCATGAACCTTGATCTGGAACACCTTCAAGCCGTTCATCCACGCAACGAAGCGAGACAATGTAGTCTTACCACTTCCGCTCACTCCAATGAGAATGAGATGACCTTGTGGTTGACGGAAGACTCTGTCAATGCGGAGAGCATGCTCTAAGACATCATTGAATAGGACGAGTGGCACGTCGACCTCCTCCTCGCAGAATGTCTTGAGACGTGCTTTCACAAACTCACGCAATCGCTCTTGCTCGACAGGAACGTAGTGCTTGGACAGCCAGTTTGAGAACAGAATAGGCCCCTTAAGAGCTTGTTCCTCATCGATTGTGGGGAAATTGTCAAGCGCAATTCGGCGAACAGCATCAGCAGTCCAACTCCTCTCTTCTTCAGTGACGAGACGATCCTGGAAAAGACGTAGAGCTTCATGTGCCCAGATCCGGACCAACCCTTCGACAGACAGACTCTCGAGTGGCTTAATAGCTTCGTACACACCGCGAACCCATCGGGTAAGTTCACGAGGGGAGTACACATAGTGGGGTTGGATCTTAGGTGTAAACCTAGCTTGAGATTCCAAGTAGAAGCGGACCATAGCCTTAGTAAGTGATTCAGAGAAACCACGCAGTAGGGGAAGAATCTTCAGAATCGCGGAGTTGAATGTTCCGTAGATTTGCATGAGTGAGATCTCGCCAGGATAATCAACCATGATCAAGGGAGAATGACGGAGGAATCGCTCGGCCATCGGAGTACGTCCAGCATCTGTCGGAGGATTGCACGCACCGACGAATTGGATGCGGTCCAAGGTAACCCAAGTTCTGTCTGACGTTCTCCAGAAGCCGTTCTGTTCGACAAGTTGGCGCAAGAAAGAGATTGCGCGCTGGGTTCCGTAGCGATCAGGGGCAGGCAAGTTAATTTCGTCGCAGAAAATAACAAGCCACCTGCCAATCTGACTTGGAGACATGACAACTCCGTTTAATGTCTTCTTGTATTCACAGTATTGCTCAAAGGTCTTGATCAGGAGATCGGGAGTTGTGGCACTCGAGAAGTTGAGACCAACAACCTCCATATTTGGAAGTTTGCGAAGAGCAGCAAAAAGAGTCATTGTTTTACCAGAACCCGGGGGACCACAGAGCAAAAGTGGCTTATGTTCAGCGAGCCATGAGTAGAGAACGTCCTCGTGACGAACTGTATCAACGGTTGGAATAACCACGTCCGTTTGAGTGATGGAATGGGTATTGATATCGATAGATGGAACCTGGGATTGCCAGCTTGTCCACTGTGCTTTCGGGAGAGTAATATCAAAGTCAATGAGAGAAGCATTAGCTTCAACGGGGAGGTCAGTCGTGGTCAAGCCAGAGACAAACTCTCCAAAAGACTTCCGATCTGCCAACGGGCAGTCTCCAGTGAAGGACCAGACGAGTGCAAGAAGAAGCTTTTTGGAAATGTAGGACTCTATCTGATCTTGATCAAGTGGGAAATCGACATGTTGGATATTGTATTCGAGGACATTTCGGCAAGCCTTGTTCAGAAGACTGAACAGCGTGTTGAGGGCACGTATCTCGGTGAATTCCATGATATGGTTGCATTTCTTAGCTTCCTCGAGAGTCTTCAGGATGAGGTCGTCTGTCTGGAGTAGTTGCGAAAGGATGGTGGACAAGAGATTCTGAGAATCCTGGGTTTTAACTGCCGCTTGGCCTGCAGGAGCGCTGTCATCGTCCAAGTCCTCGAAAGTCTTCGTCTTCAGCGATTCAACGTAGTTGGAGACAATCATAGCAGGTGTCACAGTGTCCTCATTGAACCAAACCATACCACAACGACTAACTGTAGCCAGTGTAGCGTACTTGAGGCTCTCTACTTCAAACATGATGCGGACATTTGGAGGTAGGTTCAGGCGCTCTCCGTTTGGCAGTGTCAGCAGCTTATTGTCATCCAGAACACTGTTCAAGTTTTCAACCCATTCTGGATCGACATCACCATCAAATACAATCCAGTGACGCTTTGAGTCTTCGCCACGAAGGTTGTCCACGATCTTTCTTAGGATACCCGTGAATAGACCATCTGACCATTCTCTGGTGGTGCTGTCCAAGCTACCGTAAAGCGCCTCCTTCGACATGACCTTGGAATCAATGATGTGAGAGACACCTTCAACTCCTTCGATGCGTTGGAGTGCCTGTAGGAGAATCTTCCACGCTGAGGATTTTCCTGATCCAGATTTACCCACCATCATAACACCGTGATGAATGCTTTGAATCTGATACAATTGAAGAGCCTTCGAGATCCACATTTCGCTATCAACGAAGTGTCTTTCTTGAGCAATCTCTCTGATAGCAGCAGTAAGTTTCTCATAGTTCGCTGGAACGTATTCTACACCAGCAAAATCTTGTTCTTGGATGGCGAGCATTCGGCTAACATCGTCGCGAATGAGCTTAGGGGCGATAGTTTCACGAAGACTTTGGACGATAATTTGGGGTTCAACAATCTCATCGGGGCCGAGGTCACCGTCAGAATTTGCAATACGAGTACGCTTGAGACCTCCAGAGCTAACCAAAACACTCTTAAGAGCACGGAGACCAAAGTCGTAATGGGCTTGTTTCGATAACTGAGACGCGCAGTGGTCGAAAAATGGTACAGTCTGCTTCGAGAGACGCTTGGCTTGCTTGAAACCTTGCGAGAAGAGCATGACCTCTGCAATAAGCTCTTTGTCGGGCTTGGACATTGCCACACTTCTGAAGAGCTTCTTCAAATTGTCGGGGAGATTGGATCGTCCAGCGTATCCAGGGTTCATAGTGATAAAGATACCAGTGTTGGGGTTCACACTCAACCGTCTACCAACCAGTTCAATCTGAGTCTTGTCATCGCTTTCCCCGTTTCTAAGTCCAATTTGAATGTTTTGGATTTGCTGGGAGACCGCGGATAGAATTCTTTCTTCGAGACGGTTGAACTCGTCGAAACAACCCCACGCACCGACCTGACAAATACCGAGGAAAATACGGCCCATGGCTTGGAAATCGAACGTGTCGTCACAGCAGAAGACGAGGGTAAACCGACCGAGCTGGAGACCGAGTGCTTTGACTGATTCTGTTTTTCCGGTACCTGCAGGGCCGTACGGAGAGCCACCAAGTCGTTGGCACAGGGCCTGAGTAAGGGTGAGGAAACAGCGATCGGTAAGCGGCGTCCGAACAAGACGTTCAGGAACACCCAAGTACTCAAAACCGTAGTTGAGTTTGGCATTAGCCATGTGAACGTAGAGCCGCTGCAGGAAGTCACCTTCGGCATTGTACACATAGCGCATTTGAAGGAGCCAGAGGTAGTGCGATGGGGCAGTTGCGTTCGAGGAAATGAGCTTGGAGATGACGTCGCGCTGGTGAACAAACTCCGTGATAAGATGCTCACACTTCTTTCGCGTAATGGCATCCAAATCGCCAAGAACAGTTACAGCGAGTAGCTCTAGCACTCGGACCTGAGCATCGTATAGGGCTGGCAAATTGGTTCCGCCGTTCTCTAAAGACTTTTGTACCTCATTAGTCCAGACTGCTTGACTAGCAAGCACGACTACCTGGGCAGGGTAATTGGCAATGAAGTCGTCGAACGCAGTTCGGTCAACTTCGTGGGAGTTGTAAAGAGGGTCGAACTGTTCCACAGCTTCGGCAAGAAGTTCTGCTAACGTTGATTTCATGTTGCTTTCAAGGGCCGTAAGCCAGTCATTAATTCTTGGGGTCTTCACAAGGCTGACTTCCTTCTTTAGTCTGACTTCTTCGCCTTCCTTAGAGGTAAACCCAACGATATTACTATCGTCGTCCATCAGCACGCCGGACAATCCAGCAAACATTTTCTTAAAGTGCTTGGCAACACGGAAAATATCGTTACTGTTACCAATGATCTCAAGCAAATCTTCATCACCAACAAAGTAGAATCGAGGGAAGGAAACACGCTCTCTCTCCAAATATTCACCCAAGGCTTTCTGGATCTTGTTGAGTAATTCCGCCAATCTCTCCAGTGACTTCTGGACACCGTTGATTGCAAGAACATCGAGAACAAAGGGAGACTTGTATACTTTCTTCATCACAGCAAAGAACTCGGAGTTGATGTTTTGGAAGCGGCTCGACTCCAGAGGCAGAAGATGCTTAATATCGGCGTTGCCTGTGAAGACACCTTCAAGGTAAACCCACTGTCTCTGAACATCAATCCACACGTCGAACAGAACATGAACACGGTTTAGTTTGTCCTCCCAAGAAGAAGCGTCCTCTTCGAACTCTTTGTAGTATGGGGAGTGTCGCATAGCCTGGAGGGAGTTTAGATTCTCGCTGCACTTCGCAAAAAGATCATCAAATCCACGAATCAAGCGGCACTTGTTCTGGTAATTGATGAGGTCCAGTGAGTAATTTTGCCAGGTCTCGCGAACAGACTTCAAAAACTCCTCCAGTGCCATTTCACCTTGAGCCTGTGCGATGATATTACGGATGACAACCTCGCTAGCTGTAAGCTGGAGATCCCAAACATCTCCAAGGGTTAGAGAAACGAGCGAGAACCTCTTTCCTGGCTTGAGGGATTTGTAAATCTTCTGCCAATGCCTCTCACGTACTGCTTCAGACTTCATATCAGAAAGCAGAGGGTTGACCTTCAGAAGTTGTCGGAGAACATTTTGGATATGTTCGAATGCAGCATACTGTCTCATACGACTGGGCATCTCCTTGGTCATCTTAATCAGGCCATCAATGGATTGACGTAGTTTCCTTGGCTGAACACTTGTCCAGAGCATATCCCTTAGCTCGTTAAGGCTCTTCCAAATAGTCGACAAAGCGGCCCAAACGGACATAAAATCTTGGACTTCTTCCAAAATTGCAGGCAAGGAAGATTCTGCGCTTGCAGGCAGATCCAGAGCCTCTTTAGCTTTGGAGACCATGTCAAACTCAGCCTGGAGAGACTCAAGGCGTGACTGGAATGAGCTCAGGGAGCGAGACGCCTCGTCAGGCGGAATAGTTCCTGACACAGGTTTCTCTTCATTCCACTGGGCAATCACTTCAGCAATCTTGTCGCTGATGACCTTGTCTTCAGCTATAATCTTTGCTCGCAACGCGTCCGTCTGATCCTGGACGATCTTGCTCTTCCGAGCGAGTAGTTCATTAAGAGCTTCCCACTCGCCATCAACATTCTCTACATGCAGCCAGTCGCTAGGGAATTGGTAACGTTGTCGAGCGAGCGTAGCCTGACCCTGTCGGAAGAGATCAACCTCCGGCTCCCACACTCTTGCCTTGCGCTTGCACTGTTGTACAATTGTGATGAAAGAAACTGCATGGGCTGTGGAAGCTGCCTCCAGAGTCTGCCCTTCTAGGTCGCGTCGAGCCGTAGCGATCTCTAAATGAACTTCACGCATACGGTTTCCAAGTTTAGAACCAAATTTGAGTAGCATTTCGTGCTGCCATTGGTCGTACTTGGCATTGACCCTTGTTTGGACTTGTTCGTAATCAATGCGGATGTTACCGAATGACCGACTAACTTCAGAAGTGTCGAAGGTGGCCCTGCTTTTGCGGATTTCTTGAAGAAGCTGAAGCCACTGGGACAGGTCATCGCCCAAGATGTCGTAAACTTGTTCAGACTGCAGATCCCAAAGAGACTGGAATTGCAACCACTTGTCAACATATTCAGAGACTTCCTTGAGTCTAGTCTCAATAGCATTGTAGACGTGGTTCAACTCCTGGGTACAGTGCTGTGGAAGATCGGCGAAACAGGACTCGGACAACTGGACTTTCTGCACATCAATGGAAATCTGATACCGAGAAGAATTGATCTTCTCAAGACTACAAATAATGCCAAGCCAATTATCAAAGTGCGAGAACCAAGTTGCACGGGCAAACTGGAGAGGCGGGTCGAGATGGAGAACTTGATTGCGCATGGAAATCTCGTGAGTAAGCCCAGGGAATTCAATATGGTACATTGGAACTTCGATTTCTCCAGTTGCAGGATTCACGGTTCCACTGGGCGCCGGTAGGGTCTGCTGGCCGTTCTTCGCTTCCTGGAATGAGTTGATCCATTCCCGAATTGCCCGGTGAAGACGCTCCCGAAGAATAGTCTCGATCCTTTGGTTCAGGTTATGCACCCAGTATCCAAGATTGACATAATTTTCCAAGTTCAGTTTATCCACAGACACCTGAATGGCGTCCAAGCGCTGCCTGAAAGCGGAGGTTTCATATGGACAGGATTTCAGTTCTAGAATCGCTTTCTGGATATTCTCGTTGATCGAAGTCAAAACAGCCGTCTTGGACTGCAGAACAGACGCGGATCCAGCAAACTCGCGTACAAATTGTACGTGTTTACTTTCACCTCTACTGGAAATCACGGAATCAAGAGCACCATTTGCCAACGCTGATTGCTTGACATGCAGCTCATAAGAGTGAACAAATGATTCCCACCGTAATGGGATGCCCTTCACGATCATACTTTGTGCATCGTTTATATAACCGTTCAAAAGAATTGCAACATCTGTCATAGACAGGATAGAGCGGTTCGTCTGAAGGAGAGTACGGACGCTTTCCATCAGACTTATGGCATATGGATACACTCGCTTGGCTTCTTTCGAGATGTTGCTGACAGCATGGGGAACCTGGAAGTTGAGCCAGATCAGATTCCTGACTTCCTTAAATAGGGCAATAATTTGAGCATCAAAGTTCACTGTGAGCTCCAAGGTGTTGCCAGCGGCTCTGCTACGGACAACATTGAAAAGTCGGCCAGAAATTGTGATATGGCGCCGCTGAACATCATGTAACCATGACTCAAAGACGGGACGTGTATCCAGCTTCTTTCGGAACAAATTACTCTCGGACTGGAGTTTTTGACCCTCGGAATGCAGGTGCCAGTCCTCTCCAAGAACATCCTCGACCTTACGCATGTACCCATCCAATTGCCGCTCTATCTGGCGTGCCCAAACAATAGCACCCGATACAGGTGGAAGGTCTCGCAGTTGTGCCATGGCGTGTGCTTCTGAGTGACCATATTGTTGCTTAAACCGCTCGTGCAATGCAGAGATATCCTGCTTGACGTTTTCGATAAGTTGGGTTTGGTATTCGCCAATAGCACCCCTAATCTTAGGACGAACAAGAAGGGCATTGAACTTTGAAAATACGCGGAACATTTCGTTCGCATTCTTTGCGGTTGCAAGACGGTCCCGCAGACGGGCGATAATGGAGTTTTCAACACGAGAGGTGCGCTCGTTATAGGCAATCTCCTCTTTGATCCAATTCTGGGTTCCTACTGAAGACACATCGAGCACATCCACGTTCTTAAGAGCAGCGTAGGCCTGTGCAACTTCTTCAACGGCATCGACGTCTCCAATCTCCTCGACAATCACGGCTCCATCAGAGCTTGCCCCGCCTGGTGTATCCCCGGCGGAAGAGCTCTTCGGGCCAAGAACATTGACAATCGTTCGCTGCAGTTGTTCGTGGTTAACACGGAACGTGTTGATGTATTTCAATCGCTCCTGAGTCTTCTCATGGCGCGCGGCAATCTTGATAGGGATGAACTTTTCGTTTCGGCGTCGTGTTGATTCACGGGCAACATTCGTAAACTCCTTGAGGTTTTCGTCCCAGGTCCGCCAAATAGCACCCGCAGTCTTCATCAAGGATCGGAACTCACGGTAATCCAGATGCAAGATTGTCTGGCCGTGCAGAAGGGTGTGTATCTGCGAGTCAAGGTCACCAGAGATTGCTTCCACAAGCGCTAGAGCGCGCTTGATCGGGTAGGGACAGATTTTCAATTTCTTATTGAGGTGGTTGAAAATCAGGCTGAGGGACTCTTGAACCTTCTGCAACGAGGTTGCAGAAAGGAGTTCGTCCAGAGGGAAGTCGCGCATAAGCTGATTATATTTCTGAACCAAGTCAGTAGCCTCGCGCAACCCAGTATCGGCTACAAAACTCAGAGTAGCTTGATAGCGCTTCGCATGGCGCAGGATATCCATGGTCAACTGAACCCCATCCCCACGCAGTTGGTTCTCGATCCCTTCAAGAGCAGTCTCCATCGACAGCCAGAAATTGATTTCCTGGGCTGCTGAGCCGCTATCGGCGTCGCGTGACATCTTTGTGATTGTCTGGATAGATCTAATCCAGGCATTTACATTGTTTTGGATGCTGTTAATGAAAGTGCTGCTCTCAAGTAGTGTAGAATCGATAAGTTCAACCGAGGGCTTGACACCTCGCTTTTCTGCCTCAATGAGGGCGGTTTGCACAACCTCATGCAGAGGAAGGTTCAAAGCAGGGATCTCAACATTCTGCTGAAGATGGCGAAGACCTAGTTCCAGTTCCGCGAATTTCTTCTTGGTGGCGGGTACCCCAGTTTTCACCTCTGTATCCGTCCTCGGCTTGGAACCAGTAGCGGCGTCTTGGTTGCGGGTGCATGCTTCAAAATATGGACTCAACCCATGGTGAACAAAGAGGTGTAGGATCTCATACGGCGAGAGCGAGGTTCCTTGTTGAGCTTGAGCATCGTTCGGCGTTGCCAAGCCGGGGAAGTTTATAACCTGGATCTGCGACGATATGGGGAGCGACGGATCAATGGCCGCAGGGCGTTTAATGAAGGCAACCGACGCAACGGTGGTTGAGGAGGAGGAAATTTCGCTAGAAAGATTATAAACATATTGTACGGCCGGTTCTGCGAGGAATTTTAGGTTAGCATAGCCAGATTTCCAGTGCCAACAATCTATACATACCCTCACCGTCTGCCGTCCCATTTGCATCCTCAGAGGCGATCAGATCTTTCTGTACATAGAGGGCGGGCTGGGACTCTGAGGCGAATCGCGCACACCGTTGCACAGTTTCGTTATACTTTGGCTTTGACAGCAGGCTGCCAGGGCCTTCAAGTTCGCTTTTCAGCGCGCCCAAAGTAACCTGCAACACCTCTACCAAATATTGCACTATTATATTCGAATCTACCAACGCTCCTTGTGGCGCAGCGGGAACACCGTTCGACACCGCGGAAGAGGCGACCTCCATCGCGATTATTTATGACGAGTATCCCGCGTAAATCATCGATAAATTAGGATAGAATAGCACCACCCTTCCGAGAGGATGGTTGTATACTGTTGACTGCGAACAGCTCGCGACGCCGGCGGAAATCAGAGGAAACCAAGATAAGAGGAGCGGTGATGTGATATAGGTATGCTTCGGCAAAAGTGACGGAAGTAACAAGTCTAAAGAGCAAGAGATTAAAGGTTCATGGTCTGACCCTTAGGAAGTTGTCAGAACGGCGTTTTCAAACAGGTATTAGTTAATATTATGGTAATCTCCGGGCTGGACCAGCAGTTAGTTGAGTTGAGAGATACAAATCGATCGTAGAGACACTCCCTGACCCTGAGACGCGCGGGCAGAGGGCGTGTTTTTTTGGTTGCTTCAGGGGGCAGCTGCACGCTAGTCCTGATAGAGACTAGCACCCGGCCACGTCCTTTGGTTGTCTGTCTGCCGTCCACGTGAGTGGCCGATAATTGCTGACGTAATGAATGTAGATCTCTCGGCGCGGATTAACTATATCTCCGGATGTCACGTGGTGTAACACGGGTGTCGGAATTACAATGTTCCAGGAGGAGGTAGCCAATCAGTAGTCAGGAATAGGTATCTGTCGTTTTCGACTTAGGGGTCAATCAACGAGATTCCCGGTCGATTGCCGCCATCCTTACGGAATGATACTGGAATGGATCATGGGTCCAGATACAGTCTATTTTCTAATTGGGAGTAGTATAATTCATCATGTTGTTTCGGCCTCGGTTTCCAAACGATCGATCCACTGTCTTATGATATACATAAATGACTCTGGGCATCCCGGAAATTACTCTGTAGGGATCGATACTCCGGCCCTTACCAACACCACCACAGACCACTCCGTAACTACTACCATGCCTTGAGGTTCTCGATTCATGACTGTGCTCTACTCTCGATTGAATCCTTGCCGTCAACCATGCCCTTTAGATCCGCCTCAAATTGCGGTTCCCATTTCTGGCAGTGGAGCATCGTCAGTCTCTCGGCATTTACAACCATACTTTGCCCGGAACTCAGCGGGCCCAATACTATCCAGTAATTCCAACGCATTTTCACTGGCCGTGACCTTCGCGTAACGTGTAGATGATGCCATGCCCTCAGCAATGACTGTGTCGTGAACGATGACCGCAGCCAGGACACGAGACGGCTGTCCATCAATACCCGGTATCTCGCCTGTTTTCAGACAGTAGTCTATACAACCATACTCATTCGTTAATCTGTTGTGTAAGAAAGTCTGGGGCGCATTAGTCTGGGCTGATTTCCATGAGCAAATACTAGGGGGAAGCTTACAGTGGGGTGTTTATTCGCGAAAGTATCATATATCGCCATGTCATTGAAGTACGGCTTAATATGGCATCGGAAAAACTCCTCGATCACCCCAAAGTCGAAATTGGCATCAATAAAGATGGCTCCCAGATAGGCTTCAACCATATCTGGCAGGCACTAGATTTCAAGATTAGCTGAATTGTAATGGGGAATGGCTTCTGGTCAAACTATTTACGCTTACTTTGGGCGGATCGGTCGTAGTAGTCCAAAAGTCTACTGCCTCTTGGCTCTCAAGCACAACAGCCTCAATCTCCTCCGCATAGCTCGTAATGCGAGATTGCAATGGAGCGCTGAAATGTCGAAGGTGCTTGTGGAGCCCGAGCTTCACAGCTAAGGCCCCTAGGAACTTGTTCGAAACCATTGCCATCTATACCGCTGCAGTCAGTGAAGTTCCTTCGTCCCTAAGAAATACAAGACACCTCTACCTTGTGCTCCGTAAGCCATTGCGGATCTCGGTCAGGGAACCGTAGGAACAGGTCATCAACGCAAACCATATCCAGCAGCGAATCTCCGAGGAATTCCAATCTCTGATAGCACGGTACGCCGGCCCATGCTGAGGGATAAGATGGATGGGTAAAGGCTGAATGAAGGAGTCTAGGGTAGTTGAAGTGATACCCCACCTTCTTTTCGACCAGTCGACTCAGCTCCCGTTCAAAGCCAGTCGAATTCTGAACCTGATATTTGGGCTTGGTGTAAAGTGAAATATAATCCTGCCAACAAGTAGCGCTGTGGTTTGGACTATCAACCAGAACTGTAACAGCTTTCACAGCCATATCGAATCGATGCGTAGAGCTCCCAGTCAGCAAAGCCGCACCTATTAGTGCTTCGCAAACATCTGCCATAGTCTTCTCCGCCAAATTGTGTTTAGCCGATACAAGAAGCTTTTTGCTATGATCTTTGCCTTGCAATAATGTAAGGCCCTCGGGGTACCAGGTACGTCTTGTAAGCATACTTGTTAGAAGCCGCTTTTAAGTCATGAATCACAGTGCGCTCATACCTCGAAAATGCTTGGCTGCGAATATATCTATAAAGCCCCCTTTTCATTGCAGTATTAAACAGATTTTTGTTGCAAATCAGGCACATTCGACTCACATGGTAGTCAAATTCATCATCTTCAGGATTATCTATGAAGAGTGAAATTGAAGTTGCCATCTTCAGGAAGCAATCCCCTAGGAACTCAAGGCGCTCATAGTTCTTCCCCATCCCCCTTTGGAAGTGAATCTGCTGGGCACGATGCTCTTCAGTATTATCCGAGTCTTTAGTAAACGCCTCAAGGGCTAATTCCGGCTTTATCACCAGATCAAGCTCTCTGCAGGCCTCCAGAGTAATAAGGTATTCGTCAAACCTGCTAATAACGGCAGGAAATGCTAGGCAAGAGGCCGCAACGGAGGTAGGAATCTTCATTAATGTTAGTATTCAAGCTATAGAGCGATCACCACTTCCAGTAATAACTAACCGAGGATACTTTCAAAGGTTCCAGGCAGATATAGCACCTTGTTTCTGTTTCTCTTTCTTGGTTCGACATTTTGTCCAGCATGTTTCTACGAAGACGGACCAGCTCTGCCCGCAAAACTGGCTGGTTCCAATCACACTTTGCGAAGAATTGGGCCCTTGAATTCTTTGATAGTGAGACACAATAGCTCATGATATTCTCCATATACCGGCGGTGCGGCACAAAGGAAGGGGGAGTACTCGAGGGCTGCAGGCTATCCTCAACCTCTATAGTGAAATACCGATATCTTCCGTTCCAAGGGTCGAACACAAAGCGATTTCGCAAGTCATCCGGAGGGGCACCCGCTTCAAAGAATATTTCATCCGTGCTATTGACCAAGGACACAGTTTTCCAGTTGATATGATCTAACGGATCAACGCTTGCTTGCTCCCCGTAGTGAGTGTTGGCGGGAGTAAGCCAGTAGGGCATATTTCCTGGCTCAGAAGCATAGGTCTTTTGGAAAACATCACGAAATATGCGGAGTGTAAAGTCAGTAATCTTTTCTAGTTCGTCGGATGACGGCATCCAGCTATTTTTTAGAGAAACAAACTGCACCGTCGTCTCAGTATCATCTTCTTCGAGAAAGATAGAGAATGGAGGGAGTACTGGAATTCTTTCCCTCGTCAGTAATACCAAGTCCTCTAGCGCTCGAACAAGTGACTTAGCGGGCTTGAATTTTAACACGGTTGCATAAAGCTTTTCTGGAAGCACCTCGCGACCCTTGCTCCAGAGTGAGGGCTTCAACAGCATGTCGTACTGCTTGGTTTTCCCAGAAGTTATGGCCAGCTTCGCGTTCCTCATAGCAGGTAAGCGTTTATGATAAACGGAGTTGAAGTAATCATCAAGCAGCTTGTGTTTTTTAAGCAGAATACAAGTATCAAACGCTGCAGACCGTTTCGCAGTAGACTTGCTCATGGCTGGGTTGCCAGTGACACCTCTGATGGGGGATGTTTCCGGCAGGATAACCTCACAGACGAAAGTACTGTTAACAGGAAGTACAACATATGCAGCTCGGCCCGATAAGTCTCCTTCATACTGTAAAGAACTAGCATATCGTGCAAGCACAGAGATAGCAGAATGATAGGTAAGTCTTGCACCTGTGTTCGCCACGGTAAATACCCTTTCCTCCTCTTTCCGATGAATCAAAATCGTGTCCTGATCATTCCCTTTGAGTCGGCGATCCTCTGGAAGAGTTTCACAAAACACTTGCATGATTTTTTCAGCCTTTTGTACCTCTCTAAGCCTTGTTTCATGTTCGAAATTGTTGCTTTCAACCATGTTTGCGTATCTAGAGTTAGAGTGCCTTGCTCGGCCTCGACTTTGAACGTACTGTATCATCGTGTCATATAAATCAAACCTTATAACCAAGTTGCAGTCTGCAATATCAAGACCTTCTTCGGCCACTGACGTAGCAAACAAGCAGTTGATCTCGCCATTCCTAAACTTGACCAGGGTAAGAAATTGTTGACGATATGTAATGTTCATTCCTGAGACATCACCAGCCCGAACACCGATTAACACCCCTGGTCGTAGATATGGGTTCTTCAGTGTTAGAAAAAGAGAACATAACATCTGAGCCGTGTAGCGTTGCTGTGTGAAGATGATACATTTTGTCTCGGTTGATTCTCGATAGTGTTTAGACAATTTCTCGCGTAGCAATTGCACCTTGTGGCTCAATACGCCTGGGGTTTCAGGGAGTTCAAAGGTATGAGTCCTAACAACATCGCTGGCCTCTTGAATTCGAGATGCCACATCTTTTGACTTGCATTCAATTTTCGGCAGCACTTCCGGTGATAGGGCATGTATCCACACTTGATCTGAGCACCATCTACCCAGTTCAGAGCTTGCGTGCCAGGAGAATCTGAAGACCGAATCTAGGGCTTTAACATCGCCAAATCGATTATCCAGGATACTGTATAGCTTGGTTGCAAAGGGTGCCATGGGTTTATCATAGGTCCAGACTTCTACTGTAGGACGTTTGATAAATCGGTCTATCTGAGTTAGTTCAGACGCAGTAGCAATCTTACTATCCAGAAGTTTCTCCAGCCTCCTAGTCACTCTTTTGTAAGCTTGGAAAGTCAATGACTACTTGGAAACACATACATTGCGCCTTCTACAACATCACCTTTAGTATCTACGGGGGATGCAGTCATCCCGAATATCCTTGGCCGTTTCGAGGGTTCCACTTGAAGATAAGAGTCTCGTATGATCCTGGAAGGAAATTAGAAGGTCCCTCTCAGCTGGGGCGTCTTTCCGCGAACCTGGCATATGGGTGGTGCTTCTTTGCATGATGAGCCTCGTCGAAAATAAGGAGATTAATTTGTTCCATTAGGATGTGAGCCTTGAGCAAGCATTGATCCAGAATCTCTGCAGTGCACACTATCACCATGGCTTTCTTCAAGTGCCCCTCCCAGGTTTGTTTATTCAAGAAATCCGTGCCTAGATCTCCAAACAAATGGCCCACTTCTTGGTCCAAATTATTGCGGAGGAAACCTGCTTGTTGGAAGGAGAGAGTCACGCTGTCGACCTGTCTATCAGTCAGTAACGCAAGTTTTCCTACTTAATAGCCGGTCCTTACAGACCAGGAAGAACGAGACCCGGTGAGCCTTCGCTTCCGCACGGTCATTCAGTTCCTTTTCAATCATGTGTTTGAGCAAAAGCACAGCTATTAACGTCTTTCCCGCCCCTGTCACTTGATTAGCTTGCCAGAACTTGGCTTTCGGAGGTGCAAAGTACCAGTAGCCAGCACTGCAATGGTATTCTCAGACTTTGCCCTTTCGAAAAGCTCTATCTGATACTCTCGGGGGTCCAATACACCATGGTCCTGGTCTTTGGATAAAAACAATCGAGCAGTAGATATCTGGGCTGCAGGAGGAGGCTCAACTTTCTCATGGCTGTCGGAGAGTGCACCGGTACGCTTAGCGAGTCTACAGTAGGTTAGCATTCGAAAGCAAAGTGAAAAGAACAAAATCAATCCTTGCAGTGCTTCAAATTTGGCTTTCTGGAATTTTCGACGCTCTGGAATGCTTTGAATGTGGGAGTTATCGTCAACCTGCGACTCATCAGAGGAGCTATTATTTGCTTCGAGGTCCATGGTGCGTGTTTCTTGTATTAGGCCTAAAGCATACGAGCGAAGAGTAACTTGAAGAGGAAAGGAAATGATCAAAGAAGGGTAGGAGAGAGAACAGCCAATATGTGTAAAAACAGAGGGGCTTTCTTTAGTTACCTCAAGATATATCTGGCAAACAAACAGGTGTTTATTCACTCCACTATCAAACAACTCATGGATCGACGGGGGTACCTACATATAGATATCCGTAATTATATACATCAGCACCAATGTTAGCTTGAATTAGTTCATAAAGTAAGGGAGGATCTTACCCAAGATGGTTCAATTAGTGAAATATCTCTCCGATAAATACTAGAACTACAGAAACATGCCCTTTAAAGTCAGACTAAGGATAATTGCCCTACAAGTTCGTTCAATGGTGGGGAGGTTCTGGTGGCGGGGCGCGTCTCGTAGGAGGAGCCTTAGCTTCGGTAGGCAATTAAACTCTTTGCTGCGACTCCAACGGAGCTTGTTCCTCGAAGTAACAACCCCTCGAATATTCAGAGTGACCGAAATGGAGCAGCCTCAAAACCTCCGTTCACTTTTTGCTGAAGCAAAGCGGGAAAAGGCCGCATTGGACGCACGCCCCGACACCAACTCCGACAGCTATCGCGGCGATGTGAATGCGACAATAGCCAAGTTTGAGGAATGCCACCGACTGGTCGGCGCACTGTCGATGTTTAGCTCGAATGAATTGCTAGAGGATCTGTCTACGAGTGATTTGCCGTATTTCTGACTACTCCTTCACTTGTGCTGCATGGGGCTAACCTGCGCTTTCATCGCAGCTATCTGACGGTCGAATATCACCTTGCGGAACTCCTCCAAAGATCCTATACCTCAGATCGCGAGCTTACGCTGCAACGTGCGCTCGGCCAGTATGAGAAATATTTGGCGCGGCTAGAGGATTACGAACTGCTCGACGACAAGGACAAGAAGCTTTACGAGAGATATGTAGCGAAGCCGTCCTCCTTCTCACTCACCCCGACCAACGATGCCGCAACTCGGAGGGAGGTGAAAATAACGAGGTTCAAGGAGGAGAAGGAATTGAAACAAAGGCTTGGGGTTGGAATTCACTGATAATACCAAAGGGTTTGAAATTTCGCTGACCGTGTGCTAAAGTACCTCTCCGAGAACCACCAACGGCTGCAAAGCGATGAGGACGACGTACGACAGCTCTACCTTGCAGAAATTAAGTTATACACGCACCAGGCATTCCAATCACTGGATCTTCTCGCTCAAGAGTTGTCCATGCTGTCGACGATTCGTAATTTACCCTCCAAACCTGAAGATTCACAATCCGATGACCCGCGAAGGCGAATCCAGGTCGGCGAATCCAGTTATTCGGAACGATTAGACCCGCCACTTGCTCAACTTCTGCGCGGCGGGAAATTTGGGCCGCTACTAAGCAAAGGAGGGAAGCCCTTGCAACCTTTTACACTGCTCGATCGTCGTACTCAGCTCCGGGATGGGGTGTTTCGATCGGGGCATAATCTGCCCACGATGACCATTGACGAGTATCTCGAAGAAGAAAAGAGGCGAGGAGGGATTATTGAGGGCGGAGAGAACTCAGGGCAGCAAGAAGAAATTGACGAGGACGATATGGACAAAGCTGATGAAGAAACCTTGAAAGCAAGGGCCTGGGATGAATTCAAAGAAGCCAACCCAAGAGGCTCTGGAAATACCCTGAATAGAGGCTGATTCATTTTATGACCAAAGAAATTAACATATTTAGCGTTGGATTCAGTTAGAACTCATAGGCATGCTTGATTCTAATACCATCTATTGATACAACACCTTTTTACAAACAGCAGTATATTGATTTCCAAGGCAGGACTTTTTGTTTAGAAGATTGGAGAGAGAGATATACTTAAGGCGAAGCCCAGGAACCTTTTGTTTATGCAAAATAGCCATCAAATCTCGTGAATGTAATGGAGGAGAAGCCCAGCATCTCCGATGTATTTGCATGTAGTCACTGTAGCCAGGCGACAAACATCCTGATTACTGGGCCTTCTTGTTCCGTTGAATATCTTCAAGGATTTTCCCAGCACCTTTAACCACCAATGCGTTGGCCACGGTAATGCCAAATTCCTCGGCAGATTTTGGCGAATCAACCACACCATCAACCTCAACTTCAGCACTCTCACTACCATCCACGCTCACCACAATAGACCTCATTCTTAGTTTCGTAGATCCATCGGTACCTTGCACCCACTCAGATTCCACTCCCAGCGGTGCACTGCAGCCGCCTTCTAGGGTTCGGAGCAGACTCCGCTCAGCCAAGCAAGAAAAGGTTGTCTGATCGTGACCAATGCTACTCAGCATGTGTTGCATGAGCTTGTCGTCCTTGCGGATTTCCACGCCCAATGCGCCCTGTCCAACCGCGTACAGCATCCCACCATTCTTGGAATCCAAATATTGACAGATACGATCTCCGAGATCCAATCTCAGTAATCCAGCGGCTGCGAGGATAATTCCAGTATACGGACTCTCTTCTGCGTCCAGCTTGGCCAAACGAGTGCCGATATTTCCCCGGACATCCAGGACCTTCAGGTGAGGGTACTTGAGAGCAAGTTGAGCGGTGCGGCGAATAGACGACGTCCCCACAATAGAGCCTGCCGGAAGTTCAGCAAGACTCTTGTAAGACAATCCCTGTTTAATGACCAAGACGTCTCTGGTGTCTTCGCGCTCCATCATGGGACCCAGAGTGCAGGAAGAAGGGAGGACGGTGGGAACATCTGATAAAGATTGCAGAAGATCATTAGCCTAAGATTAAACGCCAATACACAGATAGACGCATGTAAAGCGCACCTTTCAGGGAGTGAACAATCAGATCAACCTGACCAGCATTGAGAAGCTCCTCCAGCTCTTCTGTCCATAGGTTCTTCGTCGTGAATTCACGGAATGCAATATTTGTGTTCTTGTCCCCTGCAGTTTCGCGCGAGTGTATATTGAAGGTATAATCCGGGAATCTCTCTTTGAGTGCAGCAGCCACCTGATCCGTCTGATAAAGGGCAAGCTTCGACTGGCGCGTGCCGATGGTGAACACCTTTTGCGCCGCGGGGTCGGCGGAAGGCGGGGCTGGAGAAGCCATTTTGTCGACAATTGACTGAATGCGATTGGTGTTGTAGGTAGGGGAAAGAATCCGTCGATGTAAACTGTTGCAAGAAGAAAATACCCAGGAATATCAGAATAGATTGACAGGTTGAGGAAAAGAGGCTGAATTTGTCGTTCAGATGTTTGATCAGCTGAAATCCGCAGAGCCTGAGGTTTTCCACCCCAATATCGTTTATTCCTTACCAGATCCTTTGTGACACGGCATTACATCGTTTCTCAGGGGAGTTCGCCGTATCGTACAGAGGTATTACCGTACGGAGATCACGAGGCAAAGAACAATATTGACACAATACATTTTGTTCTCCTATATGTTTCTCATCAATATAGCATATAATAATAGGTAGCCTTTCAATAACTGAACATGCCTTCAAGATGAAGAAATACAGGGTTCCCCAAGCGGAGGTGGTGTAACTGACATGCCGGATCGAACCTCGGCTTCGGAACATGGCTTATCTTGATCCTGACGGTCTTCATCTGGGCTGTTCTGGAACCTTTCCCCCAGGAAGGCTTATAAACTACCGAACACCCGCTTCCAGCCCCCTCTGCATCATCTACTATCATCTCCACCACCATCCAATACGATCCGTCATCCCTCCGCATATCTGTTCCTGCTTGACGTATAGGGAGTGCTTGCGCCACACAGCAACCCGAGATGGGCTCCAGCAACGGACGAGCAACCAAGCTGCCTTTGGTTCCATTGCCCAAAGGCTCCGTTCTTCTTCCCGGGGCAACTTTACGAATTCCGGTCTCGAACCGTCCGGATCTTGCCAACCTCCTCTCATCGTTACTGGATCGGACGCAAGCAACGAAGCGAGAGGCGAACTTAATTACCTTTGGTTGTGTTCCCCTCAGCTCGCCTTTCCTCAGCAAGGATGGACAGCACGTGATTGAGGATGGCACCGTGGAGCACAGTACGAGGGAGGAATATGACTCCATTGATGCGGGTCAGGCCAGGAAGGAAGACCTGTATCGCTATGGCACCGTCGGCAAGGTTATTGGAGTCCAGCGTCGTGCGTACTCTGAACCACACCTGCTGGTTCAGGGCGTTCAGCGCTTCACAGTTAAACGTGTACTGAAAGAAAGACCGTTTTTCGAGGCAGAGTGTATCTTGCACGATGAGAGAGGTAGGTGCTCCTTAATTCTCGGCCAGGATGATTAACTTACGGTGTCCTTTGTCATGTATAGAATCTGCTCCGAGCGATTCGGAAACAATGGAATTGTTCCAGCAATTAAGACAACTGTCAAGGGAGCTGCTTACCCTGTTGCGATTTACGTCTCTCTTGCCTACAGCAGGAACCCGTCTGTCGCCACTCGTTGCCCGTAAATTCGAATTAATTATTTCCAAGTCCGACCTGTCCCAAGCCGGAAGATTAGCCGACGTTATGGCCGACATTGCCGAATCAGGCTTTGAGGAGAAACTGCGTGTTCTTGCAACTCTGAATATCAAGACTAGGTTGGAGAGGGTGAATGATATTTTGAGTCGACAAACTCAGAATATCCGTAGCAATGTTAAGGTCACCACCATCTCCACAAGCAATATCCCTCCAGGATCCTTACTTGACATCGGCCAACTGGACCCTCGTGACAGAGAAATGCTGGCCAAGCGAGCTATGTCCGGCATCCCTGGGCTTACTCCCCCAGGACCTGGTGGGCGGAACAATGACGCCGATGATAAGGAGACTAACGAAGTCGACGAGCTCCAACAGAGGTTGCAGGATGCGCAGCTTAGCTCGGAGGCTAAGAAAGTTGCGGATAAGGAACTGCGACGACTTCGGAAGATGAACCCCGCAAATGCAGAGTATGGAGTCTGCAGGACATACCTTGAAAACATTGCGGATATTCCATGGACCAAAGTCACGGAAGACCAGCTTGGCGCTGAGACATTGAAGCGAGCACGAAAGCAACTAGATGACGACCATTACGGCTTGGAAAAGATTAAGAAAAGACTTCTGGAGTACCTTGCGGTACTGAGACTCAAGCAGTCGACAAATCAGGGTCTCGAGCGTCAGATCGCAGACTTGACCAACCAACTCGACAACTCTGGGGGAGACATCGAGAATGACATTCCATCCTTGCCTGAGAACGATCGCGCTGAACTTGAATCAAAGTTGCACATTCTTACTTCCAGACGTATGGCCGACAAATCTCCGATCCTCCTCCTTGCTGGCCCTCCTGGCACTGGAAAGACTAGTCTCGCGAGATCAGTGGCTACCGCTCTCGGCCGTAAATTTCACAGAATTTCCCTTGGTGGTGTCAGGGACGAAGCTGAAATTAGAGGTCATAGGAGGACGTACGTTGCTGCCATGCCTGGGTTGATTGTGAATGGTCTCAAGAAGGTGGGCGTCGCCAACCCAGTATTCTTACTCGATGAAATCGATAAAATCGGAGGCGCCAATTTCCAAGGAGACCCCTCAGCAGCGATGCTGGAGGTGCTGGACCCCGAACAAAACCACACATTTGTCGACCACTATATCAACATTCCTATCGATCTGAGCAGGGTTCTCTTTATCGCCACGGCCAACTCCCTCGATACCATTCCCGCTCCACTTCTCGATCGAATGGAAACGATTTCGTTATCTGGATACACAACTGTCGAGAAGCGACATATCGCTAAGAGACATCTGATTCCCAAGCAAATCAGAGCCAATGGGCTTGCGGATGGCCAGGTGATATTGTCCGATGATGTTATCGACAAGACCACGACCTCCTACACCCGGGAATCTGGTGTTCGCAATCTCGAGCGAGAACTTGGATCAATTTGTCGATACAAAGCCGTTCAATATGCCGATGCCACCGACACGGCGAACGTTGATGCTTACAACCCCGTTGTCTCGCTTGATGACCTGGAAGAAATTCTTGGCATTGAGCGATTTGACGAAGAAATTGCCGAGAAGAATGGTCGCCCAGGGGTGGTTACTGGCCTGGTGGCTTATTCCACTGGTGGCCAGGGGAGCATCCTTTTCATTGAAGTTGCAGACATGCCAGGCAATGGCCGAGTTCAACTCACCGGCAAGCTCGGGGATGTCCTGAAGGAAAGTGTGGAGGTTGCTCTGACTTGGGTTAAAGCCCATTCATTTGAGCTCGGACTGACTTCTGATCACCATGAGGATATCATGAAGAACCGAAGCTTGCATGTCCACTGTCCTTCGGGAGCTATCCCCAAGGACGGCCCATCTGCAGGACTTGCCCACACCATTGGCTTGATCTCCCTCTTCTTAGGAAAGGCCGTTCCTCCAAAGCTCGCTATGACGGGCGAAATCTCTCTCCGCGGAAGGGTGATGCCTGTCGGCGGTATCAAGGAGAAGCTGATTGGTGCTCACCGCGCTGGCGTCACCACTGTTCTTTTGCCTCAACATAATAGGAAGGATGTGAAGGATGTCCCGGCAGAAGTCAGCAATGGCCTTGAAATCATTTATGTCAGGTAAGAAGATACCTGCCCCACATGCGTTGAATTACCATATCTAACTATTATTGTCACAGGCACATTTGGGAAGCCATTCGACAGGTGTGGCCTGACGCTCACTGGCCTGGCCAGCACCAGATGGACTTCGTTGAGAGCCACCTGTAGTTCTTATCTATTACTGGCCATTTTGCCTTTCCGTTGCAACTATTCTGACTGTATACTCCTGGGCTGTTTTGATATGGATTTACCCTCCTTGCACAGCCCGACTCTGTTCATAGCATAGCGTATTAATAGTCTCTCTATCAACTTTGGTTATATTATGTATATATATATCTCTCTCTCTTCAACAGGGCTATTAACTCCATAGCCTGAATTCCATGCAGTATCGGTCGAAGATTAAGAATTCCTCCTGGACCTCGTACAACCTAGCCGATGGATTGGTTAATTTCAAGTTCGAATTTTTTTTTTTTTGTATTTATAAGACAGGAAATATGATACAGGCATGGGCATGACAGTTAATACAACCAGAGAGAAAGAAAGAAAGAGAGAGAGAAAAAGAAAGAAAAAAAAAAAAAAAAAAAGCCCAGGTTTTGCTAGCATTTACGAACTGCTCGGAGCAGATCCCTTGGTAGCACCAAGTATCGACCGATTGTAGTTCAAGCCCAGTGCTTGCCAGGTAGGACGCCAGGATTTCGAGCCGTCCAGCAGCTTCTTTGCATCTTCTTCAAAGGTCTCACGCTCATCCTTGTTCGCCTTCATTCCCGCGTCTGGTCGTTGCTTGTCTTGGATTTCGCTCTGGTATTTGGCGGCCTTGAAGAATTGATCCTTCTCCCATCTATTGGATTTGAAAAAAACACGACTTGGTTAGCAAATCACGGACGGAAATAAGAGCGTAGGTATAGTATATACCCGATCCCTGTTTCGGAAAAGGGAAAGGAACAACGTACGGGGCCATGTCCGTCGGCGCATCGGGCCACACAAACGGCTGCTTCATCTCAACGGTCATCTTCTTCTTGGCCATCGGTCGTCTCAACTTGCCGTAGCCGAATTTCCCTAGTGGTCGGAGACGAGTAACCTTTTGTTGCTCGACGTAACTGCGGACTCCGAGGACATCGACTCCATATAGGCGTTTCAGGTAATCGCGCATGTCGAGCTTGTTGAAATTCAAGGGCACGTAGAAGGAGGCATATCGCGGAGGGAGAAAAGGTGTGCGGATGAGTGCGATTGTGAAGTCTGGGCTGTTTTATGCCGAACAGGTCTAGGTTAGTTTGCGGACTTGTGCATTTTATATATTTATGAAGGTCTATCCAGGAGAGCCCCCTATATTTTTTTTTTTGTCCGGAATCCAATTGATTCCTAGTGATCGATGTAGAAACGGGGGCCATTCTTGAAGACGTACAGAAAGACCTGCTTTCGCTGGGAAAGTGGTGCGGATGGGGATAGCCAGTTGGCAGGCTTCTTGGGGAACTTGGAGAATTGTCGGACCATCTTGGCTTTTGAAGCCAAAAAAAAGATTGAAGCGTTGGCCGGGGATATTGAAGGCAAAGTGATGATGGTTGGTCGTTCTTTTGAGCTCGGCGGAACTTTTCCAGAACGAAATTGCGCGTGTGGCCGCACCGCGTACCGTACGGATATTGTAGAACGGATTTTTGTATTGACCTTCCTTTGGGCACAAGAACTACAATCCCAATAAACCCCTGTACGGTTTTTCAATGAAAAGTCTATATATATTTTTTGCTCGTGACAGTCATTATATTATGAGATCATGTAATTTTGTCCCTTTTTTAAACCTGCCCATACCTTCATGAGGTCCCTGAAACCTGTAGCTTCTCAAGCTTCTGAGCACTTTCATCGAGAGCATCACGACTAGGCCCTTTGGAATCAGCACCTGGTTCCTCCTGGTCCTCGGCCTTGTCCTCCTCGGCATCCTCCGAGCCAGATACCTCTTCTTCATCCTCATCGCTATCCTCGCCATCTTCGTTCGCAGCCCCCTTGTCACCATCAACGCCAACTTCCTTCATGTATGCTTCCAACTCGCGAGCCATCTTCCTTGAAAATCCAGATGCCTCAACTTCTACATCCAATCGCTTTCCAGCGTTTTGGAGTAGTTGTTTCTTTGCGTCGGCGAAGAAAGGTCCCGGCACGTCACTCACAAAGTGAAACTTTCGTTGGAAGTAGCGTTTAATGCAGTTCACATCACGGTCGAAATACATTTCTGCATTGGCGTGGTCAATCGATACCATTTGCGGGAAGTCGATCAAGACCGGAGTTAGTTTAATATTCTCGCCGTCGTCTTCACCCTCCCGACCTTTCCCTTTCGCCCGAGAATCCTCTTCTTCCTTGATGAGAATATTGAATTCGTTGAAGTCTCCGTGGATCAGACCGTAACGAGCCAGTTCCATAATGATATCCATCAGCTCCGAGTAGAGTAGCTCCGGGTTGGGCACTTTCGAGATCTGACGGAGCGGGAAGGCATCAATCAGGCTCATGACGATGGTATGTCTGTTTTGCGCAATTGGCTCGGGCACGGAGAACCCGTTTTCTCGGAGAGCCTTCATGAACGCAAATTCCTTCATCGCTGCCAGTCGCGACATATACATCCACGATCCGGTGCTTCGGTTTCGTAGATAGTCTCGGTTAGTCTTGACGGTTCGGAATGATATACGGCCCAACCGATGGATTTTCAAGATGCGCTGTGTTCCTTGGTGATCTGCGACGACGACGATATCCGATTCTTTTCCGACTCCGATTTGGTTTCCGACAGAGTAGATGCATTTTTGTTTTTGGTGGGCATTAAGGGCGAGATAATCAAGGCCGCCGTATGTGAGTCGATAGCCATCATCTGAGTAGAGACAGAGAATTAGCCGGGGTGCTGGGATGAACGGATAAAAGAGGAAGGAAACGTACATTTCGCATTCTTCACTTTCGCGATCAAGTTGGTCTTAGCCAGGTTCGAGATCGCTCGGTGCACTCCACTGCCACCTCGAAGGCCAGCAATCTGTGCGATCAGGGGAGTTGGCACAACTTCATGGTTTCTGCTTCCTTGCTCAACCTACAAAGACCGTCGGTCAGATATCATACGGGGAATGAATGCGGGGGGAGGTCGCGAACGTACGGCTGCGAGCACACGGAAGTCCTCGGCTGTAAGGTAGCGGATTGCTTTCGGATCGAGCTTCATCTTCTAGCTTGAGGGATCCAATAAAGGGGGGGGGGGGGAAGAAAACCAAGAAAACCAGCGATAGGGGACTCTTGAAACTTGAAGCTCGTCCAGGCCGACAGTTGGATCTTGAATGCGGCAAAAAAAAAAAAAGACTTATCTCCCCTACCCTATGCCCTAACTACCATTTCGGGAGTCCTACCCGTCTAGATATATATCTAAAGTACCTACGGAGTACTCAAGCATAATTCTTTCTTTTCAAATTATGTATTCATTGATTGATTGAATAAGGGTAAAATTTAGTCATTAATATTTTCAGACTTTTTTCTGAATACATTAATAAACCTAAACTGTATAGGAGCGCTTAGAACTACCTGCGCTCGATCTAGCTCTCAAAAATTTCCTATAACACGGTGTTTTGCCATTCTTAGGTGGAACTTTCCCAGTCAGGGTTCTGGAAATTCACGTTAGTCACGTCAAGACAGACTAAAAGATTAGTGAGAGGACTAGCTTACCTTGCGCAGGATTACCAAACCCTCCAGGGTGCTGCTGAGAGGGATGTATTGCTCATCCTCCAGTTCTGCTCGTTCACCGTAAGACAGGAGCACGGGAGTGCTCTGTGTTTGCCAACCAGTAATAGTCTTGGGACGACCGGCTTGTCCAACAACATCGACAGCCTGTCCTACTCTCACGTTCACTGTGAGGGGTTGCAAATCCTCGTCGAGAGTAACAAGGAAGCGTGGGTACATGGCAGTGATGAGGAAGTAAAGGAGGTAGTGATGTTCGGCGAGGATAAATTGCTTCGCATCAATCAAAGACACGAGGACGGTGAGCAGACCAGCAGCCGATACACGGCTTAGGACCTGTCGGTCAGTGTGGAAAGGATTTAATGTCATGGTGCCTTTGCCCATATGCAAAAGACCTTGGGCAATGCGCACCATGAACAAGGTATTCTGGTCACGGTGATAGTAACTGGCCAACTGTCTTAGCAGCTGCGCCAAACGGGAGTTCTTCGTGCCAGCGCCGCAAAGACCCATGGCGAAAATAGCGTTGATGGCGACGTCGTTATCGTTGTCGTGGCTGTATCTGGAGAGAGTATCGTACACCTTCATCTGAGGGTTACTGGGGCTGATCAGGCCCATAGCAAGAGGAACTGCCTTGCGAATATTGCTGGCGCCGTAATGCATAAGGTGACCAAATTGTCTCAGAATCATATCTTGTCCGACTTCTTCTCCCATAGCAATCAGCGAAAGACCCAGAACGGCGTACGACTGAACAAGCTCGTCACCCATCTTCTCATCTGATTCCTCGATCACATCGTTGCAAATGTGGAGAAGTTCTTGAAGCTTTAGTACTGTGCCGGTACCTGCCCAAGCGCATACGGACGCAAGCACAGACGTAGGCTTGGCCATTGGGTGATCGACTGCCTTGAGAATGTCAAGGATCACGTCAACTTCCTCCTGACGACCGAAGTACAGCAGGGCTAGACCCAGAGCCATAAATCGAGTCCACTTATCCTTGAGATGTTTCTGTCGCTCTTCATCCATCAGTGTCGTAGCAATAGCCTCGCTGACTTGATGGTTTGAGGAGCCAACAAATATAAGGCCAAGAGAAACAGCTGCCATCGCGGAGAGCTGCATGTCGAGAGAAACGTCCTCCACAATAGGCAGGAGAACGTCAAGCAGCTCCTCTTTGTTTGAGCCAGCATATGCCAAACCAAGACCCATAATCGATGCAACTCTCATAGGCAGGTTCTTCGCTTCCAAATTATCGGGATCGCTCAAGAGGGCTAGAGCAGGGTCCGAGTCAATTCTGACGCCGGAGTTGAGAATACCGATCGAGAGTAGCGCACCAGCCTTGATCTGGTCCTCTGAGGCATAGGTATACTTGTCGATTTTGTCCAAACCAATTTCGACATCCTGGTGCAGGAGCATACCCATGGAGGCGGTTGTCGATAGCATACCGTCATCTTTGGTCTTCCATACCCAAGGACCCTTGTCACCATCAACAAGCATCATCTTGTCATTTCCAAAGCCAGCATTCGCAAAAGCGTTCACGAAGGCGCTGGCTAGATTGTGTCTTGCAGAGTCAACGTTGGTGAGGCCAGCTCCTCGGCTGCTTTCTAGGTGAGTCTCGTAGATATCCTCCGGCATCTTCGGATCAAGAATATTGAGTTCTTTGCCAAGAGACTTGAAGTGCTTTGGGATCGATGTATTGTTCAAGCAGTCCATGAAAGTCTGGTCTTCCTCATCCTCAGGAGAGGGATCAAGCCATATTTGTTGTCTAGCCACCAGGAAGGCCATCTGCTTTTTAATCGATTGATCCGTAGTGGCGTTCAGGTCGCTCTTGATAAGATCGGTATCATTCAGCCGGATAGCAAGGACAATGGCTTTGGTGAGCTCCTTGTAACGAACATATATCTCGTGCGCTGTTCGGAGGAATTGCTGGTCTTCCGGGTATGTGAGAAGGTTGACCATGCTAACCATGTACAAGCAAACCCTCGCGTATGTGTTTTCGTCAACGAAGCGAGGGATCTCTTCGATAATCTCGAGTTCGCTCAGAAGGTCAACTGCATCGGCCTCGGCGTTGTGGCTCAGGAAATATGGAACAAGAGACAAAGCGAGATCAATCAAGTCTTGTACATCCTTCTCGGCATTCAACCTGTTCTGGTATTCCTGACCGATCTCGAGCGCCAAGTGCCTAACATATTCGTGGCCCCAGGAACCGAGATCGTTAGACTTTGTGAGCAAGCGGTATTTGAGGGTTTCAAGTTTCTCCTCATCTCCGTAGGTCATTCCAAGAACGGACAGCATATCAGCCAAAGCGTCCTAAATTCAAGAAAAAAAAAAAGTCCCACTGTTAGCTTCGTTACTCGACTCTTAATGCATCTCGACAGGTAGAACCTACCTTGACTGTACCCGCTGACCACTTGTCGTACAACGCTGCCAGATCGTCATAGTGTGGACGTAGGAACTTCAGAGGCTTGGGGACTGCAGTCATAGAAGAGGTAGAGGTTTTGATGAAGTTCTTAATAGCGTCCAAGGCAGGTCCATATAGGGAGGCATCCGGCTCCTACGATGAAGGGCGATTAGCGACAAGGTACTGAGCAGGGAAGCGGGATCTACCACAATACCTTTAACCTCTCCACAAGCATCTCAAGCTCGTTTTTCAGCTGTTGGTCCTCTTCACTCAGTTCCTCTGGATAGTTACTGGATTAGTGCACTGATGAAAACGACAAGCCACTGGGGAAAGAAGCCATCCCGCGTGGTTCGAGACCACGGCTCAGTCACCTACCTTCCTTCGGCGCTTCACCCTTCTGCTTTTCATCAGATTGTGTCTTCTCTTCAGGCTTGCTCTTTTTTCCTCCAACAAGATCCTTGACATCGTCAACCTTGCCCTTGCCCTTGTCGGCCGGAGCTGACCGCTCGCCTTCCTTCGCCATTTTGGAATCGCTATCTGGCGATGAAGAACCTTGTAGAATCCGGGATGTGGAAGGTGGGTTGTGGGAGGAGAACGACAGTGTACGTTCGGATCACGCGGGTATATGTAGAAGGAAGCTTGTTCGTAGTCAGGGATGAGGTAGAGAATGATTCATAAGCTTTGTTGATGGGAAGCAAAGAGCTCTCTGCCTCTCGTCGCCGCCGCTCGGGGTGTTGCGCCAGTGGAGCTGCCTGCGTCTTATGTAAGTCAGATTTGCCAAGAAACCGGGTGGTGTCGAATCACGTGGGTTAGATGCCCAAAGTATTGGTTGCGTCTGTTCAATCGCTTTCGAAGTCCAAGTAGGTATTATTAAATCGTGGTATATTTCTATAATCAATATTTACAAGATATGGTTGCGCGAAAAGCCCGCCTTTCTAATTGCACGATCACTCCTCCGTACAAAACAAGTTCTCCGCACTCATTGTATTAGGCAAGTCTCCCGTGCACCCACCATAGCGAACCCTGAACTTGTCCAGGTACTCTTCAGTGTCTCGAGCAAAGACAAATTCTGACATCTCCTCGCCACGGTATGAGAAGATTGGTAACTGGACCATGTCCGGAAGCTCTAGAGAAAACATGTCAAGGAGGGACATTACTGTAGGAGCACGGCTCAAGGGTAGTTCAGTAGGATCCTCCTCCTCCTCCTCCAAAACGGCACTTGTTGTAAAACTGGACGCATCCTGGGGGAATTCTTCTGGATATTGAAAGAGCTCATAATGTAGACTAGCAAGGGAAAACTTGCTCTTCCTAGGAAACGCAGGATAGAGCAGGTAATAGCCTTTTGCACGAATCAACTCGAGCAGATATTCCATAAACGCAGGATATCTCTTGGAAATAACCTTATCATTTGGTAGTGATTCGGTTCTCATACTCTGCGCTGCAAGGCGGCGCGAAAGAAAAGAGTGGAACTCGGCCCATTTGTCGCCAAAATATAGAGCTGCATTGCTATTTGGAGCCTGCCAGAGAAAAAGGGGGAGAGTTAAATCAGGGTTATTAAGGTCGGAAAGTTGATAGTTGTCAATATTTGGGATTGTAAACGGGTTAGTATCCGTGACACGCGCGGTTGGGAGTTCGAGGGAAATCCCCATGAGCCGCGAGGATGGTATGTTTGGGCGAGCTGAATATTTGTACTTCAGCAGAGTATACATCATATAATGATAGAACGATGGTGCAAGTTCGATATTGGGCGACAGGACAAGCACATGTGACAGGCTGAGGTCTCTGGGATAGAAAGCCTCAACCGCCCGGACAGAAGCCTCAGTGGGGTCCGGATAATCTAGCTGTATTCGCCGCCGAATGGTCACTTTGTTCAAGGTATTTGAAGGCCATTTCAGTGTTTTGAGAAATCGCAGAAGCTCCTGGTCCACACGAGAAGGAAGCTCGATGGTTAAGCTGGGAGCGGATCCTAGGAAATCGGCATGTTCTAAGGATCTAATTAACCTGATAAGTGACCCAGCTGAATCTGGGAAAGCGTAAATGAGAAGTTCGACATGCACGTCATTCCAAACTACCAAAGCAAACGGTTAGCAAAGTACTAATGCGTTTAGGCACATTGGTGATGAAATTTACCTCGAAGCGCGCTACTATCTAGGTCTGCCATCCACATGAGATCTCTCGAGGGACGAGGAAGCGCAAGATGAGGAAGATCGAGATCACGAATCTTTTGGATGCCTTTCCAAAAGGAAGGATCTTCCTGTGACTCCCCTTGCGTGATCACCACTTGTGGATGAAGATAAACGCTAACGTAGGGCAACACTACAGCCACTGCTTGCTCCAGGCGTTCAGCTGTAAATGAATCGCTGCCGGTTGCACGAGCGTCTATTGAAACCATGCATGTGTTAGTCAATGCATTTGATACGGCGCGTGTGGTGCAACATACCATGCCAGTTAAGTGGGCAATTCACACTATTTATCCCATTGACTTTCTGAATCCCCTTAATGGAAATCGTGACATCAATCCCTGACATTAATAGAAAATGCACCTCATTCAGTTTTTGATTTGCCATCCGACACGCGAGAGGCAACATATCCGACAGACTTCGGAGCGATGCGGCCGCAAACACCGTTGCGGTAGAGGAGACCTTCCCATCGCGGCTGGGAGGCTTCTGGAAAAGTCTTAGGGATTTCCCCAACATGGGAAAGTGCATTGTATTCTCATCATAAGTTTCATCTTGATTTTCGGGATTGAAGTCGCCCTGCGAAGGGGGATTGGACAGGGGGTTCAATGAAGGAGTACCAGGGACCTGAAGTGGGTTTTGCTGGTATGGAGGTGTGTTCGCTTTTAACCGTTCCGCAACAGGAGGCAGGTCGGTTGGCATATTCTTGAAAAACAAATATAGAAGATATAGTATCAAGAATCCGAGAAGCATGCGCCGGCGTCGAGGCACCTTCCACTGTTTCGGTTGCCATAGATGCTCCCGAAGTAAGCTGGGCTGGTGGTCGTCATATTTCTTTCCTAGCTCTTCATCGACCAAAAAGGAGGGACGCTTGGACGGTGGCATGGTTTAGACATATGAGCAAAAGCTCCAAGGGAGCTTGAATATGGAGCGATGGCATCGGCCACAAGGAAGGGAAGCAACGGCGCGAATAAATGAGATGAGGCCTTTGGCAACGCGGATGTTCCTGTACTGACGCTTTCGGAGGGCGGTCGGAGTCGGGGACTTCAGTCCCTGAATAATCACACTAACTCGGTGATAGCGAGCAAGCCTCCATCGTCTTTCTACCACCTTATTTATCGGGTTTTTATTGACGACCTATCGGTTGGATTCGAAGGACAATACCAGTGGCTCAATCGCTTTAATCAGAGTCCAGATTGATCACTTTGTTCAAATTGTCAGATCGTTCATCCCCGTCCCCGAAAAAGCCGCATCCGTAATACTCTTTGGGTTCTCCATAACATCACATCACGATCAATTGGTTTCTCTGGCCAAAATAAAGATGCATGGAAACTAGAGAACGTATTCGCGTTTGGGGTTATTTGCGTATGGGTTAAACATACAACTCTCCTCTTGCTAGGAATGCTGCTTTCCAACCCGCATAACAACCTGTTATAAAACGCAATAGAGAGCCGTTTCTATTCCCTTGACAAGCATGGAGCCCGATATGGAGGTCGACACTTCAGAGCCCCGTGGGATAAAAAGGCCAATCGAGGAGAGTGAAGCACCCCGTGGACCGAAGAGGATCCGGGTAAGTTGACCCAAAGCGAGTTTTGCTTCTCGTCTAATACATGCTAGGCTCTTGACCCTGATGTAGTGAACAAGATCGCAGCGGGGGAGATCATCGTAGCCCCTATGCACGCTCTTAAAGAACTTATAGAAAATGCGGTTGATGCCGGGTCTTCTTCAATCGAGATCTTAGTCAAAGACGGTGGCCTTAAGCTACTCCAGATCACCGACAATGGCCATGGGATCGATGTAAGTTGTTCCTACATGTCTGCCATACTGGCGTCTTAACTAATCTGCCTGTCAATATAGAGAGATGATTTACCTATTTTGTGTGAAAGATTTACGACTTCCAAACTCAAAGAATTTGAAGACCTTACTTCGATAGCTACGTACGGTTTTCGGGGCGAAGCGCTGGCTAGTATAAGCCACATTGCCCATCTAACGGTGACTACCAAGACCGCAGGCTCTAGTTGTGCATGGAGAGCTCACTATAGCGACGGGAAACTGGTACCGCCGAAACCAGGGCAGAGTGCGGCCCCGAAAGCTACGGCAGGGCGTGGCGGGACACAGATAACAGTATGTCAAAAGCCACTTCTTGCAGCTATCAACACCTGACTGGACTAGGTCGAGGACTTATTTTACAATGTGCCCACTAGACGCCGCGCGTTCCGCTCAGCTAGCGAGGAGTACGCAAAGATTCTGGACGTTGTTGGACGCTATGCAGTTCACTGCACCGGAGTCGCCTTCTCATGCCGTAAGCACGGGGATTCAGGCGTTAGCATCTCGACTGGTGCTGCTGCAAGCAACAGTGACCGGATTCGCCAGATTCATGGTAGCGCAGTAGCCAATGAACTGGTGGAATTCAGTGTCAAAGACCCGAAGCTAGGGTTTACCTCTTCTGGGCTTGCAACAAACGCGAACTATCATGTTAAACGAACTACCATCCTCCTCTTCATTAACCATCGCTCTGTAGAGTCTACTGCTATAAAACGGGCGATCGAACAAACATATTCAAACTTTCTACCCAAAGGTGGTCACCCCTTTGTCTATATCGACGTCGAGATCGAACCGCACAGACTGGATGTAAATGTCCACCCCACTAAACGGGAGGTGAATTTCCTGAACGAGGACGAGATTATCGAGAGCATCTGCAACGAAATCAGGTCGAAGCTGGCGCAGGTAGATTCTAGCCGAACATTTTTAACGCAAACTCTTCTTCCGTCCGTACAAACAATCGACCCTTCATCCCGAGATGGTGTACCAACCGACAGTGGAGTTTCTGCTCCGAAAACCCCTGCAACAGCAAAGAAACCTTACGAGCACAATCTAGTCAGGACCGACTCACGCGTGCGGAAAATAACCTCAATGTTATCGCCGGCCATGCAGCAAACCCCACCAGGATCCCAGGCAGAAACAACGTCCCTTACGGTCCCAGAGGAAGGTCTCCAGTACGAGACTACAGACCGCGAGCCGCTGAAAATCGCTTTAACGTCCATCAAAAACCTCCGCGCAGCCGTTCGCAACTCCATGCACAACACCTTAACCGAAACAATGGCAACCCACACCTATGTCGGGCTAGTCGACGAGCGGCGCCGCATTGCCGCCATCCAATCCGGCGTAAAGCTCTACCTCATCGACTACGGAATGTTCTGCAGTGAATTCTTCTACCAGATCGGCCTCACGGACTTTGGAAACTTCGGAACCATCAAGCTCGACCCGGCCCCCAAACTCATCGACATCCTCCAAATCGCCGCAGACGCCGAACGCGAGGCTCATCATTCCCGCAGCGCAAACGAAGCCACGCAACAATCAGCAGCGGAACTACAACAGAATGAAATCTTCACCAACGCCCCCGAAATCGTCACCCAGACACTGATGGAAAGAAAGGAAATGCTCAACGAGTATTTCTCAATCGAGATTTCAGACGATGGCCATCTCCTCTCCATTCCGCTACTCCTGAAAGGCTACCTTCCCTGCCTAGGAAAGCTCCCCCGCTTCTTACTCCGCTTAGGTCCCTACGTGGACTGGACAAACGAACAGGAATGCTTCCGGACCTTCCTGTGGGAACTTGCGGCGTTCTATACACCGGAGCAACTCCCCCCTCCTCCTCCTTCCTCTCTCCCAGGGCCGCCGAACCCCGAGGCTAATTCTACAGAAACCTCAGGGCCCGAAGAGGCAGAAACTCAGGAGGCCGAAAATGAATCGGCTACCCAGCTGCGTCGACTGCAGATGACTCGTATGCTCGAGCACGCGGTGTTCCCTGCTCTTCGGGCACGGCTGGTTGCCACGACGCGACTTCTTCGGGGCGTGGTGGAGGTTGCGGATTTGAAGGGATTATATAGAGTTTTTGAGAGATGTTAAATGTAATGGACACATACGGATATCTGGGATTGCTGTTTACCAGGAAAGTAAGCACACGACTAAAAGGGGTTGTTTCATCTTCTAAGCTAGATGGATGATACACCATGATCTGTACTAGATAAGATAAGATAGGATACCTAGGGCCAAGGATGAGGATGGAGGGAAGAGTAGTAAGTAGGAATAGCTACCGGAGCAGCTAATGTAAAAGAGGAGGTGAGATGCTCGTTGTCGGTAGCAGGTTAAATTAGAGAGGGGAAAGGAGTGGACGGACGAGAGATAGATAACAACTCAACATTCATGAAGCTTAGAGAAGAAAGGAATGCAGCGCAAATGATCCTAGCCAGGGGAGGGGGGGCTGAGTGCAGTGGTATCAAAGGTAGTTAGTTATATGGGCATTGAATAGCAAATTAATAATCAGTTATGGAGTATCCCAGCCTATCGTTCGTGTCGAGGAGTCTGTAGAGGATGAGAATGGGTTAGCATTACTGGAAAGAGGGAAAAAAAAAAAAAAAAAAAAAAAAAAAAAAGGGAAAGAAGGGGAAGACTCACGAGTATTGTTTAATTAGTGTCCCCTCTCCTCCTTTGGAAAGATCGATGCTAAACACGTAGAAGTTTCCGTCACTGGTCACCACCATTACTTGTGGCGTATTACTACTCATCGCAACCACGCTTCGTAACGGGCCATTATTATTCCCGTTCTGCCCAGATCCCTGGTTTGATTTGGGGATCTTGATCCAGGCGAAATCCCGCGCTGGCTCCCACATCTCGCTGACGCCCTTCGGGAGGTAGCCGCCAACTTTAGCAGCGAAGGAGCTACCGACAGTTTGCGAAGTGCGGCGGAGCATGCCCATCAAAGTGCCATTGTGTTTTCTAGACGATAGATCGGGAGAGCCGTTATCCTCGTCGACGGCGTCCGGGTCTGATGACTGGCCGAGGGAGCTCTGGCTGAAGCTGCGTTGGCGCGCTATGGGCAACGATGACGAAGGCGAAGGCTCTCGTGATTGCGAAGGGTGGGTGAGTTTGAAGAGATGGATAGTCTCTGTGGAAGATGAAACGCAGAGCAGCGTGGAGGTGGTGTTGAAGGACATGCTGTAGATCCTGGACGGGATTGATCCACGTCGGAATTGATATAGTTTCTGGCCATCGGGGACAGAAAAGACTCGCACGATGGTTCCCTTGTCGGATGCTGTGGCGATGAGGGTACCATCGCTATTGAGTGTTATACACGCTAGCGGGGAGCGATGCGCTTCAATCACGTTGATAGCCTCTAGTTTCAAGGTATCAAATATTAAAACCTCGCCGCTAGTCGGGGAGACATGGGTAGTCCCAGGAGGCGCATGAGCCGGAGGGTTGAAAGAAGAAGGGGCAGCTTTCTGTGGAAGCGGATAGGCAAGATAACAGTTATCAGACGACGGTGAAAGACCGCATATTGCTATGCTTTGTTAGACGTTGACCGGGGCCGCGCGCGAGCCTTCTTAGATGACTTACCGTTTGGGTTCGGTGAGGTTTCAATAGTGTACAGGAGCTTCATAGTTTGGATGTCATATAAATAAATCTGATCTTCTAGGACAATGACCAGTCGTTTTCGGTTCAGCTTGACCGCTAAAACGGTAGTTGGAAAGGTCAACTCGCATATTGTCGATTGACGCTATAGGGTAGTGGTTAGCGGAATGTGCCCGGGCCAGATCGAACCCAACGACGATGAGACGGTGCTGTCTGCGTTCATAAAGCAGAGCTGCAAGGTGCAAAAGGCCTACGAACCTTGGTATTTGTGATCTGAAGCCGACGGGGAGACAGGATGAGCGCAACCAGCGATGTTGAAAAGAGCATCTCGATGATAGCGATATTCCCCTCTTTTGTCTCATAGCTTTTGGCGAACGGGTCCGTCGTAAAGATCCGGAAACCCTTGGCAGTCGCTGATGATGTGTTAAGATTATTATTTCCCTTTCCCGAGTACGATACAGGGGTCTATAAAAGAAGAATGCTTACCCACAGCCAGGTAGCTATAATCCTGGTTGAAAGTCACAAAGTTCATCGCCATGTCTGCAGTAGATCGTTGGCTCGGATAGATCGATCGTGCCTCCTAAGCGCGCTCTACAAGGGGGGAGAGGGGTTGAAGAGATACAAGGGGAGATTATAAGAAAGGGGCCCCAAACTGTGAAGACTGGAATAAAGCAACAAACGCTCCAATATTCATAGGGTGGTGGAGGGGTTCGAAAGCGCCCATAACAGGGTCCCGGTTTTCTCTAAGCACGATCGTCTCGTTGCATCCCCCGCTGCTCACAGAGTAGTCGCCGTGTGTGTTTCAGCTGGATATGCCATGTAGAATCCGGCGAGCACCTTGGGTTATATTGAAAAACAGAACAGGAAAGACGAGAGTGGTTGCGGACGATCCGGGGGAATCGCCTGTTGGGTTTTGCCGCGGTTGGCGTTAAACGCGGCAAACGAGCCTGACGCTCGGGCCACATCTTGATTGATTAATTACGCGCACAAATTAATTTCTTCAACACTTCGCCCAGTGTTCTTCCCTCCCCACGAGAGATTTACAGGGCCGGGATCAATTACTTGTACGTCGCGATGGCTCCTCCGAAGCAGCCCGTTAAATCGGGTGTCAATTCGAAGGAGGAGAAGGCAGCCGATCTGGTAATGGGGGTAAGTCGCGATCTGACTATAAGCATCGATCTGGTACTAATTGCGGGCGACACTGTCTTTTCGGAATAGACAAACAACAGCAGTATAGTGTCGAAACGCAGTGTTGAAATGTTATACTACCCCGAGCCCCATTTCTTCCGGCACTTTGTCAAAAAACCGCAGCGACGTGCGCCGTTAATCAACCGTGGATACTGGCTTCGGATGCATGCCATGGCAGAGTCGGTGCGGAAGTTCATGAAAGAGCCCTCGGATAGACCCAAATTCGTCCTGAACCTAGGATGCGGATTGTGAGTTCGTAGGATGGAGATACTCGTTGTCCCGGCGGCCGGACCGTATGCTAAGTGAAGACTCGTAGTGATCCTCTCCCATTTATCCTCCTCAGTACCGATCGGTCTCTATGTAGTAATACGACCTTTGTGGATATCGACTATGAAAAACTGATGATCAATAAGAAAATGGCCATCCAGAGGACAGAAGTCATCACCCAGGTGCTGGGGAATGTAGAGTTCTTCTCCGACGATAGCGGCGTGCAGATCCGGAGCCCACAGTATATAGCTGTGGGGTGTGATCTGAAAAACCTCGATAAGCTGGATCGTGTGCTCAAGACGCATGTCCTGCCTGCCGAATGCGCCGTTCTCTTCCTCGCGGAGGTTTCCCTCACTTATATGGATGTCCAGTCCGCTAATGCGGTGGTTACGTGGGCGTCTAAGCTGAGCGATGGTAAGGGATGCATCTATTCTTTCGAAACCACACCCAAATTCCGTTGCTAAAACCTGCTTCAAAAGATGCCCAGTTCTGTATCCTAGAACAATATTTCCCCGACGGCCCCGATCACCCTTTCGCCTCCACCATGATGAAACATTTTAACAAGCTCGGCGCACCATTGTACTCCATCCACGAATATCCCTCACTAGCGGAGCAGGAGCAGCGTTTTAAGAACGCCGGATGGGAGTATGCCCATGCCCGCAGTCTCTGGGAGCTATGGTCGGACGATGAGTTTGTAGCGAGCGATCTGAGAACCTCGCTGGACGCCGTCGAGGCATTCGATGAATGGGAAGAGTTTGCACTATTTGCGTCTCACTATTTCTTGCTTCATGCTTCCACCAGACAAGGGTTGTCGTCGTCGTCGTCGTCGGGTTACAGCACATCCGGCGCCGGGTTATCCAGCCACCCGTCGGGAAATGAGTCGATGTCGGACCGGTTTAAAATACTACCCAATTGTGCTCCCCCAGTAGGTCAACGAAGGTTTGGTGCTCTGATCTCTGCAGGCAGCGGGAGTGTCGGTTACCATTCGGGACTGGGCCGGCAAACGCGCCTGGCAGATACCGACATATATACGGCATCCGGAGAAACAGAGTCCTCTGGTTTGCCTTTCCCTTCTCGCGATATTCCGGCACGTATGTGTCATACCGCAACCAGTCTAAATGGAAACGGCGACTGCTTGCTTGTTGGTGGGAGGGCCTCGCCCGCTGCAGCGCTCCAGGATTGCTGGTTGAGAAAGGAAAACGCGTGGTGTCCTAGCTCCCGTCTACCGATTCCTCGCTTTAGGCATAGCGCGACCAAGGTGACCATTCAGTCTGACTATGTCCTCGTATACGGTGGGAAAACGAGTACGGGTATAGCGTTGGATACTTGGTCACTGTGGAGCGACAACGGAGAAGGGTGGCAAACAGTTGATGTTGAGCCACCAGCGGCGCCAAAAGCTCGGTTTGGGGCTTGTCTTGGGACTATCGATGACACATCTGGTGTCCTCTTTGGTGGAATTGGGGCTGACGGGGTTATCTTGGAAGACTTCTGGATATGGAGATTGCACAAGCGGTCCAATGGATCGTTTTATATGGAACTGAGAGATTTGACGGAAGGCATGCGGAGGGCTGCCCCTCAATATGACTTCCTTCCTCGGTTTGGGGCGACCATCACTCCTACATCTTGGGGATTGGTGATAGTTGGCGGCGTTATCCCGCGGCAAATAGTCCCCTTTGGCCAGGAGATCTTGCTGCTTGATTCACCACAAGTTTTAAAGTGCTTTGATGGCGAGGCCTTACATTTGACGAGCCAGCCCGTTTTGTCTGCGATAGGGTTGAACCCGGCATTTGCTGGACCGCGTCCTCTACTAGTCGGCCATGCGGCATGTGCGGTATACCCAGACCAGCTACTTATCCTCGGCGGCGGCGCGGTGTGTTTCTCCTTTGGAACGCATTGGACGGAAGGTACTTGGACTCTACAGAGCAAAGAATCACCCTTCGACAATAGATGGATGCTATTTTCTGAGAGTAGCCCGCCTGTGAAAGGCGCGACAATTAAACCCAGGAAGCCCAAGAAGAAGGTTTACAAGTCCACCAAAAAAGTCACCACGATTCCCCGAATCCAAATCCAGACACCTGCGCAGTTTGAACAGGTTCTTGCGGGTGGCAAACCGGTCATTATTGAGGGATCGGACATCGGGCCGTGTACTGAACTCTGGACAAAGGAGTACCTAGTGAATGCCGTTGGGGCGGATAGGAAGGTAGGAATAGTGCCAGAAGGCGTATTTGCATGACCAGAGTATGACTAAAAGGATGCAGGTGGTTGTGCATGAGGCCGAATCAGAAATCATGAGTTTCCAAACAAAGAACTTCTCCTATACAACCAAGTCATTTGGGACTTTCATGGATGAGGTACACGCTGGTGGACGCCAATATCTCCGCAGTATCTCGGTTGAGCAACCAACCAAGTTACCGACACAGCTCGCCGTTGACTTTCCGAGCCTAACCAATGATTTCCGTCTCCCGGATGCCCTGTCCAGTGTTGTTGCCAATGCACATAGTTCACCTCTGAGGATTTCGGGGCCTGTTACATTGTGGCTTCATTACGACGTAAGTTTGCTTCCTGACTCAAGACATAAGCAGGAGGAAAATATTAACTGCAAGCTTCTCGTTTAGGTAATGGCGAATGTTCTGTGCCAAATTCAGGGTGAAAAGCGGCTCATTCTCTTTCCGCCTAGTGATGTGCAACACCTCGATGTGCCTGCTGGCGCTTCCAGTTCCAACATCAATATCTTCCAGAACCGTGCTGAGGGCACAATTGCCGCTATCCCACACACCACGCCACATGAAGCCCTCCTGCATCGTGGCGATATCCTGGTCATTCCGCCATTGTGGCTGCATACCGCAGCTCCAACGGGAGAAGTCAGCGTGGCGGTTAATGTGTTCTTTCGCAACCTGCCGCAGGGATACGCAGCCGGACGCGACGTCTATGGGAATCGCGACGTGCAAGCCTACGAAAAGGCAAGAAAGGACCTTGAGAAGATAGCCAAGTCATTCGATCGGTTGCCGCCTGATATGGCGCGTTTCTATTTACTGAGACTAGCCGACGAACTGCAGGAGACAGCTGAACGGTAACTAGGTGTGTATCTAATGAGGCCAACACAATCGTTCCTCACTGTGCTGTCGGAAGTCAGTTGGTGGAATTCTTATCGTCAAACACGACGGAAATATGTGTTCACTACCGCATTCGGTGGGAATAAACTGTGGGCTTGAATTTTTGCTTCCCATGGTCGCGCAACAGCTAACTTAGCCCATGCAGGCAGGCAGGCAGGCAGGCATGATAGCATGATGCAACAACCCCAGTGCAACCGGGTCACTTTTTGATGCAAACATTTGTTGGACGAAGCATAGGCCAATAGGAGTGAATGTGCCTAGGGGTAGTTGGTACCTACTGGAGTAGGTGGCAATAGAAGGTTGGCGCAGACTAAGCATGAAGAGAAAATACGGCACAACTGCTCTCATGGGTGCCAACGACAACACATCCCTGAACACACAATTCCTTATACGTCATCAAGGCTAAGGCGGGGATAAAACCTGTGTCGGGATGTTTTTTTTTTTTTTTTTTTTTTCAAATTAAGTTCTTCAATGGAGGGGAGGTGGGGATCTCGCGACCAAGTGCCTAGCTTTAGGGATAGTTAGTTAGTTACCCAACGATCTGAATCGAGACCAACCGTGGTTTTTGGTTGTTTGCCAATTGCTTATCCAGTTGGAAAAAAAAGGTGGAAGCGGCATAATACATACCTAGACAATTCAGATTCGACATGCCGACTGGGTAGGAAACCCGGGTCTTTGCAGGAATCTGTCATCATTCGTGATAATTGATTCGGACGGGGATCGCGTGCGCTACATTTTTAGTATTATTGAGTCGACGTTTGCCCAAAAACGATCTGGGAAACAGAAAAGGCTAAACGGGGATGAATGATTCAGTCATGAAGGCCTAGACCGGAAATCTTGCCCCGTCTGCTAGGGTAATTGAAATTCCCTGCGTTTATACCCCCGTATCACCAGATTGTCCAGGATAAAAAGTTGAGATAAGGAGGGGTAAAAATCCGGGTTTTGCCATAGTAATAATGCATTCGGATCTCCAAAGCCTCCTAAAACGAGGCGGAAGTATCCCGATGTAGACACTATGCGATCATCATTCTTATTGCCATTTTTCCTGTGATCGCAGTGGACACCCAAGGACGATGGGAAGGCGCATGACTGTAGGAGAACCATGGATCCTCCCAACGCACACCAACGGTTGTCGAGAAGCCTAGATAATGATGGAGGGGGATTCCACGGTGCCAATCAGAGAGCTGATATGTCCAGTCTGGCGGCCCTGCATTCTGTACATTTTTTCTGACGGGGGGGGAAGGGCAGGATCTCATTCGATGTGGCCGCTCGGCAGCATTGCGGGCTTCCTTCTTTTGTGCACCAGAATAAGTTGATGGTTCGGTTCGTCTGGAAGGTTCCTCCAGTAGCCCGAGACCCTATTGGGTGCGAGGTAACCAACATTGGCGTCGAGATGGTGTGGAGCGAAAGAAGTCGAATAAAAATAAAGACGGCAATAGCATAGTCCGAAGCCTAGCCGTCTCGATAGAACCGGGTTCGAGAGAAGGATTCCTTCTGTATCTGTGATTTTGAGTGAGTGTGATGTGTATAAGTGCACCTGTATGGCTTCAGGTGCCGTGCTTAGCTCCAGGGTTGAGAGTCATACCAGCAGATGGATGCCCAATATTGAGAATATTTTCAAGGAAAGTGTAGATAGAGAATCCTGTTCTTTATTGTTTGGATGTGACTGGATACTAGTACAGTGTATCCAGAAAGCAGTCTGTCCCACTGGACTCCCGTTACCCCTCCCCACTTTCTCTCTCTCTCTCTCTCTCTCTCATCGTCTCCAGAGATTCTACAGCTCCTGTTAACTCGGTACATATCTTCCTCTTCTTTCCATCCTCTGTTTCTTGTCCTCTTCCTATCTTTTCATTTCCACTATTTTTCCAATTGTTCGATCATCCCTGCGGTATTCTTGTCCTCCCTTATCGCTGTGGGGTTGTTAGGTTTTAGCTCATTCTCGCTGTGGGTGGGTACAACACCGTCATTACTCTTACCACTGTCACCACTCTTATTGAATCTTGTTGAATATCTATCAAGAGGCTCATCTATGCAACAAATGAGTGACTGATCTGACAGGAATTAGGTTTCTTGACGTTACGGGCTTTGCAAATGAGTAAGTGGTCGCGATCCTTCCACGCGCCACGCATCACTCCACGCCGTCTACCAGGATCTCCCGATTCTGACCCAGCTGACTCCTTTCAATAGAACAGACAGCTCCGAAAAAATTAACTGGATTTCATTCTGAATTTATCTAAAAAAAAAATAGAAAAGGGAAAAGGGAAAAGAAAAGGAAAAAGAAAAGCATGTGTCCTTGATCACCAGACGTTACTCAACTCCTGGCCATTGACTTTGATATCATCACGCCATATAATACGCGACCTGGAAGTATGGCAACTATTGTGGTGCAGCAGCAGACCTTGCGCCATGCTACTCCTCCTCCTGGTGCTGTTTCTGCAGCATTGAGCTTGAATAGAACCTCCTCTCCTATTCCGAACAAACACTTGCCGATATGCCCGACCGGCCCCTCTCCCATCCCGTCTCGCACCTCTTCGCCAATTCTCAAGGAGGATCTCAGTGTCCTCGCATCGTCACCCTTATACCCACCAGATGCATTTCCCAAGTTATCGGAATCGCCGCCCTTGTACTCGATAGAAATCGAAACACTGGCTGCTGCGATTGAACACTGTGCCTCACACCCTCTGCCGGACCCCACTCTAATGTTTCCTTGGCTCCATGGTTTACATCCCGAAAATATTCTTCAAGTGGGATTCTTCACCAATCGACGGCGTTCCCTCCGGCGTACTCCTAAATGCTGGAGGGGCCTGACTGTCGTTAAGGTCGGAGGCAACCTGACCACGGCTCGGCTAAAAGGAGCTGTGTCTCCTGAAGAGATTCTTGGGCCATCGGGCTTGGAGTTCCTGGCCGTAGATCCTCGAGAAGGGTTCTCTGTGCGCAATTTTCAAATCCAGACTGCCAAATTAGCCCCATTGTCGGATATTGTGGTTTACGGAGAGGATGGCGTTACTGCGAAGCAGCTCTTGGATGTTGCGACTAGGATCACAGCTGCGCAACATCACTGGAGAGTGAAACATGATGCGGACCAAACAATGCCATCCTATGGTACATTTATCGTCTCCAGTAAGTTGTTCTGCCGACTTCGACTTGCTCCGGACATGGCTGACGAACATAGGTCCCTTCTCCGACATCGAACGGAGAGCCCCTCACTTGGTAGCTATAAATTCTAGCGGCCATCTTACCGGCCATACGGTAGATTTCTGTGAGTTCCTTTTTTGGGGGTAGCTCTCCAGCCCCTAATTCTCCTCTAACATCGTATCAGTCCAATGGGAACGGCTAGAAATGTGTGAGATGTCTCGGGCGTCGGAAATCTCCAACAACGTTTGGCAAGGGCCTACACCTGATTATTTACTACGAGCGGGGGCGTGTGATTCTCCTTCAGTGGAATCCTTTGACCTGATGATTGAAGCGAACGACCTTGCGGGCATCCCGGGTCCTCGTCTTTTGGCCAACCTTAACAAGCAACTTGAAAACGGGCCACAACGGCTGGAGTTCCCTTCCTCCGGCTCCGTTTTACTCCCATCGGGCGACAACAGGGAAATTGACGACTTGGTAAACACCGTTCGATGGATGTACTATCTAGCAAACTCGGAAGGGCCAGAACCGGCAAAGGATGCTGATGGGGATGTCTCGATGGGCCTAGTCTCTAAAAAGCCACGCAAGATTCTCATCCATTGCCCGGACGGGTATACCGAAAGCTCTTTGTTGGTTATCGCCTACACAATGTTTGCTGAGGGCATCCCTGCCCACGAAGCTTGGCTAAGGCTTCACCGGGACAAGAAACGCAACTTCTTCGCCTACCCATCCGATGTCTCATTTCTACGAAGCGTACAAGAAAGACTTCTCCGAGAGAGCCCTTCGAGCCCGAAAAAGACCCGGGTTTCTGATCCCCAGTGGTTCAAGTACTGTGACGGTTCACTCCCGAGCCGCATTCTTCCGTATATGTATCTGGGGAATCTTTCTCACGCCAATAATCCGGATATGCTATGGGAGCTTGGCATTAGGCGGGTCCTGAGCATCGGGGAGGCAGTCTCCTGGAGTGATGTGGATATCGAGAAAATGGGACCGCAAAACCTCATGCACATTTCTCGGGTCCAGGACAACGGTATAGATCCGTTGACCCAGGAATTTGACCGTTGTTTGGAGTTTATCCGTAGGTTGCTCTTGTTGACGCATCAGGCCCATTTTACTAAGACTGATTTCTCTAGGCAAAGGAAAAGCCGATGGGATGGCTACTTTAGTCCATTGCCGCGTAGGGGTTTCCCGTTCCGCAACTATATGCATCGCGGAGGTGATGTCATCTCTAAACCTATCTTTCCCAAGGGCATAGTGCGTCATTCCCTTCCCCGCGCTTGGAGTTATCGCTCACCTATATAGTTGCTTCGTGCGGGCCAGAAGACTCAATGTTATCATTCAGCCTCATCTGCGGTTTGTGTAAGTCTGAACCCACTGTCGCGTTTGATCCCATTCCACTTCTAAAATCAACAACTAATGGACGGTTTTTTTTTTTTAGTTATGAGTTGTTGAAGTGGGAAGAGCTTCAAATGAAGAAGAACAGCAGACGCTTGAAGAGAGAACTCGAATGGTCGACGGTGGCTCGCGAAATCGCCCTGATGAACAAGCCATATTCGAGATAGCCAACTGTGACCCTCAAGACAAGGAGCCGATATGCTCTCGCAAACGGTTTCCACCATCAGCCCCAGGGCACCGCACGGCCTTTGTCCTGAGCCAAAAGGCAATTTGACGACTACATCCCCATGCCAAGGACATGGATAATGCAAAGAATGAACGGATGAGTGATGACCTGATGAGATATCTTTTACGTTGACTTTCAATTTCACAATCTCCATTTCCATTTCGAGTTTTGGCGCTAGACGGGTTCAATTTATACGGATGATGCCATGCGTTGATGCATATGATTATATTTATGTTCACATGCATATGTCCCACGAGTGTGTGTGTGTTTGATTTGTTGATCTGGCCCGGTGTTTATGACAGTGTTATAAGGGAGCAACCATTTCTTTTTTAAATTCAATCCTCTCAGACAATTCAATTTGGCTTGGTTCTGTACTCTGTGTCTTGGGTTCAAGAATTGTATAACCCATATCCACTGCTCTCTCTAGGTAATATGCTATGATGGCAAAATATATACGGACACTGCCCTAAGTTGGTAGGAGTATTGATGAGAGCAATCACATGTTATGAGTAAATATTGCCCATAAGTTTGATTTACTCAAACAATAGATAGTAAAAGTACTAGAAGTCAACCTCTATACACGCATTCATCCTGTAGAGCCCCTCCAGTTTCCCCCTTACAAATAGCATTCCTGTATAATAACATTTTTTTTCTTTGAAAAATGTGGAGTTAATAAGCATTTGATACTAACTAACTAGTTACTATTTTAGCCCTTCTTCACGTTGTTATGGCTAGGCACATACATGGAAGAGCAGATAGATGCTTTCCAATATGCCTAGATATTTTTTTTTAATTAACTTCAATAATATCCAGTGCACTGAATATTGGAGAGTAGCAGGCCTAGGGAGGGGAATTCTTACAGATATAATTCAGATCCTCGAGCGCAACTGGTGCTGTGCCCGTAGGAACCTGTGTAAATTAGGGTTACCACGGTCTCCTTACTTGATTGAGTGAGATTCGCAATTTTGGTGCTCGCTGCATGCGCTTGTCTTCTCTACTTATCTTAGAAATGGCAGACGTACCCTAGGTCTTCCTTCCAGCAATAAATTATATAATTGGAACCCACCTCGAGTATAATTTTGGCTTAATATCGGATGTCCTGAATGCCTTGGAGCCTTGGGCCTGGCATTTTGCATAGACCCGATTAGTCATAATAGAATTGTGCATAAGGTCACATGACCAATCCTCTTTCACCACTGAACAGAACTTGAGCAATACAATAAACAGCACGAATTCAAGGTCAAGTCCTAGATCGATTCGAATCTAGATATTTGTGCCTGGAAATAGGCAGTCTGCTCTGATTGTTTTAGCTTTACGCCTACGCCCCGTGAATTGTACCCCACCAAGTGAACAATATCCCTCGGCATCGAAAATAGACAAGCGAGTGGTTCTACTTTACATATCCCCCAGGGTGTGGTTGATTCGCAAGCTGACCCAGATAGTTTCGGGCGCGTGAAAAAGTACTACATATGCAATAGAGTGCAATAGACACTCTAATTTTGCCATGGAAAATGCTAGTCCATGCCAAATCCGTCCTAAACGAACCCCGAAAAAGAACTTAAATCCACTGCAAAAAGGAATCAGGGAGTTTGTCACCAATCATCTCCCGCCGTCATTACTATCCCAGTATGACCTATCACTTGAAGCACTAGTTTCTTCATTTCCGAAAAGATATACGGTCTATGAGCCAATGCTTCTTCTGCCGTTGAACGCGTTCACACACCCTCCCGCCTGGGGTTCGCTCTATGAGAGTCTGTCCAACGAGCAGCGACAGCATCTTTATGGATCCATTGTTGATTCATTTGGTAGCATGGGTGTAACGCATGTTGCTATCAATGCACCGATTGTACCTCTTGACTCTAGGGGAGAGGAGAACCGAATGCGAAGTCCTGTGGGGTTAGTTCCCTTGCATGGGGTCTTCGGGTGCACGCCTTCAGAGGACGGTGGAAATGATCGACCCTCGGAGACAGACTATGGGCAATCATTCTGGGTGAAGACGGTACAAAACCATGGGATCGTCCAGATCTGGGCTCCCCTGTACACCATGTTTTCACGCGGTAATATTACCGAAAAGGCCCGTATTCTGGGCCATGGCTCTGTTTTTGAAGGCCTGGATGATGCCTCGCTTGGTGAAAGCATTAAGGACATTGCCGTAGTCGACATGTATGCTGGCATTGGCTATTTTGTCTTCTCATATTTGAAACGCGGAGTGCAAAGAGTTTGGGGGTGGGAGATCAATGCATGGTCGGTCGAAGGCCTCCGGAGAGGCTGTGTTGAGAACGGATGGGGCTGCAAGGTGTTTGAAGTGAAAAACAGTGGTCAGTTGAATGTGCCAATTTCAGAAGTGGTGGATGGCCTTCGGGATTCCGATAGAGTGGTTATATTCCACGGCGACAATCAATTTGCCGCGCGCATTTTGAGTGAAATCCAGATGATTATGGAGAGTCGAAAAGTGTGGAACAATATCAGACATGTCAACCTGGGACTTCTACCGTCTTCTAGCTTTTCCTGGGAGAATGCGTGCAAAGTTATGGACAAATCTAGAGGTGGATGGGTCCATGTGCATGAAAATGTTCACACCCAGGAAATTGACAAGAAGATGGGCGAAATAGTGGGCAATATTGAGGAATTTTGGACCCAGAGTCTCCCCAAGTGCAATGACTTGAGGCCAAGAACTAATTGCCTTCATGTTGAGCAGGTCAAGACTTATGCACCAGGCGTGATGCACTGCGTGTTCGATATAAGGTTATCACCCTACGAGAGTCTTGACATCGGTGTATCATGATGCCACAGAAAGACTATTAGTTGGTACTATATCGAACCGCTCATCTATACTGTCGCTCTATGAAGCTCTAGCGAGTCACAAGAAGGGTATGCGATAGAACTATATCCTTATGGTGAAGCAGCAAGCTACAAAAACGCCGAGACATATATACATATCGAAACAGGAAACTAAATGTACATAAAATTCAAACCTGCTTCAGGAACTTTCGTGGAATGTTTGCCACAACAATTGACATCTGCTCCAGCTCTTCGAGCCTCGCTCTGGCATCGTCTTCTTCATCGTGTCGCCGGAAATGTTCGATGTCTTCGGGATGCGTGAGTTCATCCTCAGTCGCATCCTCTCCATGATACTTTTCAAAATGATGAATCTCGTATTCGTACTCAATATCGCCGTGATGCCCTGGCCCAAAGCCGAAATCCGGTAATTTTACCCCGTTGGAAATAAGGCGCATCCAGTTGTTGCGACTAATGAAGCCGGTGTTTGTTGGGTCAAATAGAGAGAAGACCTCCCTCAGAGCCTCTAGCTTCCTCTCCTCGCTTAACCCTGCATTTGTCTCGTCATCCATGCCATATGTTTTCCGTACTTCATCAGGCGTCCAACCTCCGGAAGAGTCGTAATCGTGAAGCGTAAAGAAAGAGTCGCCGTCAAAGGTATCAATGTGGTGTTCCTCTGTGCCACCAAAACGTGAGTATATTATATGATATCTCCTGCAGGCCATCAAGGGGCCCACCTTGCATGTGTCGGGTAGCCCAATCTGTAGAGGGATTCTGCTCGCTCGAATGTGACCCATGGGCGTTGACAAGACTACCAGTTAAGGCCAGGAGGGCCGTAGCAACCGTGACGAGCATTGTCAAATATATCGGGGCTAGTTCAGTTCACCAGAACCGAGACTAGGAATTCACAGAAAATGGCCAGGGAAAAAAATATACAAAAAGAAGAAGAAACCAAACCACACCTGGCTGATCTGCTTGAATTGAGGTTCATTGTCCTTTACATATCACTCGCTGTAGCATTTGGAGCCGATTGTTTGCAGTGTTTGCACGACTCCCGCGGCTCCAACGACTTTTTCCCGGCGACAACATGCAACCAACATACCATCCTTTCTCCCATCTACTGGCAGTCAAAACCGCATTCCTCCTTCTACCATCGACTTCCGGCCTCATTCATTGATTTCCAAGTTTAGTGGATTGGAGTCTACACGCTGACACTCTGCCTTCTGAGGCCAATTGGGGCGGAAATGCCCTGAGAATGAACCACCATCTTTGGTCCCGCGCCGCTCCAGCGGAATCTTCCTCTCGCTGTGTCGCCTGTCTGAGCACTTTCACGAGCAAAGCAGCCTCCCGAACAATTTCAGAAACTAGCAAACGGCATCTACGTATCGGGAACCCTGCACCTGCGCTTGATACAAGCGTCTTCGCCGCGGCAGCTTTACCAGATGTGCAGGCAAAGGGTAAACACCGTATTGAGTGGAAGGAGAGGATTGTGGCAGTGAGAAAGCAGGTCCGTGAGCTTGTGGATGAGGATTATCAGCTTCAGCAGGGTCTCCCGGAACAAGGAACAAGCAGTCCTTCGTGGGGCACATTCCAGACAAGATTATTCAACACGCTGTCCCGGCCGATTCCTCGGAATATCAAACGTTCGCCGAGAAACCAACCGATCCGATCACTTCATACTGCTGCCGATATCGATGCTGAAACTGCAACTCAAGATCGTGTGTTGAAGGAAGTACTGGAGAAAAATGGACTGTCATTGGAAGATTCCAAGGAGGACTTTGATCTCGCGATAGATGGGGAGGAGGTCCCCAGCTGGCTTTCACACGATGTGATCCGTCAGAAGGTTATCAGGAAGCTCGCGCTGAAGCAGCTTGCTATTAGGCTGCTCCTACGTCCAGCTATTGCTCATAGCTATGGGGGTGTTCTGAAGAATTATGACGCTGATTCCTCTACCCCCCAAATGAACGTGCCGGACCTAATCTTCCAGTTGGACGCCCTTCGGCGTAGGATACGTCTTCTGAAGACCTTGAAGACTGCATACATAGACGATCTGGCCAAAGACCTCCGTGTTCGTCGGGTAACGGATATTTATCAGGAGCGGGTCAAGCTGGATAAGCAGGTCCGACAAGACACCGACCTGTATCTTAATGGGCAGATGTCTCTTGAAGAGCTGCTTCTCAGATTGGCAAACAATCTTCTGCAAGCAACGGATCCGGATCGGACGTACTCTCTGAAGATGATGATTTTGGCATTCACAAAAACCCGACAGAATGATCTTGGTGAAATGGTGTTGAAAACAATACTGCCCTACAAATTCCCCTTGAACTCCTCTCTCATCATCTCCATATTAACTCTGTTCCGGAAAACTAAAAATCTCAAATCATTTGATCTCTTTTTGCAAATGCTGCGCGGAGAAGGGTACCCAGTGGACATGGGTAACCTTGGATTCTTCAAGAAGAAGACCGTCAATGGGGTTGAAATAACGGTTCCCCCGGTCCATAGCACCAATATTGTCTTCTATGCTGCTCTGATCAAGGCTTGTCTCCGTTTTGACCAACCAGAGAGGGCTGATGCTTACCTTCTATCTGCAAGAGCCGCCGGATGTATGGATGATTTTGCTATCCTCATGGCATACCTACAGTTTTACTCTATTCGAAACGACTGGGAAAAGGGACTTCAAGTTCTGAGGAGAACCTTGGCATTTATCGCCGCTACAACTGAACACCCGCTAGAAAGAGTCGAGAGGCTGGTGGTAATGATGGTGCATCTTTGTGATTCTTGCGAGAAACCTGAAGTTTCTGAAGCCATCATCGAGGCTGCAGTGCGCAGCGGATTTGACTGGCGAATTGCAGAGAAGCAGTCCGATGTCTCCTTCCAGACCGATCCTGAATTTCTGCGGTGGCATATGGCCCAAAAGCTATCATCAAAGCAAAAGTTAGCGGCCCCTGTGTGGGAGAAGTGTTATTCTTTCGTCAATGCCATTGGGGGACAGCTTGATGAGTTGACCTTCCCGGAGTCCCGACGATGGCAGAAGCTAATGGGGACATATTCCGAGGAAGTTCTGTCATCTGTGCTGGCTGGAACACCTGCTCAATATAGAGCCAATAAGATGACCAAGTCCAAGCATTTTGATAGTCCAAGTCAGACAAGCGCAACCGCCCGACAAGTTGATGATTTCCAGGACCAACAATCCTTAGTGGCAACTCAGCAACATGAGATCACGGCCTTGAAGGGCGCAGTAGCTCAATTGAAGCAAATGGTATTCCAACTTTACCAAACAACAACAACGACATCACCAACAAAAAACGCAATCGCCTCTCACTCCTCTCCCACCGACATGCATGATCTGAACAAGCAACTAGTTCCAAACACCTCTGAGCTCGATGGAACCTCAGCCGCACGCAGCACTGGATTTCTCAAGTCCTGATATTGTTCCAGCAGAACCCCTTGATGGTTTTATATATTGCACGGTACGGTTTCACACGATACCCCTGTATTATGGAAATAATAAAGTTGGATTTTATATACTTCGCTTCATGTGTGTTTTTTTTTTTTTTTTTTTTTTTTTTTTTTTTTTTTGTCTTTCTACACGTTGTACCGATACCTGGACGCCTTATACTGTACAATAAATAAATATCCCGACTGAGATAGACGTTAAGCCATTTACCTAGTTATTACCCGTGAAAGTTCTAAGCACACATAAATCAAATTATTTAAGGATCAATTAATTTGTCTTCTCGTTCGCGCAAGATTGTATATCTATCTATATGTATCGGCAACTGTGCTTTTATACAAGAAAAAAAAAAAAAAAAAAAAAAAAAAAAACACGACTCCATTTCTGCCGCTAGCGTACAGCGCGACCTTGGGAACATCTCATCATGGTCGGAAAAGAAGTATGTGTTCGAGACAGAAAATTAAAGCAGTGACATTGGTATGATAAATGCAGGAGCATAGTCTTTAAACTCGTGAAAGAAGTAGAGGGGGAAAAAAAAAAGCGCCGGGGGGGGGGGGGGGGGTAACTATCTAACGCCTTTTTCCGGAATCGACACGCATCTTCTCTTTTCGTGCAAGTCTTTCGGCGGCACGAAGCAACGAGGAGCGAATGTCGCCTTTAGCGAAGGACGAGATATCATAGTATGTAGGGGCGATGTCCTATAGAGGATTTGTTAGCCAAGTGAATGCTGCCTAAGAGATAGTGACGGGAACATACAATAAGCCACTCTGGTTTAACGGCGGTTACTGTCCTGATATAGTTTTTGGTGGTAAGGACGAATTCATTGTAAAGAACCCATTCCGCGTCGTGAGCGAGGACGGTGGAAGGGTGCAGGAGAACATTCTGGTGGTCTTTGATGGTCAGGTACATGCTCTTTCCTTGGGTCTCCTTCTTGGCGACCTGCATGAAGAATCCGGCGCACAGGGCGCGACGGATATTCTCGTAATACTTCTTGTCTTCAAATGGTGTTGAGATCATCTCAATCTCTTCCCGCTCCATGATTCGAAGGAGCTGCATGCGGACGTTATCGGCGGATTGAAGGGATCTAAGAGACAAAAAGTGGTCGTGGCACCATTGCTTGGGGTTCTCTTGAGCTTCGGGGCCCTTGAAAGCATGGTAGGCATTAAGGAGAGTCAGATGATCGCCATCAGGGTGGGCAAAGAGATCCTTCATTTCATCCGCACGCTTTCGTTGAGATGCTGGTCGCACGAAAATCTGAGGTACGGAGAGCAGAGCTGTGATGGATAGAACTTCTTTCGAGCAATAGAACTCAGGCGAAGTAATGAGCATGACCGCGAGGGCTGGGTCAAGCGGGAACTCCGACGCAAGACGCCCTAGAGGGGTCAGATTACCATCATCGTCGAGACATGCCAGGTAGTTAAGCTCCTCTAGGGCTCTCATGAGTGTTTCGGGGGCCGGTGGGTCCATCAGATCAAAGTGGACCAAGTCATCAACACCTAGCTTCTTAAGTTCAAGGACGGTGGATGAAAGATTGGACCGCAGAATTTCGGGGTAGGTCTGGTCAATCAATTCCTTCTTGAAGGCACCTTCAGTGTAGAGGCGGAAACACTTTCCGGGACGAGTACGACCAGCACGACCAGCTCGTTGTTGGGCGGAGGCCTTGGAAATGGGGGACACCAGCAACGATTCGACACGGATGCGAGGGTTGTAAATCTTTTGTTTCGAGAATCCAGGGTCCACCACATACACGATACCATCGATGGTCAGGGAGGTTTCAGCAATGTTCGTGGACACGATGACCTTTCGTCCGGGACGGCCACCTGGACAACGTGGGGGCGGTGCGGGATCGAAGATACGTTGCTGCATATGAGGTGGAAGACTACCATACAGAGTGTAAACCTTCACAGGACCAGCGTCGGCCTCTCTAACCATCTCATCGGCTTCAAGGGAAATTTTGCGCGCAGCATCCTCAATCTCCTCCTCTCCGGTCAGGAACAACAAGATATCACCTTCATCCTCGGTGGCATGAATCTGCAGAACAGTACGGATGGCAGCTTCGACATAATCCTGCTCGGGCTCCGGGGTGTAGAAAACCTCGACGGGATGGGTACGACCGGGGACGGCAAGAAGGGGGGCGTCGTTGAAATAGCGCTGGAATTTTTGGGCATCGAGGGTGGCGGACATGATAATGATCTTCAAATCCGGGCGGCGCAACACAACCTCCTTGAGAAGACCCATGAGCACATCGGTTGACATGGTTCTTTCGTGAGCTTCATCGAGAATGATTGTGCTGTACCGGGTAAGGTCGTGATCGTGCATGGCCTCGCGCAAAAGCATACCGTCGGTCATATATTTGAGGATCGTCTTCGGGCTAGTCATGTCCTCAAAACGAATACTGTAACCGACTTCCTCTCCAAGTTTCACATCCATTTCGGCAGCGACACGTTGGGCGACGGACATAGCAGCCACACGACGGGGCTGAGTGCAAGCGACCATCTTCCGCTGGGTTTGCGGCATATCATCGAAAAGAACGAATTGCGGGATCTGGGTAGTTTTTCCGGAACCAGTCTCACCGACAAAGACGAGGATCTGAGACTGTTGATAGAGTCTGAGGAATTCATCTCTACATGTGCAGACCAATATTAGAGACGCAATCTCAAAGATTTCCAAAGGCAAGGCAGCTTACCGTTGAGCATGAACCGGAAGATCACGGCGGGTTTTCAAGATCGACATGTACTTGCTCGAGAAGGGTTGGTTGGTGAACGGGTTGAGATCGCCATCTTCAATCTTTTCCGCCAGAGCAGCGGTAGTTTGGTGTCGTTGCAGCTTGGCAAAGGCTGAGTTTTTATCATCAGCCCATGAGCCAGAGTTGCCGTTAGAGTCTGCATACAGGTGAGCCAGGTAAGGATTATCCCTCGGATCAGTTCCAGATTTATCCATCTTTTGACGTTTAGCGCGGGAACCGTCTTCAGAATCCGAACGTCGATCAACCATGACGAGGTGAAGAAGATGAGAAAGAATGGAGTGTAGAGGAAGAGGGTAGGAAAAGAGAGAGAGAGAGAGAGAGAAAGTGAAGCTTGCGATAATTCGGGAAAAAATTATTTTGCCCCAGATAGGCAACTGAACCGGGGATCGCCACAGTTGCTGATATGGGCCTCACCGCCTTCTGCTTTTGTCAACCCCACCCAAGGACCAGACAAGGGGATTTTATTTTATGTATATATACAAACTGTTGCCCTTCCTGTGGAAAAGGATTTATGCTTCTTCAGCTACTTTGGAACTCATGTAGTTCCCCTGGATACTGATCTTATTTCCTAGTTGGCTTTTGCAATGGCTCTGCGACTCGCACGTTTCACTTGATATCCTCTCCCGCAGCCCGCAAGAATGTCGAGCTAGTCCTCCTCCACACAAATACAATTAGACACAGTATCAACAATTCTCCTTCGCGCTGTATGCTTGCTTCTTGATCACAGTGAAGTCTCGACTCACTATTGACTGCCTAAATATATACACCGTTGTGTCATCTTACTTCTCCCTCTAAAAATCCACCTAAGTGCCGCATTCAGATTTCAGCAGCATGGACTCCGAGGGGGCAGCTCCGAGTTTCTGCATCGGACAACATGAAAGCAAACGGGCTTTGCCAATCACTTCACAGGCTGTGCAACTAGCTCATGAGAGTAATGTACGGACAAGGCTTTCACCTGCCGATCTGCTGCATTTCTTTGATTGCTGACTCCATTCTTAGTATGATATGCTCACGACTCCGATTACGACTTCCCACTTCCATTCGCGTGTACTTGGCCTTCTTTCGTCGCATTTCTCCAATATCCAAGCGGTGTCGCGTGATGTTTCTGGGACCCTGGCGACGACGGAAAATACACGGGCTCTTACCATCCCCCAGCTGTCCCCATCGGATACGCACCTGACGCCAAACGATGCAATGTCGCAGCTGGTGGGAGTCACGAGCTCCTGGATTGACCTGTGCTCCCCAGATCCGTTGATTGCGGATATCTCTCGTCAGGTTCTCATGCTGGAAGTCGCATATGCTGCTTTTTGTGGTATTGGGTATCTCCTAATCCCGGGGCCTAAGTTACACCACAAGGACCTACATTCGGAGGGATTGGCCTACTATGCAAGGGCCGTTCAAGATGCGATCAACCTTGGTCCCTATATCCAATTTCATATCTGGTTGGGGATGGTCGACAATCCAGACCTCGAAGTAGACGAAATGGGCGACCTCGCGCCTCTTGCTCGTGAAGAGTTTCTTGGTAGGGGTGACAGGCAGTCGCTGCAGGTAGATCTTTTTGGAACGTGGGATGCCTGGGATCTGATTAGGAGGACTTGTAGATATCATTCCAGGCTTTTCGTAGGTATGGCATTACATGGCGCCTCCCACCTCTCTGCGCAAGTGAGCTCCTACTAAACCATTGCTACAGCACTCGTATTTCCGAAGCAGCTACCCCCCATGTCGGTTCAATCTAGATGGCATTCGGAACCTGTGCATCTTCTCACTATTGATTCGTCTTCATTCATCAAAAACCAGAAGGGATACCCAGTGCTATCTAAAGGACATCAAGCTTTAATCGCAAAGTTCATGCGCCTGAGGACCGTGCCGTGGATCCTACTTTGCGACGTTGGCCCTATCCCAGGCATTGAGGCAGAGGGCAACCTAGCAAACCCGACGAACCTTCCTAGTTCTGAATACCCGAGTCTTGCGCAGGTCGCGGGCTCAAACAAAAAGCAACACGACCCGACCCCTCACCTATCCTATATGAGAAATCTCCAGCAGCGTCAACCTCCTCGGACTGCCATCGAACGATTTGGTGTCGGATACCAAGATTATTTGCAGGCTCCGTTGCAGCCATTGACGGTCAACTTGGAGAGTATCACATATGAAGTGTTTGAGAAAGATCCCATCAAATACGAATGGTACGAGAAAGCGATTGCCAAGGCTCTGAGCGATTGGTCTGAGCAAAAGAAGCCGACGTCGAATCCTGATGGTCGCGTTGTTGTTGCGGTGGTTGGTGCCGGTAGAGGGCCGCTCGTAACTCGAGCACTAAAAGCAAGTGCCGACGCGGGTGTCGAGATTGACTTATGGGTGGTAGAGAAGAACCCTAATGCATTTGTTCTCCTACAGCGCCATAACGAGAATCTCTGGGGGGGGAAGTGCACACTTGTCCACTCTGATATGCGGAGCTGGAAGGGTCCCCGTTTGAGCGGGAAGAGCGCCTCTTCGAGCGCGCCTGTCGGACAGTCCCTTGGGATTGAAAACCAGCTGCTCTATCCATCAGATTCGATCCAGCAGACCGATCCCGTTACCACAGCGTATATGCCCGAGCCTATATATACTAAGATTGACATTGTGGTGTCGGAGCTCCTCGGCTCGTTCGGGGACAACGAGCTATCACCGGAATGTCTGGACGGTATCAACCACCTTCTCAATCCTGTGCACGGTATATCCATTCCTGCCTCATACACTGCACATCTCACACCGATCTCCGCACCCAAGCTCCACGCGGACATCGCCAACCAAACCGTCTCCAACCCGGCGGCACCCGAAACGCCGTACGTGGTCATGCTGCACGCGATCGATTTCCTCTCTACGACTAACAGTAACACCTATGCGAACAATGCTCGATCCTCGATTTCGACGCTCCCCACGGACAACTCGACGCCCTTGGTACAAACCGCGTGGGCCTTTGCACATCCGAACGGAAACATCCCGCCACCGTCGCCGTCGACATCAACGATCTCGAATGGACATAATGTGCGGCGAACGCGGCTCACGTTTCCTATTCAGAACCGCGGCGTGTGCCATGGCCTTGCGGGCTATTTTGAAACGGTGTTGTATCGCGATGTGGAGCTGTCGACGAACCCAGTGACGATGGAGAGCAAAAGCGCCAACATGATTAGTTGGTTTCCAATATATTTTCCATTAAAGGTACCCTACCGCTTCATATATTACAAAAAGAAGAAAAGAAAAGAGAAAGAAAGAGAGGAATATGCTAACGGGTCTATCTAGACTCCTCTTAATGTTCCAGATAACGGTGAAATCGTGGTGACAATGTACCGGCAAACCGACGATCGCAAGGTTTGGTATGAGTGGATGGTGGAAGTGCTGGCCGTGGAAGGCAACGCAGGAGAGACCCCCGAGCCGGAGCGCATTGCGCCCATGATGAGCGGGGCTGGAGCTATTCCACCAGGCGCTGATAGCGCTAAGAATCAGGACCATCACGCTACGGGGAGTAGTAGACTGGGGTCGGGGTCGCGAATCCGGCGCGTACGGGTGGGGATGAGTGATCTACATTCCAGCATCAAGGATGGATGTCTGATGTAACGAATTCTACTCTGTACGGAGTATCTACTCTACGGAGTACAGGGAGAGAGAGGATATGATATGATATGATATGATATCTGGAGGTTTCGCCAGGACGAATGTCCTCCGGGAAGTGGTAATTCCAATCGGAACGCAATCCGCTGAGAACAAGGGAAACTACTGAATTTGAGTCTGTCTGTGATTCTTTATAACCTGCCTCAAGTCCCACTGGTATCTTCTCGCAACGTGTTAAAAAGCTCGTCTGTGGTTGGTGATGACAAGGAAGGGAAGTTGGTGGGATTGGATCAGGACAGCTTATCAGATTGAAGTTATTCTACCTTGTGTAGTATCTATCTATCTATATTTGAGACAGGAGATGAAGATCTTGAAATGCAGAATATTCAGTGAATTTAAATGAATCCTCTAAATGTTAACTAGTTAACTAACACCTTTGGTTCTGCACGGAAGGGAAGGGAAAATAAAAGAAACAACCCCAATATGACTTCTCTCTCTCTCTCTCTCTCTCTCTCGCTTTTTTCTTTTCCCTTTCCTTCCTCCACCTGTTCCTCCATTTGATCCATCAATCCTTCATTTATTCTTCTTCTCACCCTGCTTACCTTGCTTGCTTCTTTCTTTTCTCCATGACTGCTTTTTGGTTTGATCTTTCCACGACCATCTTCTCCGATACTGCCGTGGGTTAATCTCAGCTCTCCTTCTCCCCCTCTCCTTCTTCCTACTCCCTCCATCTTGTAACCTCTCCCTCCTGAGAAACTCATCACCCACCTAAATTCCATCGCATTTTCATTCCCCTCCTTCGATCCACACCTAGAAGAAATGGTTCACACAACCGGCGACGAGCGCGCTGTACACCTGACACGAGAGGCTATTGAACTGGTCGACGCTGGACACCACGAGGTAATGCAACATAATATACCCCCATTCCCTCTTCCTCCTCTCGTACCGGACGCGCGCTAACCACCCCCCTCTCTGATGTGATCTAGGCTGCCTCACGAAATCTCCGAGAAGCCCTTGCCCTCGCCCCAGATAACCCGACGGTCAAGGCGGCCTTCCTGAAAATTCAGCAGGATGGTGAAAATGATCATCATCTCCTGGATCTCTGTCGTCGCTATACCGCGCAAAAAGATGAAAGCGCCGGCAAGGATGCGGCCCTCTATCTCCGCACAGATGGACTCATCCCCCCGGAGAGCGTCGCGGTAGAATGTGCCAAATTGCTGCTATCATCCCCGGCTTCGTCACTGTCCGCCTTGCAAGATGATGTGATTTCCGGGTTGGTGCGCCAGAACCCTAGTGTGCGCCAACTCTTCTCCAGCCGCCTACAGGTTTCCGTCACCACCTTTTTCGACGACATTTACGACCGGGGCGATGCGTCCGCCGTGTGTCTCGATACCGTGGTTCTCGATCCCTCCGTCTGGCCGTCGGAGGACGCTCGTCTGCATTGCGAGCGCGAGCTCTTCCAGCTGTTTATCGCCAAGCTCATGGAATCCGGCCACGACATGGACGGGCGCTCTCTCAAAGGGATTGCCCGCTTACTCGCCGTCGATGCCACTAAACTACAAGACCTCGTGGACGACGAGAGCCTGGATGTCATTGTCGGATCCCTGGACTATCGACTCCCTCTGGAATGGAGGAGCCAGGCTACGCTCGCGACCGTCAAATATCTAGAATCCTCCCAGGCGGTCGGGCAAACGCAGTTCTCCAACATCATTTCTGCGAAACTAGCCAAGTCTCGTACCGACGAGCTCATTGTGGCCTTTTCAGCCACAGCGGCCATTTTCCCCGTTGCGCCCGAGGTGGCCGCGGCCGTCTTTTTGTCCGACGGTTTCCTGAACTCGCTGAAAGCGCTCACGGGGAGGGATGCCAAGAGTCGCAAAGTCGAGACGTCGGTTCTGGAAGTGCTCAATGCTGCTTGTGTGAACACCGCGGCGCGCGAAGCTGTCTTCAAATCCTTCTCTGACTGGCTCTCGCACATTCTGACCAACGGCTGTGATGAGAGCTCGGACTTGGCAGCGGTGATTCTGGCCAAGGTCCGGGCTTCAAGGGACCGCCCGTCGGGTTCCAATGGGACAGCTGCGGAGGGCGGCGATGACAGCCATGTCGCGGAGCTGGTTGACCGATTCAAGGAGCTGATGTCGAAACCCAAGAGTGAGAATATTTCGCATGCCATCGAGGGGCTCGCGTACGCCTCTGTCAAAGCGGAGGTCAAAGAACAACTCGCGACGGATGCTGGGTTCCTGCGAGACCTGGTCAAGGTATTGCAGGCCAACACCCACGACTCTTCAATCCTGTATGGCGGGTTGATGGTCCTGGTGAATGTCACCCAGTTCCTGCCCACTCTATCGGAGGAACAGAAGAAGATTTCCCAGCTGAAATCCTATGCGGAGGCGTCTCCCAACGCCACCCAGACGGGGCCCCCCATCCTCGAGACTGAGACGCACGTGATGGCGCGCTGTCGCGCTGTGGTCGAAGCCGGGGTCATGCCGCTGTTTGTGGCTTGCGGGAAGACGAACATGCGGTCAATCCACGGCCTCATCGCCAAGATCCTGCTGTCCTTGTCCCGAAACTCCCAGACCAGAGGCACTCTTGCACAGCAAGGGGCGGTCAAGCTGTTACTGGGTCTCGGAACGGCGAGGCAAGGCAGCTCCGGTTCCATCTCGCAGGAGACCGTCCAACACACCTCGCATGCGCTCGCTCGCATTCTCATCTCTGTCGATCCCGCGCATGTATTTCCGGCATCCGGGTTCCCCCACATCACGTCGGCCATTCGCCCCTTGACGGCTCTTCTCACCAGCCCCGAGTCGTCCGTTGTCTCGGCCGAACAACCGGTCGATATGCTCCCTGTGTTTGAGAGTCTGCTCGCGCTCACCAATCTCGCGTCGCACCCGGATGCGGCCGCACCGGACGGCATCGTCCGGCAGGCGTGGCCGGTGGTGGAAGACCTGCTCCTGTCGAAAAGCCCTCTGATCCAACGGGCGGCGTGCGAGCTTGTGTGTAATCTGATGACGTGTGAGTCGGGGGTGGTCAAATTTGCCGATGGGACCAAGCGAGCGGCGCAACGCCTGCACCTTTTGCTGGCGCTCACGGACACGGACGATCTGGCGACGCGACGAGCGGCCGGGGGGGCCTTGGCGATGCTGACGGAGTTTGATGCGGTGATCGCAGCCATCCTGGATCGCCCCCGCGGCGTGCAGCTCCTGCTGGGCCTCTGTCGCGACGACGACGACGATGGGCTGGTCCACCGCGGGGTTACCTGTGTGCGCAACCTGAGCTGTGTTGCGTCGGATAATCTCCGCCGTCGGGCCCACGAGGCTGTGAAGAAGGAGGGAGGGATTGAGATCCTGGGGAATCTGCTGCAGTCGAAGGCGACGAATCGTGTGGTGCTTCAAATCGGGGTGGAAGCTCTGAAGCCTTTGGTGGAGGAGAATAGCCGGGATTAATTTATTTTTGATCCATTGATGATGTTATGAGAGCCAGTTTTTTTTTTATTATTTTTCTTATTATTTTTGTTTAGCTACAGGGGATCTGGATGTTTTTTTTTTTTTTTCTCGGGTTTAATGAATGGGCGTTAAGTACTCCATAGTGAGAGGATGAGATTTGGGATAGAATTAGGACAAATTCCTCCTCTACCACCAGGTTACCGTCAAGTATTTTATTCAATAAGGTATCTCATATTCATAAGAATACTTAGGTAGGTACGTAGGTATACTGCAAGAAATCTACAGGCAAATCACAGTCTCTCCAGTGCCCACGCTGGAGATTTCAGGATCTTCACTGCACGTGCAGACCATCTCTCTCTCTCCTCTAAAAACATCTTCGCTTCTTCTCTCGACTTCACCTCTTCCATCGATCCCAATAGCTATCACTTCTCTCTCTCTCTCTCTCTCTCTCTCTCTTCATCATGTTTCTGATCATCTAACACATGGCGTCCGTTTTCCTTTTCCTTTCTTTCCATCTCTCGTCCATTTGATTCACTTCTTTGTTCAATAGTCTGACATACTCATCTCCACTCACCCCTGATCTTTCTTTCGCTCAAACAAAGATGAAGTTCGGTCGCAATTTGCCCCGAAATGTCGTGCCCGAGTGGAGTGCCTCTTACATCCGGTACAAGTCGCTCAAGAAACTCATCAAGTCGCTGGCGGAGCGTGTGAAGGCGGGTCACGAGGCTGATCTTGCCGGTGAGCCCTTTGTTCGAAAATCCGTCGCGACCGCCAGGCGGCCGATCCTAACTCTATCCCTCCTCTAGGCTTCTTTTATTCCCTGGACCGAAACCTGGAAGATGTGGACCACTTCTATAATAAGAAGTCTTCCGATTTCACCCGGCGCCTGAAGCTGTTGGAAGGCCGCTACGCCCAGATTCTGCATGGCGGCCATTTGGATGCCGACGATGAGGTCGAGGATCTCTTGGCCGCGTTGCTCGAGTTGCGCGCTCAGTTCCGCAAGCTCCAATGGTACGGCGAGGTCAACCGTCGCGGTTTCATCAAGATCACCAAGAAACTCGATAAGAAGGTGGGTGCCCAGGCCCAGCAGAAATACCTCGAGACCAAGGTCGATCCACTCCCGTTTTCTTCCAATGCCCGTTTGGCGAAAGAGATGGCCAAACTCAACGGCTGGCTGTCGGCGCTGGGAGAAACCAAGGCCACCCTGGATGATGCCAGCTCCACGCGCTCGTCGCTTTCCCTGAAGAGAGGCCCCGCGCGCCCCCATCTGAATCTGCCGGCCACCATGCTGGTCACCGTCGACGAAGCGCTCCGCAAAGATGACACCCACGTTCTCCTGGAATTGTTGGAGACCCTCAAAGCCGCCGCCGATGAGGCCGGCGCGGACATCTTCCCCAAGGTCCTGCGGAGTCTTTTGCAGCGATCCATCTCCTATCGCTCCAAATCGTGTATCTCCGTGCTGCTCGGGCGCGTGGACTCCCTGGACGAAGAGGACGAAGAGGACGATATCAACAAGCGCAACTGCATCCACCGTCTGGTGATTGCAATCGGTCGAGCGCAAACGACGGCCGACTCGGAACAGTCCGCCTCCATGGTCCTTGATTTCCCCTTGGACATGTCCAATTACATCACTCCGGCCGCCCTTCCCACTTTGCAACCCACGCGTCCCATGGGGAAAGAATCCAGTCTCGCCGCGCAGCATCTGGATCGCTCCGATCCTTCCGTCGTCGTCCTCCTCCACCTTCTTGACCAGCTCCGCCCCCACCAGCGGGCCGCGTTGATGGCCCGCGATCTTTCCGGCCGGACGCCCCTGCACTATGCCGCGCAGTACGGATTCTGCGTGGTGTGTGAAGTGATCATCGAGCACCTGCAGGCATGGGACATGTTTGATGTTCACGACGGAATTGATGCGCCCCGGTGGCAGGACGCCGAGGGGTGGGCCCCCGTGCACTTGAGTGTCGTCGGGGGCCACCCGTTAACCACCCAGGCTCTTCTGCAGTCAGAAAACTGGCAGGGCCAGCAGCAGCAGGAGGAAAAAGCGCGCGTTCGGAAGCAAGTGTCGCGGTCCAGCGCCGTGCTGGCCCTGGCTACCAAGGCCAATTTTGTCGACATTGTTCAGCTGCTGGTGGATGCGGGAGTCGATGTCAACTATCAGGACGAGCAGGGGGAAACCGCTTTGCACGTCGCCGCCCGCTTTGGACATGATCAATGTGCCCGCATTCTCTTGGCGGGAAACGAGGGCCAGAAAGCCGACCCGGAGCTGGCTGAAAACACCTACGCCTGGACCCCTCTCTTCGTGGCCTGTGTTGACGGATCCTTGAGCGTCGTTACGTCTCTCATCGAAGCGGGCGCAAATCTCGAGCGCTTGGACTCGTCCGGGTGGACAGCCAAGGAGCACGCAGCCCTGAGAGGCCATCTGGATATCGCGCGATGCCTCGCCAAAGTCACCCCGGCACCTGAAGTCCCCGACGCCGATCCCATTATCCCGGTTCCTCCTCGATCCGCATCTCCCTCCTCGCAGTCGTCGCTTCGCGAGAAAAGGTCCACCGGAGGAGGCAGTTCCACCGGGAGTTCAACTCTCCGCAGTTCGGAGCCGGTCAAGTCCTTTGGCCACCGGTACCTCACCGACGAGGCCATGATCTTGGTTAGCTTGGGCACCATGGACATGAGGAAGCCCACCCCAGCGGTGAACCTCGATCGAATCCCCATGGGAAATGCTCATGCCACTCAGCTGGACACTACCCTGTCCATGGTGGTGTCTGCGAACGGCGCGCACGGTGAGCCGGAAATCATCGACCTGCCTGTGCAGGAAAATATTTCGACGGAACCGATTGTTTTCCACGCGGCAGACCCGACCAAGGTGCGGCTGTTGTTTGACTTGGTCCCCACCTATGCCGGCTCGAAAGATCAGGTAGTCGGGCGTGGAGTGGCCCTGCTTTCAAGCATCAAACCAACCTTAGGGTCCCACCGCACCAGCCTGCAAGGCGACTCCACCGTGCCGATTGTTGCGGCCAATACCTTGGAAGTGATCGGTTCAGTCACCTTCAATTTTCTGGTGATCACCCCTTTTCAGCACCCCAACATGTCCATCACCGGGGACCAGACCTACTGGAAGAGTATGGCGTCGACTGTGGTCATCGGTCATCGTGGTCTGGGCAAGAACCTGGCCAGTCGCAAGTCGCTGCAGTTGGGAGAGAATACCGTCCAATCCTTCATCGCCGCCGCTAATCTGGGCGCTTCCTACGTTGAATTCGACATCCAGCTGACCAAGGACCATGTCCCGGTCATCTATCATGATTTCCTTGTCAGCGAAACCGGTATCGATGCCCCCGTCCACACCCTAACCCTGGAACAATTCCTCCAACTCGGAGAAAGAGGCGCCTCTCGACCGCCTCCGTCCCGATCTCTACACGCCGTTCGCAGTGATGGAAGCAACCCACCGCGTCCGCGATCGATGTCTGTGGGTGGGTCTGACTGTGACCCGGCCGAGATGAATGAGAGGATCAAGCACACCCGTGATTTCAAAAAGAAGGGCTTCAAGGGTAACAGCCGCGGAAACCATATCCAAGCCCCATTTGCGACGTTGGAAGAGCTTTTCCGCAAGTTGCCGAACTCGGTTGGATTCAACATGGAGTTGAGTATGTCTCGTCATGTCCAATCTTTCTAGGATTTCGAAACCCCCTCCGTCTAACATTTTGGTAATAGAATACCCCATGCTCTATGAGAGTGAAGAAGAGGAAATGGACACCTACGCTGTGGAGTTGAATTCCTTCGTAGATACTGTTCTCAACAAGGTGTACGACTTGGGCCATGGCCGCAACATGATTTTCTCCAGCTTTAATCCGGATGTCTGTCTGTTGCTCTCCTTCAAGCAGCCTTCGATCCCGGTTCTGTTTCTCACGGACTCGGGTTCTTCTCCGGTGGGCGATATCCGAGCCAGCAGTCTGCAAGAGGCGATTCGATTTGCATCGCGATGGAATCTCCTCGGTGTCGTCACGCAGGCGGAGTGTCTCTGCCTTTGCCCCCGTTTGGTCCGTGTCGTGAAGGAATCCGGTCTAGTTTGCGTGTCGTACGGTGCAATAAACAATGATCCTCCCAAAGTCAAGGTAAGCTCCCAATTGGAGTCTTTGGTTTGGGGGCTCACCCCAATCCAATTCCAAAAAAAAATACAGTTTACTAATATATGTCATTAGCTCCAAGCTGCCGAAGGAATTGACGCAGTCATTGTGGACTCTGTACTCGCTATCCGCAAGGGCCTAACCGAGCACGAAAGCAGAGGTGGTCTGACCCCCAGACTTACCCCCCATGCCAGTCCGCTCGCTCAGCCCACTGCATCTGCAATCATCAAGGAGGCCTTTGAAATCCCGATTCTCGGCCGGACGGAGCAGAAGGACGACAATCTCTACGTCCCAACGGAGTCCATCCTTTGATTTTCGGATCTATTACCCCCATATTACATAAAGACCAAGATCCAGACATTCCTTGCTTGATCCAGGATGTGCATGTTATGTTGATTGTGATAAGAGATGGGCTGGTTTCAAACCACTTCTGTGGCTCATATTACTTGCTCACTTGTAGGGTCAATTTGAATGCGTTTCATCCTCCAGATCCTTTTTCATTCTTTTGTAGATTGTAAACTAGATTATATTATCTTATACATAAAAATAGATCCCCCAGAGTCTCATCGAACAAGCGGACAAAAAGCCCGGGTGTGATATCACGTGCAGGCCCACCCTCGAGAGCTTCATCCAAACTCCTCTCACTCTCTCTCTCCGCTTCAACAGCAACACAGAAACGAGTCAAGAGCTTCTCCTCTCGTGTCCCCGAGTGCAGGACCTCTTCACAGGGTAATCATTTCCCTTTCTCAGTCATCGCCCACGATCCGACTCGCTAGAAAGTATCGAGAATACCCCCATATAAACGAAGAATTCGGAGATGTCGTCATGTCCCGCGCTCTCTCCTCGGATTAATGAGTGATTGAATACCTCCATTGCTCTCTTACTCGAGAGCTATCAGCTCAACAGTTTTCTTACTGCGTTGGTGCCTGCCTCATTGGTCCACTCTATCCTCAGCTCTCACAATGAACGCTGTAGATGCGACAGAACACTACGAGACGAGTGCGCATGGTACGAGCCCAAATTCACCCCCGATCAATCCCCCCAGCGCAGGACTAATAGGTCAATGGAATTAATTCTAGATCCCGCACCGTCTCTTCTCACTGTCATTATCGATACAAACCCCCACGCCTGGGCTCTGCTCGAGCAAAACGACAAGAACCCGCTGCCCTTCTCCACGGCCCTTGCCAACATCCTCGTCTTTCTGAATGCGCACCTCGCTTGCAATTACGCAAACGAGGTCGCGGTTGTTGCTTCGCATAGTCACAAAGCGGCCTGGCTGTACCCCTCTGCTTCGTCTTCGGTAACACCGACAGACTCAGACGGCGATGTCGCCATGACGGTAGGCGTCAACGGGGGCGCGAATGGCAACAGCAACGCCCAAGGCACACCAGTAAACAAATACCGCCCGTTCCGGATCGTAGAGGAACAAGTTACATCGAATCTCCACCGGCTCATGGAATCTACAAAAAGTACAGACGTGGACAGCTCCACATCTACGATGATGGCCGGCGCCCTCACGCTTGCCCTTAGCTATATCAACCGGCGCACCATCGCCTGGGCCGAAGCGCACGGCGGCGACACAACAGCCGATTCAGCAACCGGTAGCTCTCGACGCACTGCAGCCCCAGCCCCAGCACCAGTGGCACCACCACCACCACCAACAACAGGCGCAGCAGCTGCACATCCCAACTCCCCCGCGGAAGGCGGCCTCCAATCCCGCATCCTGATCATCTCCGTCAGCAGCGCCACCGGTTCCGCACACCAATACATCCCCATCATGAACGGCATCTTTGCATGCCAACGCCTCCACATCCCCATCGACGTGTGCAAGCTCAGCGGTGACGCTGTCTTCCTCCAACAAGCCTCCGACGCCACAAAGGGCATCTACATGTCTCTCTCCCAACCCCGTGGCCTCCTCCAATACCTCATGATGGGCTTTCTTCCCGACCAGCGATCCAGAGGTCACCTTGTTCTCCCCACCCGCGTAGATGTGGACTTCCGCGCCGCTTGCTTCTGCCATCGACGCGTCGTGGATATCGGGTTCGTCTGCTCCATCTGCCTGAGTATTTTCTGTGAGCCCCCGGAGAACGAAGACTGTCTGACCTGCGGAACCCATTTGGATATGGGTGACTACGGCGCGAAACCGGCCGTAGTTTCGCGGAAGAAGAAGAAGAAGAAGAAGGTTCGTGCGAACGGGGTTTCAGGCACGCCAACCCCGACCGCGACGCCCACTCCGACCCCGGGCCCATGATTTTTTTTTTTTTTTTTTTTTTTTTTCGCTTTTCTTTCGTATCCCACCCTATCAACCATTATCTCCAGTGACGTATTCACTTGGAAGAATATAGATATCCGTTTCACTCGGTATGCACGACACAGCCTGGTATGGCATGGCACAATACAACATAACATAGCATAGCATAGCATGGAATAGCATGGGATGGGATGGACTCAACCAACACCACAATCTACGCTATGCGAGTGATCTCCACCGCCCAAAAGCTCATCACACTATACTCACACTCACACGATACTTGCCCTCACATCCAATAGAAGAAAGGCAAAAAGACACACACAAGCAAAGCAAAACAAAACAGCTAGCTATACCCTGGGCATGAATTAAACCCCAGACGGGGAATTAATTCCAAAAAAAAGGGGGGAGGGGGGAGGGAAGGCCGTATATAATAATCCATCCATAACTACCCTCAATGAAAATCACGATTCCTGGTTATGGCTTATCCATCCATCTACGCCTATATGTAGTTACCTGATTAATAGGTTAAGGTCATGACTGTAGACTTGCATAATCTGTGTTGGAAGAAGAGGGGTTTAATGTTAGTATATATAACTAGATATATATCTGTATATATCTGTATGCACCCCCGATACTGAACTGAATAAACCTGTTTTTACAAAGTTATATGGATTGATGGAACCCCGAATTGTATTGAAATGTCTAGCTGTGAGAATAACAAGAGGGTTTATGCAATCAATGTACATACGTGCTTCGAAGGGTATGGTCATTTCCTTAAGTAGACAAATCGTGGTGGTGGCTCTAGGAGGGAAACAATGAATGCTATCTAACTAAATGTGTAAGAAGCGCTGAATGCAAGCATCATGCATGGTGAGAAGCTGGATTCCGGGCCCAGCACCTAGGGTGTTTTTATTCATGGTAGAGCCATCTGGAGCTATGATGATGTCCAGCAAGGCATGGGATTAATTAACCTTTTGGTAGGTATGCGCGCCCTCCCTGAGCAACACTACCGTTTCCATTACTGCGAGACATGACAGATACTGGTCTTTTATCCGTACTGCTCATAGAGGCAAGTACCTTGATGGTAATCGTGAGCAAATGAGCCATGGTGCAGAAGAGTGGGCACTTACAAAAGAGTCTGTGTTGTGTGCAAAGTACATATAGATCCCATCAACTGTCCTCTTGACCGAAATTACACCTATTGCTCCCGCACAGTGGCTTTTTTTAACACCAGGGTGGCCTGAGTGCTTGTTAGCAAGTGATGAATTCGCCTCAAACGTGGGGTAACTGACCCAGAAAGTCCTTCTTGATCATGTCCTTGATAGCCTCATCCTCCATCACATTTTCAAATGTGCCATCGTTGCACTTGCGCTGAGAGTAATAGATGCGTGATGCACAAGTGTTGGCAGCTAAGGTGGTAGCAATATGCTCCCCGGTACCTGAGGTGACTGTCGCAACGCATGTTTTGTCGGGGTCGCCTTCGTCTGCAGGTATGACCGACGTGCCGATTCCAACAAGCGCAGCGGGCCCGACTCTTCCACTATGTTTCATTCCAATACCTCCAGAAGATGAGCCTGCGGCTATGTTTCCAAAACTGTCCACTGCTATGGCTCCCACAGTGTCGTTAATTCGGTCCTCGTTACGGCCAGATATGTTCGCATTCGCTCCGTCATTCCAGCCCCGGGGGCCAGGAATTGACGAGTCGATATCCATGGACCCTGATGAAGAGACACTGCTTGTCAGTGGATTCGGTTGGCGAGATGCACTTGCAAACCAACTTTGAGAAGATCCACATTGAGGGATCCCCTCTGACCTGTTGTCTTTTCTAGCCTCGATTTTGGTAGAGGGCAGAGTGGCATCCGCCGTGGGAATCGCGGGGTCTGCGGTATCAATTCCTAGGTCATGTGGCGATTGCGCCACGGGGCTATTGATTCCACTGTCACTTTGGGCTGATGTTGACTTTGCACAGGAAGCAGCGACCAGCAATTGGGCTGGATGGATCTTTATAGGGCGACGGTAATACGCGCGATGATAGTCTGGTGGGCTCTGCGAGTTAGTTCGTTGTTTGGCTTCCGCTTCCTTCAGCTCTCTCTTCCATCGGTGCCACCTCTCTTTTGACACATCAGATATGAGACCATCGTGCGGAAGAACTACAAGCCCCTGCTCATAGGCGTAATCCATCGCGCCTGGTCCTACAAGAAAGTTTGGAGGGACTCGATGTAGGGTGAGAGGCTTCTGGGAAGAATCTAAGATGACTCGCGCCAGTGAGATGGGATTTTTCACATCTAGGGCAGAAGTCAGTTTTAGTTCTCAATATTCTAAAGAAAGGTAAGAAAGACTCACTCGGTACAGCTCCAACAGCTCCACTACGTCCGAGGTGATCGATGATAGTGGCATCGCACTCAACGGTGCCATCGATAGTGGTATTACTGCCAAACCCTGCATTGGTAATTTCAGAATCCTCTAGCATCATGATAGCAATCTCAACGGCCTCCACAGCTGATCCGCCATTTCGAAGCATGGCCATGGCGACTTTGGCGGCACTGTCCAAAGTCAATCACCATCTCTTCCAACCAACGCCTAAGATAGTGCTGCAATGACGGGAGACTTACTTCTCGCATAGTCTTAAATGAGGCCGCTCATTCTCACGACAGTGGTAACCAGCGCCAGCATGGACAAATATGGCGGAGACCTCTCCTCCCTTTTTAGAGCAACTCATGATGGCTCCGCGGGGATAATTACAAAAGGCAGGACCTCACGAAGAAGGGAGGCAGGATCCGAAACGGTGACTCTCACTGGGACAGAATAGGAGACATTTCACAATGAATAGCTAGGTAGAGTGAGTTCCTGGGAAGAGCTTTCAGTGCTGAATATTAAGCAGGGCCTAACACGAGAGACAACCCTGGGGGGAATATAGGAGTGAAAGAAGTAGTAGTAGCAAACAGTTAAGAATAATAACACAAAGACAGTGACATTAGTTAGTGAGTTGTAGGTAAATCCCTCGAGCTGATTGACATTCAGGGACAAAGCTGCACTAAGTACAGAGCAGGTTCTTGCAAGGCTTTTAGGGCACAGCTTAAAAATAGGGCCAGGTAAAGATAAGAGGTATCAAAGGGAAATGCACCAGAAAATAAAATAATAATAACAGGAGTTGTGAGATTTCAGCCAATTCAAATACTGACCAAAGAGGGTTGACTGTAAGCTCTTTCCTCTCAATGCAGCTGGATAGAGGAAGAGGAGGAACAAAGGCAGTTAGTTGCCTTTTTAAGCAGGCATTGCCATCATTCTGGACACTGGAACAGCATTAAGATAATGGATTTGCCAGGGATGAAGGATGCAATGAAGGAAGAAAGAAAGCCCATCTCTTCTTCTCTTTTGAAAGAGTTGATTGAGAACAAGAGGAGGATTATTTCTACAGACTTCTACAGACGGCAGGGATAGAAAACACATGATTTCTTTGGCTTGGCATTTGCCATTTGGTGCTGGTAAGAATCGGTAAGAATCCCAGCTGTCCGTACGGTACCAATACACCTCGTTTCTTACGGTTCGGACGTTTCTTACCGATCCTTACGTAGGCACTGCCTGAGGTGTCCACCTCCAATCCGCCTGCCTACGGACGACCTCAACTACCTGCTTGCTATCCATCCTCCCCTCTCTCCCCCTCTCCGCACCTTTCCTCTCTCCCCTTTTCCCTTTCGTGTCTCTTATGGTCTCTTTTTAGTTTCTGGGTTTTTTGTTCTCCAGATTCCCGGAATCGTAATTCCTTTCTTTGTGAATTAATTGGTAGAAAGGGGGAGTCTGTGTGTGCCCCCAGATCGCCCGTCATGGCCGCCCAAACCCCAGCCGTTGTCATGGACAAGTATGTTCTTCCACTTTTGACAAGAACAAAGCCAATGATGAGCTCTAGCTAACTTTATCTTTCTTCTCTAGCGGAACTGGTTATTCCAAGCTTGGTATATTCCCTTCATCTGTCATTCGATTCGACCACCCCCGCATCGAGGTTAACTGGGAGCTGACCACCCTGTATAGGATTCGCTGGTAACGACTCACCCTCGTTCGTTTTTCCCACAGCAATTGCCACCAAGGCTGGTGCTGGAAGCGCTGGAGGAGCAGCGCGCCCTGCAGTTGCGAACAAACCGTCTTTCCTAGCTTCTGGCGGTGCAGCAGGGTCACATCTGTCTGCGAAACGTGGCACGGAGGACTTGGACTTCTTTATTGGCGATGAAGCTCTTACAGCTGCTAATGGCCCTGGATACGCTATCAACTACCCCATCCGCCATGGTCAGATTGAGAATTGGGATCACATGGAGCGATTCTGGTCGAACTCGATCTTTAAATACCTGCGTGTCGAGCCCGAGGATCACTACTTCCTGCTTACGGAACCGGTAAGAACACCACCGGACATCGCTGACCTGTTCCCCCCCACCATTCATACCCTGTAATACTGCGGCATGCTAATGATTCATGTTTTGTCGATAGCCCCTGAACCCTCCCGAGAACCGCGAAAACACTGCTGAAATTATGTTCGAATCATTCAACTGCGCCGGTCTCTACATCGCCGTCCAGGCTGTGCTTGCACTGGCTGCCTCTTGGACTTCTTCCAAAGTGACAGACCGATCCCTTACCGGAACAGTCATCGACTCTGGAGATGGAGTCACGCACGTTATTCCCGTCGCAGAAGGCTACGTCATCGGATCCTCGATCAAAAGTATCCCCATCGCTGGCCGAGATATCACCTATTTCGTACAGAGCTTGCTTCGAGACCGGGGGGAGCCTGATAGCAGTCTCAAGACTGCCGAGAAGGTCAAGGAGGAATACTGTTATGTCTGCCCGGATATTGTGAAGGAGTTTGCCCGCTATGACCGAGAGCCCGATCGCTTCCTGAAACATACCGTTACCTCGCCAAACGGCCGCAGCGTGACTATCGACGTTGGATACGAGCGTTTCCTGGCCCCTGAGATCTTTTTCAACCCCGAAATCTACTCCTCCGATTTTCTGACCCCTCTTCCCGTTGTTGTGGACGGCGTGATTCAATCTTCCCCCATTGACGTTCGCAGAGGTCTCTACAAGAACATCGTCCTTTCCGGCGGGTCCACTCTCTACAAGGACTTCGGCCGACGTCTGCAGCGCGATATCCGACACCTGGTTGATGCGCGCATTCGCGCCTCCGAGGCTCGCAGCGGAGGAGCAAGGAGTGGTGGTCTGGATGTGGCGGTTGTGACGCATAAGAGACAGAGGCATGGCCCGTGGTTTGGAGGCAGTCTGCTGGGACAGACTCCTGAATTCCGCAGCTACTGCCACACCAAGGCGGAATATGACGAAATTGGCCCCAGCATCGTCCGGCGGTTTGCTCTCCTGGGCGGTCCCGGCAGTTCGTGAAGTAGAGATATGGTTGGCCTCGGTGTGTGATTTCTCGCTAAGTATTTTGTCCATAGTGTTCTTAACTTCTCATGATCCAGAATCTTTTTCATCCCACTTGACTCTCATATGTCTTATGTCCGGTAGAGTAAAAGGTGATTGGTTGATTTACAGGGAGGTTATTGTTTCTGGGGCCGAGTAATGTTTTTTTGTACTGCGCTTGATGTATATATATATATACATAAAAAAAAATCAGCTTCCCGCTATTCAAAGACCTTTTTTTTTTTTTTTATAGATCCCAAAACACCCCAGTCCGTAATAATTATTAGTCTTCATCTCCAAAAATTAACTGCCATAGAGCAGTGGCAGTGGCACAGGGGTGTTTAAAGATATAAAAGAAGGTTCCAATTCATGCCTCGGAGGCAGGATCTGGCGCGGGTACAGACACAGGCGCCTTGTTCAAAATAGCCACACCTTCAACATGACCGGTCTGCGGGAAGAAGTCAAATCCACGAATGCTCTCGATATCATAACGGACTCCGGTCTCCGCGTCGCCCTCTACCATGACTGCAACGTCCCGCGCTTGCGTATGCACGTTGCAGCTTACATATACTACGCGACGGGGCCCGAATGCTAGCAGCTGCCGGAGGAAGTCGTCGCTACATCCTTTCCTTGGTGGGTCGATCACGAGGAGTGTCTGGTCCGCAGGGTAGGGGACGTCCTTGAAGAGGACGGCGGCGTCGGCGGCCGCAAATCCGGTATTGGGGAGGGAGTTTGCGCGGGCGTTTTCGCGGGCCGAGACGATGGAGTCGCCGGCGACGTCGACGCCTAGACTGGATTTGAAGAGCGGCGAGAGGGTGATTGTGAAGAGGCCGGAGCCGGAATAGGCGTCGAGGAGGTATTTGATTGGCTTCGGGTGGGTGCTGTTGTTTGCGGGGAGGGCTTGTTGACGGATGTACTCGGTGAAGCCGGAGAGGATGGAGTTGTTGTTTTGGAAGAAGGCCCCGGCTTTGTTGGTGAAGATGTAATCATCGATATACTCGACGGAGGTGGCGTTCTGGTCCGTCACACACCGTTTCTCTTCCGTGTATTCGTCGTATTCGATGCGGATGAGGTCGCCGGAGTCCTGGCCTGGTTTGTTGTCGTATATGGGTGGAATGGGGGCGGAGGAGCTGCCGGTGGTCTCCTTTGGTATGCGCGCGGTGGATTCTCGCAGGAGAATTGTGGCACCCTTGGTGTACTTCTGGATATTTTCGGCAACCTTCTTCCTCTCACTCTTGAGGCCCTTGCGAACAATGTCGGTTCCGAGGGGGCAGTCTTCGATATCCAAATCCCGTCTTTGGTTCTTGAAGGTGAAGCCGATAGGAGGTACCTCGACAGGCCCCTCTCTGGGGCCCTTTTTTCTACTCCTTCCGCCTCCACCAGGGGCAGAAAAATGGGGCGTTAATTTGGTGCGGTATCCATACTGGAGAGGAGATGGGAATGTGTCGCCAATTGCGGGGATCAGCTCTGGGATGAGACCGGAGAAGTTGGAGTAGGCCTTCTCCACGATGCGCTTCTTATGCGCCAGCTGATCCCCGTACGACATCATTTGAAGCTGGCAGCCTGAGCACTTCCCAAAGTACTTGCACCCAATCATTTCATCTTTCCTTTGCGCACCGGGCTCAATGACCTTGACAAAGTCCGTGACGCTGTAGGACAACGCAGGAATGTGCCGCACGACTTTCACAAGGACCTTATCACCCGGGACGGTGAAGGGGACGACATAAACATGGTCTGCGTTCTCTGATAGCGCGAGTCCGTCACCTGTCGAGGATATCTCTGCAACAGTCACCTCGATTTCTGTAAAAGTCTCAGGAAGCGTGGGTTGCGGGGGAGAGGGGGCATCGGATAGTGGGCTGTCGGCTTCGGGCTTTTGCTTGCTCAAAAGCTTGTCAATGTCGGCCTGCAGAACTTCGTCGAATCCGCTGGTTTTCTCGTTTCGTTCAGCCCTGACCTTCTTGCGCCTCTTGGGGGCATTGTCAGGGTTTTTCGTAGGTGTCTGCATAATGCTCGACCAATGCGCCTCGCGAGCCAGGCGCTGCTGGGTTAGGATGGGACGCGAGACAAGAGGAGAACGAGACCACGATTGTAGAGACCGATAAATCGACGGCCGTAGAACAGTAAACATGTATGACAGACAGAAAAAAAAGAAAAGAGAAGAATCAATTCTGCGAGAGAAGTGTGTTGGAGAGAAAGAAAAGAAGACGACGAAGAAGACGAAGAAAAAGCAGGTCAGGTGCTAAAGGGGAGCGCGGATTGGCTGGAGTTGGCCCGCTGAGAATTTCTCTTGTTCTTCCGCCGTTCAAAAGTTGCAACTTAGCCAACCTTCAATTCCGCTCCGGCCTCCCTATTGACACCCCCTTCCTCTCGCTTTCCCCCTCCAGGTTCTGCTCTCGTCTGGCCTGTGAGGCTAGAGAGCTTAAATTCCGCCCATCATGAGTTTCGCCCGGCCTGTCAGGTGTCTGTTCTGCAGCTTTTCCCGAACGACCTCTGCAGCAGCTCCTCGCGTGGCTCGCCGTCAGTTCCATCTATCGGCCACACGATTCTCGGATCAGGACTCGAAATTTCCCAACGGCAATGGTTCCCCAAGCAAGACGCTCGAGCAAATCTCACGCGACATGAGGGCCGAGGATATCAAGCCGTACACAGAGGAAGAGAAAGCCCGGCTAAAGGAGCAGTATACCCCGGAGCAGATTGCCGCAATCGAAGCCGGAGAGGCCGCAATTGACGCCAAGGATATGGCAGAGCAGTTTGCTATCCGCCGGGACCCGATGAAGTTCAAGTACCTCGATGACTTTGCGACAATTGAGCCCGGAGTGGATAAGCACGTTCGCACCCCCGTGACCAACACCGACTACAACGCGAGCCTGAAGAGTGAGGAGGACTTTGTCGATGACTTTGCTCGGTTCTTCGCCCAGATGCCGGATAATGCTACCGCTGCGGACTGGGTGCGTTTTGTGGAGACGAACCGCGTGACACTGGGGAAGGAGGAGAATGAGTTGAATCCGCACAGCTCGCTCGTGCCTGATCTTTTCGGGCCTGGTGAGACTCTCTCCGGCGAGCAGAAGCCGGTCAAATATGTGGAGGATGATCAACCCAGGGGTCTGAAGAGTGAGGAGATGACCGAGGCCTTGAAGAGACTCATCAAGACTACGGGATACACGGTGGATGAGATCCGCGGCTTGAAATCTCGAGCGCTGGTATCGCACTCGGTCGTCAACCAGACCCGTCTTGGTAAAGTGCGCCGCACCTACTGTCTCTCCATTGCTGGTAATGGAAACGGTCTTTTGGGTATTGGAGAAGCCAAGTCCGAAGAAGCAGCGGATGCCGTCCTGCAGTCGAAATACCGTGCCATCCGAAACATGCAGCCCATCCCCCGATACGAGAACCGGACTATCTTTGGTGACGTCCAGGGCAAAGTCGGTGCTGTGGAGCTTAAATTAATGAGTCGTCCCCCAGGTAAGCTTTTCTTTCTTTCTTTCTTTTTTTTCAGTTCCTAGGCAGACAGAAACTAACAAATTCCTTTAGGCTTTGGTCTCCGGTGCCAGAGCTTGATCTTCGAGATGTGCCGCGCAGCCGGGATCCACGATCTGGCGGCTCGCGTCGACCGATCCAGAAACCCCATGAACACGGTCAAAGCCGCGTACGAAGCTCTCATGAGCCAACGCAACCCCGAGGACATCGCCCGCGCGCGGGGCAAGAAAATGGTCGATGTGCGCAAGGTCTACTACTCTGGACGAATTTAGTCGGTTGCTTTGCTTTGGTCTCCGCAAGCGCATAGAATAGACTGTACGAGTATGGCACATTGTCTGATTAGGGTTATCACACGGCTTTGCTATGCATTCATTACATTACGGGGTGTATATATTTTCTTTTTATTCTTTGATTTATCTCGGCCATGTATTTGTATTGTCATCATCATCATCAAATCAAATAATATCAGACCAATCCGTCTCCACAGCCCTGTAGACCGTAGTAGAACAAACGTATAAAAACAGGGTATACCATCATATCACCTACCTAGGTACCATATAAAAGACAAAGAAAAAAGAAACCCCCCCCCCCCAACCCAAAAACTCCAACCCAAACCCACCTGAATACATCAAAACTCATACCCCCCAAACCCACGCCCATCATTCTCCTCCCCCTGCTGCATCAGCACCTGTTCTTGCTGCTGCTGTTGTTCCTGTTGCAGCAGCTGCTCCTGCTCACTCTCATTGAAAATCTGCTGCTGCAAAACAATACTGTACACACTAGCCTTGAGCAACGTACACACGGTGGCAGTTTTCCGCTCGAGCAGCCGGAGTGCGTCGAGCGTCATCGAGGACGGGGAGGCCGCTAGATCTGCAAGTTTGCAGGATAGCTTTTTCTTCGGTATTAGTTGCCGTCGCCGTCGTCGTCATGGAGAGAGAGAAAAAAAAAAAAAAAAAAAAAAAAAACTCACTGTATTCACGTTCCCCAGTAGGCGGGTGTATTCGTCCAGCACTTCTTGTTCCAGATCGGAAACTAGTGGGTGGGATGTGCGGAGGAGGGGGTTTTCGGGTGGTGGTGTTGTTGGATCTAGGGTTGGGGAGTTCATTGTTTTAGATTCTTTCTTTCTTTCTTTCTTTCTTTCGTTCGTTTGTTCTTTCGTGATTGGGTCTAGGAGAGAGGTAGGGTAGTGGTGTTGTGGTTGTGGTTGTTTAATGGTGAAGTAGGTGATGATATTGTAACTTGAGACTTGTCGTGGAGTGTTTGTTATTATGTAAGATATCCGAACAGAAAACCATATAACTACACATAGTAGTTAACTATATATAACTAATTAATAAACTGCTATATTATTCAGGGCTCATCTGACCAGGAAGATCCTTAAATCCCAAGTTATACTATCTGAATGGCTACAATGCACAGTTCGAAGATAATAATCCATAGTTTACCTAGCTAGGTAGCTCCCAGGCGCCCATAAGCAAGTCGCGTATCGCACATCGCAAAGAACGACAATCTAGACTGATTAAACAGGATTCGCATCGTATACGCAAAAGCACCGCGGTGGTGCGCAAAAAATCTCTGGGAAAATGCACCGAAATCGCCCAACGCCGAGTTTGCTATAATGACAGTCGAGGCAAGGCGAAACAACGTTAAAGAACGGACGAAAAGGAGAAAGAGAAAGCCGAAGAACCACCTTGTCATCCCGTGGATGAACGAACAGAACCGAAAGGAACCCATGCAAAGGGGTCGAGGATCGATACATATCGATACCACCCGAAAAAAAAAAGAGGAAAAAAGAGGGAAAAAAAAAAACCCCCCAAATAAGGAACCAGCACATACGGGGACATAAATCCCCCTTTAAAACAATATTCTAAACGCCCCGGACTCCAGGTAATAGCTGAGAGGAAATTGTGAACTTTCCAAGTACAGATTCTGTTATGCATCATGGTCGTGAAATGGTCCTAGCAATACAGGGGCACGCTCGACGAGTTTCATCTATCACATAGAGAGAGGACGGGTTGGGCATCGGTATCGTAACGGATCGAGTTAAAAGTCACCATCGTGATGGAGGGTGACGCTGTTGAACTCTTCGAAGGGGTCCGCAATTTCGCCGTTGGGCGTGGCAAGGCCGGAATCCATAGGGACACCCTTCATCTTGGAGGAATTCTTCTCGCCAATATCGACGCTCGCGCTTTCTTTGACGTTGCGGAAGTTGATCGTTTCTGTTCCCCGACTTTGGTGAGGAATCATCGGGGGTTTCATGTGGCGGATAAGAGCCCATTGGGTTTGGCGGAAGAACGGATGAGTTTTAACATCCGACGCGCCAGCCCGAGCTCCGAGACGTTTCGTCTCGTCTTTGATCAGTAACTTGCGGATCAATGACTTGCACATGCTGGGGTGGACATTAGCCTCGGGAGCAACAACAGCAACAGCTACGGGTGCATCAAGGGAACACATACTTGGAGATTGGCTGTGCACCACCTTGTTCAGGAAATTGCACCTCATCACGAAGGATGTTTCCGAATGTGGCATTGCGATTTTTGCCCTTGAACGGGGTCGTTCCATACAGCATCTCGTAGATTAAAATTCCCAGCGTCCACCAGTCGACTGCGCTCGTATGCCCGCAGCCCTTGATCACTTCTGGGGCGATGTACTCTTCGGTGCCAACAAAGGAATTGGTTCTGAAATCCGCAATACACGATTTCGTATCAATGGTAGGCAGAGACGTCGTAGAGTTGCCGTTTCGCGCAAGAATCATTGTCGGTGCACCGCCGGGTCCCGATTGTTTGGAGAGATCGAAATCCGAAAGCATGATGTGTCCGGACTGGTGGAGGAGAATATCTGAGGAACCGGGGCGGTTAGGGGAGCGCTGATGCAGCTAAGGAAGATACATACTCTCTGGTTTCAAATCACGGTAAATAAATCCCATCAGGTGCAAGTACTCGAGAGCTGCAGTAACCTCTGCTGCATAAAACCGAGCGGCATCTTCGGAGATGCATTTACCCGGGCGAGTTTGAAGCGCTACATGCGCCAGTCAGCCATCATCGTGATTGCCGCATGCTTTCGACCGAACGTACCTCGAAAGAATTCACCCCCACTGCAATATTCCATGCACAAGTAGAGATAGTCTTCGGACTGGAAAGAATGATACAGTGTGACAATGAACGGATGGTTGCTTGTAGCCAAGATTTCCTGCTCGGCCAATGCCCTCTTGATCTTGTTGCGCTTGATCATTTCCTTCTTACTCAGAACTGCCGCGAAAGTTAGCCCGGATTTCTCTACCATTCCCCCATGAAACAGAGTCCCACCTTTCATAGCATATAAACGACTCGATTTCTTTTCTCGGACCAGATAAACCTTGCCCACATCACCCTTACCAATAAGCTTGATCTTATCAAAGCTAGCTGGTCCAACCTCCACATTGCGCACCTTGATTGAATTCGAGCTATACGTCCGACGGAAGCCAGCGCTCGCGGTGCGGATCTGGCCAGGGCTAGGGATCTTGCTACCGGGGCCCACCTGTGGCACCACCAGATTCTCTTCTTTGAGAGCGGTCGGGTCTACCAAGCTAATCTGAGAGCCAGTAGCCCCCGATTGCACCAGCGGTTCCTTGCCTAGCTCTGCAGTCTGGGGACGGTCCCCCGGCCCACCACGGTTGAATAATCCCTGAGCATTCGGGGCTGAGGCGACACGCCGAAGTTTCCGAGCCAGCTCTTCCTTATTGGCTGTGGTGGCCTGCTCCGCAGCCGAGACACCATCAACCTGCAACTCGGGGGTATCAGGAGGGGAGGAGGGCACGGAGCCCTCATTGCGATGTTGGAGTGAAGGTTGTCCCTGGTGGACAAAGTATGGGTTGGCGGTCGCGGTAGGCGAGATTCCCTCGTCTAACGGGTTTCCCTCGCTGGCGACCGTGGTTGAGCGATTGCGACCAATGATAGGCAGAAAGCGAGACTGCCTGAAGGCGGATTTGGACTCATTCTTCGAACCAAAGGCTGGACTACTATCCCGTTCGGAGGGGTTGTGGTGACTGGATTGGGATGAAGTGTTACCCGAGTTGTTGATGCGGAAAAAGTTCTTGATCTTGGTCGGGAAGTGGCTCGAATCGTTGGAATGCTTCTTGGTAGGCATGGACAGACCGGGGAGATTCTTATGTTTCTCGTTTGTCACAGGGGACTGGCTGGAAGCGAAAAGCTGCGTCATCCCGACCAGAGGGATCTTGAGGGAGGACGGAAATGACACCCCGGGGAGGACCGCGAGTCAGACAGATCCAAGTTTATCGAGGTTTAAAAGAAAAGAAAAGAAAAAAGGGGGGAGGGGGGGGGGAAGGTAAACGAATTCAGGGATTGGCCGAGGGAAGAAAGAGAGGCAACTATCAGTCAGGACTAGGTTAGACAAGGCGGGGGGGGGGAAGAAGAATAGAATAGGCGGCTGAGTTCGGGGGAGGTTGAGCGAGGCCCTACTCGGAATGCTAGAGGGTCATGAAGAAAGAACAACGCAGGATGAATGGATTGAACAGACAGGAAAGAAAGACACCGCAAGAAGAGAATAAAGAGTGGAAAGGAGATGATGATGGATGATGAAAGGATGGGAGAGAGAAGGAATTAAAGTGAAGGGGGAGAGATGGAGATGGAAGAAGCAGAGATTCTTCTATGTGGCTGAGTCAGGAATTCACCATCCCAATTATGAATTTCATTTCATTTCATTTCATTTCCTTTCCCTCAGAACTGGATTCAAATAAATAATTATATTTGACATGGATTTCTTTAATCATCCGTACCTATCACCAGCACTTCATACATCACCAACAGTAAATGGCTAGAAATCATTAACAGGGGCATCCATTCAATCTCAGTCAAGAATTTTTATATCCCTGGATGGCCGGTCGAGACCCTCATCGCCTCTTCAACTCCAACCCCGAGGAATGAAAAATAAAATACAATACAATAAAATTAATTCAATAATAATTCAATAAATACATAAATAAATCCTGCCCAGGAGTGATTCCATTCATGTCACCTCAAACCAACAACTTCTTCCACTCCGAGGAGAAGTAAGTAACGTAACCATGAAACCAATATCAGCTACACAAACAACTGTCAGCCATTGTAAACCTCCCTCCAACTACATGATTGGGAACATAATTATGCAAATAAACTCAACCATCCATCATCCAGCTTACTCCTGCCAGGCACTAGGTATGCTCGGCCACGTGGAATCCTGGCTAGACAATTTCAAAGCCATCAATGGTCGCTCCGGCGCCATCAAAGGGAGGGAGGAACGCATGCGCGTTAACGTTTTGAGAAACTGCTGGCGCCGCCGTTTTCTGGAGAATCGGGCTCCGGTTCTTGTTGAAGTATTGCCCTAGAAGCGGAGAAAAGGGGGATTTGCTGCTGCTTTGCCATATCGATTGTCGAATAGAGTCAGCTGGGAAGGTGCTGGTGGCCGAACTAGACTCGACCGGAGCACTGGGGAGAGTCATGCTTTGGATACCGTCAATCACGCTAGACATGCACAATTCGGTTGGCACGGTGAGATACTGCGAGGGATTCCTAGTCGAGCTAAAACAACCGTTCGTGAGCTCTTCATATGTCCCCCGGTCTCTTTTGAATTACTCCTTACCTTTCCCGGGTTTTTTCTTGCGGATCTCTGCAGTTCTTCAACTCGCGGTCGAGCCACCATTTCCTGCCCACAGCAGTCAGCATTCCTCCTGATACGCACTGTGATAATATGAATCCTTCACTCGTGACTTACTCTTCCTCATGAGTCGTGGTCCAGGAATCTGCCTTCGATCGAAAAGATGACGAACACATGCTACTGTCTTCTAGGCTTGAACGAAGAAGACCCTTTTGACGATATCGTTGAGAGTTCTCGGGGTAGTCATCCGATCGCCAAACTCTTCTAGAATGTCGAACTGGTTGGATATATTTTACAGTAGTCTTGGGTTCATCCTCGGCCTGCTGGCATACTTCTATTGTCGCGCCGCTAACCTTCGCTGATGGCTTCGATGGTGATCGAAGTGACATTTTGCGTTCTTCGTTTAACCTCCTTGCAAGGCTTTTGGAAGCTCCTGAAAGTGCATTAAGAAGCCCCTCGATTGGCTTTCCTTGTCTCTCATTTTCCTCGATTTTACGATACAGACTGTGAAAATCTGGGGAGAGCTGGGAAGGTGAGGTTCGATTGCTACCCACCGCTCTGTCGCAGTTTTCGGTTTTGCGCCCTTTCGAGGGGGTAATTGCACGGGATCCCAGCACCCCATCAATTGTCTTCTGGCCTATTGGAAGGCTCGGCTCCTGGAATGTATTGTATGGAACTGGTGGCAGGTTTCCAGCCCAGGGAGAACTTGGGTTGTCCGCAGTCTGCCAGGGAACATTTGTAAAACCTGGTTCACTTATAGGGAAAGGTTGTTGAACAGTGGTTGCAGGCATCGAATATGCTAGACCCTCAGGGGTTGACCCTGGACATGCAAAACTGGGTCCCTGGAGAAATTGGCCATTAATGGAGCTGTTAGTTACGCAGATTGCAGGTGGGACTGGAAGAGAGGTGGACCCTTTCTGCATTTCAGCTGCGTTCATCTGGGATTTCCCGAAGAGCATCTGCAAGTGTTCTTTGTATAGTCTCACCGTGTCTAGTTCGCGTACCAAGCTCTTTCGCACCTCAACAAGCGCCTTCTTTCTTTCTGGATCTATGTTCCAACTATGTAACGCAGTGAATCTGTCAATGTGCGACAGTTGTGCAGAAAGCAGTTCATGCTGTCTTTGGGCATCATCCGATGACTTCTGATAGATTGCGTCCTGGAAATGAGGAGGGAGGAACTGTTGATTGAATGAAGGCATTTGAGCGCCGGCAGCCTGCGGCCACTGGGGTCCAATGTTTGGTGGGTACGGCCCAAATACCTGAGGAGTCCCACTTACACTATTGCAGTTCGGGAGGCCCGGTAACGTTGTGGGGTTTGGTTGGGGCTGAAATACAGGTGGCATTGGTGGTACGGTAGGAGCTTGCGTGGGTACTCCTTGAAAGGAATTTGCAACTTGCGTATCACCAAGCCCGTACGCCATGTAGTCAGCAAGTACTGGGAATTGATGATCCATAGATTGCTGGTCAGTTTGGGGATGTGTCTGGCTACTAACCCATGATGGAGCGCTGGCGTTTAGGAAGCTCGTAGAGCTGTTTAAGATTGGGTAAAGGTTGGATTCACCTGCAGCTACTGAAAAAGGTTGATCAAAGCCACCGTCAAAAACTGACATACTCCCAGGATTTGGGAACATTTCAGCCGGTAGCGACGCTATTCTGGGCCTGTTTCTGGAGTCGTTGTTAATTTCTTGCCGTAGCGTTGGACTTTGGGCAAGGTATTGATATTCGGGCTTCGATACCGGGTTTGCTGCGGTACCCTTGGAGGTATTTCCGCTATCCTGACTGAGAGGCAAAGTCCATTTGGGAGGAGAGTCGGATGGATCCATTGGTACAATCCGACCACCGGCAGTGACGCGCTGATGTTTGGGGGATGTATGGTTTTTGACGAATCTAACAAAGCCAGGGTCAAATTGAGTATTGACAGTCAACGGAGGAGGATGCCGTGGATTGGAGGAGGGCTGCATGTTCGATTCCAATGTAATAGTGCTCCCCACGCTTTGACGTGACAATCCTGACGCGTTTCTTCGGTTGGCTGATTGTTCAGACAGCACGCCCGGAGTAGGTTTGTGGGGACGGAGAAGGTTGTCTTAAAAGATTATACATTAGTAGAATGAATCCCAATGATGAAACTTAATAACCACGTACTGCCGTAGGCTTGATTGCTGAATTTGCTGAATTCGATGTGGCCATTTTGGCTCAAAGCCATGAGGGTTTGGACATCGTACTTGACCATGTTGGCTGGGATCAAGTGAATGGATAACAACGAGGGTTTTTGATAATTGAACAAAAAGAATGAGATATTTGTTGGGATGTTTCAAAAATTACGTAGCCTTGATGAAGTAGTAGGGAGGTGGGAAAAGATGGGAAGAAGGAAGATTCAGAGACTGAGAGTGTCGAGGTGTTGGGGAGCCAAACTGCACCGAGAAACAGGAAAGAGCACACCTTGAGTGTTGCGAGTTAATTATGCCCTTGTGGACTTGAAGAAGGGAAGGCAGAGAGAGCCCTCCTGAGAGAGAAAAAAAAAGGTGAATTTCATGATATGAAGAAAATAAAGAAAGCTTTGAAAACCTCCCGACTTTTATTGGAGCTGCTAGCAACTGCTTCTATACATACTGCATCTTAGACATGTTCTCTGGCTGCAACTGGCTGCATTGTGCTATGGAGTCGCCATTCCTCTTCGATTTCATCTGCAAAAGGTGATCCAATATCCTGCTCTTCGGGTTGTGTATTATTCTGACTTCCTTTCTGACCGGTCATTTCCCAGCTTCCATGTCGTTCATGCCCTCTTGCGTTGATCCCAAACCCAGCGTTAGGAGGATCTGAAGTATCTGCTTGTTTGACATCGTCCCCCCACCTCGGGTTCTTGAAACTCACGTCTTCGTCGCTTGCCATCTTCCGATCTCCTTTGAATCCCCCAAGACTAGACCTACGCAGCGCGTTTGTGCGCCAACTGTAGACCAAGAAGCCGATGATTCCGATGAGGGAGAGCACGACGATGGTAACCACTGCGCCAATGACGCCCCCAACCGCAGGGCTGATCCCACTGCTTCCCTTGTATCCCTTGTTCTGATCTGTATCGAGGACACCAGAGCAAAACATGGCGGATGAATTGCATTTGAGGCACCAGGCTTGAGCGGATGTGAGCGAGAGGTTTTGCATCTCAGCTTGGAATTCAGCGTAGGGGATTGCAGTCTTGCTGGGACTATACCCAAAGGGCGAATATGTCCGAAAACCAGCACCAGTCCCATTGCGGAGGAGAAATCGAACGTAAAGCTGGGAGGGGTCGGGGTATGTTGGGTAAGTTTCACTCTCCAGGCTGAATAGCTCCAAAATAATCGATGCACCCTCATTGGGGAGAGAATAAAAGTTAGGATTTTGCTTATTCGCAAGTTTCAGGAGAGATGTGAGGGCAACTGCGGGCTCATAGCTTCCGAATAAAAGGGTCATTTTGCCATTTACACCCTGAGTTTGTACGTTTATCTGGAATGAGTCCAGAATACTGGATATCAAGCCCTGGCCTGCAATCGTGCTGACATCGCTGCTCATGCCGTTGTCGGAAGCGGATGCGTTTCCGTTGGTTGCGAAAACATACTTGCCTGCATACCACCGCGCGAGCTTCACGTCGTCTGGACTTAGGTTCTGTAGTAAGGACTCATTATGAATCGCTTGGTAATCGAGGTAATGGGAGATAATGGTCGCGTTGCCGTAATTGGCAGAGGCAACGTCAAATTCTCCGGACAAAGCTAGAGTATAGAGGCGGTTATAGAACGCTGCTGACTCCTCATAGGTCTGCCAGAATTCCTTGCTACCGATGTATTCAACGATTGAGAAAGCATGCGCGGGGCAGAGCGCTTGACCAGCTATAGCGATAGATTGGGGGTCTTCGAGACCAAAGGTCATGATCTGAGGGTACTGATAACCACCCAGCGGAGACGAAGCCGTCGAGCCATTCGCCAATTTAAAGTTGAGATTAAGGACAGTATCATTGAACGATTGATCCAGCGGCGGATAGAGACCTTGCATAAATGCCTGAGCCGAAGCGATAATGGCTGCGTCTGATGTGGAAGCTATCTGAAGGTCGTCGTTCTCTAGTAGATAGGGAGACAGACTCTCAATTCGAGTACTGGGCATGCTGCTGTCGGCATGCAAGGCAACATATCGGTCTCGGAAGGCGGACCCAGCAGCATGCAATTGGTTTGCGCCGTACGGGGTCAAGGAATTCGCACGGGAGATCACCTTTGGAATGCTGTCTCCCAGGAGAGTGTAGGCGAAGACTGCCCAGACTTGGGCTGTCTGATCCTCTGCCGAAGCGGGAGAGATCCGCAGGGCTAGGCTCACTAGAGCAAGGGAAAGATGACGGTTCAACATGTTGAATAACTACTCGAATCTCTTGATCATCTTGCTTGGCCTGACCAGGGACAGGGAGGTAAAATAGGCCTACGGAGTTGCAGTGAAGCGGCTGCAACTGTGGTTGAGTTTCGCAGAAAAGTCGCGAAGTGACGGCATGATCTAGTAAACTGCAACCATTTAGTTTAATTTGAAATTCAGTTCCCTCAACATCTTTTGTGGGATTGTGGTGGTGGTGGGCAATGGATCCGTCAGTTGACTAGTATGTATGTTGTAGTTATACCTCCTGGTCTCCTAAAATCCAGGTCAACCCATGTATCCACCAGACTCAAAATGCTATTAGATCTTCAATTATTTATGATTCCACGTACAGAAATGACCTCTGATTTTACTTTGTCCAGAGGATAATGAAGCGCCGACGGTAGCGGTTCAATGACGCGCATAGACTTAAGGTTGCATTGCGGATCGCATTCTCCGGAATTGATGAAGGTCGTCAAACTATGACGGTAGAAAGTTGACCGAAATGAATTCAATTTGGGTCTAACTAGGAGATAGAGAGATGCTTGGAGGAAGCATGGAGATCTAGAAGGAAACAGTGGCCTTAAATACCTAGAGTAGTTACGTGTTGCTATCTTCTTCTTTATGGTGATGCTGCTTTATGGTGGTGCTGGTTGTATTTACTAAGTGTAGCACTCTAACACACCCCCCTTAGTAACATGTCTATTATATAAAGCTATTTAGAGTCTATCTCTAACCTGCCAAAACCTAATCTCTTGATAAATTCATCAAATTTTGTAGTTAGTAATATCTTAGTTAGCCTGTTAGTGATATTGTCCTCTCTACTAACTATTTATAGCTAAATTCTACCATTTTTGATTGCCTCTTTAATAAAGAAGTAGCGAATATCTATCTAGTAAAGTATAGATATATAATTTAGCTTTTTTACTAAAGTAATAGTATTAGTAGAATTAGTATATAAAAGTATAGTACCTTTTATAGACTTTTCTAATCTAATAGCTATATATAACTTTTATAATTATATAGCTAGCTTTATTACTATATCTTATATAATAAATTTAGTAATAATTAAACTTAGAATAACTAGTAATTACTTTATTAATCTTTATATAATTAGTACTCTAAATATAAAAAATATAAAGCTTTTTATTAACTTCTTATCTTTATAATCTATATAGGAGGTATTAATATATATATATAATAGATTATCTAAATAGCTTAAGATTATTATATAGTCTAAAATCTTCTTTAAATATTAGAAAACTTGTTTAATTATATTATAATTTAACTTACTAGGATTATAATTTCTTTATAGTAGTTATATTATTATATATTAAATATCTAGTTAGGTCTAAATAATAATCTAATTTAATAATCTAGTTAATTCCTAATAATAAGCAATATCTTTATTAGTAAAGGTATATATAGTATCTAGAATAATACTACTAGTATCTAGTATCTCTCTAGTTAATTTCTATTCTAGAGTTATTAGTATATAATATAGCCAAAGACTATAGAAATTCTATTTATAGAGCATCTTTTAGATATATATATATTAGGATATTAATATTAGATTACTAAGTAATCTATAAATATTATATTTTAAGAACTATATAGGTTTATCTAGTTACTTTAATTTAAAATATTTTTCTAGCTTATTTATAAATTATTAAATATTTACTTTATTAGGGCTAGTAACTATTATATTATTAATATAGATAATAAGTATTAATTACTAGTCTAGATTATGGTAGAAATATAGGTCTTTATTAATTACTTTTATATTAATTTTTACTAGAATATTATGGAATTCCTTATACTAAAAAAATACTAATTATTATAATCTATATAGGGCTTAGAGTAGTAGATATATTATATTATCTTATTTATTAAAACTAGTTAATTAATATATATAGATCTTTTAATTCTTAATTATTATATTAAGATAGGTAGTTACTATGTTAAATTATGCCTATTTTAAATTAAAATAAGTAACTATACTTAAAAATAGCTTTATTAAAATATTTACTACTACTAGGGAGTAGATTTAGTTAAAATTTATACTTAATTTTTAAAAGTTTCTATATATAATCTATCTTATATAAAATTATAATATATTATTATTTATATCTAACTTTAAGTTATATATTTATTTTCCTAGTAAGATCTTTATATTCTTTAGTAATAATATAAATTTATAAGTCTAAATAGCTTTAAGCTTGCTAATTTAATTTTATATTATTTATATCTAGTAATCCTTTTATAGTAACTTTATTACTTAAATATAAATTTATAAGATTCTAACTTTATAAATCTTTATAGATTTAATCTCTAGTATAAAATTACTAGAATCTAGTAATATTATAATAATTATATTAGGTAATTTTTCTAGCTTTAAATAAGATTCTAGTAAATAAGGTATTTCTAGAAATATTTTTAGAGGTAATATAGATTAAGATTAAGATTATTATTCTTATTTTATCTTCTCTTCCTATAGTTACTTTACCTGCTTATCTTTAAAGTAAATACTTTAGTATTAACCCTTTATAAATCTTGAAGATCTTTATAAAGTAGTAATACTTTTACTAGTATCTTTATTAACAGGATTCTATATCTTTACCTAGTTGATTATTTCTACTTTCCTAATATTAAATTTAACTTACTTTCTAGTCTTTAAATACTTCTTTTTTAATATATCTAGAGTTATTAGAGTATAATTATCTTTAAAAGATTCTAAAACTAGTAAGATCTCTCTATATTAGGTAAATAACTCTAGAAGTCTTTATATTAGTTATAATACTAGTATCCTTTTAAAAATAGATTAACTAGTATATAAATTATTTATAATAAAATAATTAATTATCTCTTTATATCTACTCTACCTAAATTATTCCTCTATACTAGATCTTACTATCTTCTTTATATCCTTACTAATTACTTGATTATTTTACTTAATAATAGTTTTAGAAATAGCCCTGGAGGCCTGTATCTGCTCTAGTATGATAAGCTTAGTAATTTTAGAGATAGCCCTAGAGGCAGCCCTAGAGGCAGGTAGCTGCTTGAGTATAATGAGTTCAATACCTGCCTCTAGGTTAGATAGGGTGGTTTTAGTGATAGCCCTAGAGGCAGGTAGGCATAGATATATTAAATCAGTACCTGCCTCTAGGTTAGATAGGCTTAGTTTAGATAGGGCTAGATTAGGTATTAATATTTAAATTCTCCCTATAATAACTTTGTTATTAATTACTAATAATAAGATTTAGAGAATAGTATTATTTTAAGATACTTTATTATAGATTATTCTTTTCTTTTTAGTATTAATAGGTATAGTTGCTCTAGATAGACTATTATTATTTGGTTTTAGTCTATTAGAAAGTTATGATTATATTCTATCTATTTTATTAATATTACTTTTATTAAATATTATATCCCTTAACTAAATTATCTTCCCTATATCTAGATACTATACTTTATAGATATAATCTCTATTATATCTAACTAGTTAACTAATTTTTGCTCTAGGTAATATTTTTATACTTTTAATCCTATCCTTATATAGGATATTTATAAATACCTTATATCCCTATATATAAATATATTATAGATTAATATCTCTAATTAAGATATTTAATTCTTTATAAAAAAGTTATATAAGTAGCTTTCCTTTATTATTATCTTCCTTAACTAATCTATTTAAAATATAGACTGCTATATCCATACTATATAGCTATATAATTAGCTCTATTTTTACTTATATATATATTATATAGGCAGTCTGGATTATATAGCTACCAAACTATTTAATAGTGCTGTTTTCCTTGGGGGTTTGTAGTAGTATTAGTTCATATATAGTACCAAAATCCTTACTCTATCTAGCATACTTATTAAATTTAGGAGTAGAGTTAAATCTAATCTTTCTAATATAAATACTAGTTATATTTAACTAACTATTATATATTTTCTTTAATACCTTTAAAAATTTACTTTTTGCCTTTAAATATTGTGCAAAAAGATATCTAGAATAATTATCTAGAACTAGTAGGATATACCTAATACTATCTCTTCTAATTAATTTAATTTCTTAGAAATCCATATATATAAATTATAATAATTTTATTATATATAATTATAGTTTTCAGGATATCTTTTTCTTTAATTTTAATAATTAATATACTTTATAGTATAGTTTAATATTCTAATTAGTAGTAAGCAAGTTATTAGTAGCTAAGTTATTACTTTTATTATAAAGTATTATCTTATTATACTTTAATTATTTAATAAATAGATAATCTAATTATTAATATAATAAGTCTATTAGTATAGTGGGCATGATTACTACCTTATTTAGAACTAAAAATAAAATATTATTATCTAAGATAGTATATCTAATTACCTTATTTATTACTATCTTATAAATATATTAATTTTTTAAGTTAAAATAGATTCCTAATTCTACCTTTATTCTTTCTACTAGTATTAGATTATATAATATATTTAGATTCTAAAAATATTCTATTTAGTATGATATTAAAGTACTATTATCTAATTTAAATTAAATTATTATTTTTCTATAATCTTGGGGATATACTACCTTACTATTAGAAGTAATAAAATCATAATTCTTAAAGCTATTTAAATCTTTAACTAGGTTATTAAAGAGATTATGATTATTATATATTATATAGCCTGCTCTGGAGTTACATAGCTACCTATTTCTAAAGATAATTAATATTAAAGTTATTAGTATATTAACTCTAGATAGCATGAAATTATTAGTATCTAGAATAGTATTAGCTTATATAGCTAGGGTAATAGCTTAATTTTAGGTTAAATTATTTCTATTCTTTAACTTATATAGCTTAAAGTACTAAAGTATTAAAGTTAGTCTCTATCTTTCCTTCTACTTATTAATTACTAAATATAGGTAGTCCTTAGTATTATATTTTTTCTTCTTATAAAATAAATATAGTATTCCAGGTTTCCTTAATTACTTTAACCAATAA